AGTCGTGGGTGACTACCTTTGTCAAGGGGAGAGTCGGAAATAAAACGTACCTGCGTGTCACGAACATCGGAGACGCAGCGATAATCCTCGACGCGCATGAAACGCTTGGGTGGTGGACGCCGTCTGACGGCCAGCCTCGGATTCGTGGATTCGTCCGACTGGGCTCCACCCGGTACCAGCAGTGGCAGAATCTGGCGTACGGCGCGACACGCGACGCGGAGGAGAACTGGATCCCAGCCGAGCTCGACGGACCGATGACGGATCGCCCCTCATACCCGACGCCTAAAGCCATCTTGCGCCCGGAGCCGAGACAACTCGGGACGCGACGCGCCGTGACCCCAGTGTTGGCGGCTGTCGCGGAAGCGCCGAAGGGAAGGGGGGTAGACTTGCCACCCGACGACCACAAGCCGGATACGGACGAGGAGGCGGTGGAAAGCGAACCCGATATGCCTCCGACTGTGGCTAGAAGCGCTGCGATGGAAGAATCGCCGGAGTCGGAACTCGCTGACCCAAAACTCGACGGTGTATTCGCTGACGGAGACCGACTTCAACGAGTACGTCACGCGTCCAGAAGTCCGCGGGCATGAGAAGTGGATGCACGCGACGCGCGCCTTCGACGCGCTCAAGGCAAAACTCGCCGAGACCCCAATGTTGAAACACTTCGACGCGAACCGAGAATCCGTCGTGATCGTGTACGCCAGCGTGCGCGCCGCGTCGGGATATGCGACGGACCTCACGGTCAACGAGGCGGAATACCGCGGGCGGCTGCTCGGATGTTCTCTTCTAGAGGAACTCGACGACGTCACCCGACTCGTCGTATGCGGAGACTCTAACCTTGTCATCAGGCAGATGCCGGACGAGATGGACTGCAAGTCCCCGGGGCTGAAGCTGCTGCGACAAAAGACGCGAAACGCACTCCAGGCATGGCCGCGCCACGAACTCTTCCACGTACGACGAGACTGGAACGCGAGTGCCGACATGCTGGCTGGACAAGCTCTGCAGCGTCAAGGAGGCCGCAACGCGCACAGCCCCGAAGAGATTCAAGATCTGAAGACGCTGAATCGCTTGGAAGAAGTCATCCGACCGCGGACATCGAGTCCCGGGATGGCGTCTCCAGCCAGTCCCGACGCGGATAATCTTGACGCGGAAAACCTCGACGCGGAAAATCGCGGCGCAGATGACCCCGCCGGGAAGGCCATGGACGCGGGACGCGGGACAGCACAAGTCCTCGCTGTGACGACGCGCTCGGCTGCCGCACGCACGACAACACGTAGGGTCCGACCTCCAGAAGTCCTGGAGGAGCTGGTGGTGCAACGAATGCGCCTGGACCGCATCCGCGTCGCCCAGGACGAAGAGGTCTGGATCGTCAACCTCAAGAAGTATCTCCGCGGCGACGTCGGGGACCTATCTCGGCGCGAGGTGAAGAACTGCCAAAAGCTTGCGCCTCGGTACGAAGAGGGCGAAGGCGGGCTGCTCTACTACCAGCCGAGAAGCGACGATTCCGCCGAGGATCGCGATGTGATGATGAAGCTGATCCCGGAGACTCTTCGGGAAGATGTACTCCACCACTATCACGCGAGCCTGGAGGCGGACACCAGGGTATTGGCCGCACGTACCAACGCGTGAGGCGCCACTTCCATTGACCAGGGATTTTCAGAAGCGTCCAGCGCTACGTCGGCGAATGCACCGACTGCGAGACGGGAAAGGGTCGGCCGACCATCCAGGGCGAGTCGCCGGGCAACATCGTCACGACGTACCCGTTCCAGGTCATTGCCATGGACCATATTCCGTCGTTGCCGGCATCCTACAAAGGCAACACAGAGCTGTTAGTCTGGGTCGACCTCTTCACGGGGTTCGTCGTGGTCAAAGCGAATGCGTCACGAACCGCGCAGACGGTGGCCGAGGCGTACGAGGAGGCGGTGTTCAGGCGCTTCGGCACGAGCCCGGCTATCCGCCACGACCGCGAGCCGGGCTTCATGTCCGACTTCTTCAAAGCGTTCAGCAAAATCATGGGTCAGAGACAGCGAGCGACGCTTGCTTATCGTCCCCAAGCCAACGGTGCTGCAGAACGGATGGTGCAGACGGTTACAAGAGCGATCAAGATGTACATCGCAGACGTCGACCAACGCGACTGGGACGAATACGCCGAGCGTCTTACCTTCGCACTAAACACGTCGTACGACCGGACGAGGAATGAAACCCCGTTCTTCTTAGTGCACGACTGGGATCCTCGGTCGACGCTGGCCGTCGGGAACACGTCGACCCGGGACGCCGAGGCGCGGCGGTGGAGGCTCCGTATTCAGCGACACTACAAGGTGGCAAGGGCACAAGCGTTGGAGTTAGTCCGAGAGGCCGTCGAAGAGAGAGCGCGTCGACAAACTGAAAACGCGACGCGACATGAGATCGCGACGGGCTCGCAAGTTTGGCTGTACCTGGATCGGGTGAAGCCGGGGTATGCGCGCAAACTCGCGCACATGTGGCACGGACCCTTCCGCGTCACCGAGGTGGTCAGCGCGTTCGCAGTGCGCCTCGAGACGACGGGTACGCCCTATCAGCTGTACCCCGTCGTCCACATCTCCAAGCTGAAGCCCGTCCGGGAATTCCCGTCGCGACCCGCGACGCAGCTGACGGTGCCGGCCGAGGAGCGCTTCGACTTCGACGAGGAGCTCTTGCCCGAGGATAGCTGGGAAGCCACGCGCGAGCTGGAGGACGACGTCTTCGAGGTCGAGAAGATCGTGAATGTGCGCGAGGGGCGGACTACCCGGTATGGGCGCACGCGACGCGAGTTCGAAGTCAAATGGAAAGGCTACCCGGACACGACGTGGGTCGACGAGCTCGATCTGAATTGCGGCGGGTTGCTGTACGACTTCCTGCGCCAGCGCACGGGACGCAACCGGTTCGAGGCGATGCAGTCGCACGAGAACGCGGAGGCGGTGGAGCCTGGTGGGTGAGCGCCCGCGGGTGCGACTAAGTCGGCGGGGGGGGGGGCTGCCGACGGGAGGACTGGTGGGAAGCCTCGACTCTGGGAATGGCCGGAGCGAGGGATTGGATGAGGGAAGTGAGGAGGACCAGCCTGTTGCTGAAGATGGGACGGCGGAGGGCCGTCTCATAAAAGATGTGGAGAAGTGGAAAGAAACAAGGGGAAAGATCAAGGCTACGTGTTGAAGTTACGGCTACAACAACTAAACGCGACGGACTGCAACGATGGGCCAAGACTCAAACCTGCTGGACAAACTTACCTGCAAGACGCGGCACATGGAAGGCTGGGTGATCGCGCGTCACTCGGCAGCGTACGTTCGCGTCCATCTCGGCCACAGTGAGCGGCGTCCAATAGAACCGGCGCCAGGGCTCCTGCGCGTCGATGTCGTCGAGCGCGACTTGCAACGTCGCGTGCTGGAGGCCTGGATACCACCGTCCGATCGACGTGTGCGCGGGCGGAAAGTGAAGCACCATTGGGTCCAGCAAGAGGTCCATGTCTGCGAGCCCTTGCTGGAACAGCCCGACCACCAGCTGCAACAAGCTGTTGAGGTGGTTGCCCGCGTGTGAGCGACGCGAGTTGTGCGTCGTGTGCCACCTTTTCCACGCCGCGCCCTGCACGAAGAGCTCATGGGTGGCCTCCCAGTACGCCTGAGCCCAGTGCTCGATGTGGTGCCGGAGCCGACGTAGGAATGGGCGGAACGCCGCGTCGCCGGACGCGAAGAGAAGCGCCTCAGCGGCTTGAGCGAGGTAGCGCCACGGCCGAGTCGCGTATAGCGCGTCGACGTTGGCCAGAGTCACGAGGGCGCGGTTCCAGTTCGCAGGCGCGGGGGGAACACGGCGCGGAATGATCTAGCCGGGCGGCGGCAGGAAGAGCGTTCGCAACTCCTGCACGGTGATGAGATGAAGGCGGAGACGTCGTACCCGCTTGGACCAAGGAGCGTAGCGAGGCTGCCGCCAGCCAGACGGAGTTCCGGCAGGCGGAATCACAGGGTCGAAGAAGGGCGCCGCCGGAGCACTCCCCGCCGAGCCGCTGGAGGCGGTGCTCGAGGACGAGGCGCGGGACGACGAGGAAGCGGACGAGTCGTTGCCACTGGAGTCGCCCGAATCGCCCGGACCAGTGCCTGGTCCAGCTCCGGCTGCCGCACGGCCCCTCGACGAGGAGTGCGTCGGCCGTGCAGGAGAAGAGTGACGCGAGGCCGCCGACCCCACCGAGTGCGCCGACCCCGCCGCGTGCGCCGAACGCGTTGAGCCGACGGAACGCGTCGACGCCAAGGAGGGCGAGCGAGAACGCGAGCGCGAGCGTGGAGGCGAGTGCGAACGCGAACGAGAGGCCGAGCGGGAACGCGAACGCGAAGCAGAACGGGAGCGCGGGGTGTCCGGGAACGTGACTGCGAACGTGGAGGCGGACGCGCCAGCGACCGTGAGCGAGACCCAGGGCTATGCAGCCGGCGGCGCTTGGACTGAGCTCGCCGCGCTTGGTCCTCGCTGTCCGAAGACTCGGAGCCGAAGAGCGACGCGTCCTCTCGTGCGCGCGCTGCAGCGGCCGTAGAGGGCGTAGCTGCAGATGAGGCCTGCGCAGCGGCGTTGTCGGAGGCCGCAGTGTCGGCCACGGTAGAGAGCCGTCGACTACGTCGAAGGGGCGAAGAACCAGGCGACGTAGCGGACGCCACTCCTGACGGCCTAGACGCGCGTGACTGAGAACCCGAACGACTCGACGCGCCGTGTCGAGGTCGCCGAAAACCCGACGAGGACGAGGCAGCGGACGAAGTCGGAACAGGACGGGAGCCCCAAGGACCTGCTGGAGGGGAAGCGCCAGTCGTCGAGCCCGCCGTCAAAGCCGACGAGCCCGCCCGGGCACCAGAGCTCGACGCAGTTGGAGCAGGAGCAGGAACCGCGGATGCCACAGGAACTGCTGCGGACGTAGGAATAGCAGGGGGGAGGGGGATCGCACCGTCGATCTCCGCCGTAAAAGTGGCTTCGAGTCGCCTGACCAGGTCAGCGGTGTCGATCTGCCCGCCTACATGCGTTACGACGCCGGCGAGACGATCAGCAAGCTCGTCGCACACCCGCCGCGCCAGCTCTCGGCCCCGACGCGCGTCTCGAAGCATCCGACGCCAAGTCACAGCGCGTTCGCCGCGCTCTCGGATGGCCAAGTCGCGCTCCTCCTCCAGCTCGGCGACACGAGCGCTGAGACGATGGGTCTGGGCGCCGACTGCTCCTCGACGCTGCTGAGACGACCGCCGCATGGACAGCCACCCAGCTCGATACTGCGCCGCGCGAGATGTGGCGCAAAGTTCGCCGGCTTGAGCCCGCGCCATCTCGGACTCGGCGGCCACACGGAGAGTCGTAGCAGTAGCCACGGACTCCTCCAGCTCGTGGATACGCGTCGCGTCGCGGCGGAGCTCCTAGGCGTGGGCCACTACGAGCGCGTTGACGCGCCGAAGGTCGTCCTGCAGCGGGACGTTTAGGTTCTGGGCCGCCTCGATCTCCATGCGGCTCTGAGAAAGCGACGCACGGGCCGCGCGGAGCTCTTCGTCGACAGGGGCGCGCTGCTGCTCCAGAGCGGTCAAGGCCTGACGAGCCTGATCTCTCTCGGCGACGGCAGCGTCTCGCCGCTGCTCAAGGGCGGTCACGGCTTGGCGTGCCCGGTCCCTCTCGGTGACAGCAGCGTCTCGCATGCGTCTCAGGGCCGTGGAGGCGCGACGCACTTGATCTCGCATGTCGAGGGCCCCGTCACGCTCTTGCTCGACGGCCATGAGAACGCGGGTCACGCGGTCATGCTCAGCGAGAGCGGCGTCGCGCTGCTGCTCGGCAGTGGCCACGAGCTGCCGCATGTGATCTCGTTCAGCTTCGGCGGCGGCCACGCGCGCTTGGACAGGAGCGAGGGCGGCTTGGGCGGCTGCGAGGTCGACGCGAAGGTCGTCACGCTCGGCGCGCGCGTCGTCGCGCTCGCCTTGTGCAGCAAACAGCTGCGCTAGCGACACGATGGAGGGAGGCGGCGTAGCAGGAGCGCGCGCGAGTTGGGCAGTCAAGTCAGTGACCTGGTCTCGTGCCGCCCGGAGCTGAGCTTGAAGATCACGATATTGCTCTGTCGAGGAGCCTCGCTCGGCGCGGAGTAGAGCCTCGGCAGCGTCGGCACGCTCAGCACGAGCGCGGAAGTCGGCCACTCGGTCCTCCAGGACGGCGTAGTCCCGCTCGGCGTGCTCCCGGGAGAGGAGCGCCTGCTCGAGCCGGATCATGCCTGCGCGATAACCCTCGCGAGCACGATGCAAGATCGCGAGATTGCGGTCATGCAGCACGGACGCGTGAGTAGCCAAGCCCGCATTGTGCGCTGAGACGAGTTAGTACTGGGCGCGCAGCTCCTGGTTCTCGCGCTGGAGAGTGTGCGCGTCGGCGACAAGAGCAGTCACCGAGTGGACGGGGGCGCCTGAAGCCGGAAGCTGGACTTGGGGCGCGACGGGGAGGCGAGGACGATGCGCGCCGAGGGCACAAACCGCGCAGCCAGCGGCCTCGAGGTCGTCGGTGTCAAGCTCTTCTTCCTCCAGGTCGATGTCGTTGACGTCGACGTCGTGGCGGCGAGCCATGAAGCTTGGAGTACCGCGAAGCGGACTGCGATGGCAGAAAACGCGATGGTGTCGAGACGAAGCGAAGGCGCGGGGCAGGTTCTGCGACGACACACCCACCTGGGGAGTGCGCGTGCGTGGCAGCGGGACGAATGTGGTGTAGTACCCCGCGGAAGAAGTGGGCGCGCCGGGCGCCGGAGGAAGAAGGCGCCGGGATGCGAGTGATGGACTTCGACGCGGCTGATGGAACGCGACGCGGATTGATGGGCGCGACTCAGGGCCGAGCTCGATGGGAAAGTCGGCGTGGGTGATGGGCCGTGAGACACGGTGCCAGAATCCAGTGCGACGCGTAATCATCCGACGGGTCGACCAGCGCACCCGGTTCTGCAAAACGCGCCGACCCTAAACCCCGCCGAGCAAAACGCGCCGAGCAAGACGCGCCGAGCAAAACGCGCCGACCAAAACGCGCCGAGGTAAGATCTTGATTGCGCCACGCAAATCAGGTTGAAGGACGGCAGTGCAAGCACGACAGAAGTAGGGATAGGCACACAACGATAGGCTTAGCAACCAGTAGTACGGAGTAGCCAGTAGCTAGGGCATAGGATAGGGTAAGGACTCAGTCCCGATATTTCTCTGAACCACAAAGACCTCCCGTCTTCTCCGAGGTTCCAGGGGAACCACCAAGCGCCGGCAAGTAGAGCCGCCTCGATATCGCGGCCCCCCCCGTCGTTTGCTGGTTCGGGTGCTCCCCCCCCCCCCCCCACAGACTCGTGCTGGAACAAAGGCACGTTAAACGTATACCGTTTAGGTGGGCGCCCGATAACGCGCTGCCTAGGCGAAGGACCGCACTGGCCTGATAACCGCCGTGCACAAGACCCCCCGTGTAGGCCCGATAACGCCACACAAGCCCCAGGAAACGCCGGCCTGATAACGCCGCACGCCCGACGGGAACACCGAGGAAACGCCGGCCCGATAACGCCGCACGCCCGACGGGAACACCGAGGAAACGCCGGCCCGATAACGCCGCACGCCCAAGGCTCGACGCCCTAAGACAAGGAACAAGCGTCAACACAAGAACCCCCCCCAACTCTGAAGCCTGCGAAGACTTGGGCCTGTATTTCGAAGATACGCTACTCCAACAACCGGGAATAATTCGCTCGGCGCGATCGCTATCCAGACGCGCCGAGTTTGTGCGAGATCGCATTCGCGAGATTTCTGCGAGGGCGCTACTCCACAGTCACACACCGACCACAAGGCAACCCCAGGCCAAGATCACACCTGGCCGGCGAGTGTCGATCTAGACAACCCCAGATCGAAACCGCCACAACTACTCCGGCACAGCGTGAAGCATATCCGCGTTGCTGCCACAAGTTCCCGCTGTCCACCAGACAGTCCAAGACTCAACCCCAAGCGCGTCTTCTCGAGATCACCCGAAGAGCGATCCAGCCCACCGACGGGTACACAAGGTGAGGATCAGCAACTTCACGGAAGATCGGAGTACCCCCTCCGTTAGTCGGCAGTTCGGGCGCCGTGTGCAAGAGGGCCCCCGCGATCTGCAAATTTCGCGGATCCACTTCGCCACAACTGCACCGCTGTAAACGGACTGGGTGATCTTCGGATCACCCGACAACCTGCGCTCCCGTTAGTGTAGGTGTTGTTGGTGTGGGAGTGGGAAGCTAACGAGTTTTGGCACGTCTGCTACACCACATGACAAAGGGCTGCCGGTATTATGCGCTGGGCTCAAAGGGTTGACTGCAGACAAGCTCTACGACAACTGATCCTGCGCCAGATTCGCGATGAGGAGGAAAGCAAGGCTTCAGTCACGATAGTACTTATACAGTACTGTACATTGAGGAAAGAAGCGAGCAGCCACCTAATGAGCTCCGCAAGAGAGGCTCGGCCCCGCTAGTACTGGTACTGGGCTCGCTCTTGAATGCAGAGTGAATCGCGAGCGTGTCGAAGACTGGAGCGTAGTGCCAGTGCCCACATGTCGGTTGCCCGAAGTTCGCAGTAGCGGGGGCGTATCAAAACCTGCAAGTAAGTGCACAGTGCATGTATTAGTATTCTCACACTGCTGTGGACTGGGGTGACACAACTGGTATGATACAAGTTGTATCATACCAGTCGTTCGGTTTTGTGACGTCGCAGTTTCCAGCTTGTTACGGTACTGTATACAGTGATAATAATAGGCTGCTACTACCGTCGTACCGTGCTCGTTTTGTTTTTCAGCTGATACCCTTTCTTTCCCGATATCTTGTGTGCGCCACCTGAGTCTGTCCGCGCGGTGATTGGCCGGTCGTCGGGGCTGGGCGACGTGCCTCTCGCCATACTTTACCCCAGATAAGTAGCTCCATACTTTAGCCAGCATATCCTGAAATTCGCATACCCCGTCATTCCTGCTCGTATGATTTGCTGAAACCAAGTCAGTTCGCCGCTCCATATTCGTATCCCCGTCAAATCACATCGGCGGCGCGTACTGGAGAGCCGGGGCCGGGGCCCCCTGCAGCCGCGCCGCATTATTTTTTTCATTTTCTCGCTGCTTCTCCGGCGACTGCACTGACTGGTGTCGGGGCTGCCGCTATAGTGAGAGCAAGAGAGTGCCCCCTCAGCCGCAGTAGAAAAATCCGCCGAGGTTTATCCGCCGCCCCTCGGTAGCCGCGCCCACGCCCGAGACCCCCGCCGCCCGCCATGTTGCTCTCGTCTATGGACCACCTCGGCTACTACTCGATGCCCAAGGACAGCTTCCTCGAGCTCGACGCCTCCGCGGGCGTCGCCGGGCCCGACGGCTACGCGCTGCCGCCCGAGGACCTTGGCGTCGTGTCCTACATGAACGAGGAGAACAGCCCCAAGAACGGCACCAAGTCGTCGCTCTACAAGACGGAGCTCTGCAAGCGCTTCTCGGAGTTCGGCAACTGCCGCTACGGAGGTGCGTGCGCGCGCGCTCTCTCTCTGTTCCAAGTGACCTGCTCACTCAATCTAACCCCCCCCCTCCCCCTCATCTCTCCTCTGACTTTGGCAGCCAAGTGCCAGTTCGCCCACGGCATCGCTGAGCTCCGCCACGTCGTGCGCCACCCCAAGTACAAAACCACCAAGTGCAAGTCGTACTGGGGCTCGGGCCACTGCCCCTACGGCAGCCGCTGCCGCTTCATCCACGAGGAGGCCGAGGGCTACGCGCAGCCGCAGTACAGCCCCCCGAGCCACCTAGGCGGAGGCATGTTCCTGCACGAGAAGGACCGCCTCGGCGGCCTTGGTGCAGGCGTCATGGCCCCTCCTCCGCCGTCCGTCGACTTGAGCTACGGAGGCGGCCTCTACGGCGAGCAGCCCGCCCCGCACCACCTCCAACAGCTCCGTTCGCATCACCACCAGATGTTGCCCTCCTACCCCAAGGACAACTACTCGCTCCTGTCTTCGCTCGACAAGAGCTCCTCGTGGGGCGCGCCGGCCATGTCCGCGCCCTCCTCCCTTCACCCTAATTATGCTGGTGAGCACTACGGCGGTGCCCCCCTGAAGCAGCAAGGATCGCTGGGCAGCATTGGCCTGCCCCCCGCCCAGCAACGACCCGTCCCGGTGAACAACGCGGCTAACAGCGCGTCGTCGCCGAGCTACCCGGACCTCCAGGATGCCATCGACGCATTGATGAAGTTCTCCCTCACGCAGGACGACGAGCCCACCCCGAGCAACGCCACCCCTCCCGAAACCAGCCCGGTCCCTGCTGAGCACGGGCGCCGCCTCTCCGGCGTCTCCCAGTCTGCCCTTGCTTCTGCCACAGCGGCGACTGCTACGAAGAAGTCGGAGTTCTCTCTGCAGTCGGACGAGCTGTGGAAGGACTTCCCGTCCGCTTCGTCGACGCCGTTCGCGAGCGACGACCTGCAGGCGCAGCCGTGGTCCACTGGACTGTCGCTGAGTCTTGACAGGAAGCCGTTCGACGGAGGTGCGGCCGCCGCTGTGGGCGACGCCAAGGACGCGTCTGGTAGCAGCGACGAGGAGAGCCCCCGCCTGAGCGTGTTCGAGCGCTTCCACTAAGGCGTCGGAAGCGAAAAGGAGAGGTGGCGCTCTGTATCTATCTATGAGCCCCGTGCGTGCGCGGCCTGCCCGTCCAACCGTGTCGATTTGGTCTCCGTGCTGCTGCTCGCTGCGCGCTCGTGTGTTTTACCAGCCCCTATTCTATTTACAATAAATATATTAATGCTGCTGCTTCCATAGCAGTTGGAACCACGCGGTGTCCTCCCTCGTGTGCGTCGGAAGGTAATGTGTTTGATGGCCATCGCCATGGTCTCCGTCGAGCGCGAAGGCTGCGAGAAGCTCGTCTGCAACAGCGCACCGAGTGACGCCCGATTGGTACAGCAGGGTGGAAGTTCCCACGAGCTCAGCTCTTCTTGGACGGAGGGCCCTTGCGCTTGGGCGCCTTGGGCTTGAGCTTCTTTTCGCCGACGCCGTGAAAGTTTTTGACCCGCTCGCGCTGCTCCGCGAGGATCTCGGCCTGTGTCCGCTGCACCGCCTTCCCGGTGGCCACAGCGATGTCCGGCTTCTTCTTGGCCTTCTTCTCGGGCAGCACCACCATCCGCCGGCGAGCCGCGTAGTCGCGGCAGAATCTGCACAGCACGTTAGCCCTCTCGTGAGACGCGGCACTGCATGCGGGCCGTGTTGCTTACCTAATGATGGCCCACAAGCTGCCGATGTCAAAAGCGAATATGTACAAGCGTTAGTTGGGGGCTCGGCTGGTCACGTCTTGGAAGGGGATCGCGGGCTTTACCACGGACACGTGAAGACCATCGTGAAGACCACCTGCAGCATGATGGAACCTACGCAGGGTGTCAGTCTCTCTCCCACTGAACCTGCAGCAGAAGCTACGGTAGAGCGGCGAGTCCTCACTCGTGTCTTGGCCCTGCAGTCGAAGGATCATGACGCAGATGCCCACGGCGTAGCACGTGCTGAGCAAGCGGATGGCGATCTCCACCTTCTCCATGGCCGGCGATTTGGTCCCAAACGATGAAAGATCGATTGAGCTGGCGACGCTTCGGTCTCAGTTTGTTGTTTTTGCAAGTCTCAAGCCAAAGATGCTGTAGCTGTTGAAGGCGGCAATAGTGGGTCTCAGTTCTGGCAGCAGCAAGATAGCGCTCTCCGAAAACCCTCCAAATTTCTCCCAATCAGAGACGGAACGAACTGAGACCCCCTTTGCAGTTCGGCAGCAGCAAGATGCCTCATGCGTGGTCTTCTTGCTCATTTAGCCTATTGCTCAACTACATAGTGCTCTCATACATATATACATGTTATAGGTGCCCAGCAGCGTGCTGCGGCAAGTTGTCACATGCTTTCGATGCGAGGACTCACTGCTACGGGGTCGGTGGAGGTCAGATTGACCCCGCGGCGGTCGATCCGCTCAACCCCAGCAGCCCCATGCTATCTGATCTAACGAAAGCACCTGTGGAGGACTCATATACGTCGGGGGAACGTCGGCTCCCGCTGCCGTCGCTCCTGGGGCGGTCCGGCAATAGGTGGGATCCATCTTGCTGCTGCCGGCGCTATACTGTGGGTACCTCACTTCCGACACCTAATACTCCTTATTACTTCTGCGATTTAATGTGTTTATATTTATAAGCTTGCAGAAGACCTAGATAATATATTATGATCGTTACGAGGTTTTCGCGCCAAACCATTCATTTCACATTTTGGCAGGCAGCAGTGAGGGGCATCGGGGGCAAGTGTGAAGAAGCATGATGAAGACACGGCGATGACGCAAGAAGAATTCTGCGCTGCTGCTGCTGCTACTGCTGGGTGTGGCACCCCGCCAGCTCCTGGTAGAGCTCTCGCGGGACGAAGGCGAAGAGCAGCGCCGCCGCGGATAGGAAAAAGCTGCTCGACGCCACCCAGGAAACGTACGTCCCTGTGGACGCGTCCAGCACGTGCGCCGACAGTGCCTCGTACAGCGAAACGGAGCGCTCAAGCGCGAAGTGCCTGCGCTATATCTTAGCCCATGCTACTGGGGCTGGAGCTGAGTCGTGTTCAGCGCGCTGAGCTTGCAGCCGCCCACGGACGGAGCTTTTGGAGAAGGCCTACAAAGACCAGCTAACGCCAATGCAATGGAGCGAGGTAATCTGCGGTACGATGTGCGCTAAACTCGTCTCCACTGCTGGTGCTATCCATACATGTGAGCTTGACCTCTATGAGCCAAAATAAGCAAACACAATCCCCCTTTAAATCCGATAGAAAAACCGATGTCGGAAGTGAGGGTACATACAGTACTGCACCAAAATCGTGGCAGTATGGAAACGGGTCGGCAGCAAGATAGCAACCGAGTTTTAACCAATCACAGCTCATATCCTTCAAGATTTGTAAGAGCGCTATCTTGCTGCTGCCAGAACTGAGACCCACTAATGTAAGCGACTTGCACGGGTCGGCAGCAAGATAGCAACCAAGTTTTAACCAATCACAGCTCATATCCTTCAAGATTTGTAAGAGCGCTATCTTGCTGCTGCCAGAACTGAGCACTAATGTAAGCGACTTGCACACCCCATTCGAGCTCGATTCAAAAAGGACTGGTTTCGGACAAATTGTTGGTTTGGAAGGCACGTAGAAAAGGCAGGCTTATCCCTAGACCTGAATTTCAAATCCAGCTCTTTTGAGCTTATCGAGCTGGATCGCTTTTTGGGTGTTTCAGGTCGCAAACGAGCTGGATGAAGCAAATCCGGCTGCATTTGGCCTAAAACAACTGGATTGGATGCAAGTCGAACACGGCCTAAGAAGGAATCTGGTTCTGCATTCTCTTTTACGTCGTCTTCCTCTGTCTGTACGCAGCAGCAACAGCAAAAAAACAATACCTAAAGACCTTTCTACAGCTCCTCGTGCTCGGCGCCCTCCTCCTTCTTCTCCTTCTTCTCCTCCTTGGCGTCCTCCTCGTCCTCGTCCGCGGCCTCCTGCTTCTCCGCGCCGTGCTCCGAGCCGTCCAGCTCGAACTTCTGAGCGTTGGTCTTCAGGAACTCCGTGAAGCCCTCCACGTCGCGAGAGCCCTCGTACACGATCGGGTTCTGCTTGTCCTTGGCAGGGAAGAAGATCAGCGTCGGGAAGCCGCGCACGTCCACGCCAGGGTGGTCGATCTCGTTGGCCGTGGCGTCCATCTTGGCAATCATGATGCTGTCCACGTCCGCGAACTTCTCGGCCAGCTCCTCGTACTTGGGGGCCAGAGCCTTGCAGTGACCGCACCACGGGGCGTAGAACTCGAGCAGGACGTCCTTCTCGTTGTCGATCACGCGCTCTTGGAACTCCGTGCCCACGATGACCTTGACGGCCTCGTCGCTGTCGTCCTCGGGGTCGGCGGATTTGAGCAGAGGCGTGAGGTTGCCCTCGAAGTAGCTCTTCTCAAAGGCAACCAGGTCCTCGACGAGGCCGTCCTCGATCTTGGCCTCGAAGTCGTCAGCCTTGTAGTCGAAGCCGTACTTCTTCATGGAGCCGGCCATGTTCACCAGCATCACTGCCGGCATCTCCTCGTCCTTCAGGCCGAAGTAGTCCACGATGCGCTTCTCCGTGCTGGGCATGATGACGTGCAGCAGCTTGCCCTTGTTGGCCTTGGCAGGCACCTTGAGGGCCGCCTCGATGCCCGACACGTAGTCCTTGGTCGTGTCGACGAAGGCCAGCACGTGCTCGGTCATGTCGCCGCCGAAGATCATGGGGGCCTTGTCCTGCGTGAACGTGATGACAAGCGGCAGGCTGTTGGACTTGACGAACTCGCCCAGAGCCTCCTTCTCGAACTCGCCGTCGTAGATGACCTTGCCCTCGTCGAACTTCTTGTACAGCACCACCTTGTTGACCGCGGCGGCGTCCTCCGTCACGTCCTTTCTGGTGGAGGCCACGTACACGGCCAGGTCGTCGGCGTCCGCGAGCTTCTCGAGCATCGTGCGGGCCTCGCCCTCCTCGGCGTCGACCACGGCGAACACGACCACGTCGTTGGCCTCCTTGATCTCCTCGAGCTCCTCGGCGCTCTCCACGATCTTGACAGCGGGGCCCGACTTCTTGACCACCCACTTCTCGATCTCAGCCGACGTGCGGCCGCCGTCGTAGTCCTTGACGGCGTCCACGTCGCCCTTGAAGAACTTGAGCGTGGGGAAGCCGCGGATGGCGAACTGCTCGGCCAGCTTGCTCTCGGCCGTGGCGTCCACCTTGGCGAGGCGGATGGGCGGGTCCAGCTCCTTGAGGTTCTTGGCCGCCGCCGCGTACTCGGGCGTCAGCTTCTTGCAGTGGCCGCACCACGGCGCGTAGAACTCGACCAGCAGCGTGTCGTGGCCCGAGACGGCCTCGGCGAAGTTGCTCTCCGTGAGCACCAGCACGTCGTCCTCCTCCTCGAACTCGGCCGCGCGCGCCACGAGCGCCACGGCGAACAGCAGCGCCAGCGCGCGCGCCGCCTGCTTCAGGAACATCATTCTCTTCGTCTGCGAACCCGGTCGAAATCCGAAATGAGCGCCAAAAAGTGAAAAGATCCTGGAAAGATTTCTGACACGTGGCGGCGTGAAGTAGGTGAAGTAACTGAAGTACCAATATTGTGATTGGCTGAAAGCCCGTGAGGGCCCTCTCCTATTGGCTATAATATCGCCTTTGTGCAAACAGGGAGGCAGCATTTTGCTCGCCGCGCGCCAAGCACCGTACAGTACTGCAGCTAGGGGCTTCCTGGCGGGGCCTCGCCACCACGATCGCGTGCTGGTGGCATGGCGAGCTGCTTGAAGTCGGGATGGCGACGGCCGCACGGTGATTCCGATGTTGGCGCCAACACGTGGACCCGTCGGCCGAAGCGTCGAGAGCGGCTAGGTCGTGCTGGCAGGCTCGATCTAGGGCTTCGTCCTTGTGTCTGCAACCGGAACGCAAGTGCTGCTTGCGAATACATCACCGCTTGTGGAGGGCGTGTGGGCGTGCTGGCGCCTTAGCTCACAGCGTGGTGGAATCCTCGCGGAGATATCGGCGTGGACAACAGCGCTTATCATGTCGTGTCGGCATTGCCGACAGTGAAGCCATCATTTTGGCAGTCGATTACAGCATGCGCTGCTTCCTGCAGCTCTGTGATCTGGGTGAGCCTTGGCGTGGTCACTCGAATCTTCCGCACCTCTTTCCGCCGGCCCATGCTTCGCGTCGATCCGGAGGCGAACATCAACCAGGAGTTCATGCTGCAGCACTTCAACCTCGCGTATATTGACTTCTCGGCTCATCCTCTGCGGCTGGGTCGCCGCGAGGACCTGAACTCCAACGGCATGCAGGCCTACGTGGAATGGGCTCAACTTACGGACTCGGACCTGACCACTGCTTTCGAGCGAGCGAGGGTGCGTCGGAACCTCGCCTTGGACCTCCCCGATGAACCCCTTCATTACCCGGACGACATCGATTGGGACTGGAATGCCCACGGCATATACGCGATCTTGCTGGGGACTGTAGCTCAGGTGAGTCTGTGTAATTATACCTGCCAGTGATATCCTAACTCCTTGTTATCGTGTACATTGTAGACCGGAGGCCTCCACCTGTTGATTCCTACCACATTTACTGGACTGGAAAACCATCTCGTGATCAAGTACGGAAGGGCTGGTGGTGGCGAAGGCATTCAAGCTAGGCTACGAGCCCACAGGAGCACAGGGCCTGACGGCTACGGCTACTACATTCCTCGCACCCAAATCAACCCACTCTTCATGGTGTGGCTGCCGGACGATGGCCTCCTCCACATTCCTGAGCGCTTCATCCGTAACGAGGCGAACCGCAGAGGTTGGCACCACGGTTGGCTCGACGAGGAAGGCCACCAACGCGAAGACCTCATCGTGATTCCGCGTGACCAGCAGCCCGAACTGGAGCGGATGTTCCGAGCGCTGGTGCTGTGTTTTCCTCTGTGAGGGAGTCGAGATTAATGTAGTGTATAGTGCAGACCTCCTTTATTCCGGCACTTGAAGTTTATATATGACAATGTGCCCATTTGAAGTTTTTTCGAGTGCCGAAATAAGCGACCGTTCAAAATCGCAGAATTCAAGCAGTGAACGATGGAGAAGCTAAAGCCAAGCGTCTCTAAGAAGCCCCCCTCGCGTAAAACCCCGTTCCAAGACGCTCACAAGCTGCAGTACGGGCTCGAGGTCGTAGCGTGTGACGCTGGGGGAGCGGCTTGCTCGGTCCGCTGCCTGTTTTGCCGATATTTTGGTAGAGAGGAAGCACCCAAGGGCAGACGAAAGCGTACTCAAAATATCAAGTACTACAAGGCTCCTTTCCGACCCCAGAACTACATCGAGCACAATACTTCCGCGCGCTCAGCTAAGTGGGGAGAATACACAGGTCTCAGGGACGCAGAGAAGGCTGTATTTTTTGCTGATCCCACTTCTCGAAGCAACCAATTGGTAGCTCATTTTGACACAGAGAGTGCTGTGTTGCGGTTTTCTTTTCCAGAGTTGATTGTGACTGAGCTGATTGGAAAGGTATTTTTCAATGCTGAAGATGAAGATGATGATATGACTGTTGCGAGGGCTCTTCGTGCTTTCGGCTCGGTAGTGGATGGGGTCTACACAGTGGAAATTCAAACGCCTCTGCGGTTTACTCTTTCGGTCAAACATCTCTCGGTTTGGTTGTCGTTTCGGCAGACGGCAGCAGTAATTCAGCAGCACTACAACGCCACAGGGAACTCGAAGCTTTACGGTATGACCGACGCTATGGCAGGCACTTATGCTCGTATTCTAGTTGCCTATTCGTTTCAACGCATCAGCAACCTCATCGCAGACCCCAATATGTGGGGGTTTGCATTTGCTTGCGACATCACAACCCACACCGATTGCTCTTTCATGGATCAGCGTGTTCGTGTTGCCGTCAACGGCGTGCTAGTCAACCTACACTTGCTCGCGGTCCCTGTGTTTGACCGCCACACTGCTGTGGTCCAAGTTCACCTGATTGTTCGAGTACTCGATATTTTGTTCGCTAACTGGAGACAGAAGTTGGTTGGTATTTCATCGGATGGAGAGAACACTATGACAGGCCGTCATGGTGGGGTGGTCACTCTTTTAGAGAAAGAGGCCACCCACTCGGTGCTGAGAGTGTGGTGTGCTGCTCATCAGATGGACCTGGACATGAAAGCCGGTTTGCCATTATTGGGAATGGAGACTTTGTGAAGAATACAAAGGATTTAATTGTTCACCTTCGCCGCCAAAAAACGCTGATTACTGAAATGGGAGGTGCCGCAAAAAAACTAACTAATCGGTGGCTGTACATGGGAAACGCATTGCAGTGGATATTAAAAAACCATTTTCGCCTCGAAGAACACCTTGATGAAAACGTGTCTGCGGCACCAACGCCATCATGGTGGGTCAATGCAGCTGTTGTTTGTGGGATAACGGTGGTGGTGAACGTCACGTTTGTCAAGATACAGGGGAAGGATGTCCTGCTCTCGCAGCAAATGGCAGAGATTGAGCTCCTTGTAGATCGCCTTCGCAAACTGCTACGAGTTGAACGCGTACCTAGCTCTGAATTCCAATCTAGCGCTAATGACACGATTTCTACGAAGTATTGGCTCAAAGAACACTTGCTCGAGTTTATTCAAGACCAGGGGACGTTCGTCAAGAATCACATGAATAGTGTTGCAGATGCCGACAAAAATTCGATTCTGAGGCAGCTTGGCAAGTTTGTACTGCATCTAATTGAAGGTATGGAGCATGTACAAGCTGAGCGAGACAGCAACAATGACGCTGCCGCATCTCCAGCTCCGCCAGTAATGCCAGCTGAGCTTGTCACAGTCCCTCCTCGCCAGTTTGCAGAAGATATTTTGAATCCTCGCCGCGATCAATTGGCTTTGTTTTGGAGTGAGGCAAAAATTGAAGCCGTTGAACGGGAGCATCGAGAGCTGTGTCAAGCCAATCTGCTTGATGAGATGGTTCGCACAGCCCTGGAGGAAGAATCGTATGACCAGCTTCAACGACGCCTGGGATTCAGTGCAAAACGCTGCTGCTCCAAAGACATTTTCACATCTCCGCCAGTTCTGCTGCGGATTGGCAACCGTATTCGCGAATACGGCGTCCGTCGAATCCGATTTTTCCGTATTGAAGTGTGAACTGAACGACCGGCGCACTTCGTTGCCTTCTCTAGCCCTTGAAGGCATCTTCCAGGCTAAACAGTTCGATATGCTAGAGAAATTGTAGTAAATTGCATACTTTATTTCCTTAAACTGGCACTGTGCCGAAATAAACAAAACAAGAGTGCCGAAATATAGCTAATCCGACACATCCCGGCAGGTGCCAGTATAAGGGAGGTCTGGTATAGTGTATAGTGTGAAGTATGAATGAATGAATGAATGAATAAATGAAATGGGTCAGTGAAGCAGCGCGAATGGATCAACTGCTGGTCACAACCTCACACACAAGAGCTCGATCGATACTAGGGCGACGCAGTTGGCGAGGAAGGCGAGGCGCAGTGACATTGTGTTGAAAGTGTTATTACCGCCGACATGAAGTGCCGCCGGAACAGCGTGTTCCCTCCGCTTTAATCTTTGCCCGCACAGGCGCAGCGTATCTAAATCACGGCCGCGACGTAGTCGCCGACGCCGATGGCCGCAGCCAGCAGCAGCCCCTTGTACCGTGTGCTGCGCTTCTCTTGCTTGCGCTCGTAGAAGATGAATCTGCACCGAAAGAGCGCGTGCGTGTTAGCCTGTTGACATACCTCGCTCCGCACCACAGCTGCACGTACCTTTCGTCGTAGAAGCCCTTCGCGTACACGGCGAGCAGGTTGTACAGCTCCGGGAACTCCGCTTTCTGTATCCCCCCATCGACGTAGCAAAAGGATAAGCGACTGATGATATACTGATACAGACGGACACCAAAGCGTACCTGCGAGTCCTCAAGAATCTCCCAGTCGTACGTCTTCCGCTGCTCGTCCAGCTTGTTGGCAAAGTGGAAAACGCAGCGCACCTTCTCCGGGATCTTCGACTTGAAATCTTCTTCCGACAAGCTCTTGGCAAACAGCTTCTCGTGCCTCTTGGGCAAGTTGTCAACCTGATGGCAGCAAACGTTTGGGTCACGACTGGCATAAATGCTCGCTTGGACTGGAGCACCGTGCTTACATGAGTCGCAAAAATCTCAGTCATGACCGTCTTCTGGGTGGCAACCATCGAGTCAAAAATGAGCTTTGACTCAGTCTCGTTGATGATTTTGTCGCTATCAGCATCGTACAACTGGAATTGGCCTAGTCAGAATGTAGCGCGGTTAGTCCCCGTTTCAAAGACCGCCAGCATGGCGGCATGCCACTTCAGAGCAACTTACTCTTCAGCCATTCGGGGCTGTTGCCAAGAGCCGCCGCCTGCAACAATTTCTCCATCTCCTCGACCTGGACCTTGCCTAATTAGCGCGCACGAATCCATCAGAAGACCTTCTTCGAGCACAAGCAGCAGAGCGACCGAACCCACCGTCCTTGTCCTTGTCCAGCAGCTCGAAGCTGGCCACGGCCTGCGTGAACATGTGCCTCGAAAGCTTGAGCTTCACCGCCTCTACGAAGGCCTCCGCCTTGGGACTGCACAGCTCCTCGTCGTCCATCGGGCCGATCTTGTCGCAGTCCTGGAAGGCCTCGTCCTCCTGCTTCTGCAGGTAGCCGCTGGCCTCCTTCACGAACGCGTCGAAGGCGTCCTTGTCCAACTGCGTCTGCGTGGTCAGCGAGTTGCTGCTGCGATACGTCTCCAGCCACTGCCGGTACGCGCCATTCTCGCTCAGGCGGCGCGGCTGGGGCTGCTCTGGGATCTTGGCCACGAGGTTCTGCACGGCCAGGATGCTCCTGAGCTCCGGCAGCTCCTCTGGCAGCGAGACACGGCAGACGTCAGCTCCTGAATGGATGACAAGCAAGCTACAGCGCTACAGCTGCTGCGATACAGAGACTCACCGATGGGCTGCTGCTGGAACAAGCGCCCAAGCGACAGACGCGAGGCGCGCGCGGGCGCCGCCGCCGCTGCTGCCGTCGACAGACGCCGCATTCTTACTCGTGATGTTCGTCCACACAAATGGGCTCACTTAAGTACGAGTAATGAACATGCGGCGATGGCAGCGCCCCAGCTCATGGGCCTGCCGCCGGTCCTCGAGCTCCTCGGTCTCTGGCGGCCGCTTTGAGGTGGAGGGGGAGCTCACCAAGGCAAGCGCGTGCATTCTGCCAAGGCGGTTGAGAATTTTGTAGCTGACTGCGTTGCGTTTTGTGTGTGCAGCTCCCAGCGGGGGCCATCCCAGCGGTGGGCGTGGAGGCGCAAGTGACGCACGCCTTCTCCATCGAGGACACGCGCGCGTTCGCTCTACTCTCGGGGGACAGCAACCCGCTGCACGTGGACGCCGAGTTCGCCCGCCAGCACGCGGTCGAGAGCAAGCCCGTCGTCCAGGGCTTGCTATCTGCCAGCCTCTTTGCCACCATCTTCGGCCGCACTGTGCCGGGCGCCGTGTACGTCAAGCAGGACCTGCGCTGGAGGGCGCCGCTGCTGGTAGACGAGCAGGTGACGGCCCACATCCGCGTGGTGCGAGTGCGCAAGCGCTTCGTCGAGTGCGAGACCGTGTGCACGAAAGCGGAGGACGGCGTCGTCGTCGTCGATGGTCATGCTACGCTGCTGCTGCCGAACCCGGCCAATCAGGAGGCGGCGTCAAGCAGCTAGGGCGGCTAGAAGACAATGCTCTAGAGCTACGTTCTTGCTTCGCTACACGACGACGACATTGCCTATGGAGCGGCAGTCAATAGACAACTCGAGAACCAAGGTCGTATTTAGTTGCGTCTCGTTTTGGAGTTACCATGCACCACCTCTGAAGCGGCTTCTTCTCGTGCCTTCATCTCGGCTTCTACATCGCGGGACACTCACACACTCTTCCCGAAGGCCATCTCCTTAATCAGATCAGCAGCCGGGCGTCTAGGCCTCGACCTTCTTCTTGTTGGGCGACTCCCGCCACACAGTCTTGACCACCTCCGTGATGCCAGGGCCCTCCACGTTGACGCGCAGCAGGCCCAGGAACATGAGCGAGGTGGCGCCGAGCCAGCCCAGACGCGCGAGCATGCGTACGCTCTTGGGCACGTAGTCCGAGATGACGTTGTTCATGCCGATGTGGGCGTGCACGGGCAGGATCACGCCGAGCGCCAGGTCCACGGGGAGCGCCAGCGGCGACGGGCTCAGCACGAAGGCCAGCGGCACGGTGGCCATGAGGCCAATGCTGGTCAGGTGCTGCACCTTGGTCGAGAGCACGTGGTTGTCGGCTGCAGCAAGAAGCGAGGCGCCAGCGTTAGTTCTCAATCCCACGCTGGCACGCCTGCACTAAGACGAGGGGCTTACCTTCGACGATGCCCGCCAGGCCCGTGAGCTCCTTGTTCTCCGTGTACTTGGTGGGGGCGCCTGCAGACCACCCAAACGCAATGAGCGCCACAACGACATGTTAGTCCAGGCCACATGAACACGCGCCCCTTGGTACGCCGCCGCCACTGCGGGTCGAGGGCGGCGGGTCTGCGCTGGAGAAAAGCGGGCGGGACGGCAGCACGTACTCTTGCGGAAGTGGCGCACGGCCGACACGGGGCGCGGCGCCATGCGCTTGGTCACGGCGCTTCCGGATCGCAACAGGCTGCGGTGCATCATGGTTCGCTGCTGTGGGGCTCGGCTGCTTCTGGACCGCTCGGCGCTTTGGCTTCTGAGCTTGCGCTTCCGCAACACCCGCGGAAAAAGCGGACTTAACCGGGAGGCGAAACTTGGGAGCACCTTCGCGCCACCTCTTCAGTCTGCGTATGTTTTGTGTACGTTTAACCGTTCCAACTTCAACCAGGCAGGCGAGCAACAAGTCGAAGACCACCTCATGACGCCGGCGAGCGCCGCCGCCGCCGCCTTCGAGCGGCAGGACGCGCTGGTGGTGAGCGCGTCGTTCCTGCGCGCTGCGTTCGGCGGGGCGTCGGCCGTCTACTCGCTGCGGCTCGGCCAGCCCTGCACGTCCGTGGTGGTGGTGCACCTGCTGCTGCCCAGCGACGCCGTCGGCTCCGTGCGCCTCTCGTCCGACCGCTTGCGCTTCACGCCCGACAACTTCGGCCAGCCGCAGCTCGTGCGCGTGGAGGCGCTGGAGAACCACACGCAGTGGAGCGTCATCTCGCACCGCCTCTTCAGCCTCGACAGGAGCTACGACCGCGCCCTGGCGCCCAGTGTGGTCGTGCACATGGAGGCCACGCCCCTCGAGTGTCCGTTGCTCACGTTCGGCGGACTCACGACCAAGCGCAAGGCGGCGGCCATGGGCTCCACGCACTCCAGGAGGCTCGACATCTCGGTCGCGCTGCCAGAGGAGACGGGCAGCGATGCAGCGGAGCAGGACGCCTCGTGGTGCGTGAGCCACTTGGCCAGCGGCTGCCATTTCTCAGTCGCGGCCGTCGCGCAGCCCAGAGGGACGACGCTGCTCGCTTGGGGACTCAACTCTAACGGAGAGCTGGGCAACGGCACCATGACGTCGTCTCCTACGCCGCAGATGGTCGTCACCTTCCCCCTGCACTTCCAAAGGGAGCCGCTCAGCATCGCGCACGTTTCGTGCGGGAAGCACCACGTTGCAGTGATCACAGGCCAGGCCAGGCTGTTCACGTGGGGTAGCAACAAGTACGGACAGCTTGGACTGGGGGACTTTTCGTCGCGTACGCAGCCGGAAGAAGTGCACTTTGCGCTGGCGACGCTCAGCTCGCACCGACGAGCGCTGCGTGTGATGCACACGGTGCAACACGGAGGAAACAACGTCACCCACGTGGCATGCGGAGCGGCGCACACGCTTTTCGTCACTCATCAGCAGCAAATTCTTGGCATGGGTTACAACCAAGCGGGTCAACTGGGCCTGGGGCATCGTCTTCAGCAGTACAAGGGTTGGCGAAGCTGTACTCCGATAACAGTCGAATCGCTCCGTGACCAAAGCATTCTCGATCTCGGAGCCGGCCAGAACCATAGTGCGTGCGTTCTCAGCAACGGCGATGTCTACACCTGGGGGTGCGGTGACGATGGCAGGCTAGGAGATGGCAAGCTTGGCGAAGGTGTAGCAGTCCCGACTCTAATACCGCTGCTGCGAGAGGCTTCCATCCGCGCTCGGACAGTCCGCTGTGGTGCGAGGCACATGGCTGTGATATCTGACAGCGACTTGCTGTACATTTGGGGGGCCAACGACTTCGGACAACTGGGCTGTAAGGACCGAAAGCCACGCTCTCAGCCGTTCTTGCTTGCTACCCCGCCACTTTTTGCTGAGGGTGTCGAGGATGTGGCGCTGGGCGAGTTCCATACGACATGCGTGACGTCTGCAGGGAAAGCTTACACGTGGGGGCTGAATCTGAGGGACAACAGCGCATTGGTTGCATCGCACCATACTCCCCAGGCCATCGATCTCCCCGAGAAGGAGCGAGTCAGAAAGGTTTCGTGCGGATGGACTCATACGGACATCGTCACGCATATTAATGCAGAGGAGGCGAGTGCTTCAGGACAGGGGACCAACTTTGACAGGAAAATCGAGCGAGAACGAATGACACAACGCAAGGCCGAAGTGGCTCGCTGGAGAGCATTTGTTGCAGCTAAAATGGCGTCTACTTCTCACAAAGGGAAACGAGGGTCTCCTCGTAGCGACGAAAACCACTTACCTCTCGAAGAAATTGGGGTGGATACGAAAGCGCAAGCAAGCAAGGTATCAGCTCCAACCGCTGAATGCCCTTTTCACCCGACGCACCAGGTGCAGGAGACCACGAGCCTGTCAGAGAAACTTGTCGTCGCGTATGCTGATCAGGGCATGAAGGAGGCCGTGAAAAATGTGGCCCAGCTATTCCATCTTGCTCAAAGAAACCTCGTCAGGTACGTCGGTATTGCTGCTTCTAGCGAAGCTGTTTCTATTATCTGAGCTCGTTTTGAATGTATTTTGCTTTCTCTGCTGCAGGAATACTCGACGCAAGCAGGGTACCAACCGCGCTGAACGACAGTCACTTCAAGTAAAAGGAATCTTCTACCAGAATTCTCTGCGGCCGCCCAAAGTGCCAGCAGCGACCGCCTTCTCTCCTTCATCCATGTCTTCTGCTCGAAAGCTTTGGAGTGCAGCCGTCGGAGTATCGCCCGATCCGGACTGGCACCCGGTGACGCTGTGTGCTCCAGTTTACCCAACACCGCCTGCTTACAGCTCGCGAGCTACTGCTTTAATGAAGTCGGGTCTACTTACACAACAGGGGGAACAGGGAGAAACGCCAGAGCGAGGTGAATCTGCTTCATCCGACACCACTACCACCGGTAACAATCACTCTACCAGCCAGCATAGCGTCCGTACCCCGACAAACTCGAAGCGGATAGCAACCCCCTCCCCCCGCAGTCGTATCACTGTCGTGGAAGCGTTGATGCATCAGCCGTCGTACTCCATTACTCAAGGCGCCCTCACCTCTACTCGATATCGCAGTCAGAACAAGTAACTTAGTCTATCTTTTGAAAGTTGTCCAAGAAATGCCTAGTCTATCGTATTAACGTAGTAAGTGAGAGATCATCAGCGGCTTCCATGCTATGGTTGGTAGTGCCTGTACGCAAGATTCTTGCATCACTGCACTACCACAGCAGAACGATGGCCATATCGGTGGCCAAACCTAAAATCTCTAGTTGAGCGTTTTGTAACTACCTAACGCCAAGGGCGACCCCTCCATAGGGACAGATATCTCGCATTGGGCCAGGCAGGAGATCGGGCCGCCATGGCGGACGCGTATCGCTCGAAAGCGTCGGCCTCCAGCTCGATGCACGCAGCGTACGGTGCGAAAGGAAAGCCATCGCGCGTGACAGCGCCCAAGAACCAGCAGCCACCGGGGGCTGCTCAGACTTCTTCAGTCTTGCCTCGAATCGATCGTCGCGGAGAATTGCCCCAGAAGCCGAACGCTCCGTCGGTGCTGCAGTCGCCCAGCTCAACTGCGAAGAATGGCGGGCTGTCAATTCTGCTTCCTCCCAGACGACCATCCTCCAAAGAAGCGACTCCCGGCGAGGACAGCTCTCCGACGTTCCATGGGGACGAGCTCGAGGGGCCCAATGCCAAAGCGGCTTGGTGCACTCCACGGAATCCCGCGCCAGAAGTCCCCACTGGGTCCCAGGTCGCGTCATTCTTTGCGGCGCCCGAAGCGAACAACAGCTCGGACGGCCGCTCGACCGCAATGCCGACTCCGCTGCGTCTGCAGTCCGTGGAAGACAGCATCAACGCAAACGAAGAGCGCTATCGAGTGGATATGGAGTTGCTGGAAGCGAACAACGCCAAGTTCTTCGAGATCTCCATGTCGGCAAACCAGCACCTGGAGCACATGCACAACCTACTGCCGAATATCTCGGAGGTCGTTGACCAGACCACGTACGTTGGTTGTATGTCTGTCTGTCTGTCTGTTTGTCTGTGTGTCTGTCTGTGGGGTTGAAGTCTGGAGGGGTTGAAGTCTAACCCTTGTTGTGGACTCCCGTCGATAGATACGACCTGCAAAGCCTTTCGTCGGATATTGCTACGCTCCACCTGCAGCATGAAAGCGCCAAGAACGACCTGTACGCACCTGTTTCCTTGTTGCTATACCCCCCAGGGAGAGTTGCGTTCTGCTGCTGAATCGTGTGCTACCGTGTCATTCTGCAGGGTCAATCGCTTTGAAGCTGCGCTGGGCAACAACGCAGAGGAAATGGTGGCCCTGTCGGAGGCACATGTCAGCGAGAAGGCCCAATTCGTCGACGCACACGAGCGTGAACTACGGAAAGCCGACGACGACTTTCGAGAAAAAGTCGCAGCGCTTGAAAAGAAGTACAACGCGATGGAACAGAACTATCTGAACGAGCTTCAAGGGCTTCGTCACGCGTCGAAGGCTCAAATCCAGGCGCTTGAGGACTCGAATCTGACAGATAAAGAGGAGCGAGAACGATCCGCCAAGGCTGCGCTTGAGGCGCTGGAGACCAAAGCCCAGGAGGAACTTGATGACCTGCGCTCCCGAACCCAAGCAAAGTACGCAGAGCTCCAAGAGCGGTCCCAGAGCGAGTTTGCCGAGCTTCGGCGGACGTCCACGAATGAGCTCGTAGCGGTGAAAGAATCTTTGACGGCGGAAATTGCAGCGCTCAAGCAGACGTCGGCTGCGAACCTGGCAGCGCTGGCGGATAGGTCAGCGCGAGAGCTGCAAGAGCATCGGGACCAAAGCGACGGAGCTCTTCAGCGACTCAAGCTTTTTTACGCGAAAGAACGAGAGATTTTGCTCGAGAAAGCTTCGGAGGAAGTCGCGCGCTGGCGCATGGTCGAGATTGAGCAGTCGACTCGAATGGAAGCCCGTCGGTGCCAAGAAACAGAGGCACTACGTGAAGAGCTCGCAGTTACCAGCAAAGACTTTGTCGCACAGATTCAAGAACTTCACCAGCTCTACTCGTCGGAGATACAAACTTTGAGAGCGATGTCCGAGAGCGAGAAGAACTCGTTGCTGCAGACCCACGCGTCTGAGACTGAAAGTATCAAGGCTGCTGCTGGTCTGGAGCTTTCGCAGACGATATCAACGTACGAAGAGCGACTGCACTCGATAGCCGAAGCGCACGCGGTAGAAGTGGCCCAGAAGGAGGAGCATTCAGCCAAAGCGAGAGAGACTTTGATCGCCAAGTACGAGTCGGAGCTGGAGGCGCTTCGAAGCGAGCGGGTGCGTGAAAGGGATGCGTTAGTCCTCCACTACGAGACGGAGCTCGAAGCTCTCAAGCAAGCGAGCAGAGAGGAGCACGGCAGAAATGCAAAGCTCCACGAAGTGCAAGTCGCGCAGTTGCGGGACGCGCACGCGTCCAGGGTCTTGACTCTGGAGATGGCAATGCGCGAGCAAAGCAAGCAGGCAGAAGACACAATGGGCGAGAAAGACACCGAGCTAGAACGCAGACAAACACGCATCGATGCGCTGGAAGCCGACGGGATTGCGCTGAGGGAACAGCACGAGCAGCACGTTGAGCGATCTCTGGAGCTTGTGGAGCAAAAGGATATGGCTCTCTGTGAGCTGGAAGAAGAGATCTGGCGTCTTGGCCAGCTGAACGTGGAGAAGAGCACTCAGCTAGACAGCACCACCCGCGCGCTAAAGGCTGCCGAGGAAGACCTCCAGGTGAAGGCAAACACCATCCTGGAGCTCACGTTCGTCATCAAGAGCCGCGACGACGAGATCGAGAAACTGCGCAACGCGTTGCTGGACACGGTGCAAACGGTGAACACGAAGACCGAGATCCTGGAGCTTACCACGGAGACGCTGTCTTCCAAGGCCAAGGAGCTGGAAGCTACCAAGAACGCGCTCCGTCTTGAGTCTGGCAAGCTGTCGATGGTGGAGGAGTCGATGCACCAGAAGGTGGGCTTGCTAGAGAACACCGAGCTCAAGATGGAGAGCATGCGGCTCAACATGGAGAACATGCGGCTGGAGATGAAGCGGATGCAGATGGACATGAAGCTGCAGCTGGAGCACACGGAGGGCGAGATCGAGCTGAAGAACGGAGAGATCCATCGCCTCCACGGCACGCAGAGCGAGCTCAAGCAGAAGAACGATTTCTGTCAGCAAACCGTCGAGAGGCTGGAGGAGTCTCTTGCGTTTGCTCAGCGCCAAGGAGAAGAGGCCCAGCGTCGCATCGAGTTGCTGCGAGTGGAAGCCACGCAAGCCGCAGAGGAGATGAAGAAGGTGTGCGACGACTTGCTGGGCAAAGAGCAGGAGCTCGTCATTATGACTAGAGAGAAGCAGACCGCCGTGTCGGACAAGCAGCGGCTGCAGATCCAATTCAACGACCTCACGAATCTGGCCCAGACGCTGCATGAGCAAGTGGAGCTCCGTACCATGCAAGCGGAGGACGTTCAATGCCAATACCAGAAGCTCCTGGAGGAGACAGCAGCCGAAAAAGACGAGCGCTTGCGGTCCGAGAAGCACCTTCACATGCTGGAGCTGTCGGCTGCCAAGGACATGATCCGGCACTTGGAAGGGGTCGAAGAGCGCCTGCGTGACGCAAACTCAACACTGCAGGGGGTAACCAGCGAGAAGCAGCATCTAGAGAACGAGGTTCAGGGACTCAATGAGACTCTGAGGAGATACGAGGACACTGATCGGCAACTCCACGCTGCAAACCACGAGGTCGAAGTCAAGAACAATCTCATTGAGGAGAAAGAAGAGGAGATCGCTGGACTTCACGAACACATCCACGCCTCTGAGATCGAGACGCAGCATCAGTTGGACATGTCGAGGATGGAGATTGCGGACTCCTGGAGCAGAACCCACGAGCTCATGTGCGTCAAGGACGAGGTGCTGCAGCAGAACAGCAGCTTAGAGGAGAGCCTCCAGAACCTCCGAGTCGAGAAGGAGCAGCTGATACTTTCGTTTGGACAGGAGAAGAGGGACACCGTGAGTCGAGCAGAAGATCTACAAGAGAAAGTAGCAGGCTTGCGGAAAGAGGGCGCTCGAGCCGCCAGTGAGATAGCGGACCTGCAGCACGCGCTCAGCGAGAAGAAGAAGGAGCTGGCGTACTTGCAGGAAAACTTGGGAGACCAGACGACCGACACGCGGAAGATCAAGAGCACGCTTGTAGCGCTGAGCAGTGCCCACTCTGAGCTCCAGTCTGAGTATTCATCGTTGAGCGATCAGCGCGAGAAGGAGAAGAGAGAGAACGCGGACACGATTCGATCGCTGCAGCTGGACCTTGAGGGCAAAACCAAGGACTGCGAGGCGTTGCAGCAGTCGCTGGATATCCAGCGGCAGGAGCTTGACCTGCTGATGGTGCAGCACGACAACTACGTCATGCAGCTGACGGATGGACACCGTAGTGAAGCTGTCCAGCTGATCGAGAGTCACCGTGTGCAGCTTGCTCAGATGGCAGAAGAACATCTCGGCCAGATCGCCTCGATCACAGAGGACAACGCGGCCAGTGTCACCAGACTGAAAGAGGACCACCTGGAGCGGGTGAATCGGATGACTCAAGAGCACCAAAGCGAGATCACACGGCTGACCAACGAAGCCTCTCGGCTGATAGAAGAGCACCAGAGGGAGATCTCTCGTCTGAACGAAGAGCATAGCAGTGAGACTGCTCGACTGAAGCAAAGCCACCAAGAGAACGTTGATCGCCTGACCGACGACCTGCACTACCAGGTCTCAGAGCTCACACTCGACCGCCTCAGTCTGATCACTGAGCAGACGGAAGAGCTTGGCCGGCTTAAGAGAGATCACGCTGAAGAAGTCACGAGTTTGATGAGAGCCCACAGTACGCAGATCGCCCAGCTAACCGAAGCCCACGACGATGAAGTCGCTCGCTTAATGGAAGCCAATCGCAGCGAAATCGTGCGTCTACGAGACGAGCACGACACAGAAGTCGCTCGTTTGGCTGAAGAGCATCGCGGAGAGATCGCATCGCTAGAACAATCGCACCGGACTGCAGTCGACCGACTGGCAGAAGCCCATACCTACCAAGTCTCGGAGCTGACAGTAGATCGCCTCAGTCAGATCACGGAACAGAACGAAGAGCACAGCAGCAACGTCGCTCGTCTGAACGAAGCTCACGCCCGTCAAACTGCTCGTCTGGCTGAAGAGCACGCGCACGAAATCGCTCAAATGGTCGAAGGCCACTCACGAGAGATTGAGCTGTTCAAGAAGAGCCACCAGGACGAGGTGGATCGACTACACGACGATCAACGCATCCAAATCTCCGAGATGACGGTAGATCGGCTGAGCCTCATGGCCGAGCAGAACGAGACCCACGCCAGCGAGATTGGGCGTCGGAATGAACAGCACGCTACTGAAGTTGCTCGTATGGCGGAAGATCACGCGCTTGAGCTGGAGTCGCTCAAGAAACACCATCAGGACCAAGTGGACCGACTGGCCGACGACCACCGCAACCAAATCTCAGAGATGACAGTCGATAGACTCAGCCACGTCACTGAGCAGAGCGAGAGCCACGCCGGCGTGGTCGCCCAGCTTAAGGAAAGCCACGTCTGCGAAGTTGCTCGTCTGGTCCAAGAGCACAGCCACGAAGTGCAGTCTCTGAAGAGGAACTATCGGGACGAAGTGGATCGATTGACCGGCGAGATCCGCAGCCAAGTTTCGGGCCTGACCTTGGACCGCATAAGCCTCATCACGGAGCAAACCGAGCAGCGCAACAGCAAGATCGCTCGACTGACGGGCGCTCACGCTCACGAACTCGATCTGCTGAAGAAGACGCACGAAGACGAGGTGGGGCGACTGACGGACGATCACTGCAGCCAGGTGTCGGGGCTGACGATGGACAGCATCAGCCACATGACGGAGCAGACCGAAGGCCACCGCAGCGAGATCGCTCAGTTGACCCAGGAGCACCAGAACGAGGTCGTTCATCTGACCGAAGAACTTCGCGGTGAGATTGCCCACCTCACCGACGAGCACCGCAGCGAAGTCGCACGGCTGATCGAGGAACACCATGGCGAAATCAACGCCTTGACCGAAACCCATCGCAACGAAGTGGCGCAGCTCAAGACGAACTACCAGGAGCAAGTGAACCAGCTCATGGACGACCACAGCTACGAAGTTTCCGAGCTTACCGTCGATCGCCTCAGCCACATGACGGAGCAAACCGAAGAGCACCGTCACGAGGTGGCTCGGCTTGAGGGGGATCGTGACAGCGAGATTGCTCGGCTGGTAGAAGATCACCGCAACCAGATCGCCCAACTGGCTCAGGAGCATCTTCTCCAGACAACGCAAAAGTCCGAAGACCACGCGAGTGCGATCGCGCGTCTTGAGCAAAGCCACAAAAGCGAGATCTCGCGACTAAAAGACGTCAACAGTAGTGAAGCTGCGCGAGTCACACTGGAGCACCTCAGTCAGATCACGGAGCTGGAAGACAGCCATCGCATGGAGATCGTTCAGCTGGAGGAAGACCGAGACGCGGAGCTCGCCCGAGTGAAGGAGGACCATCGGAGTGAAGTGGAGCAGCTGATTGGAGCTCATCGGAGCTACGTGAACCAGCTACGAGCAGAGCACTACGACGGCTTTGGGCTCTTGCAGGAGGAGTACGAGGGCAAACTGAAGGAGATCGACGCCAATTTCGCCGACAAGAGCAGCAAAGAGCGCTCTGCCACTCGCCACGCAGAGATGGAGAACGCGCAGCTTCGCGACCAGCACCAAGTGAAGACGCGCGCTCTAAACCAGCAGCAAATGCTGCTGAAGCAGGCGGCCAATGAGCAAATACGCGTCGTGTGCGCGCACTCGCTGGAGCTGATGACAGTGCGCGTGGCGCACCAGCACGAGATCGAGTCGATGACGAAGCTCGCCGCGCAGTCTGCGCAGTCCTTCAGCGAGCAACTCGCCACGCTCCGCTCCCGCAAGGCGCAGATCGCAGCAGAACTGGCCCAAACGCTCGCGAGCATGAAGCAGACGGAGGTGGAGCACACTCGCGCCGTCATGGACATGGAGGTGGCGCATTCCCAAGCTCTGAGGGAGAAGAAGTCGGACCACGACCGAGCCGTGACGGAGAGAGAATCGCAGCACGCTCAAACGCTCCTGGACATGAAGCTGCAGCACAGCTCAGAGACGGAAGCTGCACGGCGGCTGGCTGATGAACGATACGAAAACGCCATCGCAGAGCACAAGAAGGCGGTGGACGAGCTCAGTGAGACGTTTGCTCAAAACTTGGAGCTCGTGCGTCTGCGCCTGACAGAAGAGCACCTGACGAAGGTGAATGAGCTGCTAGAGAGGTCGCGAGCGGAGGAAGCGCGGCATGCAGCAACTCTAGCAGCTGCACGTGAGGAGTTGAGGGACAAGTTGAATGCGCTGAAGAGTGTCGAGGAAGTCGTGGTGGCCTTGAAGAGTGAGATCAATGAGCTGCAGACCCAACTGCAGGATAGGACGCAGGAGGTGGCGGATCGTGATGCGGTGGTGGCGGCGAAGAACGCGACGATAGACAACGTCCGCAAAGGTAAGTCAAGTCGGTCCAAGGAGTTTACGGGGCGAGTTTGTCGATGGAGTGAGCGAGCACTAACCATTCACCACTATCCTATTCCTTTTGCCATGGTAGAACTGAATCTGTTGCTGGAGACGAGCAAGAGTACGCGCTCCAGCGAGCAATTCGTCGCTTTGCTTCGACAACAGCTCGAGACGCACGTGATGGAGGTCTACCACGTCGAGCTGAGTGAGCTCTCGAGCTTTGTGCTGGAAGAGGAGGGCGACTTGCTCGGGTGTTTGAAGGGCTTCTTCGCCATGCGCTGCTACCGAGGCGTGGCTCCGCAGGGACCAGATGGACGCCCCCAATCGAACAAAGCTGTCGCCAGTGTTGACGACGTTCGTGCACGCTTGCAAGAGTACGACCGAGTCGTTGCTGCTCTTGATGAGGTTCAAGGCTCCTCCAGCGACAATAACTCGAGTATTTCTTCGTCCCAGAAGATTGCGTCTCTCCTGAGTGAGCTGAAGCGACTGAAGCTTCACGTGGGCAAAATCTTCGTCTCCTCCGACCCAACCACCACCGAGATCGAGAGCACCAGCTCAGACATGTGGGTGCAGCTATTAGAGAACCTTGTCGGGTTCTTCAACACGCTCGCGATTCCCAAGGATCTAGAGAAGGCTTTCGTGCGCAGTCGCCAGGTGCTCGACATGCTGGAAGAGAACGAAAAGCTCATGCTGGACGCACAGGCGAGCTGTTTGAAGAACGACATCCAGTCCATGGCAGACATCGGAGGGCTATTCACCACAATCGACCAAGTGCTCGCTCGTGCCCACCGAGTCACAGGAAGCGACAAGTTCGTGAGACTCGGAGACTTGTTCGTTCTCTTTGATGAATGGGAAGAGCTTCACAAGGCGCTCGATGAGGCGAACGGCGCCGCTGGTGATAGCGCGCGAGAGTTCTCGGTGGACCAACAAGGGGCTTTGCCCGTGTTGACAACGGGCAACTACCTTCGAAGCGCTGAGATCGTCGCTGCTAGAGAGGAGGCTGCAGCGTTTGTTCGACGCTGCAAGAGCGCGCTACTGCTCCCTTGTGACGATAGTAATTCGTCAACTATTGACGACGTCGTTGAGGCGATTGAGCAGCTGATGCAGATCGTGCAGCACTTTGAGCGGCTGCAGCCGAAACTCGGCAGTCCCCGCCGACAACCTGCCGCCTCCGACCCGCCACCGACGCTCGAGAACAAGGTGACGGCAGTGCTCGCCTTCGTGGAGGAGCTGCAGCTCATGGCCGACTTCGCGCACAACATCCTGAGCGCTGAGAGTAAGAACGAAGGCGAAGGCGAAAACGAGGAGCCAGGGAGCAACGAGAGCAGCAGATCCAGTCTCGAGGCGCTTCGGGCTCTCACCAGAACTCCGTCCCCCGCCCCAACGCTCGAGGAGCTGCAGATCGACGTTGAACTCGCTGCCGTCGACGAGGCGATGCGAGGCTTTGACGACAGCGTCTGCGAGTTCTCCAACGAGGAGGGCGAGAGGCAGCGAGAGGCGTTCTTCTCCTCCTCCTTCCCCCCAACCGAAGAGAAATCGTCGTCTCGATCGCCGTCGCCCTTCCTGGCCGACTCCCTCATGGACATTTCGCTCGTCATGAGCGACCACCATCGACTGCTGTCGCAAACCGCTCGCTGGGTTGCGAAGTCGCGGCAAGGCGCGTCCAGGAGCCACGCGTTTAGTGTGGGCACGGAGATCAGCCGCCTGGTCCGAGAGCACTGTGCGCTGCTGTCCCTGTCGCGCCGCTTGTTCAAGATGAGGGATCCTCGCCAAGAACTGGTCTCCCTTCTGGAAGGCGTGGCTCTGCTCGAGAGACTGGCAGCTCGACTGGCGCTCTTCCAGGTAAGATCGGCTCGCGACACAGACGAGATGAGCTCTCGCGACTCACTCGATAGCGCATCAAACCCGTCCGAGTCGGCGACATCTCTGGGTAGGAGTGACGTTGACTCGATCGAGTCGCTGTCGCGTCCTGTGTTGGCCTCTATCGGAGATATGGCGCGGCACCTTCAAGACTACGACTACTTCCTACAGCAAGTGAAGGTTGACGACGGCCAGATGATGTTCCGTGAGAGTAATTCTCCCGCTGCGATCAACATCGAGGCGCTCGTGCAGGAGATCAACGAGCGAACGGCGCTCGTGGAGCAGAGCAAAGAGCTGCTTGGACTTGTAAACCCCACCCAGGAGCTGCCACCGTTCCTCATCGGTGCGCTGGAAGTTCTTCGACAGGCGAAGCAGATCCGCGAGTCCTCGTCCGTGCGCATGGTTGAGAGCAGCTTGAAACCTGAGCAGCTTGATCCCCAAGGGTTGGACACACGCGATGAAGCTGAAGGGGCCGGTAGTAATGGAGTCGAAGCTGTGCTGAGCGAGATGGATGCAGTGGTTGAAGACCTGCGCAGCTGTAGCGACATCCTCGAGTGGCTGAAGGAAGTTCTTCCTCAGTCTGAATCGGTGACCTCCGTCTCCGACTTGAAGGACCGCGTGACAGCATTGCTGACTCAAGTCGAGACTTTGACGAGTGCCAACGCGGGCTTGACGGGAGATAAGGCGGGTCTTCAAGTCGAGCTGGACGAGATGCAGCAGAACCGAGACCAACTAGTGGAGGAAGCGTCGAAAGAGGGCGCACTGCTGCTGGAACTTGCCACTCTGCAGGCACAACAAGTCTCGCAAACGACAGTGCAAGAAACACAAAGGCCTCGACTGCAGCTGTTCCAGGAACTCATCGAGCAGCAGCGACGAGTCTGCGAGATCACGAAGCAGCGCACAGCAGACACGGAAGCTGAAGCTTCATTCTTACGCCAGCATGGACTTCTTGTTGAAGAAGACGGAGACGACGTAGGTAGCGGCGCATTGACTGTGAGCACACGGATTGACGTCTACAACCGATTGTTGGAATGTGCAGCCACGTTGCGATCGGAGAAGAGTGAGATGGAGGCCAAGCTCACCGCCGAGAAGGTTGAAATGGAGACGGCACTACGAGAAGAGAAAGATGCACTGGAAGCTTCGCTAAAGGCCGAGAGAAACGCAGTCGAAGCCTCTCTCAAGACCGAGAAAACCACGATAGAGTCTTCTCTAACGGCCGAGAAAATCACCCTTGAAGCCACGCTGAGAGCTGAGAAGAGCGCAATCGAAGCCTCGCTCAAAGAAGAGAAGAGCGCAATTGAAGCCTCACTCAGGGAGGAGATTCGACGCCAAACCGAGAGGCTTGAGACGGTCGAGGGAGAGCTGGACGAAACTCGACTGCAAATGGAGAGCGCACTGGCTGAGGAGCGAGCTTATCTGGAGTCGAAGGAGGTTTTCTCTTCGCTCGTGGACGTCGGCCACAATGGCGAGTTCTCACGTATGAAAGTGTACGCGCAGCTCCATGACGAAATCAACAAGTTGCTCGACGCAAAGCAGGCGGTTGAAAGCTGCGCAGCGCACGAGTACAAGTTCCTCCAAGAGAACGACCTGCTGTCTCCAAACACCGACAGTACTACAGATCCTACTGTTCCAGCAACGTTGGAGCTGTCTTCAATCCGCCTAGACGTGTTCAAGCGTCTCGTAGACTCACTAGCTCGCTTACGCCAAAGCGACGATGACCTCGCGCAGGAGAACCGCTTCCTGCAAGGCACAAGCTTGGCGTTTGATCCTGATGAGCCCCAGAAATCGCGACTTGCCGTGTATGAAACTCTTCTTGCAGGCCAGAATGCGCTGGTCGAGGAGAAGTTGGAGCGCGAAGTAGCCGCAGAGAGTGAGAAAGCGTTCCTCGCTTCTCACGGCATCACCGACTTTGCCAATACCATGGACATCTACGAACAGTTCGTGGGTGCACGAAAGCAACTCGCTGATCTCGCAGCACAGATGAGCGAGGAGCTCCAGTTCCTAGCGGAGAGTCACCTCTACTCGTGTGATGATGCCGATGACGGAGCTGCGAGTCTCATGACTCCGTTTTCGTCTTCCTTTAGGCTGTTGGTGTATCGCAAACTCATGCAGGTCGAGGCTCAAGCTCGTGAAGCTAACCGACTGCTGAAAGAAGAGATGGAGCAGCAATTGTCTCGACAGATAGCGGCCGATCAATCCGTAATTGCCTCGCTAACTGCGAAGGTGGAGCGGCTAGAAGCTTCCCTCATGGCGTGGCAGGAGTCGGCGTACGCCTCTCAGCGTGAATGGGACAGGATGCTGCTGGAGGAGCAGGACAAGCGCCGAGCCTTGAGCCGACACCACGAGGACGCTCAAAAGCAGGGGGCTCGTGCCATGGAAGAGGTCACCAAGGCCCGCGACAGTGCGGTGGCGCTAGCGTCTGCTACGCACGCTGAAGCTCTGGCGCAAGCAACCCTGGAGCACGAAAGGCGACTGGCTGCGGAGCTTCACAGGCAGGCCCAACAGCTAGAACTCGCTGCCTTCGTATATGCTGAAAACGAGACGCACAAGCAGACCAGTGATGTTTGCGTCTCTGATGCGTCCCCGTCGATTTCAGCTGCTCAGACGCGCGCCCAGCTACTGGAGAAGTTCGCGAAGCGAGATACGACGGCAATCAGCATGATCTACAAGGCAATTCGCTTGACCACAGACATCCTGAGCGCAGCACCAGCAGCACCGGCAGCGACAGCGTCGCGTGCTGTGTCCGGCAACGCGTCAGCAGAAGTCTCCACGGACATCACTCAGACTGTGCTAGCCTGCGTGAAGGAGCTCAAGACACTGAAGGAGTTCTTGGTGCAGTCACTGGAGCAGGTTGCGAGAGACGACGACCAGGTGCCTCCTCCATTCACGAAAGCACCGTTCGCCAAGTGGATGGCGGACGCCGTCACTCGAGCTACAGCCGCCAAGGAATGTGCGATCGATCTGGCGCTCTGCTCACATCGAGAGTTCATGAGCTTCGCCGAGATCCAGTTGCTCACTCGGCAAGAAGACGCGGAGAAGGCCCTGGCCCGCGTGTATGACAAAGTGAAAGCGGCAGCAGTCAGCGGGGGCTTCACCGTTGATCAGGAAAAGCTGCTAGCTCTGGAGCTGGAGGTCACTCGCGAAAGAGAAGCTCGAGAAAGCGTGGCCTGCAAGTTCCGACTCAACGAAGAGTACTACCGGCGGCTGCTTGACGAGCGCAAGGAGATGGAAATCGCGCAGGCTGCGACGGTGCAGGAGCTTCGAAAAGAGTGCAAGGCACTGAGACTGAAGCTTGAGAAGCTGGAGCAGCAGATCCAGCAGCAGCCTGTGCTCCCGCAGTTCCGGCCACCATCCAGCAACACGTACACCTCCTCTCCGCGAGCTTCGGTGATGTCGCCACAAACCCCTCGCGTCCTGAAAAGTGCGGTGGTCTCCACTGTCCCGATGCCCATGCGACCGGAGCGTCCGCGCGGAGGTGGAAGCGCTCACAAGGAGCGCTACGTGAGCGATCTCGAGCGAGAAACGGGTCAGCGTCGTACGAGCACAGCGACTCGCCGTTATAACGACTGGAAAGCTCGTGAAGAAGTAATTGCCGAGAATCCTGGGTCCCAGCTCGAGCAGGACTTCCGAGCCATGCAAGCAGCAATAACGTCGCATCACGCTCCAGCAATGGAGCCCGTCGTCCCGACGGCGATGGCTGCACCAGCCACCGCCCCGGGTTCATCGTTGCAAAACCAAGAGCTCTGGTACCAAGGCGTGCGCTCGATCCACTACGTGTCCTTCTTCATCTCCATCTTCCACGTCCCTCGACAGCAGCTCTTCCGGGTGGAGGTCTTCAACAGCGACACGGAGCAGCAGCAGCAGCAGACCGTGTACGTTACCTGGACCGAGATGCAGACATTCCTCCAAGAAAGCAGGAAGGCCGTCCGCTTAGGTATCGCACTGCCTGCTGATCCTGAGATGGCCGTGACCGTGCCCCACCAGGTCCGGGCTGAGATCATGGACGTCCTGTTCGAACGCGTCCGAGTCTACGGCGAAGGCACGGAGAACATCCTGCTCGGGTTTGAGTAAAACAAGACGATAGCATATGAGATAAGTAATTAAGTGAGCGGTACGACCTCAAATTGCCAGCGGTGAGGCAGGCGGCGACTCATGTCGCTCTCGCGAGTTGCGGCGCTTCCGCCACCATTGCGTGAAGGACACATTCTGCCACGGGAACATTGATGGGTCGTCGGCGGTGCTCTTGCTCTTGCTTCCTCCGCCCGAGTTCTTCCGTTTCCGTCCTCGCTGATCGTTGTCAGTGCCGCTGCCGCGCTCTGTATCGTCGTCGTCGTCACTCAGCCGTGCCTCGCCGTCAGTCGTCTCGTCAAAGCCATCCAGAGGGTCCGACAACACCATGCCGAGGTTCTCTGCCTGCTCTTCCATCGCCAACAGCGCCGAGTAGGACGTGAACACGTCGTCGTCCAGGTACTTGCGCGGGTTGCTCTCGATGATCTTCAAGAGGCGAACAAAGTGCGGGTGCACTTCAGCGATCGGGACGTGGAGGTTGAAGGAGAGCTGCGCGTACACTGTGAACTCGGCTGTGAGGACGTCTCGGGAAGGGAGGGCGTGCGCGCGGTCGATGTCCTCCAGAAGCTGCCGGATCACGCGCTTGCGCTCGTCCGAGGCGCAGGGCTCGTTGAACTTGACGGCCAGAAGGAAGCACACAGCCATGTAGAGCTTGCGGTTGACCTTGGTGATGTAGTGCTGCAGCACGAGCTTCTCGAACAGCACGCAGGCCAGCGCCACCGTGGCCACTTCGAGGTCCAGTCGCTGGCTGCACATGACGGCCTCTCGTTTGAGGTGCCGCAGCTTGCTGAGCGAGAGCGACGGGTCCTGCAGCCACCACGCGTGCTTCTCCTGGAACTTCTGGTTGAGCTCGTCCTTGAGCTCGTGCGGCTTGACGAACAGCAGGATGCTCGAGATGATGGGCCCGAGGGTCTTGTCTCCGCGCACGACGTGTCGGTGGCGGCCCTGCCGGAACTCCGGGTCGTCCAGGAAGTTGGCTGAGTACGGCACGCGCTCTGGGTGCGCGTCCTCCCGGTCGCGGTCCGGGTCGCAGGCCGACCAGGTCGCGTGCAGCAGGCGGAAGTAGGACGTGCCGCGCCAGTCGTAGTGGGTCGGCGACGGCCGCTCCAGCGCCAGGCCGCTCATGGACGCGAAGCGCCTCCTCCTGGCCGTCGTCTCGTTGCCATTGTACTGCAGCAGCAGCAGCAGAGCGTCAGTGGATATTACATGCCATGCTTACTATAGGAGAGGGGGGGACGCACGTTGATGATCGTGGACGTGGCCAGCGGGTAGCCGCAGCCTCGGGAGAAGAAGAGCCTGGCGTCCAGCAGCCCCTGCTGGACCATCACGCCCTCCCAGCGCCTCACGACGGCCGAGGCGGCCGGGAATTTGGTCGTGAAGCGGTAGCGGAAGAGCGGCGGCACGTGCACGACGGTGGCGGCCATGCCGGGCAGGCGGCGGCCGGCCAGAGGCTCAGGCTCTGCGCCCGAGCAGGCGGCGGCCGTGGCGGCGCTCGACGCCCCGTTGGAGGCCCCCAGAGCGGCGCTGCTGGGCGCGTCCGCCGTCGAGTTTTCTCGTCCGTTGGCCTCCGACTCGGCGTCCGCGTCGGCGGCTGCAGCGGCGGCGGCTGCGGCCTCGGAGCGCATGGGGATGTTCTGCAGGAAGTCCAGCGCCGCGATGTCGCGCGTGACCTTGCGCGAGTGGCGGCTGCGCTCACTCGGCGCCGCGCTGGACGGAGACGGCACCAGCAGCGGCGGGCGCGCCGCATCGTCCGTCGTCACGACCAGCATCAAGATCGGGCTTTAGTGACTCCGATGGACGTCGCACTTAAGCGGAAGCAAGAGACTCAAGATGAAGCTCATCGGCTTGGCATGTCCACAGCAACAGCATGGCCACCTGGTCGAGTGAGCGTACTAGAGCTCCAGCACTCGGCAGAAATGCATACCTGTATGTGTATATGCGGCTGAGGGAGTCAAACTGCAATCGAAGTGTATGTCGAAGCGTACCAACTTGTTGAGCTAACTGCACCATGTTGTGCTTATCAGCAACCGCAGCTTCGGGCCCAGCACGGGGTCCTGCGCAAGACGTTGCAGCTCGCCGGGCGACTGCTGACACGCGTGCAGACGCTGCATCAAGTTCCCGTCCGAGAGGGCCGCCAGCAGCTCGGCGATGGCCTGGCGTCGCGTCTCGTCCAGGTCGACGATGGCCGGGGGATTCGAAGCTGCTGGACTCCAGCAGCTCCAGCCTGGAGGCGTCTGGTTGTTGGTATCCACGCGGAGGTCTCTTCTGACAGCTTGTTGGCGCTGTGTTGCTGACCTTTGTGGCGAAGCGTCCAGCTATCAGACAACAAGCACTCGCCGTGAGAATTAGAGTTCTCGTCGGGTCGCAGTATCACAGCCACATGGAAACTAGACCCACCTCTTCAAAATGGCTCCCAAGAAACTCCATGAAGTCACGCAACATCGTCGATACGGCTGGGTCCTTTTGGTATTTCAGAATAGCAGCTTGAGGGTCCTGCTGCATCGCCGTCGTGAAAGCCGGATTTTGCAGCGCTGGCATGAACAGACCCAAACGTTAAACCGGCCGCCCATTATCGATAGCCGAAGTATCAATATGCAGACATAGCTTGGGGTTGCGCGCGAATTTTTCGAAGAATCGTTCGCTCATCCATATGAGTTCGAGTTTGTAGTTAAATGCAAGAGGCGGGGCTCGTGCCGCGATCCAAACCTTTAGGGCCTAGCTGGTTCATGCTCTTCATGGCCTCTTGCACGCCTGGAAACACGAACGTTGGGCTGGTCGTCGCAGCTCCCTCTTGCTTCTCTTTGACGATCAATAGGCGCTCATCTCGCTGTAACCAGCAGAAAAAAAAACTTGTTGTACAGATCGCAGTATCTTCCTTTCAAAAACAATTTTTACCGTACCGCTTGCTGCCGAATTGGTTCCAAAACTGATGTACTCGGTGCTGTCTTCTCTTTGGACCGCTTGGCTTTTTGTGTTGAAGAAGGAAGCCCTTCTTGAGCCCCTGGCCGAAAGATTTGCGGTTGCGCTCGCTCACTTGCTGCTTGCGCTTGTCCTCTTTGGCACGCTAAGCGACCGCAAGCATCTCGGCCATGACGCTAGACTCCTGCGGTTGTGTAGATGCATCGGCTGCTTGGTTGTCTGTCTCCAGCTTGTCGGCCTCGCCCAGCATCGGCGGCTCGTCGTCTTCCCAATCCTCGAGGTCGATGCTTCTCCTGGTCAGCTTGTTGAATTCGGGGCGGCTTGCAAAGTGACCGACGGATCGTGCAAGCGTAGATTCTCTCCATGCCCACAAGGCCATCGCCAACTCAATAATGGTGCGATCTACTCGCTGGACCAAACGCGACGTCAGAACGGTATCTACGCGGGGGCGGACTACCTGCGGGCAGCCCGGCTACGAGCTCATCACTGTGCTTGAGTAGAAGAGCTTCATCTAAAGAGTAACAACGCCGTTCTCAATGATAACAACCAATTGGAGTTAGCGAGCGAGGTGCTCTTGAAGTCGCCCGAGCTTGGTAAGCACAGATGAATGACGTTCGGGACATCTTGGTCACGTGGCAGCAGCGAGCTGTTGCGAATCCGCTGAATTGGCAGTCCACAGCAGGTCAACGTTGCGCCTATTTCGAGTCGGTAACGATCTTATGCTGCATCGCGAGACCAAGTCTCGAACGGGACAGCGCTTCGCCTGATTCGGCCACATGCTGCAGCACGATTTTCCACTCCCATCCGGCACTCCATCGTCCCTGTGCAAAACGCTCAGCTTGAAGACGACCTGAACGCTCGATTCTGATCGACAGACGACCATATTGTTTTACTTTTCTGTGCGCGTTGCTTGTTGCCTCTACGGCGTCGGCGCCACAGTAATCGATGCCCAGATCAGCAGGTTCGACCGAGTCCTGAGGCCGGTGGGCGTCGTTCTAGCTCATTCCCATTTTCTCGTCGCGGCGCACACTTGAGTCAGCCGTCCAGAGGCCTTACTTGGTAATATCCGCGATGACGCGCGAGCGATTCACCATCAACCCGTTCCCAGCGCTGGCGCTCTCGCACGAAGAGAAGGCCCAGCTCCTCCAGCTCGGGCGCACGCTCATCCAAGCCAACTTCGAGCGCGACATCCCCTTCTTCAAGAGCGGCCGCAAGGTCGACTTCAAGCGCTGGAAGCTGGCCCGAGAGCGCGAGAACATGAACGTCTACACGGAGCGGCCGGAGTACAGCGGCGCCGACGCGCTATCAGATCCGAACTCGTCCAAGCTGCCGGCCATCCTCTCAGTCGGACGAGTCCCTGGTCATCTAGACGACATGATGTTTGGCGTCGTTAACCCCACGCTGGAAGAGATGCGCATCAAGGCCTCGTATGTTCACGACTTCAGCGGAGCGGCTGTGCTGTCGACCATCATTGAGCCCACGGCCGAGGACCCGTTCACGTCGGTCGTCGTCAAATGGATGGAGCTCGACATCCCGCTGCGCATGACCACCATCGTGCAAAATCGCGACTACGTCTACCTCGAGTGCACGGGCTTCGTGTACCTGCCCAACGGCGAGCGCGCCGGCTACCACTTCCTTCACTCGGTGGACTTCCCTCAGATCAACCACCTCTCCGACCGCGTCCGCGGTGACTTGTCCATCTGCGGCTTCTTCCGGCAGCTCGCGCCAAACGTCATCGACGTCTGCAAGACGGGGCTCATGGACCCCGCAGGCGATATGATCCGCTTCCTGGCGGTGCCCGTCATGACCGAGGCCTTCATGTCGCCGCTGCGGTATGTGTACTGCGGTCAGATGAGGAAGTTGACGTGGAAGATGGAGAAGAGTCACGCCGAGGTCAGGCTGCACGGCGCTCCGAGCCCGGGTGCCGCGTGCGCGACGTGCCTCAAGACCCCGTCGGGCTGGAGCTTCGGCAAGGACAAAAACATCTGCAAGTGCTGCTTCCGCGTCGTATGCAGCGGCTGCCGCATCAAGAAGAAGATCAGCCTCGTGACGGCGGACCTCGAGCTGTCGCAGCGGAAGATCACGTTCTGTGCCGGGTGCCTCGCCACCGTGTCGTCCTCCAGCGCCGTGGAGGTCGCGTGCGCGCAGATCATGGAGAACAACCAGAAGAGCAGATACGTGGTCGGGTCCATCGGCATTAACAGCACGTGCAGCTTCTCGACTTCCTCGAGCTCGGAAGCAATGTCGATCCACTCGTTCAACTGAGTCCGCCGCCCCAACCACTTGCCAGAATAGTATCAATCCCGTGTAGTAGCGGCCAATCCAAAGTTGTTAGGTATCCACTCTTCGCAATGCACTCGCTTGCTTTCTCCAGAACCTTCAGCTGAATCTCCACGGCTGAAGTTCAGCCGATCGACTGATTAAATTAATCCAAGTTGAAGTTGTAGGTCTCCGCTTGTACCGCCACACGCGTGCTGCAGTGCTGCACCTGGGGGGTCTTGTGCCCCCAAGGTCCAGTCTTCTTGAGCACGCTTTCTTCAGCAGGCTGCACATGTAGCACCTTCATGAGGACTCTGCATGTCGACGGCACAGTATGGACTAAAGCCGCCTCCTCCCTCGTCAATGCAGAGAATCCTAGATTCACGACTGTGCGGCTTTACGTACCAGTCTACGCTCGTGATAAGCTGGCGGCGGTCACTTCCGGTTCCGGTTCCTGGCCGGCTATGCGTCGTCGCACTCGCGCCGCCACGCTCCTGCAGCCAATCCCCTTCGCGAGTTCGAGGGCAGTGAGCAGAGACCGTGGCGAAATGCATTGTCGGCTAACGCTGCCCGCACATAACGCGGGGATCGGCCATCATTCTGGCCGATGCGCGTGCCCAGGAGCTTTGGCCGAAGGCGCTGTGCGGCACCGCCGACCTTGTCGCTAGCAGCTCATTTACGAATCCGACCCCCAAGCAGCGCACCGCACGCCCGACGCATTCACGAACCGCGACGACCATGCTCGCGCCGCCCATGCCCGTGTTCGTCCAGGCGCCCAAGAAGCAGGACTTCGTGCGGACGCCGTGCACTTGCGGGGCCAAGGACTTCAAACTCAGATGCAAGCTCAAGCACGCCGTGGAGAGCACAACCGAGGCCAAGCAGGCCGCCAACTACCCCACTGAGTGCCCCGCAGCAGCACTCGAAAACACGCCCAGACGTCGCCGCAGCTTGTGGCGCAGGTTGCTGGGCAAAGGCCCCAAGTGCGTGTGCCCCAAGCGCAGCGCCAGCGTCGTGAACAAGCCAGGACTCGTCGAGATCCCCGCCGCGTACACAGACTGCGACACCGTGACCGTGGCCGGCAGGCGCGTCCCCTTCACGCTCGACATGCAGCAGCGCAGGCGAGCGTCTTGGACGCCGCTGGACGCGATCCACGAGGACGAGTAGCGGCCTCTCTCACCCATGTTAATATATTATTGTAATTGCACCTTCACCTCTATCGTGTTGATCACAAGAAGCTCGCTCATGAACGAAGGCCTGCCCGCTGAACCGAATACACGTAGATGACGGCCAATACCGGAGCCCGAGCGTAGGAAGCGTAGGAGAGTCCTACGACAAAGCTCGCTGGGTACAAGACCTACAGCGTGTGTGCGACCTTCACTCGCGGCGCAACTTCAACGATCTCAAGCTCCGTCCTTCGCGCGCCAGTGGCCGCGAGATAAAGCTCGGAAGACACGCCGATGAGAAGCACTCGCGTTGGGAGGGGGCCAACGTTTAGAGGGGCCGTCTCAACACCAACACTCAAGCGCGTGCCCTCTGAGCAGAGACGCGGTCGATTGCTCAGCCGCGCCGCACGCGTCAACTTTCGGCCGCAATCCCGGGCCGGGAGAGCCGACCGACGCCAACGAAGCCAAGAACCCGAATGCCGGCGGCTCACTTCGCTTCGCTGCTCGGCTCATTCTCGTTTTTGCGCGATAAGCCACAGCCACACTCAGCTCACCTCGAGCCCCAGCAAGCCTCACGCGATGGAGTCCAGCAACCAGCAGCCGCCCGCGTCCATCCAAGTCGTGAAGGCCAAGGACCCCGCCAGCGTCCTCAAAGAGCAGAAGCAAGCGCAGCACGAGCCGCAGTCCGCGCCCAAGCCGGCCAAGAAGCGCTACATCTCCAAGCGGTCCATGGCCTTTATGCACTGCTGAACGGCAGCAGCAGCGGCGTGCGCCTCGAGCACCAGTCTTCTTGTATGAACTCAATATATTAATACATATGTAATGCCCATTTTGGTTGTCCTCCGTGTGTCCTCCTTGAGTTGAAGTTTCGTATTTATAGGTTCGGTCCTGAGCTAAATCGAAGGTTTCGTCCTAGACTATAGGTCACGTCCTGAACATTCTCTGAAAATCCCGTTCTTCCCTTCAGAATCGATAGAGAAGAACAAGACCCCAAGCGGACCAGGAGCGATGGCGGACATGCAGCAGCAGCACCAGGTGGCGCTCAAGATCGCCTTCAACGGGGACATCCACCGCACGCGCGTGGACCTGCGCGGCTTCTCGCTGGCGGAGCTGACGCAGCTCATGGCGCAGACCTTCCGCCTGCCCGTGGGCGACTTCCTCGTGCAGTACCGCGACCCGGAGGGCGACTGCGTCAACGTGACGACGGACGCCGAGTTCCAGGAGGCCGTGCGCGTCTTCCTGGGCGCGCGCGAGCCCGTGCAGTCGCTCAAGTTCGCGGCCGTCACGCGGCGCCAGGCCGAGTTTCAGGAGCAGGTGGCGGACCCCCTCGTCAAGTCCGTGGAGCAGCTCATGCAGGCGCTGGCCGTGACGCTCGAGAAGCTCAAGAGCGACGCGCAGTTCGCCTCGAGCCCCGCGCCCAACACGAGCGTCTCGCTGGACCAGGTGGCGCGCGACCACGCCGAGTCGCCCAAGGCGGCGGCTGGCGGCTTCTCCAGCTTCGCCCAGGGCCTCGTGGGCCAGATCAACCGTTTCATCCCGGAGAAGAAGGCGGGCGAGGCCACGGCGGCCCCCGTGCCTGTGGCCACCGCGCCCGTGGAGGCGGAGCACAAGCCTGAGGCGCCTCAGCAGCAGCAGCCGTCGGCGGTGGTGACGCCCCCACCCGCGCCCGTGGTGGAGGAGGCGCCGCCCGCCCAGGAGACGACCGAGGAGACGCCGTCCATCGCGTCCTCCGTGGCCTTCTCCGAGGCGGAGGTCAAGTGGGCCGAGCAGCTCTCGGTCGTGAGCGGCATCTTCCCGAACGCCAACCCGGCGCGCGTCATTGACATTTTGGAGAAGAGCGACGGCAACCTCAACGTCGTGCTCAACGTGCTGACCGAGGAGAACTAAGCGGCTGTACGGGGAGGGGGCAAACGACGGGTGTCGCCAACTCGAGTGGAAGGGGGACGACGCCAGGATACGTAGCGAGTGGGCGCGTGAGTGAGCTAGGCTCCCTAGCCGTAGCACCAGCAAACGCATTGCAATGAACTTCATTTATATTCCCAGGTGCCTTCGATCTTGAGGTCTAAGGCCTTAGTAGAGCGAACTTACATGTGCAGGTAGGTGTCGTCATCCTTGAGGAATCATTGCAGTGTAGCCATGTTGTTCGGGTTTTCTAGAAAAACGTGACTTGGTTTTCGTATGGGGCATACAGACGCCAAGTCGCATGGCGCGCTCCGACGATAAAACAATTTTTTCGAGCCGAAGTCAAAGGGTGATCAGCCGACCCTCCAGTCCAGGACAATCAATCGATCGATCGAGCATGGGGAAGACGCCCGAGCGCCGAGTGTTCGCGTCCGCGCCGCTGCGCTACCGCCGCAAGGTGCCCGTGCCCGAGGACAACCAGCAGCCGGAGCCCACGCAGCAGCAGCTACAGCGGAAGCAGCAGCAGCAGCAGCCTTACAGCCACGACAGGAGCAGCAAGTCGCCGCCCGCGCGCCGCTTCCGGCCCAAGGGCGGCCGCCAGCCCAAGCACCGTCAGCAGCAGCAACCGCCACTGCTCAAGCAGCTGCTCTGGAAGGCCAAGGCCGTGCAGCCCATGCCCGAGTCGCTGGGGATCCGGCCGCTGCCGGCAGCGCCGCAGAAACCGCAGCAGCAGCAGCAGAAGAAGAAGGATGACGGCCAGGAAGAGGAAGACGAGGAGGCGGTTTTCGCTCAGCAGCAGCGGCAGGCGCGGAAGCTGCTGGCCAGCGAGGCGGAGGCGCTGGCCGCTGGCAAGCAAAAGGCGGTGTCTGTCGTGTCTCCGGTCGACGCGTTCGTGGCCGAGTCGTCGAGTCAGGAGACGCAGAGCGGCTCGGAGGACGAGGCGGTGTTCCTGCCGTACAACGGACTGCCAACGACCCAGTGGCAGGTGTACGCCAAGGAGCAGCAGCAACGGGAGGAGGAAGTAGGCGCTGGCTCGGCCGAGGAGACGGACGGGGAAGAAGCAGTGATGCCGTCGGAGACCGTAGACGACCAGGAGTCGCTCCAGATGAAGGAGCAGGGGCAGGACGAGCTGGAGAAGTCGACGGCCAGGCGCCGGAAGCCGCGTCAGAAGCACAAGCTGAGACAGAAGCAGAAGCGTGCAGCAGCCAAGGAGCAGAAGCGCCTTCAACACCAGCAGAAGCAGCAGCAGCAGGAGGAGGATCACGAGCGGCCCCGCTCCGCAGATGGAGACTCGACACTAGAGGACGAGAACACAGCGGTCGACATCTTCCATCCGCCCACGAATCTAGCTAGGGACATGGACGCGGGTTTGTGTCGCGCCGTGCTCTCGCAGCTGCAGGACGTGGTGCCTTTTATCGTAGTAGGGGACGTCGCTTGCCCCGTAGTTGATGACGAGCAGTCCGCTGTCAGTGCCAAGGGTGGGGCGGGCTCCGATGCAGCCGTAGTGGACTTCCGCGAGCACGTGATCGCCATGCTGGACCGATCCAGGCAAACACAGATGCAGCACCGCGACAGCTTCTTGGTGGAGAGCTCGGGCTTCGACGCGGCTTCCAGCTACGATTTCTTCAAACGCCGTACGTGCCGCTTTGTGTGTGTGTGTGTGTGTGTGGCTAACAACTAGCGCTTGCTCATTGATCACTCACTCACTCATTCACTCGTCTGTGATTCGATGCGGCAGGTTTTTGCGAGGTCCAGAGGAGCGCCGGCATTGTGTACTACTAGCGGATTCCTTCCGTCAAGCTGAAGGACAACTTACCACATCCCAACAAAACGAAAAAGACCCTTTGCCAGATGTGTATGGTGTTGTTGGTGTCAATCCTTGTGCTTGTACTAATCCTCATACCTAGCGCTCTCGACGCGAAATGGTGTATATGTACAACAGCGCGCATCGAGCTCATAATATTGCGCTCTACTCGTACGTTCTCAAAACTAATTGTTGCTACTTGCTACGCTACGTATATACCGCCACCCCACTTAGATCGATCCCATCATCGCCCGCGGTGTGCTTGAGGCATCATACGGCGCTGACGGGTCCGAATCGAGCGAGTTATCGTACGGGTACGCACCCGTGCGATCCATGGGCGGCGGAGGCTCGCGTGGGGTGAGCAGTTCTAAGCGGTTGCCCCGCGCAGGGCGCAGGTAAAAGACGCCAAACATCAGCGCCACAACCGCAACGCTCCCCACAATGATGAAGATCATCGTGTTGGTACCCAGGACGCTGCTTCCGCCGGCGTCTCCCCCGTTGGCTGGGGAGAGGCTCCCGTCCTCCGACAGCGCGCTGGCACCGGTGCTGCTGTCGTCAGTAATGGGCGTCAATTTCAACACGCCGTTCGATGAAGTGGCTTCCGTCGGCAATGACGAAGACGAACGCGACGATGACGACGAGCTGGACCCCGATCCATCGAGGCTGGAGTCTTCCCTCGAGTTGCTGCTTGCTGCTAAGCCCGAGGCACTGGCCCCCACTGACCCGGAGCTGGAATCCAAATCTGCCGGCTCCGAGGACGACGATGATGGCAAACTGCTGGCCACAGCACTGGAGCTCAAACTCGCCGATGCCGCTTCCGAAGCTGTGGCTGCCACGGCCGACCCACTAGCATCAGATGAAGACCCTGAGGCGGGCTGTGCGCCAGCGGAGCCACTTGCATCAGAGCCCGATAACGATCCCGTAGATGGTGTCGAGCTAGATGTTGAGCCGGCCGAATCCTCAATCAACGACCCCGATCCAGAAGCGCTGGGTGGCAACACTCCCGACGACGATCCCGCAGCATTTCCGCCATCAGAGCCAGACAAAGATCCCGCTTCAGAACTTGATGTTGATGGTGGCACCGCCGTCACAGGAGGAGGGCTTGTCGCGGAACCCGCCGGCGTCGATGTCGGCGTCGGAGACGCACTCCCTGAATCTGAGCCGGAAGTTGAAGACGGCATGGCAGTAACAGGGGGTGGACTCGTTGGGCTCGGACTCGGCGTTGCTGTTGGCGTCGAAGTCCCGCTGGAATCCGAATTTGAGCTTGACCCAGACGGGGGCGTCGCCGTGACAGGTGGTGGGCTTGTTGGACCCAACGTTGAGTCACTACCGGTTGATCCTGCAGAGCTGGACTCTGACGACGAAGCAGGAGTAGTTACAGTCGGCGTTGCAGTTGTGGCAATCGGCGTGTCTGTGGATGCTGACGACGACTCGTCCGTCGACGACACTGGGGCTTCAGTCGTCGCTAATGGGGTAGCTGTCGTCGATGTAGGAGTCTCGGCTGGAGTTGGGGCATCAGTACTGGGCGTCGTCGTCGTAGCAACTGGCGTATCCGTCAATGGGGTCGCTGATGTTGCCACCGGTGCATCAGTAATTGCGTCTGTAGCACTCGGTGTTTCCGTCGTCACAGTTGGAGTTTCTGAAGTAGCTGTCGGGGTATCGGTCGCAGCTGGGGTCTCCGTTGGAGCTGGAGTTGCAGCCGTAGCCACTGGGGCTTCCGTAGTCACATCGGGGGTTGCTGTTGTGGCTATGGGAGCATCTGTCACGGGAGTCTCGGTTGTCGTGGCGGGTGCGTCTGTCGGCGTAGCTGTCGTCGCAACTGGAGAATGCGTTGCGGGGGCCTCCGTCGTTGTGGCCGGTACTTCAGTTGGTGCTGGAGTCGTCGCTGCTGGCGCATCGCTTACTGGAGCCTCGGTCGTGCTTGCTGGGGCCGTAGCCACCGGTGCGTCTGTTACGGGCGCATCGGTTGCCGTAGCTGGAGCATCCGTCACCGGAGCTTCAGTCGTGGTAGCAGGAATTTCCGTAGGCGTTGAAGTTGTAGCCACCGGGGCATTCGTCACTGGGGCCTCCGTTGTCGCGGCTGGTACGTCCGTCGGTGTTGGAGTTGTCGCCACTGGCACATCTGTCACTGGGGCATCAGTGGCCACAGCTGGGGTCGTTGCTACAGGAGCATCCGTCACTGGAGCTACACTAGTGGCGGCAGGAACCTCCGTTGGAGTCGCAATCGTTGCTACCGGCGCGTCTGTCGCCGGAGCCTCGGACGTACTTGCTGGAGTCGTAGCCACTGGTGCGTCTGTCACTGGAGCCGCGGCGGTTGTAGCTGGAGCATCCGTCACTGGAGTTTCAGATGTGGTGGCTGGAAATTCCGTCGGAGTTGGATTCGTTGCTACTGGTGCTTCTGTCACTGGAGTCGCGGTCGTTGCTACTGGAGCGTCGGTCACAGGAGCTTCGGTCGTCGCGATTGGTACTTCCGTCGGCGCTGCAGTCGTACCTACGGGCGTGTCTGTCACTGGAGCCTCAGTTGTGCTTGCAGGTGCCGTAGCCACCGGAGCTTCGGTTGTGCTGGCTGGGACCTCTGTCGGGGTCGCAGTGGTTGCTACAGGAGCTTCAGTCGTCACAGCTGGGGCTGCGGTTGTTGTTGCCGGAGCTTCAGTCGGCGCTGGAGTTACTGGTGCTTCTGTCACTGGAGCCTCGGTCGTCGTGGCTGGGACTTCCGTTGGAGTTTCTGTCGTCGCCACTGGGGCTATTGGAGTTGCGGTCGTGGGCACTGGAGCATCTGACGCGGGAGCTTCGGTCTTCGCGGCTGGAGTAGTCGTGACAGGACCTTCCGTCGGCGTTGGCGTCGTAGCCCCCGGAGCATCAGTGACCGGTGCCTCGGTTGTCGTGGCTGGTGCTTCTGTTGGAGTTGCAGTGGTAGACACTGGAGCATCTGTCACAGAAGTCTCAGATGAGCTTGCTGGGGTTGTTGCTACAGGAGCATTCGTCACTGGAGCCTCCGTAGTTGTGGCTGGAAATTCCGTCGGAGTTGGATTCGTTGCTACTGGTGCTTCTGTCACTGGAGTCGCGGTCGTTGCTACTGGAGCGTCGGTCACAGGAGCTTCGGTCGTCGCGATTGGTACTTCCGTCGGCGCTGCAGTCGTACCCACGGGCGTGTCTGTCACTGGAGCCTCAGTTGTGCTTGCAGGTGCCGTAGCCACCGGAGCTTCGGTTGTGCTGGCTGGGACCTCTGTCGGGGTCGCAGTGGTTGCTACTGGAGCTTCAGTCGTCACAGCTGGGGCTGCGGTTGTTGTTGCCGGAGCTTCAGTCGGCGCTGGAGGTACTGGACTAGAGACAGGAGCTGCTGTTGTCGCTGCTGGGGCCTCTGTCGTGGCAACTGGGGCCACTGGAGCTTGTGTCGTAGCCGCTGGGGCTTCTGTTACTGGCGTTCCCGTGGTGGATACCGGCGTGGTCGGTGCTGCTGTCGTTGCTGCAGGCGTTGCCGTCGTTGTCGCCGGCGTTGCTGTTGTTGCAGTCGGAGTCTCAATAGTAGTCGCAGCTGTGAAAAATCCCGCTGCCGGCGTCACCTGTGGATCGACACTTGGGGCCACAGCGACGACCTGTAGAATCCTCACCCTCGCTCTCCTTCGCCCGACTCGCGCGAACTCGCGCGCCTGGGGCCACTCCGCCGACGGCAGACACGTCGTCTGCGATCCCTCCACGACGACGCAGCCCAGGATGCCGCCTTGGCTGTCCACGACCGCGCAGCAACTGTCCTTGGCTAGAATCCCGTCTCCGAACACGTCGCGCTGCCCCGCGCGAGGGCACGCGAGCGGCTCGTCGACCGCGCCGCCCAGAGGCCCTTCGCACGGCCGCAGCGGCACACAGAAGGCGCCGGAGACGCCCTCGACGCGCACGGGCCGCTCGCCGACGTGCTCGCAGACGGAGGAGAGGACCCGCAGGCCGTGCGCGCTCTGGGAGACGGCCACTAGCGCCGCGCACAGGGCGGCGGCCGTCCGCATGAGCTGCTACTGCTTGCGTCTGTTGCTGCGTGGGGCGCGCGTCCGTCGGGGCGCTGAACCCTGCGAGTCTGTCGGTCTGCCTGTGGCTGCAGGGGACGTCGTTAGTGCTCGCTTGCCAGCGCTGATATGGCGCGGCGGGGAGCGCGTACCCACTTGGCGCGCTGTAACCGGCGTGCGTACCTTTGTCTACGTCCAGCTCTTGGGCGCGCGCGAGTGAGTGAACGCGTGTGTACGTGGGGGTACCCTCCTGCGGGGTCGAGCCGAGGCCTTATAGAGCGCTGGGCTGCTCCGGGCGGCGGCTGGCTGCGGGGCTATAGGGCGGATCTGACCACACGGCGGCGCAGCTACACACGCGGTTCGGGGGCTCGTGACTGGAAATGGCGTCCTGCTGGCCACGCCCGCCTCGCCTGCTGTTTTCGCCTTCCTTCCTTCCTTCCTGCGAGGGCTTCGCCTCGCGATCGACTCGGCGCTTTCGTGACTGGGGGCGATTCTCGAAGTGGCGGCGAACCCATTGCGGTCCCCCTTGCATCTCAGTTGTGGGTTACGCACTAGAAGGGCCATTTTGGCGTCCGGCGGTGGCGGACCGATCGACATGGCGACGGGCAGGGATTCTTTCAAATCGAGCCGCGCAGCGTGCGTGCCATGCGGCCTGAGCGACAGCCGTCGCTGGCAGATCGCGGCAAAGGCCGTCGAGCTGCTCTCGGCAGACGTCCTTGGTTCCTAGCAAGGCAGGCTGATCGCCCGCCGCCTGCTGAGCAGGGTGGTCATGGATTCCAGCAAAAAATCACGCAAGCGACACGAGCGCTCGCGGCCCTTTGACGCCACCTCCATCAAGCACCGAAGACGCCAGCGCTGCTCCGTTTCCGGCTGCTTCACCGTCTCTACGCCCGCGTTGACTCGACGACAGCGGCCCGCGCCTTCGCATTGAGCTCGTCATTGCCGCTGAGAAGTCCCCGGCAGGCTACTGTCCAGCATCATCGGTTCGTTGCCGCAGTCGTCAACCAGCACTTCAGCTGTACATTGCAAATGCCGTATATGTATTCGTGGCTCCGACCTACGCAGCGCCGGCGCCTTGGATGAGCGGAGCCATTCGTTGCCTGTCTGAGCGTGTAAGTCACGCCGCGACTGGCTCGTTCAGGTGGTCGAAAAGTGCATGTTGAAGTTGCCTCTTGACTCGCTGGCTGCGCGAACGGTCCGAGCGCAGGGGAATTGACGCCCAGTGTCTTCCTCGTTTTAGCTTCACCGTGTACGATAACGCTCTCAGTGGACGTTCGCTGAGTGTCGGCAACAGCGAAGCGAGAAGGACCAGCAAACGGACCGTCGAAATGTGGCATACGTTGAAGTTAAACCCCTCAAATCTACACTTATATAGTTCTCTTTCCGACTAGTGCTCCCGTCCGGGGCGGGGCAGGCCCATAATCTCGTGCAGCTCCTCCACCAGCAGCCCGTACGTGGCCTGGTGCCTCGCAGCTACCGGGTCCACCGTCAGCGGCGGCTGTGCTCTGCGAGATGCTCGGCGCGTGCGGATGCTGTCGAGCTGCGACGTTGCGGCTGCCAGCGATCGGTGGAGTCCCTCCACTTGCTGCCGCAGCGCTTGGAGCTCCGCATGACTCGCGCTGCGCTCGAGCTCCTGGGACTCGCGCCCTCCTTGGTCGTGCGCGTCCTCGTCGTCCTCGAGCATGGTGGAGTTGGACAGGGTCGACACGAAGGACATGTTGGACAAACTCGCGCTGAGGTGCGATTTCTCGCCGGCGTCCTGCAGCACGCGGCTGCTGGTGCGCGTGCGCCACTGGCGGCTCAGCGTCTCGGGGCAGAGCAACGTGAAGTGCTCGCTGTTGTTGATGAAGTCGACATCCATGCCGCCCTCGTTCGCAGCACCTTCAACGTCGCTGAAACCCGAGCGACGTCTCCTGCTGCTAACGGGGTCAGCATTTGAGCTACGAGGAATGGAACGTGGCGTGCGGACGGATGATGCGAATTGTTCCTCGCTGGCGGAAGTGCTGCTCGTGACGATGCTGGCGTCGCTCAAGTGGCGGTAGGATGTCGTTAGCGAGGACAGATCCGCCTTCATCCCGCGAATACGCTCCAGTAGGTCGTCGGCCTGATCGGTGCTGCTGCTCATATTACCACTCGAGGATGGCGTCGAAGCGATCGATGACTGGTTGCTGCCTCTCCGCTGCCCCCTGCGGAAGGGGTGCAGGTGATGCGGTTCTTCTTGGTTGGGGAGGGGGATGGCAACTAATGTATCGTACGTGTCGAACTCGCTCACCGAGTAGCTGCTGGAGCTGGACGACGACGCGTCCAAGTGGTCATCCTCATAGCCGTACAACCTGATAGCTCCGTCCGCGTAGCCGGCGCGCGTCAGTCGCGCAGACATCTGCGAGTCACTTGAAATGGAGAACGTGCTGCTCCCAGACGATAGCGACTTTGGTCGCGTATCCAGTTCATGCTCGGCGTTGTTGTTAGCGGAGATAGCGCTCTCACCGGTCGAATTTGTCGAGGACCGAGATAGCGGGGAAGAGTGGGCGTGATGCACGAATGCATCGTAGCCGCCAGGCGATTGCGAACCAGCGCGCGCCTGGACGACGCACGCTGTACAAATGCGCACGTTGGTGGTGGTGGTGGCTTCCACGTCCACCTCGCGCGCGGGGGCACAGGACGCACACACCACCTCTCCACAATGCCGACAATGGTGCTTGCGTCGGCGAAGAGCAAACGGTTTCACACAAACAGCGCAGGCCTTGCGCGCATCGTCGGCTACCCAGTCGGCCCGTGGCATGTGCTCCAGCTTACTGAGCCGCCGTCGCTCAAGAAGCAAGTCCAACCGTCCGACAGCAGATACGCGTCTGCGCATCCGACGAGCAAGCGCCTCCGCGTTCACTTTCCCGGTGCCGGATGAGGCCCCGACGCCTTCACTCGAAGCACCGAGAGCCGCCCCCTCCGCCATGCGCATCTGCAAAATGGATGTGACCTGCACCACGTCGGAGCGGTCCGTGGGCAAGATGAGGATGCCCGTGCGGTGGAAGTGGCCGCGGGTAAAACCGACTCCAGCTAGCGAGGGGACTTCTCCCTCTCGAGCGATCGACTCTTGGATGCTGAAGCCGAACAACTCGGACTCGCCGTTGGGGTCCCCTCGGTGGATCCCCGAGTGCTCGAGGAAGCAGTAGTCTGTGCCGGTGGGAGACCCCGATGTGTTGAGGGCCTTGCCGTCATCGAACGCTGCCCATTTGACGGTTGTGAAGGCTTGCGAGTTGTTGCTGGGGCCCCTTGACCTGTTGTTGGTGCCACTACCTGCGATCGTGTGCAAGCAAACTCCGTCCACAAAGCGCGAGCCGTGCAAGAAGTGCATCGCGCGACGATAGTCCTCCGTGACGGGCGACGCGAGCGCTTCCAGGGTCTCGCTGATGGTGCCAGCAGCAAACGCCGTCGCGCTCATCATCAAGCATGCCGACGCGACGGCCTGCGGCTGGTCGGTAGTTTTGCTTGGGGCTTCAGACGCCGACGGCGAGTTGGGGACGCTGCCGCTCCCTTCGATGCAGTGCGCCTGGGCGTAGGTCACGCCGTCCTTCTCCGCCATCTTCTTCCAGTCCAGCGTCTTCATGCTGCCGCGCAGAGCCCTGGCGCTCTGCTCACCGCACGCCACATAGCGGCGCCGCTCCTCGGTCGTGAGCCGCACCTGCGGGAAGAAGTCCGTCTTGACGGGAAACTCCATGGCCGCTGCGGTCGTCTTCGGTCTGCACTCGCTGCGGGAGCTTAGCTATGGTGACGTCGAGCGAGCCTGGTCGACCGAGTCTCCGACCGCAACTTGCACAATGCCGAGCAAGCGCTGGCGACTCTCGAGCGGCGCGGCGGTCGTTTCGTTCCTTCGACATTTTTACTCCGCGCGGTTCAGCGCCTGGAACGGCTGCAACGCGCCCACGAGTCTCTCGTGGCGGCGGCGAGGTCCGGTCCGGAGCCCAACGCAGCAGCAGAGACCCGAGCAGCTTGGACCTCGATCTTCTTTCGCGCGGCGGCGTGTGGCATGTGGTTGGGTGGCGCGCGGATGGTCTCGCACTTCGTCGGCACGGCATGAAGCTCGATACGAACAAGTTCGTGCGCGCGTGCCCGCATTGCTCCAGCAGCGTGGCGGTCACCACCACCACGCACGATCGCTCGTTTCGACAGCAATGACTGTTCCGCCCTGCAGTCCGCGGACTTGCGTGAAAAGACCAACGAGGATTCGCAGACTCGCCCGACCAAACGTCTCGCTCCATGATGCGGTCGGTGATTCCCACACCGGCCTCATCGCGGCGCCTGCATCCGCAGCGAGGCACAATACCGCGGCTGCACATGGATTTGAGAGCCCAAGACGGGGAGCTCCGGAACGTTCCTGCGCGCGGAGACGGCGGTCTCCATGGAGCTCGAGCCACCGAAAGCAGCAACGCGTTGGTCAATCCTATTCGACCGGCTCGTCGGAGGAAGGAGCCGGACTGCAACATCTTGCACATGTAGCCATCTCGGCGTCCAAGGTCTCACCTTGCACGCGTTGACTTGCCGTTTGTATGTTACACTTGAACAAAGTATGCAGTGAGTACAGTACCATAGCGACCCCATTTTCGGCCGGCCATCAGTTGACTCGCAGCCATGCTCGCTCTTCGCCGCCGCGCAGTGCTGCTGCGTCCTGCGCGTCGCGCGCTGCTCTCGACCGACGCCAATGCTGATGCTGGTGCTGATGCCGCGGCCTTCGACTTCGCGTCGCTGGCGGAGGACAACGAGCAGCTGCTGCCCGCGGCCGTCGTGACGAAGCGCCTGCTCGGGTACCTGCAGGTGGACCCCAAGGACGTGCAGCGCGTGCTCTCGGCCGAGGAGCTCCGGCCGCTGCCGTACAAGGCGCTGTTCGCCCCCAAGCAGGTGCAGCTGCTCACGCCCCTCGTGCGCTGGGGCTTTCAGCAGCTCACGGACGACTCAAGGGCGGCCGACGCCGTGTTCGCGGCGCTGCAGCCGCACGCCAACATGGCCAGGGGCGCCGTGTGGCGGCAGTACTACCAGCGCCAGTTCTTCCTGTCCGGGGCCCCGCTGAGGACGTACCTGCAGGCCTACAACGGCCACCGAGAAGCGCTGGCTGCCAGGGCCCAAACGGCAGCAGCGCAGGAGGAGGAAGGAGAGGAGGAAGACGTGGGCGAAGACGAGGAGGAGGACGTGGACGACGAACTCGCAGCGTCCGCCAAGAGCAGCCAGGTTGCTACGACCGGTAACAGGAGGATCAAGCACCCGAACAAGAGCAAGAGCATTGCCGTGCTGGCTGACGACAAGCAATGGGACTGGGTCCCCCTGCATGTGGCCTCCAGCGTCGTCAAGGAGTTCTGCTTCCGAGGACGCTTCGCGGAGGCCATCGAGGCGTACGCGTCGCTGCCGTTGACGGACGCGGTCCGTCGGGATGTCGTGGCCATTCTGCAGGACTATGAGCAGTACCCGTCGCTGCTGTATCTCTACGAGGTGCATCGCTCCATGGGAAGCGGGGTGCAGCCGCTGGACGTCGCGGCGGAGCTTGACGCACTGAAGAAGGTTGGGCGGACAGAGGAGATGGACACGCGCTTCCAGGAGCTGCCGGCCAAGGAGCAGAGTCGCGCTGACATCCAGGAGCTTATGGGCAATTGAGGAGGTGAATAGAGAGCTCATGGCCCTCGTTCGTGTCTTGCACAAATGAATGAACTCACACAGTGTTCCTCGTTACCTCGTTTCTAGAACTCAAAATCGCCAATGCCTAGGCTATCGACACTACAGTATTCCGCAAGTAGGCCGATGCTCCCTTCAACCGGTCTTCACCGCATACTACCTACTACTTACTGGAGAAGCTCACAGGACAGCGCTGTTGCTGTTGGTCGCGGTCATGAGCACCGAGTGGTCGGTGCCCATGACAGGCGTCTTGCTGTCCATGTCGTCGAAAGCCTGCTTCTTCTTGCGAATAGCCACGATGGCGGCCACAGCAACGGCACCCACGGCAGCGCCGATGGCCAGCACGATGTAGGCAGTGCCTCCAGAGCCGCCACCCGACGACTGCGTGTTCGCCTGCTCCACCTCGCCGTTGTTGTCGTTCGTCTTCAGAGTCGAAGGCGTGGTCTTCATGGTTGTGCCCGCCTTCTGGTAAGGGGTGGGCTCGGTCGTGGAAGACGCGCTGTTGGACGCGTGGCTGGCCTCGCTGTTCGACTTGCTGTTGGACTCACCGCTGGACTCGTCGCCCACGTCAACGTCGTTGGCGCTGGAAGTCTCGTTGTGAGCGCCAACCTGGCCCACGAACTCGTTCCACTGGCTGTCACCAGCATCGACGCCGTTCGAAGCGGACGCCGAAGAGCCTGAGACGGACGGGATCTCGGTGGGTGCTTCAGTGGCCGGCGACTCGGTGGGAGGCTGGGTCGGTGCCTTCGAGGGCGATTCAGTGGCCGGCGCCTCAGTGGGAGGCTGAGTCGGTGCCTCAGTGGGTGCTTCAGTGGCCGGCGCCTCAGTGGGAGGCTGAGTCGGTGCCTCAGTGGGCGCTTCAGTGGCCGGCGCTTGAGTGGGAGGCTGAGTTGGCGTCGCAGTGGTCGGCGCCGGCGCAGTGTACTGCTGTACCATGTTCTGAGCCTCGTTCGCAACCTGCTCGATCGTCTGGGCTGCACCTGACGATCCGCCGGGGCAGAACGTAACCGTGAAGTCAACCGAGCTGGGGCAGGCGTGCGTCTTGGTATCATCAGCCGGGAACTGGTAGCCGTCATCGCATCCGTCCTCCATGCACGTCACCGATACGCAGCGGTGGCCGTCCGTCTGGCTGGGCTCGATGCTCATGGCGACGTTGAAGCCCACACCGCCCGTGACGGCCTTGCACTCGTCAAGGCTGCCACAGTTACCGGGGCCCTTGCCTACGCCCGTGGGGATGATACTGATGTCGTACCAGGCTGCATTGTTGTCGGCCGAGAACTCGGCCAGCGTGGCCTGGCCCCCCGTGCCCTTGCGGTACACGTAGGCACCGCCCGGGGAGACCGTACGCGTGCTAGTGCCGCCCACCGGCAGCGTCTCGGTAGTCTTCGAGTCGAAGACGACGATGGACTCGGAGCACGAGTTCACGAGCGTGACGTCAAAGGCCTGGGCCTGGGCGAAGAGGCCGACGGCCACGGCCACCACGGCACTCACGGACGAACGCCAAACCATCTTGTCGAGGAACTTGGGGGGTCAGTGGCTAGGTAAGACGCGGAGGCTTCCGCGTGCTTCTCTCTCTGTCGGCAAAACGTAGAGTGGGGGCGAGAGAGCGAGCCGCCGCCACCGGCCGAGGGCCAAAGGTGCATTCAGTGCCTCCCGCCCCTCCCCATCGCGCCGTCGGTCGGAATGACAAGCTTCAGCTCCCTGCTACACACGCACCGCAATTGTCAAGTTGAAGGCGATTGGATCATCTCGCGCACAGCAAACTCGCCAAAGCCGGGTCGAACAGCAAGATAGCCGCGCGATCGTCCTCTTGCAGAGCCCCTCGTGTCCCTACGACACGGAGAGAGCACGTAGAGGTTGACCCTCTTGGCGTCTTGCACCGCGAAAAGGAGAGCTCTTCCGGTCTATCCCCGTCAAACTTTGACTCAAAGACGCGGGCGGGCACGGCAACTCCGTACGTACGTGGTGCGAGCCTGTACAGCGGTGGCCTCCGATGAGTCTGCAGTGGCCGTCAAGGGCTGGATCACGCCCGGAGCGGCGCGTCAAGGGGCGACGGATTCCTGCGGTCGAAGCATTCCTCCAATCGGACGTATGTAGCCATGTCAACCACTTGGTAGTCAAGACGCTTCAACTTGAGATTGATGGCATGGATCCCCGACCGACCGACACTTTTCTCTTGGGACGCGGTCCTTCATTTGCGAAGCAACCGCCAAGGACACAAGCGCGATACTTGCCACCGTTGTGCTCCGTGCTACAACGTGGCTCGGTGGCTCCAGGAATCCCAATGCAGCCGATAATACACTACCTCTTCCTGGACCTGGACCCGTTGCTGTTTACGATAAATATGCACTTGCTGGCGCAGCCTACAATTTTCCCCCAAGAACTCGCGCGGATGTCGGCAGACGGAGTCTTGCTGCGTGCCGAGCGACTGACGGAGCTGCTGGATGGGCAGCGCCTACAGCAGCCATCACTGGTAATCTGTCGATCCGGAAGCTACTTCAATGGGAGTCTCGAGAATGCGCGCTCTCTCCAAACTGCTGGGTGGAATCTGAAGAAGAAGGGGGCGCTCGATCACCGGTCGCTTGAGGATTTGATGGAGAAGAACCTGGAGCAAGTCGGGGCTTCTCGCCAGTCGGGCGGTGCACCGAAGAAGATGGTTTTGGCCACGGGCGAGCTGCGCCCTCCCACTCAAAGCTGCGTCCAGGCGTATTTGGGCAGTGGGTGGCACGTGAAGCTTTTTTGCTTGCAGCGTTGTTGGAGTCAGACACTTGATGAGCTGGGTAGAATGCACCCAGGGCGCTTCGAGGTGGTGTATCTGGACCAGCATCTGAGAGAGCTGCTTGCGAGTAACTCGTTAACTGCTGAAACTGCTTCGGCAAGGGCGAGAGGAGCGTCCTTGCTGTCGCAGATGGCAACTGATGGAGCATTGTGGAACCGAGCTAACGTTCGGCGCGGCAGTAGTCGCTCGGTTCCGCACGCACGAGCGTTGGCGCTTGCAACAGCCTCTCCAGGGCCGCCTTCGAGCTTCCGCCACCAAAATTCGTCTGAAGTGAGAAGCGAGGAGAACGATCAGGTCTGTAAGCAAGAGCGAGACGCAGCAAAGCGTCGCCAGAGCAGATTGGCGACGTTACCGAATGTCTACTCGATGGAGAATCGTGAGCGCTACGTATTCCTCAACTTGGACAATATTGCTGGTGTGTTGTTTACGAGTCACACGCTCTACCGTAGAATTGATGGAGCTGGGAGCCCCCAGGACGTTCGCCTCGACTTTCGAGCATTGACGCAGCATTTGTGCGGCGAGAGTGAGTCGGCAGCTGTGAAGTGCCAAGTCGCCGCGTATTGCAAGTCGAGTCCATATCTTGCGCGCGCTCTTGCAGGCCTTGGGTGGACTCTTATAGCTCCGATGACACCAGGGAGCAGTGATAATGGGCTGCATGTTGAAATGATGTCCAAACTCGTTGACGGTGCCTACACGGCCAGCGAGAAGACTCTAGTGCTTGCCATGGGCGACGGTGGCCTCGGTGGCACGAAGACGAATGCCTACCGCACAATCATCGGCAAGTTCCTGGAGCAACGATGGCATGTGGAAATTCACGCGTGGTTACACGCCTTGAACGATGGGCTAATTGACCTTCAGGCCCAATATCCGGGACGTGTCGTGGTGAAGCCGTTAGACGAGTTCATCTCCAATCTGGTTTACCCGAAAAATCAAGAGAGAGCTAAAGCATTTGGAGCGCTGGCTGAACCAGCAAACACTTCTCTCAACCAAGACCGACCCTTAGTCACACCGAGTGGTGTGAACGTGCCCGGTGGGTCTTCACTTGAGCCTTCTGTCACCAACTACACCGCTGGAACTTCTGTAGGACTTGCCACCCGTAATGTATCGGGTTTGGGACTGCATCCACCGCTACCACCGCCGCAGTCAACCGTGATGGCTTTGCAGCAGCAGATACAGCAGATGCAAGCAGCCTTTTCCGCGCTGCAAGCCAGCGTCTCTACTGAGCAGCAACTGCGGCAAGAAAATGATGAGCTGTTGAAAGGTATGCGCGAGCAAGCAAGCGCGTTCGAGGAAGAGCGGACGCGTCAAGCGGCTTCTGCAGCGCAGCAGGCGCACGACGCGCGGCTGGCACGCCGATTGCAACTCAAAGATCGCGAGGAGAGCTTGATTTGCCCCATTACTTGTGACCTGTACAAGGAGCCCGTGACTACCGTTTGCTGTGGCAAAACGTTCTCCGCCGAAGTCGTCAAGCGATTGAAAGAGTGCCCCTGGTGCCGCACGAGTAATTTGGCGACACACCCAAACCGTGACGTTGCGAGTTTGGTCGAGCAGTACTGCGCGGAGAGAGACGAGCTGGACGCGGAGGAAGGAGAAATCCTGTCACAGTAGCTATGTGCTGAAGGGAGAACGGCTTAGCGGCTTGATGTACTAGGCTAGCTAGCACTACTAGCTGAATGCACTCTGTTTCGTACTACGACAACAGAGATGGTTTACCTGTGTGTGTTGTCTGCCAACAAGACAGTTGAAGCTGCTGACAGTTGAAGTCTAAACCTTGAGACACCATAAGGGACGGGGCCATCGGCAATGCAAGGAGAGACTCATTAGCAAACTCTCACTTCATCCACGATGCCACTCGGCGACACGGAATTCGCATCGACAAACCGGGATGGCCACCTCGACGATGGCGACGACAGCAGGGTCATTGAGAGGAGCAATGTCGAGCGACGTCGCTACCGCTTGGTGAGGCTGCCGAAGATGTACACGCCTGGACACCGGAAGCGTTACCTCGTCTTGAGCTTGGACAACATTGCAGGCTCGCTGATGTTGAGCAACTTGCTATACGAGCGCATTGATGGAGCCACAAGTTCACGTGATGTTTACCTCAACTTTGGAGCGCTAACCAGACACTTGAGCGGCAGTAACCTGGTGAAGTTCCAACTAGCCACCTACAACAAGACAAGTCCGTGCGTCGCCCATGCGCTGGAGAGATTTGGCTGGAAAACAAAGTCCGTAGCGAGCGCTGATAAGACAATGTACAAGGAGTTGATGGGGCAGCTATACAAAGGAGCGGTGAACTCCAACGGGAAGACCCTGGTCTTGGCGACAGGCGATGGGTGTCTCGGTACTTGCAATACGAACGCGTATCGTGAGATCATTTGCATGTTCTTGAAGGAAGGCTGGTATGTGGAGATCCACGCGTGGCTGTACGCCCTGAACAACGGGTACCTGCGGCTGCAAAAAGAGCATCCTGGTCGCGTGGTGGTGAAGCCTCTGGACGACGTCATCTGCGAGTTGGCTCAGCCGAATGAGCGAGGATGCCGGCCCTGGTCGTCAGCTGACTCCATGAACAAGACCTCGCCAACTGAAAACAGTCATATCGAAGCTCGTCCCTATGCGCACCCCACTCAGCCAGCGTATCGTCGACCTGTGGGCGCACCAGAAGCTTGGAGTCAACGCGCCAGGGCTCCTGCGTCTGGCAATGCATCGGTTTGGCCCGCGTCGCTGGCGGAGCGTCTGTGCAGAGCGCCCTCGACCCAGCACCGCCTTAATCCCGCGCCTAAAGCGACACCGTCTCCACCTTCTTGGGCAGCAGTGGTCACGGAAGGCCGAACGCCTCGCACAGCGACACCTCCAACAGAGAACTCGTCGCCGGGGTCGTCGGTCTCTGATCTCGGTGGGTTTTCACACGCTGAAGAACCTTTGTCACCGACGACATTTGGTTGGCCGCCAGCTGCGTGGCGCCCTCCCGCTACGCCGCCGCTCCGTCCCCCAGTGCAGACGCTGCGCTTGTCGCCCATGCACTCCGGACTGATGTGGAGTCTGCAGCTACAGCAGATGCAGGACCTGCTTTCGTCGCAGCAGGCCGACCTCGCCATGCGGCAGACCGTTTTGCGCCAGACGACCGAGATGATGCGCTTGATGCGCGAGCAGGAGCAGCGCTGGCCGTCGGATAGCGGCGCCTATCGCCAGGCGAGAGACCCACTCAACCCGTGGGCCGGCGCGCGGGGGTTCTTAACGTAGCCAAATGACAGAGCACGACAACAACAAGAGGTCTGTCTACCATGTGATTGGCAAGTTGAAGTGCACTTCAACGCCGAAAAATGTTTTTTGTTCACTCGATTCCGTTCGCTAGTCAGAAGCGAAGCCATTTATTTGGTCAAAGAAGAGGAGGAGGAAAGGCTGCAAGTCGGCCGCCATACTCGAATTCCTGCAGCGATGCCCGCCACGCCCCACGCCCGCGCGCCGCCGCCTGCGCCCTCCAGCCCGTCCGCAGTCGCGGACTGCGTGCCCGTAGACGACGAGGAGGCCGCCAGGGCCGAGCGCGACGACGTGGAGCGCCGCCGCTTCTGGCTGCTCAAGATGCCGCAGCTGTACGCGCCCAAGCACCGCCAGCGCTACGTATTCCTCAACCTGGACAACACGGCCGCCTCCATGTTCATGAGCCGCTCGCTGTTCCGCGCCATCGCTGGGGCCCAGTGCCCGCACGACGTCCGCCTCAACTTCGAGGCGCTGACCGACCGCCTGTGCGGGTCCAGCTCGTCTGCTGTGGTCATGCATCAGCTGGCCACGTTCAGCAAGACCAGCCCGGCCATCGCTCGCGCTCTGGAGAAGTTCGGCTGGACGCTCAAGCCCGTGGGCAACGACGACCAGGCGCTGCAGGAAGAGCTACTGAAGCAACTGCACAAGGGGGCAGCCACCGCCAACGGAAAGACCCTCGTGCTAGCCACGGGCGGGGGAGGGCTCGGCACGGGCCATACGTCCGCGTACCAGGAGATCATCTCCAAGTTCCTGGTCGAGGGGTGGCACGTGGAGATCCACGCGTGGTTGCGCGCGGTGAACGACGGCTACCTGAGGCTGCAGAGCGAAAACCCGGGGCGGGTCGTGGTCAAGCCGCTGGACGATGTGATTCAAGACATCGCGTTCCTCAACAAGAACAAGAAGAAGAAAACCGGGGCGAAGCATGTTTGCAGCGTCTTGAACCAAGAGGAATCGCCGCTTACAGTGGCGGTGTCAAGCCCCGCATCGGACACTGCGTCAATTGTTTCTATCTGCAACACGAGTCGGTCGGACGGATCTCCTCGAGCGATTAGTGTATCGCCAATCCTGAAACGCGCGCACTCGATCCCTCCAGCGACATCTCCAAACGCTTCGTGGATCAAGGCGGCGATGCATGGGCAACAGGAGGCTTCAGTGGCAGCCCAGCCTTCTGACAGGCCTCCAGCGTCAACTTTTACGAGCCAACTCGAAGCCTTTGCTGCAGCGGCAACGTTCTCCACGCCCCGCCCCCGTGCCGAGTCTTCTCCACCAGTGACAACCTTCACCCCTAGTTCCCCCCCAACGGCTTCTCCCGCCTTCTCATCTCCAACGCCAACAACACCCGCGTCTCCTTCGCTGATGTCTCCATTCGCCCCGATGCCGTCGCAGCCAGCCTACCGCTGGATGCTGTGGGAGCTCCAGCTCCAGCAGATGCGGGAGTTGATCTCAGCCCAGCAGGCAGACCTCGCGATGAGGCAGTGCGCGCTCCAGCAGACGACGGAGCTGATGCGGCTCATGCAAGACCAAGACAAGAAACAGTGGCAGCCAGCCGCGTCGTTCCAGCAGCAGCAGCAGCCGAGCAACCCCTTGAGCGGCACGTGGGGGTTCTGATCGTGCAGCAAGCGACATCCAGTTAGCCAGCGTAGTTTATGAAGTAGCGTCCGAAGCACAGCAGTTAAGCAACTTAGTCGTCGGTCTCGCAGAAGTAGGAAGAGAAGCCCAGACATTTGTTTGCTTGCCGTTTTCAGTCTTTAGGTGCATGTTGCCAAGACATACGTTTTTCATGTGCTGGAAAGACCGCTCCATAGTGGTGTACCGCACACGAGAAACCAAAATCCTGCGCAATCTATGGAAGGATGCGTGGCCGAGCGGGCCCCGGGTCCAAAACGGAATTCGCCGCCCAGAGCCCCCACGCCCCGAGCCGCGAGCCCCCCTGCCCCGCCTGCACCATGGCCGCCGAGGACGCGCTGGGCGAGCTCTACGCCTGGGACTCGACCATCGAGGACGACGTGGCGCTGCCCGCGGGCGACCCCAAGCGCGACGAGGACAAGACGGAGGACGCGTACGAGCAGATCATCCACGCGGCCAGCAGCGACGCCGGCGACGTGGTGCTCAGTCTGGCGGCGCAGCTGCTGCACAAGCACTTCTTCCGCTTCCCGCACGTGCAGCTCAACGTCGTGGACGTGCTGCTCAAGCTCTGCGGGCCCAAGCGCTCGCAAGCCGTGCGCATCCACACGCTGCGCGCGCTGCTGCAGATCGCCAAGACGCCGCCGGCCGCCGCCGCCGCCAGCACGCCCACGTCCGCCGCCGCCATCGCGCGCAAGAACACGCGCATGTGGCTGCAGCGCATCGACGAGGCCGTGCAGCACATGCTGGACACGGAGAAGTCCTCCGTCATCCTGCGCCAGGTGACGATGCTGCGCCACACGCTCGAGGAGCGTCTGCTCACGGACCCGGAGGGAAAAAGCAAGGCCGCTGCGGACGCCAGTGGCGACGACCAGAGGAGCACCCAGACGTCGCCCTCGGAGCGCAGCCGCAAGAAGCCCAGGGACGAGAGCGACGCGGCGGACGCTGACGGCGCCGTGTCCGCCGAGCGCGACCCGAAGAAGGCCAAGCACGACGACGACGCCAAGCCTCCGACCGAGAACAGCAACATTATCAAACTGAACCGCGAGCCGAGCAGCGACAAGCAGCAGATTCTCAACGGCCGCCTGGTCGAGAGTGAGGGCCGACGCCGCACCGTCAGCGCCTTCTCGCCGCGTAACTGCCCACCCTGCCCGTACCTGTTCCTCGGCAGCGTGCCCCGCCACACGCCCAGCGACGACATCGTGGAGTTCCTGACCCCAGTGTGGCCCGAGATTAACAAGATGAGTGTGCAGATCAAGCAGCCGGACCACAACGCCACGGCCTACGCGTTTGTGAGCATGCCGACGATTGAGCACGCGCGTGAAGCCATCCACTACGTCAACGCGAACAAGTTCCGTGGCCGAGCGTTCCTGAACGCGAACTTCGCGCGCGGTCCGCCTGTGGACACTGTGCTGTTTGTGGAGCGAACGGGTGAAGATGTGAGCATGGAGGACAAGGGAGCTGTGCGTGACTTTGACTTTACCAAGTGTGACCCCGAGGTGTGGGACAATTTGTGCCAGCAGCTGGAGCGCTTTGGTCCGCTGTCTTTCGCTGAGAATGGCTGCGTGCGGTTCCGCAACGTGGAGCACGCCAAGGCGGCCATCCGCAAGCAGCTTTTCACTGTGAAGGGCTACGAAATTTTCCCCGTTTACGACACGAAGGAACAGTTTTCAATTGATTCGACGCGTCATGGAGGCATTCCGCACAGCAAACAAGGGTTTGCTCTGAAGTCGGGACGTCTTGGTAAGATTTGTGCTGAGTGGCTTGACGTCGCGTGCTATTGCGTAGCAACCAGTGTGATTCTATGATGATGCTGACCTTGCCTGTCCGTGACTTTTTGATACAGTTGGAGGAGATACGGACTATCGCAGCAGTAAGAGGCGCCACTACAGGGAGGATGATGACCCCATGGATGGAACAAGTGGACGTCGGGCGCATGATCGAGTGGCGTCGCTTAAATATGGGGAGCGTAGTGGCAGCGCCCGTAGCCCACCTCGTAGCGACCGTGGAAGTGCTCGTGGACGATCTCGTTCCCGCTCGCCGAGGCCTCACAATGTTAGTGGTCGTTACGTTGTGCCGATGGAGGGACCTCCAAGCGAGCGTCGATTGCCTCACTCGCGCTCTAGATCGCCTGTTACCTTGGCGAAGCAAGTTTCTCGCGAAGGTGGATACGGTACACCATCAGACAAGGAGAACCGTCGTGAGTACCGTGGCAAATATGGCCACAGATCCCTGTCGCCAGTGGATATCAGAAACCATGAGAGTTCTGTTCCTGTTGAGGAGGTGCGTGGGCGACCTCGTGAGCGCGGTGAGCGCGATGGTGCTTGGATGGGATCACGTGAAGAATCTCGTGAGCGTCGTGGACCGAGAGATGAAGGCCGAGGACGCGGTAGCTTCCACCGCGGTTCGTCTCCGTCCCCCTCCTCCTCGTCGAGGCGTAGCCGGAAGGACGACCACCGCTCAAGCGATTACCGACGTGGAGGTAACTCTCATGAAGAAGTCCGCCAATCGTACCGTCGTGAAGAAGAGGAGCGGGGTAGGATGCCCCCGCCACCGCTCTCTGGTGGTGTGCTTCAGCTCCCCCGCAGCCACAGTCGTAGTCCACCACGATTTGGAAAGTACGCGGGAGGGTCATCCAAGAGCCGTCCCCGGTCTCGCTCCCGGTCGCCCCCGCAAGACTTGAGGATGGGAAGCAGTTCGCACTCGCGAACAGGTGGATACCGCGGACGTGACGACCGTTTAGTCGGCAACCAAGTTCCTGAAGACCGGTCTGCTTTCCAGCCCGAGCGTCCGCGCTATGCGGATGACCGCTCCATTGCCGAGGTTGCTCGTGACGAACAGCAAGAACGTCAACGTTTTTTCCAGCAGCAAAACCAGGGCCGTCGAGACTATCATGATTCTGATTTGAGTCGCTACGGTGGCGGTCGTGGCGGTGGCCGTGGTGGAGGCCGAGGACGCGGCAGCAGAAGTGAGCGACCGCGCCCGGAGTATCAGGACCAACCGTCTTACCGTGGTGGTGGTCGTAATGGAGCGATGTACCCCCCGCAGCGCCGCTCTCCGTCCCCTCTACCCCCACCCAGCCACCACCGCTCGCAGTCTCCTCCGCCCCAGTCCCGTCGGCGCTCACCTTCGCCTCTTCCGCCTCCCTCTCAGCAACGTGAATCCTACGAGCGTGGAAAACGTGGCGAGTATGTGCCGCGCGGCCGTGATGCTGGGTATTCCCCTCCGCCGTCGCCGCTCCTGCAATCCTACGGCCCCGGGCCGTCGGGTCCGTCTGACCGCCAGGAGTTTGATTTGGAGATGACAGACCGAGACGGTCGTGAACCCAGCCGCCACGAGCGACGTCACCACTCGCGCCGTGATCGAAGTCGGGATGACAAGGGCCACCGCAGTCACCGCGACCGTGACCGCCGAGAGAAGCGTTCGTCTCGCCCTGAGCGCTCGCTCACTCCTTCACCTGTTCGTCGGGACCTTGCCTCTTCGTCAACTGGACGGAAGTCGAATGGACCTTCTCCGCGTCGGTCTTTCAGCCGCCGCAATGACGGTGATAACCAGGCAGAGGAAGCCTCTGGAAAGGACAAACTAGCTCGATCGAAGGACGAGGATGACTCGGAGCCGCAGCAGAAGGAGATGAAGAATGGAGGAACGCGCATGGCGCGTGACGAGCTGTTCGCGGGCATGGATGATTTGACCGTGGACTATGAAGAAGACGACGAGTAAAGCAGCACAGATTGCATTGCTGATGCACTGTGAAGTTGCCAAGTGAGGCAAGTTTGACAGGAAGTTGTGGCGTCGTTGGTTGGGCATGCATGCATTGACTTGAATTGGTCTGACCTGAACACGCTGGTGGCCTCAGCGCAAGATTTAAGCGTGAAGTATCGTGCCTTGTCGAGTTGCTGAGACTCACGAAGGAGGACGCTGGGAGAAACGTGTATTGCTTTCTAATACGTGCGAATCTGCTTGATGTCGCCTTGGCTTTGATTGTGGCATCTCTTCCTTCCTTTGAACCCTTGACGAACAAGTGATAAGTACAGAAGCAAGCAGGAGATTAGCTTCCAGAGTGATTTCGAGCTTGTGTTTTTGGCTGCAACCGGTTCACCTCTTAATGGAGCAGTGAGCGAAAGCCTCATGGCGTGCTGCGACCCTTCCGCGACGGTTAGCTTGAAGGCGACCTTCCATCGCGAGATTCCCATTTTGGACACTGACGTCGAAGTTCATCTTTGCCACGTTGTCTCCTTTTGCCCCCACCCCACCCCCCTTCGCCACCCCCCTTCGCCCGCTGTCGCTGGTGCTATTTATTATTTATTATCGCTTATTTATTGCCACGTCACGGAGTGTGTGGTGGAGGCTTCCAGTTCGTCTGCACTACCCTACGGCGCGTGGCCTGGCATTTGACCTTGTGGTCGTAAGCCTCATCATATTTACTTCGAAGTGTTTGGCAAGATCGTTTTTTTTTTGCGGTTGCGTTCATCGATTTCCGGACCGAAGAAGGCAGCGCTTTTGGGCGTGGTATTGGATCCTCCTCTTGCGCAACATTCCTCACATCGGTTTGGCAAGATGGGTGGTTCACCTTACCGACGCTGGAGTTTCTTCGATGGAGCTGTTCAGGACAATTGCAATAAGAGCAGAAATATGAAGAAGGAATGGCGACTGAAGATTGCTAAGCCCCCTCTCTGCAGGTAGCACTCTCTGCGCTTTTGGCATCGACTTGAATCTCAGCGATGTTGCTGATTACCGCGTTCGTATCGCGTTTCCGCCCGATAAAGGAAGCGATAGTGGTGAGAAGTGTGAGAGCTTGTAGCACTGATAGTCATCACTGTAGTTGCTGATTAGACCGACACACATGAACGAAACGATGAACAAGACCTGAGCTTTGGTATTATCCTGCTCTAACGCATGTCAGTCCACCCTACATTCTTGCCGTGCTTGCGTGCAGGTAAGTTAGTCGTAAAACTCAACTGGGTGACGAGGGGCGTCACTCTGCTTGAGCTCTAGTTGTACCTGGCGCTCGCCCGAAACGTCCATCATGTGCTGGTCGTCTTCCTCGCGGTCGCGGGCCGCAGCTTCCTTCTCCTCCTGGATACGCGCCGACGGTGGTGCGACCGTGAATGGAACGCTGGGGACAGGCTCGATCTGGCGGAGGTTCTCGTGGATAGAGCGCTTAATTTCGTCGAGGTACGCAGGCGTGTTGAGGTTTTCCATGTTGCTCACAGGCAGGTGAAGACGGTATTCGGGGCCGTAGTATTCGAAGTAGTCGTTGTAGGGCATCGCGTCCGGGATGTCCACTCCCACCAGTAGCGAAGCCTCGTAACACCAGGCTCGTGCCACGTTGCGCAGCGTGTAGCCACCGCCGCCCACGACGAGCGTGGGGATGTTGAAGCTCTTGACGTACGCGACGCAGTCCGCGTGACCCTTGGCCGACAGGTTGAAGCTGCCAAGTCGGTCTCCAGAGAGCGAGTCCGTACCGCACTGCAGCAACACAGCTCCTGGCGCAAAGTGTTCCATAACCTTGGCGATGACGCTGCGGAAGATGCCAGTGAAGCTCTCGTCGTCCATGCCGTCACGGCAAGGGAAGTTAACGGCGTAGTGCTTGCCGTCCCCGTGGCCGATATCCTTGAGGTCACCCGTACCAGGGAAGAACTCGCCGTACTTGTGGAACGAGCACGTCATGACGCGGTTGGTCGTGTAGAAGGCCTCCTCCACGCCATCGCCGTGGTGGATGTCAATGTCGATGTACAAGACGCGCTGGTGGGTCTTCAGCAGCTCCAGGATGCCGAGCACGCAGTCATTCACGTAGCAGAAGCCGGAAGCCTCCGAGCGCTTGCCGTGGTGCAGACCACCCGAGTAGTTGATGACAATGTCAGCCGAGCCGGCGTTCAGCTTGGCGGCGCCGCCGATCGAAGCCGACGCGTAGAGCTGGCAGAACTCGAAGAGGCCGTCAAAGACCGGGCAATCCTCGCCCACGTTGAAGCGCTGCAGCTGGCGCAGATACTCGTGCATGTTGTCGGGCGTCACGAGCCGCAGGAAGTGAATGTAGTCGTCCGAGTGGAAGCGCGTGAGCTCCGTCCAGTCAACGAGGCGGGGACGCTGTCAACCGCAGCAGCAAAAGCAGTAGAAGGATACAACAGCAATAAGCTCGTGAGATCATGACGTAGGCTGGGAAAACGCCAGCAATTGCAGCTGCTGACGTACGAAGACTTCCATGTGCTTGGTGAGGCCGTAGTTGGTGATGAGGTTGTGCGCCATTCGCACGCGGTGCGGCTGCAGGACAGGGAGGCAGGCACCAGCACAGTCACGGATTTATAATCAGCCAGCCAGTCTATCGCCCGCATCAGCGGGAGGCGTGGTGGGTACGCACCTTCATGGGGTGGTTCTGGCCGTAGTGGTAGTTGCCGATGTCCGCTGCGTTGCGTGGAGGAGCGAGCAAGAGGCACAAAGTGGGCAGAAAGAGTTGTTGTTAGGACGGGACAACGTCAGCACAGCCAAAGGAGGGAGGACCAACGCACAGTCGTAGAAGTAGGCGACGCGGCGCTTGGAGGCGACGGTGCCGCCGCTGGTGAGCGCCACGGAGCTGCCGTTGGCGCTGCTCATGCTCGTTGTCTTGGGTGCTGCGATTCTCAGACGGAGGGGGACCCGAAAAGTGTGCAGCATTTGGTGTGCCGCACACCGTCCCGCTATGTGGCGCACACGACCCAGCCGGAAACAGACAGCCAACCAAAGCGCGGCCCGGCCTTATCTGGGCGCACCCATTGGCGGCAACGTCAAGTCATTCTCAGAAAGAAGCCACACGGCCCCCCGTCCGCCACTCACTCAACTCACTCAAGGAGCGAATTGTGGCAAGCATGTCGGACAAGCCCGTCGCGGAGCAGGACACGGTGGTGGAGGTGGACCACCACGACGGCCGCGGCTTCCAGCCCGTGGACGGCGTGACCGAGCAGGTGGCGCAGCTGGCCGTGGGCGAGGGCGACGACGAGGAGGAGGAGGACGACCTGGCCAACCTGCCCAGGAACGTGCTGCTGCGTCTGGACGCGCTGCGCAAGCTGCAGGAGGCCCAGGCCGAGGTGGAGGAGGAGTTCGAAAAAGAGCGCAAGGCGCTGGAGCTCAAGTACGAGAAGCTCTACCAGCCCTTCTACCAGCAGCGCGCCGAGATCGTCTCGGGCGCCAAGGAGGTGGAGGCCGTCACGGCCGCCGCGGCCGAGCCCCAGGAGGGCGACGCCGACGCCGACGCCGAGGAGAACGTCAAGGGCGTGCCCGGCTTCTGGCTGCGCGCCTTCATGAACCACTCGATCCTGGCCGAGCTCATCCACGAGCGCGACCTGCCCGCCTTCGAGTTCCTCACGGACGTGCACTCGGTGAGCCACGAGCAGGACAACGGCTTCAAGCTCACGTTCGAGTTCGCTGAGAACCCGTTCTTCACCAACAAGACTCTGACCAAGGAGTACGACATCGGTGACGCCTCGGAGCTGGGCGAGGCCGTGCTGCGCAACGTGACGGGCACCGTCATCGAGTGGAAGGAGGGCCAGAACCTGTGCGAGGTCACCAAGAAGGTCAAGCAGCGCGCCAAGGGCGGCAAGGGCGAGACCCGCGTCGTCAGTCGCACGGAGCCCTGCGAGAGCTTCTTCCAGTTCTTCACGCCCGTGGAGATGCCGTCCGAGGAGGACGACGAGGACGTAAGTTGCTGTTACTTGTTGTGTATGCGAAAGGATTTACACCTGTCGGACCAGTCAGGCTAACTCTTGTGTTTTCTATTGCCGCCTTGCAGAGCGAGATGATTATGCGCCAGCTGAGCGGCGACTTCGAGATTGGCTTCACGATCCACGAGACCATCATCCCCCAGGCCCTGCTGTGGTTCACGGGCGAGGCAGTCGAGGACGACGACTCGGACTACGACCCGGAGGAGGACGAGGACTACGAGGACTCGGACGAGGAGTCGCTCTCGGGCGACGAGGCCCCCAAGCCGCGCCGCGGCAAGAAGAAGTTCCCCGCCCTCGAGGGCGGCGCCAACTCGACCGAGAAGCCGCCTGAGTGCAAGAACCAGTAAGCTACCTACTTGTTCATTGTATCGTTTTGCGAGAGATCGATGCGTCGCGACGAGCACATTTTATATTAAAAGAGAAACTTCGAGCAACGTCGTCACGCAGGCATAGTGGCGGCGGCAGAGAAATGTAGCCATCAGCCTAGTGCTCTGGGGGGTCTGGTAGTACAGTTGTGGGAATATTGGCTAGTAGTCATACTACTACTACTTTCCAAATTCTGGCAATAGTAGAATGCTATATCTATTAGTAGTAAGGCATCGGTGGTACTAATAGATGGTACTAATATGACTACTGATAAGACTACTAATATGACTATTTGACCATCATTCCGAATTCCGACCGCAATGGCGCTTACTGGCCTCCATATGCGAAGTATGAACTGCAACTGTAGGTGCGCGCTGTCCGTTGTTATCCTAAGAGGATTCCTCACGAAAGACCCGGTTTAGACGCGCTTGGCTACGAGCAGCGTTCAAGCACGAGTAAGTTTTCGCGATCCTCCGCGAAACACACGTAAATGCCTCCTCAAAGCTGCTCAACACTCCAGACCTTTATATTGCGTCTTCTATTTCACACGATCTCCGTTATTGCACTCTACCTTGCCTGAATATTGCGGTCGGAGCATTGCTCGATCACAAGCGATAGAGTGAGGTACTTGATTTAGAGTAAAGTGATGACTTCTGAGTAACTTCGCAAATGGCTTCTGGTTTCTTTTCCATGCCCAGTATGGCAACCTAGAAATGAGATGAGGAAGGCACAGCGCAAGTATACATGGGGAGGAGATCATCGGCATACATGTACTGCCGAGAAGAGGTTAATACATGTAGGAAAGTTAAGCGTCATCAAGCCGAAGACTATACAAACACTACCCCAGACTGCTTGTAGTATGCTATTCACTTCGTTTGTGCCAGTTCAACAGCCAGCACCTTACGTTGATGTATCTAGCTTCTAGTTTATACAGCAAACTAACTCCAAAAGAAATAATGTACTCGAAAGTTGAAGCATGTTACTCTTACTCAGAAGTCAGGAGAATACTAGGACGATTCTCAGATGTACAGTTGAGTGTAGGCTCCTGGGAGTCGGTATCTCCGCATTAAAGTCCCTGGTAACACGAGTGCGGCCGAAAAATCAGTATGGCGAGCTGCTTAGTACAATTGAAGCTACAAAGGCAACCACGAACAGCAGCGTTACCTTTGAGATTACGTTAGCTTGCATTGTCACACAGCACGTTGTTGCACAAATGATGCACCTGTCGGCCGCATACACAGCACCGAAAAGTCTCCGATATGGCACTTTGGTGGCAATCACTCTTCGCGCACTTCATGACACGTTTGCGTGAAGTTGGAAGCCTAATGAGGGATCCTGACTGGTGCGTGGCCCCTCACTCGTGCGATCTGCCGTCGGTTGAGGAATGGGTACACTAGTAGCGATAATAGCACTACTATTCATGTTTCGTTTGGCTACTATATAAATAGTACTACTAATGGCTCCAATCCCAGAGCTATATTAGTAATAATAATAATAATAATAATAATAATATGCCTACTAACACTACTATTCTGGAGACTACTACCAAACCTACACTGTGCCAGACCATGCGAGCCTTGTCGACACACACACTCGTTGCGATACGCAGGCAATGCACTGGAATCGCGCCTAGATTTTGAGTTGATTTCGGCCAAATATGGGTCCGATTTTGGGCTATCATCCATGCGGTGGGTGCAGTTTTCGGAGTATACCGCTCTTACCGTCTCATACCTCAACGCGCCGCGCCGTCCGCAAGTACCCGGTCCAACCCGAGCGCGTACAGCCCCTGCCAGCCATGTCGGACTCGTTCTCGTGCGGCGTGACCCGCGACCTGGGCATCTTCGACTTCTTCCGCAGCCGCACCCTGTCGCTGAGCCGCCGCGAGTCGCGCAGCTCGTCCCAGTCGGCGTCGGCCGCGCCGTCCAGCAGCTCCAAGGGCCGCTCGCTCGCGCCCTCCGCGTCGATGCCGCCGCCTGCTCCATCGTCCGCCTCCTTCGCTGCCTCCGCCTCCTCTTCTGCTACTGTTCCTCCGCCCCTGCCGGAGTCGCTGGACTCGGTGGCCACCACAGCGTCGGATGCGTCCTATAACAACAACAACAACAACAACAACAACGACCACCTGAGCGACGACGACGACGACAGCGACAGCGACTCGGACGACGGCTTCGGCTCAGCCTCGAGCAGCGTGGACAATAGCAGCAGCAGCAGCAGTGTGGGCAGCGCCATCACCAAGTACGAGGTGGTGCGGGAGCTCGGGCGAGGAGCGACGGCCGTGGTGCAGCTGGGCCGCCTGCGAGGCGGAGAGGAGCTGGTGGCTCTAAAAGTCTTCAAGACGTCGCTGCTCAAGAAGATGCGCGAGGTCAAGCGCGTGGGCAGACGCATGGTCGTGTCCACGGCGCTGGACAAGGTGCAGGTGGAGATCGCGATCATGAAGAAGCTGCACCACCCGAACCTGCTGAACCTGCTCGAGGTGTTTGACGACGACTCGGAGACGCTCGTGCTGATGCTCGAGTACGCGCCGTCGGGTCAGGTGATGCAGTGGTATCCCGAGGAGAGGCTCTACAAGAGGGAGAAGAGCAAGAGCAAGAAGAGCTGCTTCAGCGAGGAGGAGCTGCGCTCGTGCGTGCGTCAGCTGCTGCTAGGCCTGGAGTATCTGCACGAGAACAACATTTGCCACCGCGACTTGAAGCCTGAGAACATTCTCGTGGGCCAGGACGGCACGTTCAAGATCGCCGACTTCGGCGTCGCCCACTTCTTCGAGGAGGACGACAAGGAGGCCAAGGCCACGGCCGCCGGCATGACTGCCTCCGCTACAGCGAAGCCGCATAGGAAGGGCTACGTCTCCACAACAGCCGGCACGTACGCGTTCATGGGTCCGGAGACGCTCAAGGGCGGTGAGTACAGCGCATATGCAGCCGACATCTGGGCGCTGGGCATTACGATCCATGCGCTGGCCTTCGGCACGATCCCGTTCTACGACCCGGACGTTGTGACCCTGTTCGAGATGATCGAGAAGAACCCGATCGAGCTCGAGAACAACGGCGACGGAGCACCCGATGGTCTGGTCGAGCTGCTCTACGGACTGCTGGAGAAGGACCCGGAGAAGCGCTGGTCGCTGCAGAGGTGCAAGGAGCACGCGTGGGTGCTGGAGGGACTGACCGAGGACCAGAAGCAGGAGTACATCCAGACGAGCTACGAGGCCGTGACCGTGGGGCCGGAGGACCTGGCTTGCGCTGTCACTCGTGTGACGTCGCTCAATGTCATTCTGCGGGTAAAGCTCGGGGCCAACAAGTGGAAGCGCCGAGCGATGAAGACGCTTGAGGGCCGGCGGAAGTCTCTGCAGGACGGCGGCGGCAGCTTCGGCGGGTCGCCCACCTCGCGGTTTTCGGGCGTGAGCGTGCCCGAGTCCGTCGATTCCGAGCCCAAGCAGCCCATTCCCACCCCCACAGAGCCTGCCAGCAACCAGCTTGAGATTTAAGGAGCTGGCTGGCAACATATGTAGCATTAGCGTTGTAAATGCAGGGGTCTGGGTGATTATTTGGGTTATGGGTATTTTGGGTCTGAATCCCAAAAAATCCCGTCTGGGATAAATTGACGAAAGCGGAATTTAATATTTCTGAAAAAATGACTTGTCAAATGTATCAAAATATCCCAATAGTTCCAACCCACCCACCCAAGCTGCTATGATCACCCACCCACCTCTGTGGAAAAACATGGGTTGTTAGGAACAAACATGACTTGATCCAAAAATATATTCCAGTGGAACAACGAAGGGTCGCGTTGTTCCACTGGACTTGAGTATTGAAACATCCGCTGGTAATTTATCCGTAATCTATCCGGCTTTTATCCAGATTTTCCTTGTTCCAAACCCGGAGATATTCCAACAACTAAAGTTCGCAGTTCGAAGAACTGTCGATTGGGGAAGGTTTTGGATGGTCCAAAAAACCATTCAAATGCACGGAATTTTCTACCGGAAAGTTTCTGAGCACAACACGGCAAAAGATTCTGCTTTGGCATCAGCGCACATTTCAGTGGCAGGAAGGAAGGAAATTACGTCGACTAGCTAGTTGTCGATGCTTGTTCTGCTTAAGCTTACTACAAAATAACTAAAGTTAAAACTGAATCCGTCGAATCTTGATCCGACGAGCAGGAGGAGCCCGAAGCGTTGAAGTACCAACTCAACTAACTCTGCGTTCATGTTCAATTCATCGGAGTGGCGATATATAGACTGGAAACGGCTTTGAAAAGAAGCGATCAAACTTGGTACACCTGGTTATACAGTGATAGATTAGGCAGGAGATGCCCGAATACATCGTTTCCCTCTACAAGTATCCGTACAAGCTAGCTTCGAACTGCGAAACCCGGGTCCCCAATTCTCTATTTACTCAATTGAAATGGCCTTAAATTGGCACCTGCAGACAATCTCGTACTTAAGACGTACTTAGTCTAGTACATTCCCCGACTTCACCTGAGTTTTTCGGAAGAGCGTGAGGGACTCGGGCGCCGCCATGCAGCGCTACAGCCTCGCGCAGTCGTCCTACCAGGCGTCCAACGAGTACTACAGCCGCAGCGACCGCCTGCTGGAGGTCTCCAACCGCTACCGAGGCAGCATGGACTCGAGCCGGGACGCCGCGGCGCCTCTGCTGCCGGGCGACAACTACGGCGCCTACACGTCCATGGCCCAGACGCGCCAGCACCAGCACCGCCAGCACCATCGCGCTAGCAGCAGCAGCGGCAGCAGCCTCCCGGTGGTCGCGGCGGCCGCGGAGCTGGACGAGGAGGACGAGTACGCACTGCAGCTGCTGGCCTACCGGTCCATCTACGTGCTGCAGGGCGCCTTCATGGGCATGCTGGGCCCCACGCTCGTCTTCTTCTCGGACCTGGCGGCCGAGCAGTCGGGACTCGCCGCGCCCGTCTACGGCTTCGGCCCCATCTTCGCCGCCCACGGAGGCGCCGCGCTCGTCATGAGCTTCATGAGCGACTTCGTGCTCACGTACTTTACCGAGAAGGACTTCATGAAGCAGCTCATCGTGGTGCTGCTGCTCTGCAGTGGGGCCTGGTACGCGTGCCTCACGCCGGTGGCCGCCGCCACGGGCAACGTGGGCGTCGGCGTCTACTTCATCGCCAAGGGCTTCTGGACGGCGCTGCTCAACATCACGTGCGTGCATCTTCTTGCTGGAGGCTGGGTGGTGATAACATGATGGCTAGCAGCAGCAGTGAGGAGCTGATGTGGTGTGTTTGGTTAACGTTGTCTGCTGTAGGTTAAATCGATGCTCGCTGTGGATCGCTGGAGAGAAGGATCCGCGCAGACGTGGAATCATCACATCCATGAACATGAACTACGGGGTCGGCTGCGTGCTGGGCGCCGTCGTGGCGTTGGTACTTACGAAGCTGGACATCGACATGGGCTATGCCTTCTTCGGACTGGCCATCATGACGGTGTTCCCCGCTGTGCTGGTCGCGATGCTGCCGAGTCCGCACAGCTACTTCGGGCGGGACGAGCATCAGACGCTGCTGTCTTTTGAGGACCCCACGCGCCGCGTCCCGACCGTGCCGAGCCCCATTGTGGGCGGCGTCTTCTTGCACGCCAAGCACATCAGCGGAGGGAAAAACTGCAATCCCGACACGTACGACTCCAAGAACAACTTTATTATTCTGCTGGTGACCATCTTCGCCACGGTGCTGTTCGGAATCCAGCTTGGACTCGCCGCCTTCTTGTACGACTACATCGGTACCGTACTAACCGAGGGCGCCAAGTTGGCCGCCAAAGAAGGATCGTCTAGCAGCTCGTCGTTTTCAAGAACCGGGAGCGTCGAGAGTGAAAGCGAGGCCACCCAAGCAGTGTGGCAGTGTGCACTCATGGTCCTCTTTTGGGGGTCGTTGACGGTGTCATACATGGTCCTGCCAGGCTTCTTGTTCCACGACAAGAACCTCTACTCTATCGTCATGTGCTCGGTGGTGTGCGGGGCTAGCTCTTTTGGCCTCCTCTTCGGCGCGGAAGCTGGGCTAATCACCTTCACGGTGTGCCTCTTCTTCTTCTCGTCCGCGCTCGCGCCGCTATTCACGTTGAGTATCCACTGCCTGACGCGTGTGATCAACGACCAGCTTATCCGCCGAGTGTCGTCGCTCATTGTGTTCGGCTGTGGCATGGGCGAGGTCTTCATTCCGGTGCTGATGGGCTTCTTCATGAGTGGCCAGAGCGGACAGGCGAACGGAGCTGTAGCCGTAAGCTACATCGCCTTCATCCTGGCCATCACGCTGGTTGGCGTGAGCGGGATGCTGCTCTGGATGGTCAAAGCGAGACTGAAGGAGCTGCCGGAGCCCGTAGACGAGCTCGAGGGCAACAGCGAGATGGGGCGTATGCGCGCTGCACGAGCTGGTCAATCTGCAAGAAAGAGCAACCAGTATTGACGTCAGAAATATAGACACCAGAACGAGCTGTTCATTTGGCCCCCACGATACATGTATTATTCTATGATCCTTGGGTTCCAGCTTGCCCAGTTGAATGCCCCAGTCACTTTCGTTCCAAGGGGCTTCTTGGGTTCCAGCTTGCCCAGTTGAATGCCCCAGTCACTTTCGTTCCAAGGGGCTTCTGCCGGCACAACAAAGTTGCTGGGGACATCACGATGCCCATGCAGCTCCTCGTACGTGGCAAGCATCGGCTCGACACGTTGCTCCCACTTTCTTTGAGCAATTGACACCTTAAAATCCATCGATTCCAACTGGTCCATGCTTCTAGCGAGGTAGTCAAAATAGTAGGAGAAGGCGCGAATGTTGTTGAACGAGACGCCGAGCTTGAGCCCGTGAGCCCTTTCCGGCCACTCGTCACCTGACGGCACCACAAATCCCCTGGTAAGCCTGCGGCGATTGCCGTGATTGCGGCGATTGCCGTAATTGCGGCGAAATGCCTTCAATGCTGGCAAAAGGCGGCCGTTCCATTCCGAGGACGCGTGATCCCACACAAACTCGATCTCCTTCAACTCGGCGTCGTCTCGAACCACTTGGTCCGCGTAGTAGCCCTTGCTTCGGATGTTGTTAACTGTGATACCTAGAGGCAGCCCCGCTGCAGCCTTCGGCCACGGCGGATAGTCCGGCACCTTAAACGTTCTGTGCACGGCGCAATGGCCAAACTCCTTGCGAAAGACCTTGAGCGACGCCAGCACCCTTTCGCGCCAGTCGCGTTCGTACGTGGTGGAGTCGTAGCAGAACCTGATCTCGTCCAACTCCGCAGCATCCCGTTCGATTTGAGCTTTGAAGTCTCCACGGTGGCGGATGTTGAACACCCGCGGGCCGATGTAGAACCCCCGCAGTCTCTCGGGCCACTTGGGGTCGCTCTCCGGGATGCGGTAGGTCTGCTGTACATCCGAGTCTCCGTGCAGCTCGAAGTAGCGGCGCAGAGAAGGCTTGAGGAAGTGCTCCCACATGTATTGGCTGCGGTCGAAGGCGAAGTCAAGCTCTTCCAGATCGTCCTGAGCGAAGCGCGGCAACTCCTGGCCCTTCCTCCAACGAGTCCGCAGCCACGCAGCGTGCTTGCCCAGGGGGTACCCCCAGGTCTCGCGAGGCCACGCGTCGTCGTTAATTGGGACGACGAAGGAGATCGGCACCATCAGGTGCTTGTTGAGATCGAGGAACGTGCGCAGCGCAGGGGCCACCGTCTCGTGCCACACCTCCTCGCTGGTTCCGTCGATGCCCTTGGGAGGGATGCGGAGAGCCGCGTCCAGCGAGAAGAAGCGAGGAGATGTTTCGACCTTGCGCTGCAACGCAGCTGCAGACGCGCGATAGACGGACGTGTGTGGGGCGGCCAGGCGAGCAGAGCGCGCGCGGCATCGTGATGCCGCCGCCGCCACCAGCCTCAGCATCGCGGACTGCTAGACGCACGCAATATCGAACTTAGTGGGATGATAAGCTTTCCATTTAAGTACGTATATTTTTGAGACCGTTTTATGTACACAACTTCAAGTTGAACTTGCCTTTTTTGCAATCGAATTGGAGTTGCGTTGCCTGCGCCGCTGAGGCGACGCGGGGAAATACAGAGCGCAGTGTGGAGCGGGTGCGCTGGATTCCTGCGCCGTCCCGCCTGCAAACTGCACGCACCTGCGTTTCTCACCTCTTGACTGCGCTAGCTAGCCACTCGACGGCGAGGACAGGCGATGCGATGTGGAGGAGGCAAACCAGGCTTCCACTCAGCTCTGGTTTCCCTTGGGGCCGGTGGCGCTACAAAGAGGCTTGTTGCCACGCCGAACGAAATAGCATCGTGACTCGTTGCGGCCAACGCCCTCAAATCTGGCCAAAAAGCTTGCAGGCAAGACACGGCCGCTCCATGTTCTGGGCTAAAGATGGCCCTAAAGCGCGGTAGTCCAACCGATAAGAGCAGGAGGCCCTCGCGGGTCTCGAGCTCTCGACGTTCTCCTGCGGGCTGTTTGAGGTAGGGATGCACCGTGAGATCCGCTCGCGAGCGCGAGTATTGACTGCTTTTAGCCCCCGGCGATACATAACGGCAAGTGAATAAAATAAGCCCAGCGATAAGAAAGTCGCTGCGGGGCAACGGCGATGTTAGCTATCTGTGGGCTGTAGTGATAGTTGGCCCCAAATACGCTGCGTACGCCATCCATACTCAAAAACTGCCCACGACTGCTCGCTCACCAGGTCCGCAAAACTCTTGCAAGCGTTGCCCCATCGGGGGTCGTCACAGCGTGCACTCCGCTTTTCGCCCCGCCCGACCAGAGCCCAACCAGTTCAGGTGATCGACGGTCTTTAACATGCCGGTGGTTCATGACCGATACCGAGTCATCTGCAGTCTCAGCTCCACGCTCTACGGCTGGGTCTTCGCCTGCGAGGACATGCAGGGCAGACTCGGCCCAGCCCCGCCTGCTACCGCCATTGCACCCGTAGTGATCAAGCAGGTCTCGCTCGAGCGCATGGCCGCCTTCATGCGCGACCACCCGCAAGAAGGACACACGCCAGACAACCCCATCGTCGAAAAAGAGGTCGGCGATGCCGTCCGAGCCGCGGGAGGCCACCCCAACCTCGTGCAGTACACCGACTCGTTCGTCGAGCAGCAGACGCTGTACCTCGTCATGGAGCACTGCGCCGACGGCGACATGTACGACTACCTCAGCAGGCGCCGGCAGCGCACCATGTCGTGCATGAACGCGCTGAGCGTGCTCTCGCAGGTGGCCGCGGGTCTGGCCTTCCTGCACCGACACGGCATCGCGCACCGCGACGTGTCACTCGAGAACATCATGCTGCACCGCGGCCGGTGCAAGCTGGGCGACTTCGGGCTGGCCACGCGTGCTCGAAGTGCGGGCGGCCGTCACGTGGGCAAGAAGTACTACATGGCGCCGGAGATCGTGGCGGGGGGTCCGTACGATCCGAAGGCCGCGGACGTCTGGTCGCTGGGAATCGTGCTCTTCATCATGATTACAGGCTCACCTCTAGTGGCCTTGGCATCGACGTCAGTCAAGTCCTTCTGCGCCTTTAAGCAGGCGGGCATCGCGACGGTAATGGAGTCGTGGGGAATGGCATCGTTCATGTCGAGCAGCGCGCTGCAGTTGCTGTCGGGCATGCTGGAGGTGGACCCAAGCAAGCGGCTGACCGTCGAGCAAGTGCTGCAGCATGAAGCCTTGCACGAATGGTTCAACGGACGGGAACCTCAGGAGGGATAGTTGAAGTGAGTGGAAGTGTAGCGTGAATAGGTTTTTGCCTTGATTAAACACGAGTGTACCATGTAAGGTCGAGCCTCCTTGTGTTGTGTTACGCCTCGAAGAAACCAAGAAAGAGACTGCTCGAATGAACCCGCAGCCAGGATAGGCGTTGAAGTGCACTCCGATTTGCGCAGCATGGCCGCCATCGAGCGAAGTCGACGCCGCGACGACCATGTCAACAGGTCGCGCTAGCACTAATGCGTTTCGACTTCCACTTTGCTGACAGCTCGCATTACCAGCACGCTTCGGGGCTGCTCCATCCGAGCATGCTATTGCAGCCCACTCGACGACAGGCGCTCGCGCCAGCGCTCAGGACTCCATGCTGCTTGCTTCATGACGAAATAAAATAAGGCGCGAGCGGCGCACGCAGCAATACTTGGGGCATGCTGGTTTGAGCCATTTGGGCGCCGTTATCGTACTCAGCAGCTCCCTCGACGGCACCGTCCCTAAAGGCCAGTACTGTTGAAACGCCATGCGCGCGCTCTATCACCCATGCCCTCCGCGTCGCGACTCGATGCCCCAGCAGTGCTTGGGTCAGCATAGGCCTCGCTTTCATGCTGGAGCGCGGTGGTCGCCAACACAAGCTGCAGCTCATAACGCGTGCGCAGGTTACGTACATGTATCGGGCGGGCGGCCCCTGGAGCCAGAGGCCGTTGCCCAGGGCAAAGCAGCGCACAATCCCATTCCTTCCACAATCCGCGAAGCGCGCAACCCCGGCGCACTTGCCATTTTGCTTTTCGCTCGGTCTTGCAGAGAGGCCGCTCGGCGAGAATGCCTGTCATCCACGACCGATACCGAGTCATCCGAGAGCTCAGCGCCACGCTCTACGGCTGGGTCTTCGCCTGCGAGGACATGCAGGGCCGGATGCAGCCCGCGCCACCGTCCGTCACAAACGTGCCTGTGGTCATCAAGCAGGTCTCGCTCGAGCGCATGGCCGCCTTCATGCGCGACCACCCGCAAGAAGGACACACGCCAGACAACCCCATCGTCGAAAAAGAGGTCGGCGATGCCGTCCGAGCCGCGGGAGGCCACCCCAACCTCGTGCAGTACACCGACTCGTTCGTCGAGCAGCAGACGCTGTACCTCGTCATGGAGCACTGCGCCGACGGCGACATGTACGACTACCTCAGCAGGCGCCGGCAGCGCACCATGTCGTGCATGAACGCGCTGAGCGTGCTCTCGCAGGTGGCCGCGGGTCTGGCCTTCCTGCACCGACACGGCATCGCGCACCGCGACGTGTCACTCGAGAACATCATGCTGCACCGCGGCCGGTGCAAGCTGGGCGACTTCGGGCTGGCCACGCGTGCTCGAAGTGCGGGTGGCCGTCACGTGGGCAAGAAGTACTACATGGCGCCGGAGATCGTGGCGGGGGGTCCGTACGATCCGAAGGCTGCGGACGTCTGGTCGCTGGGGATCGTGCTCTTTATCATGTTGACGGGCTCGCCGCTCGTGTCGTTCGCTTCCACGTCAGTCAAGTCCTTCCGGGCGCTCAAGCAGGCGGGCATCCCAGCAGTGCTGGAGACTTGGGGCGTCGCATGGTCCATGCCAGCCAGTGCACTGCGCCTGGTGTCGGGCATGTTGGAGGTCGACCCCGACAAGCGTCTGACCATCGAGCAGGTGCTGGACCACGATGCCTTCGCCGAGTGCTTGGGCCAGTCAGAGTAATGGGCATGATAGGCCCTTGTCAGTCGAGCACGAGGGGTGCTTTTAGTGTTGGTATGATATTATCAATACTGGGAGACCTCGTCCGTACGAGGATTCCAGCGACGATCTAGTACTGCGGCACTAGGTCGACCTTTGTTGGTAAGGTACTTATGAAGCGGAACGTATTGTGGAACGTGCCCCCTGTAAAATACAAGAACTCGGTTTTTGACTCCCAATCTCTGCTTGTGCAGTTTCCGATGAGCAAGCGTCAGTGCCTGTCCTTGGCTCCGTGGTGCCAACTCATCCTCCCCCCGTCTTTGGGGTCTCTGGGTACATAGTTGTCAACTTCCAAGCGCGACACCAAGCTGCTCCAGCGTCCAGCACAATGTGCGAAGGGGCGCTCTGCGAACAGGTGCCACCCACTTTGGGTTAAATGGTGAGGTCTCAAATGTCCAGCCCGGGTACCATAAACCCAGGGCTGGAGATTTGAGCCACGGATTCTAGGTTTAAAAAAGCCTGTCAACTGATGCGAAATAGTTTTACCTCAAGCAACGACATAAGATGATACATCGTGAATTCATGAGGGACCCCTGAAAACGAACTTACCCAGACCATCGGTAGCGATGTGCCGCGTCACCGCCACCATCGAGCCGCCGGGCGTGCTCTTCGGGCCGTCGACAGCGACGCTGGAGGACCACCAGCATCTACCGTCGCCCGTGGCTCTCCCTCTGCGCTCCAGCTACATCTCGCTAGAAACCCAAGAACCCAACAACTCAACATGAAACTGCGCACGCCTCCCAGCCATCTCAAGTCCAAGCGAACCGGGGTGCAGTTCGTGCCGGGCGCCGGCGGCGTCCGATTCAAGGACGAGGAGTTCGCGCGAGAGGTGCGAGATAGGGTGGCAGAGCTTGTGGCAGCCGCTGCAGCTTCCGACGCATCAAGCGCCAACACTCGGCTAGCGAGAAGGATCGTCAAGTACCGGAACATCCAAAGTGTGCATTGAGGGCATCACCCCACCAATTATTGTATACGACATTTGCCGATGTCTACAGTAGAGCAATGTCAAGATGTTTGTTTTCGTTGCTGCCTCCGTAACGAAGTCATACGTTGCGTGTGTTGCTCATTTACCACGGTTAATTGCAGAAGATGTTGCTTCTCGCGAGGCAAGCCGATGGAGATTTAGTATTAAGTTACGACAAAATGTAGTCGAGCTTCATCGCTCGGCTCGACGCTGGGGGCGTCTCTTCTTGCTCGACGGTGGCACAGTTCGACGACGGCGCCTCGTCTTCGGCGTCCGAGTCGGGCAGAATCTCAACGGGCTCCATGTTCTCGACCTCCGGCTCGGGCTCCTCTCCCAGTGCATGGCCCCTGATCAGTGCGCGACCCAGGATCCGCTCGCAGTCCCTGAGGCTGCCTAGAACCTCCATCAGCGCCCCCACGAAATCCGGCGCCATTTCATACGCCTCCAGCCTGCCCCTGCCGTTGAAGTGCATCCGAGCTCTGTAGTGGACGTGCAGCTGTCGGCCGATCAGCTTCTGGATGAGATCTTCGTCCGCAGCGGCATGCGGGTAGATGTTCTCAATCGTGCGTCGGGAGTAGCGCAGGTGCAGCGTGCCGTGGACGACCACGCTCGCGCAGTTGTCGGCGGTGATCAGCTCGGCCGACTCGCAGGTGAGCTTGACAGACGAGTGGAACAGGGTGTAGCGCTCCCAGATCCCGAGGATCAGCTCGGCCGCGGGTTTGCCTCTGATCGTGGTGTGGGGCTCGATCAAGGCGCCGAGAAAGGCTTTCTGCTTGTCCGAGGACAGGACCGACGCCGGAGCCCCGGGCACGCTCAGGCCGGCGCGGAACTGGTGGAAGTACTCCATGACGAAGCGCATGGGGGACGCCCCACCGATGGACGAGGGCGTCGAGAGCGACTTGTGCGAGTACATGTCCCGCGTGGCCTGGAGGCGCAGCACCTGCTGCCGCAGCGTCTCGTTGTCCGCGAGCAGCGCGATCTGCCGCTCCTGCTGGCGCTGGCGGAACTTGATGCCGCGCTCGCTGCTGGTCATGGGCCTGCCCTTGCCCTTGGCCTTGCCCCGCCGCGACGGCGCCTTCTTGGGCGGTGGGGCTGGGTGCTGCTGCATGAGCGCGCTTGAAATGGCGAGGGTGTCGAGGTCGCACGCGGCTCCTCGCGGCAGGATCGGCACGAAGCCTGGGGGCGACGTGAACGCCATGGCGATGACGGCTTTTAGCGGGCTGCTGCTACCGGCTACGGCGTGGGAATGGGGCGCCGCAACCGGGGAGGTCCAGAGAGCGCTCGCCGCAAGGACACGGCGACGGCGGTTGCGATCGGTGATTCGTCACTGCACAGCGCGATGAGGAACGGAAGAAGCCCCGCGCTCATTGGGCAGCGCAGCGACTGTGAGACGTTTTGTCGGACGCCAACACTCTTGGCTCGCGTGCTGTCTACTACAATGTAGGATAGCTCTGCTTCAAGCTCTGCGAGCGATCACGGGGTTCAATACCCACGCAGCAACGGTGGAATCGCGAGCTGGGGCGCGCTCTCATCGCTCCACCTCGCCCATTGCTGCCGTCAGGAGTCGTGAGACCCGGCGGACACGATACATTGGCACGATACCTGGTGCGCGAGGGTGCGCATTCTTGCAAACAGCGCCGCCGCATGTACGTTGACGCGTGAGGTTGCTCGATGACGTCGCCGCGCGTCGGCGTCGTTCGCGCTACCTTGGCGCTACCTCGCACGGCAGTCTGATAAACGCGATAGCTGCTGCCGCCGCCGCCGCGCGATGATCCGACGCCGCTCGGCGAGCAAATCCAGCGCGACGCCATCGCCGTCCAAGCGCTCCATCTCCTTCTCGGTGGCCTTCCCGCTGCCGGTGCCCGGGACGCCGCCGGCCGCCAAGCGGAGGCCACTGCAGACGCAGCACCTCGGCGTCGCCGCGGTGGACGCCGGCTACTGCTGCCACGAGCCCACGCAGCTGCATCTGAACGTGGAGTGGCGCCTGGACCGACACGTTGTCGCGGGCGCGCTGGAGAACGCCACGGGCCAGCTGCTGTTCGAGGTGCGGGAGAAGCCGCTGTCGCTGCACCGCCAGCGCACGCTGCTGGACGTGACGGAGGTGCCCGTGGCCACGATCCGCATGAGCGCCTTCCGCCGCCGCAAGATCTCCTTCTCGGCGTACCCGCGCGCTGAGACGTCGTCCAGGAAGCCGCTGTACAAGTTCACGATGGCGCGCAGCCAGCTGGAAATGACCTTCACGGACATCATGACGGGCGAGACGTGCCGGCTCGGAACGGCGGGCGAGCAGGCCGACATCGAGATCTGGCTGCAGCGCGGCGCCTCCAAGCAGACCGCAAGGCAGCCCATTGCCCACATGTACCCGGCGCCTGCAGGCACACCGCTGGGCTACTCGCTCGACATCGCGGAGGGCGTGGACGCCGTCATGGTCATCCTCGTGAGCATTGCGGCGCACGACAGCGAACCGGAGCGCACGTGGCGAGCTCCGAGCGCGCTCTTCTAATTTACTCTATTGCTGCGCTCAACAGCGAGGCGAAGACGGCGACAAGCACGACGAAATTGATGTAAGTTCGCGCCTTACCTGGCGTGCCGGTTATCTCCACGTCCTTCGCCATCGAAGGGTGACTGCAGCCACAGCCCAGCATGATTTTGCGCTCGACGCCGTCGCCGCATAACATCTAAGCGCCAAGAACCTCAACACCCACCGCCCACTGTATCGGTGACCCGCTACAAGCTTCGCAGCCTGCCCATGGATGGACATACGGGGTGTAGCAGCTTCTACCCCGCTCGGGCAGTGAAAGTGCCCGTACCGCAGACTCTCGCCGGTCGAGATGAATTGGTGTTCCGTCAAGGGTACTGTAGTTCGTTGCGGGCATTTTACTCGTACGAGCGTGTTGTTTATTCTTTGAAGTTTGCCGTTCACAGCCGAATACAGAGCATTCCTGATACAATATTATCAAGGTGCTGGTTGACTAGCCCCGTGAGTCAGGTCTGAGATAGTAATGCTTCCCGCTGTCCAGAATTCGACGCCCCCATACAAGTGTGGGTACGCTTTTTAGACTGGTTTTAAGTAGGGCAGCTGTCTAATGCGGCCAGTTCATCTGGACAACAGCCGTGTGGTACGCGAGATCACTTTCGCTCGCCCACCGGTCGCCCCAAGCTCCGCCCACAGCCATGGACTTGCACGAGGTCGCCGCCCAAGTGCAGACGCTCGCGGCGCTGCGCCACTTCGTGTCGGCCTTCGACGCCAGCCACGTGGCCTCCAAGCCGCAGCAGCTCCGCATCACGCCGAACTCCGTGGTGGACGCGGCCACGAGCGAGCGGCTCTTCCACATCCAGCACAAGTCGCTGTCGCTGCACCGCCAGCGCACGCTGCTGGACGCGCGCAACGAGCTGCCGGTGGCCACGCTGCGCCTGAGCATGTTCAACCGCACGCCGACGTACTCGGCCTACCCGCGCACGGAGCACGAGGAGACGCCGTGCGCCTTCAAGTTCACGGCCGACGACACCACGGTGCGCTCCGAGTTCACGGACCTCGTGGGCGGCCAGCACTGCACCATCGGCTGCGACCCGTCCAAGGACGGCAGCGACTCGCTCAGCTTCTGGCTCGTGCGCGGCACGGGCGACGCCGCCGACGTGCAGCAGACCATCGCCCGGCTCACCTACACGCACAAGAAGAGCCCCAAGAGCAAGGGGGGCGAGCAGAGCGTCTTGCTGGACGTGGCCCCCGGCGTCGACCGCATGATGATGATCCTCATCTGCATCGGGCTGCTGGACGAGGGCTTCGAGGACGAGCACCCGCACCCGCAGCAGTAAGTAGTAGCAAGGTCTCCTCGTCGCGGTGGCCACCCAAAAGCAATGGAGCCGAGGTGTGCCAATATCGTTAGGTGTAACATATCGCTCGGGGCCATTCACAAACCTCGCCCCCTTGCAGGCTGCAAGTTGCAGCAAGCGAAAAAATATATCTTCCGTATCGCAGTAATGCGCGCGATGCGGAGCACCCCGATCGCCGAGATAAATTGGCGCGCTGCCTTCCGGCGCTTTGACAAAGCTCATGAATAAGTTGTTCTCAGATGACTTGGTCTTTGGTGGACACCAGGGATCGGATCGGGGACGATAAATTGAACTAAAATTTCAAACGAAAGTGCACTATCCAAAACCAAAGTTCGAAGTAGTTATTACGACTTTAATCAGATTACCATCACTCTTGAGATCGCAGAGGGGGTGAATGAATCCTTGACGATTCACTAAACAACTAATCGTGCCTGCAAGCTCTGAACACCGTTCAAACGCATAGGGCCTATAGGGGTGGCCTCGATCGATTTATCGAGCCCAAACATGCCTCTAGAGCTTTCATATTGCCACAACTACGCGCGTTCCTTTTGACTTTAACGGCCGTTTTGGGGATTTGGCTCTCGTGACATCCATTCTCCTTAAGTTGCTGCCCAGACGACTGGGATTTGATTGCATATTCAGGGTCTTTGGAGTTGCAACATTAGGGTGCCTAAAGCGACTTTAAGGTCGCTTAAAGTCGTTTTAGCTTCAGTCATGTCACAACTTAAAGTTGCTTTAACGGGATTCACCAAAGTTGACAGATAGTGGCTGCTAGCACAAAACTGAGAGGATGGCTATGTTCGCCAAAAACACATCTGAGGATGGCTAGCATATCCCACCTGTCTATCATTTTCGAGGCCGAGTGGGTAGAGCATAGCTAGCTTGTAGATGGATCAACGAGTGTTTGTTTGTACTATTTGAGCAATTATGGAGGCAAGAGGGCGTAAGCGCAAGCGTTGCGTGTAAACTTGCCCTTACAGAACCGTTTAGACAAAGTATTAGCATGAATAAACTACATGAGGTGAATACGGACGAGGGCGAGCGCGAGGCTCACTCAGTGCATTCACTGACCACCAACACCCGCCGATTAGGCGGGGGCGTGTCTGTGCGAGCGAGCGAACGCGAGCGCTGCAACCCGATATTTTTTTCCTAGACACCGCGCCTGGCCGAGCCGAGGACTTAGCGTAAGACACGAGGGGGTGGGGCAGGCCGCGCAGCGGCGCTCCCCGAGCGAAGCGAGAGAGGGGCGGGCCCCCCGAAGTGCCGTCGCTAAGTCCGCAGGCGAGAGCCAACGCGCGAGTGTCCGCCCCCTTAGTGAAGATGCCCATGTTGTTGGCGCTCGCAACCAAGACATTGGCGATGTTGTGTATCAGCACTTTGCATCTGTTTTCTTGTGATGGGTATTTGTCTAGTCTGCTACCATGCACAGAGTCACTCTGTTTGGTTCTGTGCATGGGCATACACAGAACCGCTTGTTCTCTTGCCTATTCTGTGCTAGCAGGCTCTGTCAAGTTGACATGATATGTTGCTCCACTTCGCACATGAATCATGTGCGAAGTCCTTACATGGTACATGTGCCTATGTTCATGGTTTCAGGAAGAAAAAATAATACCAGCAGCGCCTTGTTTCTCCGGTAGATAGATGAAGTATTTTTTGCGCAGCGGAGGCAAGAGCGACACTCTCTGTCACACAGTACCCTGGCCAACACCATTGGTGCAAGACACTGGGACAGACACCAAGCCTTGTGGTCGCGGCTCAGACGGTCAACTTGACTACATGTACAACCATGCTCATGTATGAAAATCCAGGCGGCCGATCTGCGCAGCGTGCGACTCAGCGGGACAGCTACGCCGAGCAACGTTCGCTTGAAGCAGCCGCCCCAGTGCGACTAGCGAGTGAGTCTAATCGGAGCTCGCGTAGTGCGATCCAAAGCAAGGCAAAACATTCGGACGCAAAGATAAACTTCGGAGCTGCCAACAGCGACGACGTGAACGCTGGCAGCGCACGAGCTAATAAGCCCCAAATTTTCTGGTCAGCGCCTCGCAGCGACCTTGTCCTGCGTGCAGGTTTAATGGCTCCAGCACTGACCGGTGGTGACCCAGAACGCCGTGACAGCCAACGCTTCGACCCGCCAGCTCCCTGTCTCCGCTGCTGTGCGGAGCAGCGGCGGTAACACCCACAATCCCTCCATTTGCCAGGTGCAATCGCCCGTTCCTTTGTTTCGGACAGAGCAAAGCTCCAGCTGAAATCCTCGGGCATTACAACGGCTGTTATCACCTGTGTAGCCCAACACTCGATCGGTCTTGTTGGCCGGTAGGCCGAGCCATTCTTCAAAACTACCTCGGGCATTGAAAGCTCGCTCGTCCAGCACAGCACCACCTGACTGACCGACTAACAATGGGCTGCGCGTCGTCCTCTGCAATCCCAAAGCTGCCGGAAGTGCAGCAGCTCGCCCCCGTTGAAGCTGAGCTCTGTGCCCAAGCCATGACGACGCTCCGCCTGCGCGACCGGTTCTGGGATTTCCCGAGCGACGAAGACTTCGTGATCTGCGACGCCGAATGGGGCGCCGACGTCTTCCGCATCCAGCGCTCGACGTCCGCCATGAAGACGCTGCGCGACCCTCGCCGCAAGCCTCTAGCCCACATCAAGCGCGAGCTCGTGGCCCCCGTGCCCACCTACAACGTGTTCGACGCCAAGGCGTCGGCAGCCAAGCTCTTCTCCATCAAGGCCCTGCCGGAACTCAACGTGGAGTTCCTGAGCCCGACTTCGGGAGAAAAGTGCCGCATCGGGATGGCTGGGAGCTGGGCTAAGCGTCAGGCCTCCATCTGGATGGAGCACGGCCGCAAGGGCTCTCGAACGACCATCGGCCGCATCTTCCGTCCGTCCAGCAGCCGAAGCTCAGCGGGCACCATGCGCAGCTCCTCCTTGTCCAGTGGCCAGCCGGACGACGAATACTTCCTCGCCATCGTGGGCGGCGTCGACATGGGGCTGATGGTTCTCATCTGCATCGCGCTCGAGCAGGCTGAAGACGACGAGTGGTAAGGTTGCGAGGAGTCAAACGGGAACAAGCCCACAGGAGGGTCGGCTGGCGCTCCCCTTGCTCGCTCGCACAGACTGTAGTCGGTCACCCAGCTCATCATTGCCAGGATCTGCTCTCTGTAGCGAGATGCAGGAAAGTTAGTATTTATCGAGCCTCACGAACAGCGGCGATAGCTAGGAAACCTTGAATCCAACTTTGTTGCTCCTTTCACTGTAGTAGTGTTTGGTCACAGTGTCAAACTTCGCCAACCGGCAACAACTCATCAACGTAGCTATCCATATACGCGCTACAACACGATGGATATATCAAGACCTCCACTGTTTTTCTATTGCAAGGCTGCATCGTAAACAATCGTGCGGATCACCTCGTTGTGCGGGTAGCGCTTCTCGAGGTTGAGCTGCGCGTGCAGTTCGCGTACCTCGTCGAATCGCTCGAGGCGGAGGTAACTCATCAGGTAGCGTTCATAGAAATCCTCACGGAGCCTCGAGCGGTCCTTCGGCGACAACTTGTCCAGGAGTTTCTTGCCGATGCGTGCGTTCACTTCAAACTCCCCGCGCACTTCGTTGGATTCCATCATTTTCACAATGCTGTTGATAGGCACGCGAGCTAATCCAAGGTCTAACACGTACTCCACCAAGAACTCGCACTCTCGGTCCCACTGATGCTCGACGCATTCTTCCAGCAGCAAATGCACCAGAAAGCCCTGCCCGCTCAGTACCGACGAACGTTCGGCCCAAAACTTCAGCGAGTTCTCCATGGCCACACGCGGGGATAGCTTCTTTTGTTTCAAGTCGTACTCGAATAATGCTAGCACAGCAAGTCGCAAAGCCACCGCCCCACCCTTTGAGTGCGTGGCTTCCATGAGGTCTAGCACCTGCGTGAGCGATGGAGCTGAATGACGATGCTTGAGCATTTCCCACAACATCATGTTGAGTAGCTCAGTCTCGGCATCCTTGTAGAGTGCGGGGGTAGTCGATGCCAGCACTCCGTCATCTAGGCTTGCATCGGCGGTTGTGCGGTTGAGGAAAATCGCCACCTTATACTCCTGTCGTTCATCCAGCAGCACCTTGGCGTTCGAGTACTCGTCGTTATAACTGGCCCAGCAGAAGTGCATCATGTCCAGGGCAGTTGAGTCTGCTCCTCGACAGGCTGCACGCAACGCTTGGCGGAAATTGGTTTGGTACTCCTGGATGCGGTGGCGGGGGTAGCTCTTGAATACTTCAAGCGCGCAGTCCGGGCGGCCCATGTTGAAGCTCACCTTAATCAGCGCACTCCACAAGTCCGGCTTGAGGATAAATCCGGCGTCGTCTTGAAGCAGACGGACGAGATGGATCGCAGTCAGCAGCTCGCGTTCGTCTCGTTTCTTGTCGCGCAGGTTAGCGCGGATTGCGAGCTCATAGCAGCCCAAGGGAACAACGGCAGCAGGGGAGTGCTCAGTGATCGTTTCGATCGCACGCCGGGCCAACTCGCCGTTCTTTTCGTTAAAACATGCGTGAAGAATCAAATAGAGGTTGGGCACAGTACTGCAGATCCTCTCTAGCTGGCGCCCGCCATCTTCAAAGAGCCGCACAATTTTCTTCGACTGCCGCAGCGCCGCCAGTGAGCGGAGGTAGCACGAGTACACGGCGCGCGGCAGCTGAGTGACCGCATTGATCGTTTCCGTCTTCGTCGCTGCATCACCTTCAGTGTCGCTCTCAGCGTCATCGCATACATTGTCCGGTGCCTTCGCAGCCTCTCGGAGCTGCTGTTCCTGCAGCCAGACTCTCCTGTCTCGGTCGTACGCCTCGAAGAACGCCACCGCCAGCTCGTGCTCGTTCATCCTGTAGAAGGCCTTGATCAGAGTGCCCACCATGATTGCCTCGTTGGTGACCACCACGTTCGCCGCCATCCCCTGCCCCGTCGAGCCCACGAACATGCCGCGCGTGCCGGTGGTGAGCTGCGCGAAGACGTCGGCGGGCACGATCTGCATGAGCCAGGGCCGGTCGTCGCCCGCGTCCTCGTCCGTCGCCAGCCTCACTCGGAAGGGTCCTTCCCTCTCCACAACGAACGGCCGGCACTGCGCGACGACCTGCCAGGCCTCCAGCAGCTGCTTGGACGTGGGCGCGTGCTTGACCTTCTGCGAGAAGCGCCCGAGCGCGTAGGCGGCGGCTTTGCGCTTGCTCTGGTCCACCGATAGCTGGAACGCCGGGAAGGAGGCGTCCGTGGGCGGCTGCGGCCTCAGCACGCGCTTGGCGGCCTGGCGGTTGGACGGAGGAGGAGGAGGAGAGGGCTTGCGCTTGGCTTGAGCTGGCTGCTGCAACGGCGAAGGTGACGGCTTGGCGGCGCTGTCGGCGTTGGCTCCCAGTCCCAGCCACGACACGAAGTCCGATGCGCGGCTCCAGATGAGCCGCTGCGACGGGCGCGACGCCGGCAGCGGCGCACGGCGAGAGCGCAGCATCTTGTTGCCCCGAATTTGCTGTGGTGTGAGCAATGGGTACCGTGTTTTTGGTACGGTACAGTGTACCGGGTCACTTCAAGCAGCGGCCCGAGGATCATCATCATGCGGTCGACGCCGGGGGCCCCAAGGACAGGAGGAGGAGGAGTTGGCCGGGCAATTTTAGGCTGCGACAGCGCTGGAACCACGACAGGCACGGACCCTCACGGTCCGTGAGGCTCACGGAGACGAGCCCAGTGCGCAGCAGCGCGGACTTTACGCTGCGGGCCAACCGATCCGAAGGTTGTGCTGTCGGTGTGATTCTATAAGGAATATCGGTTGTACTACTTCGGCACTCACCCTGAGTTAATACTAGGGCCATCACTTTGCCACCCGCTTCTTGTGTTGGGGGCGGATGCAGCCAATGCTGTCATCAGCGGCCGCAGCCAGTGCGCAGCCTAGTCGTGGGTTTTGGCGTTCATTTTCCAACTTCCTCTCACGAGCACATCGCCACCTCCTCCACCTCGCCCTGCACGACTTCTCGTCCGACTATGATCGTCCCGGCGACGAAGCTCGCCGCCGCAGTTGGGAAGAGGAAACGAGGCACCGGGTCGTCTCGTAACCAGCAGCGGCAGGCGAAGCGTGTGGCCGGTCGAGAACGGAACCAGGCTGCCGCGAAGAAGCGCAAGACGTCGTCGGGGGCTATCACCACGAAGCGCACGCCGAAGACAACACCGCGCAAGCGCAAGACCCCGGTGAAGCCCAAGCCGACGTGGACGTTCACGACTGTCAAGATGAAGCTGCGGACGTTCTGCAAGGACGAGGGTCTAGCGCTCGCTTGGGACTCGGTGCTGAGGGACATGACTAAGATGGTGGCGGAGGCTTACATGCTGGCCGCCGTCCACGTGGTTCACTGCTGTGAGCAAGGTTTCGACATCCCCATCTTGGCGCGTTCCTTCTACCAGCAGTGCTTGTCGGCCGTGAGTGGGGGGAACCTGCACGATCCACGAACGAACATGACTGAAGAGTTCCACGACTCGGTGGCGATCTACAGCGCGTGGCGAGGCGAGAGCCCGATCCCCAACAGGGACGCCATCAATCGTGGCTGGGCATGGCCCATGAAACCCAGAACCATCTCCAGCTCAACTTTTACCGGCGCTTCAAACAATACATTACGCTCCGCTACGGGCTGGCTGGCCGCGATCGCTACCTTGTGCTCAAGGGCATCCTCGACCCCGAGTACGACGGAGACAACGAGATCGTGCTGGAGTACAGAGAATTGATCCCCCGCAATGATGAAGGAGCGAGCTAGCGAGCTACTCCCGCTTGTGCACATGTTCCTCACTTTCGTGGAGGACCACAACCGCGAGCACGAAAGAGAACCGGGTTTTGAGATGGCAAGGACGTACTCGCTGCTACCAACGAAACGGGGCTTTGTCTGCTCTCACTTCACCATGTCCTCTGCGGGCGATGCTGATTCGAAGTGGGTATGATGTTCCACGAGAGGGTAGTGACTGGAACGCTGTCGCGGACAGCATGTGGCGGCGGCTCTTCAACACGAACCTTGTCGAGACGTCCAAGCCGGACGGGTCTCCAAGTCGCTTCTTCGCAGGTGAGATCACGACGGACGGGAAGTCCGTCAGCATCCTCGTCAAGAAACCCGTTCAAGGACGACAGGAGCTGCAGATGTCTCCTGAGACCGCTGCATTCTTCTCGACACGGTGGGGGCTTGATCCTGGTCGCCGCGACATGTTCGTCGCCACGAACAACCACGGCGAGACCATTCGCTGCTCCTCGAAGGAGTTCTACCGAGACGCTTCCTACACGCAAAGCAACAAGACTACCCGGCACTGGTACGACTACGCCGACGCGGAAGTCTCGGAGACCATCCGCCTCGTTCCAACGAAGAAGACGTGCTCGCTGGAGAGGCTCGAGGCCTACGTGCGCTACGTGGTGCTGGCTTTCACGATGAGGAAGAAGTTCCGCGACCTGAGGTTCCGACGTTACTGCCAGTCGCGCAAGAAGCTGCACGAGTTGTGTACGCGGTTCGTCGCTGGCCGCGATCCGACCCGGACGATCGTCGGCTTTGGGGACTGGAGCTGCTCCGACTTTGGCGGCGTGATCAAGAAGTCTCCGGGCGGCCCCACCAAGCGGTTCATGCGCGAGCTCTCGAAGTACTGCCGGGTGGAGCTGGAGTCCGAGTACCGCACCAGCAAGGTGCACCACGGCTGCAGGCAGGCGCACCCCGGCGACCTCGTGAACCAGTACCAGCGCCAAGAGTGCCGAGACGGCGTTGTTCGCAATCGCAAGATTCACAGTGTACTCCATTGTCTTCGCAACAATGGCGGATGCGGTATTACTGTGAACCGCGATGTGAACGCCTCTCGCAACATTCTACGCGCCTTCGAGCTGCGTCTGAGCGGACAGGCACGCCCGCCAGAGCTAAGTAGGAGTTCACAACAAAGGTCGACCTGTGCCGCAGTGCTTGATCGTCGCTGGAATCCTCGTACGGACGAGGTATCCAGTATTGATATTAATATCACGTCAGGCAAGTCGAAATATATTCTTTAAAAACTGTAGGCGAAGCGTAGCAACCTGAAGTCTAGCTTCCTTCGCTGCCAGCTACGGTAGCCGGCCCCCGACGACGCGCAGGGGATGAGGGACGACTGGGAGGAGGATGGGTTTGACGATAAGACGCTGCTCAGAGCATGGCGTAGACGATGGCCGACACGAGGGCGAAGGCAGTGGGCGCCACGGTGGACGCGCTGCTGCTGGCGCTGGCACTGGCGCTGGCCTCGGCCGACGCGCTGGTGGCGGCCTCAACCGATCCGCTGCTGGTGGTGCTGCCGGTGGCGCTGCTCGTGGTAGCGCTGGACGAGGACGACGAGGTGCTGGGGGCCTCCGTCGTGGCGCGCGTCGGCTGCGGCTCGATGTCGAACTCGCTGTTGTCGGACGCGTCGCCGGCATCGGCCGTGGAGCTGCCCGAGGACGAGGCCATGGCGGCCATCTTGACGATCTTGAGCGCCTCGTTGTTGTTGGTCTCGGCGGCCTTGATCACCTTGAGCTCGGCGATGGTCGCTTCGAGCTTGGTGATCTCGTCGTCGATGGGCGAGGCCGAGACGGCCGCGGCGAAGGCGGCCGCGAGGAAGACGCAGCTCAGGACACGCATGGCGGAGAGGGAGGGGCTCGAGGGGCTTTGCGGAGAAATCGGTTGTGGGCGCCGCGCGAGGGAGCGAGCCCGACCCGGCCCGACGAAGGGAGCACGGGCTCCGATTGGCAAGCGATTGCGCCGGACAAGCAACGGCGTCGTCGCGTTGTGGGGGTCATGACACGCATCGCGGCGTGTGTAACTAGTGATGGTTTTGAATTGGACGAGTAAAGAACGTCCAAAACGTCTAAAACGTTCTAAACACTTTAGAAGTGTCCAAAATGTCCAAAAGTGTCTAAAAGTCAGTACCTCGAACTTGATGTGCGATCTTCCCTCTTCCCTCCCTCTGTAAATCTCCCTCACTGCAAGACATTCCCCTCCATGAACACCATGCCACCCGACGGCGCTCCTGAAACTGCATCTTTGCCTGCGAACCTGCCGAACGCCTCCCCAGCGCCTATTTCCAGTCGGCAAGCGACACCAGCATCAAGTGACAACTTTACATCGCCGCAAGTAACCACGCGTAGTGCGCAGGGGATCCGTTCCGGCTCTGCGTTGCGACGTTCTCCTCGCTACAGCCCCTACCATGGCGGAACTTCTACCTCCAGCCCGTCTCTAAGGCACATGCGATCGCCTACGCCAACAAGACGCGTTAACTTCTCGCCATCACCTTCGTTGCGACGAACGGGAGCTTCGCCAACCCGAATGGGGCGCCCTCGAGATGAAATCTGGCAGCATTACGACATTGAGAGAGATAACGAAAAAAAACACGGTCGTTGCAAGTATTGCGGTACTTTGAAGAAAAATGGCAAGCCCGGCGGCAACCTGCTAAAGCATCTAACGCAGCCCAAGCAGTGCCCTCGTGTCCCCCGTGATGTGCAAATTTCTCTGCGTCCCGCACCTCCTGAGCCTGCTCAAGCCCCTGCTCAAGCCACTGCTCAGGCTCAAGAACGCGACCAGACAGTCCGATCTACTCAAAGCGGGTTGACGCAAGACGCCTTCGAATTGGCGCTGGCGAAAGTCTTTTTTGTTTGCGCACTTCCTTTTATTCTCCTGGAGGCCCCAATATTTCGTGAATTTCTCGCTATGTTGGCACCTACAATGCAAATACCATCGCGCCATAAAGTGAGCGGAGTGTTGCTGAAACGGGTGCGAGATCAGCTTCGCCGGAGCCATGTCATCGAGCTGATCAATAAACAAGTCTACGTCTCGCTCGTCACCGACGGATGGAGTGACACCAACAGCTCGAGTATAATCAATTTTATGGTGGTTGCACCCGGGATGCCGTCCGTCTTTTGGTCGTCATGGTCTACCAGATCCGAGCAGCACATGGCAAGATATATCGCTGGCGAAATTGACAAAGTTATCGAGGAAATTGAACGTGATACTACAGCCCAAGTCGTTGCTATTGTAACAGTCAACGCGCAAAATATGAGGAGGGCGTCGGCTCGCGTACAGGGCAGACGCCCAAATGTGGTGAGCGGTGGCTGTTCGGCACACGTACTGAATTTATTGGTGCAAGACGTGTGCCAATTTCCTGCCATTAAAGCGATCCTGTCGAGAGCTGTCACCCTGACACGCTTTATTCGAGACCACCTTGCCTTACTTGACGAGTTCAAGCAGTTGAAGAAAGAAACGCGCGAATCGGGGATTAAAACGCGCAATCTCGTGCTACCAATGCCGACGCGATGGTAGCCTGTATGCGGAGTGTGCTGAACAGCCAGGACATATTCGAGAAATTGTTTTTGAGTCCTGAGTACGATCGATTTCTTGATCGCTATCGTGGAACCGCGGCAAGTCGGAAGAAGCTTCGCTATATCACGGAGCTCATCCGCGATAACGGGTTTTGGAGTAGCTTGAGGACAGTAGTACGCCTTCTCGATCCCATCATTACGGCGCTCCGGGCATTAGAAACAGACAATACGTTTGTGTCGGGTGTGTATCGGTGGTTCCAGTGGCTTCGTTATCATTCGGCTTACGGCGTCACGTCGGGTGACGAAGAACAGCAGGATGATGCGGCGGGTCCACCGACGGAGCCGCAGAATCGCGTGGTGGAGCGGCAGAACAACAGAGAAGTGCATGGACCTGCGCGAGATGGGATCGAACTTCTGAGCGACACAGTAGAGCGCATAACCTCCACCAGCAGCGCTGACAATGAGCTTCAAAGTGTATTGGCAGAGGATGAAAGCATCCTTACTGGAGATGACTACAAGAAGGTTGCAACTTTATCGCTCGTCGAGTTGCAAGGCTGCTTTCGTGAAAAGATCAAGAAGCGCTGGACGTACGTGCACACCAACGCAATGGGCATTGCATTCATCCTCGATCCTGCTACGGATCTTGACGACTTTGTTGGCATGGACAGCGAGAAGGTAGATGACCAAGCCTGCCAAATGGCGGTACGTTGCGGCATCATAACGGCAGTGGATATACCTAAGCTGACCGCGGAGATTCTTGAGTTCAAGACTGAAAAACGGCGTGGTGGTGAAGCTGAGCGGGTAAAGTTTTCTGAGTCAAGTCCGCAGTACTACTGGGGCTCGAAGAGTGAGAAGAAGTCTTTCCGGTACCCGCTCCTCAAGAAGGTAGCTTATATTGTATTTGCGATTCCTACTTCATCGGCTGCGAGCGAGAGAGCATGGAGCATATTTGATCACATTCACTCCAAAAGGAGGAATAGACTCTCCGTAGAAAAGGTCGAGATGCTTGCATTCATCTACATCAATTATGGCATCATTGAGAGCGACGAACTCGATCTTGCGCGTCATCAATCGCGCCCAGAGAGTGTAGAAGTCGACAACTAATCTTTAGCACGTAGCTGCTGGCGTACTACGCGCTGTTCTGCTGCGGCTTCCGGTTGTCTTTGACGAAGCGACGCGCTGGCTTCTGGATAAGCTCGGCTGAAGCCACCGCACAGGTCTGGATGTCCGCCTCAATATCTGTGCCTTGTCCGCCCGCAGCCTGCGCTTCTCGAAGTAATTGCCATTGAGATACTTCGTCTGATGCTCGCCCAGCTCCACGTTGACGGCTTGATCGCGGACTCGTCACTCGCGACCCGCTTGGTCTCTCCCTCGAGGATCGTCACAGTGCACCTCGGGCGCTTGGACGTCGTGTCGCCGACCACCTCGACAACCACAGCGCCGTCACCCACGATGAACATGCAGTGTAGCCAGCGTTCCTAATGTCGCGCTGTGCGCCCGCGGGGTAATAGTACTACTTGCTCTTCATGAGCACGAGCACGTCAGTGCCATCCTTGGCCGTGAGGACGGCCGTCAACGCCTAAGCCACGCTTGAGTATGCCGCGCAGCTTGATGTTCCCCACGACGGTGCGGTGGGTCTCCTCCTTCTGGCGCTCGGCAAGCTGCTTCACTGAGAGAGCCTCTCCGCGTCGTTGTCGCTGGCGCGGTCGCCCTGCAGCCGGTCGTCCGTTCTTCCTCGACGTCGGCCACCTTCGTGTGCTGGTGTCCAGCTCGTCTTTAGGGTGCTTACGGTGGCTCGGCTTGGCCTTCCGGTACAGGTCTAACGCGCGGGCGTCTCTGTCGGTGTTGGGGCTCGTGCTCAGCAGCTAACGGAGCTGTAATTGGCATGGGCTCGTCCGCAGAGGGAATCTGCAGCGGCGTCTCGTTCGAATTGGGCACCAGCGGTGGCTTCTTCGGATGCGAAGGCGACACTTGTGCAGTTGTGCCTCTGGTTGAGAATCAATCCCGAGTATTCTTTCTGACAGTTTTGGATACATTTGGATTTTGGACGGAATTTTGGACGTTTTCCAAAGTATTCTGAACTATTCTGAAGTCGTCCAAAACCATCACTATGTGTAACTGCGGCCACGGACACTTTAGGGGGCTTCTACGCTCCAGCATGGGACACCTGCTTGAGGTTGCTGCCGCGGTCAGGACGACGATCAGCCAGCAACGGCGTTGACCCCGGGGCCATCGATCAAAAGGAAGAGGCACTTTGTAGGAAGACTCGGAACGGACAGAGCTGTGGAGCGGCTGCAGTCAAAGCAGGGCAGCAATCGGCTTTCAGCGTGGCGCCGGAACGCTTTCCTGGCTCCAATCTCGCTAGGAGGCTGCAAGACCGGTGGTGGTCTTCAGTACATGTACATGTATTTCCTTTCCGTAACTACACTCCACGACAAAAAGATATGGACACCACCAAAAGTGGCTGTAACTTCGTCATTTTTTATCGTTTTAAGGTTTGGTTTGGACTAGAGTTGCAGAACACGCTGATAAAGATCTAGCACGCTGCTAACACGCGCGCTTTTGCGCTTCTTCAGGTAGCTCACATACAAATCACTGGTTCTGCCCAGGTGACAAAACTTATGGACAGCTAATCCCCATACAAAATCCTATATTAACCAAAACCCCTTACAAATGATACAACTTGGACTTTGTATGGGCGACAAAGGAACCCATGATTTCTCCACTCTACCTTAGTACTGAGCCATATATCATCGACCAACAGTTTAGAATGGAGAAGACAATCGTATATCCAAAAGATAGCAGCATACAGAGCTACAAATTGGCACTAACTAGGCTGCAACTGAAGGTGTCTCGCAAATCATCAGATAATACATGGTAGCCACCACTCGAAATTTCAGTCGCTTACTACTTGCTCAGTTTTGTGCGATGGTCGATGTGTTTATTACAGATCACTAAACATACCTTCTAGTACACGATAATGCCATCAGATCTTTGTCTAACGTCACGAGTATCGCCGTGAGGCTGGTTCCTTTGTCGCCCATACAAAGTCCAAGTTGTATCATTTGTAAGGGGTTTTGGTTAATATAGGATTTTGTATGGGGATTAGCTGTCCATAAGTTTTGTCACCTGGGCAGAACCAGTGATTTGTATGTGAGCTACCTGAAGAAGCGCAAAAGCGCGCGTGTTAGCAGCGTGCTAGATCTTTATCAGCGTGTTCTGCAACTCTAGTCCAAACCGAACCTTAAAACGATAAAAAATGACGAAGTTACAGTGGTGTCCATATCTTTTTGTCGTGAGTGTACGGTCGCCTTAGGGCCGTCTGGTCCCAAGTCCCGGGACGAAATAGAGCGATTTGATTGGCTTTCAGAAAGCGGGCTAGGTTTATTTCCGAGCTCGTTTTGTCCCGTCCCGCATCATTTTCGCGTGGTCGGGACGTGGGACTTTCGCCCTAGCTACTTCATTTCTGCACTAATGCGCGCCAAGTGTGCACCACTTTGTTACGTTTCGAAAGGGCTATCTGACCATGTTCTTCTTTCACCGTAGTTCGCGGTAGTTCCCGAGAGTTAGGGGCTTAAAAAATGCTTACAATTATCAAGTTTGACGGACGAGGGGTATCGTCCCGTTCGTCCCGGTCCCAGCTCCCGGGAACTTAAGAACACGCCTTAGGATCCAGGCCGTAAGGCTTATGAGCTTTTCCCAAAATGAGTACCGATTTGCACATCTGTCCCAAAAGGAGTACCGGTGAACACTACAGAGGCATCAACAACTTGTCGGACGACAAGGACATCCAGGCAGTTTCGATGGCTCGACCCCAGATCATGTACTGCCTGCGCCTGGGCATGAAGTTACAGCATGAGCGGCGAAGAAGACTGGCGGAGGCAGTGCAGCTCGGTGGCCTCCAATTCCTAGTACAATACACAAGGACAAGTCCTGTGTCGATTCGTGGCGTGCGTCGGGGCGAGACCACCACAACACACGTCTGCATGTTCCTTTTGGGACAGAAGTGCAAATCGGTACTCATTTTGGGAAAAACTCTAAGGCTTATTGCAACGAGCTTCTTAAGCTTAGGAGACTCGCGGCGCCATGCATGCCATTGCCACGATCCCATCGCATCAGAATGAAAGCCCAACTCTATAAGCAGTCGATGGCGCGGCAACCCCCACAAGGGACGGATAGCGTCCTAGAAAGATGTGGAGAAAAGAGATGGTATTAATACCCCAAGTGTTCAACAAGGCTGTAATGTATCCGGGAATTTATACCAGTGGTAATTTACCGATGCAATGTACCACCCATCTGGTACAGTCCATTGTCAAGATGCTGCGTCGGTGGCCGCAGCGGGGCCTGGCGACGGCCCCAGCGACGCTGCAACTGCAAGCTCCGCAGCGCGCGTTCTGGAGCCAGGCCGTTGAAATCCTCTCGCGACTGAAGCCTGGCGATGCGGGCACCAGCAGCGGCGACAAGGAGAGCGACCAGGACAGCTCCGTCCCCGAGCGCGCCAGCTCGAGCAGAGGCGCGAAGGGGTGGCGTCCGCCAGTCCCGGGCGACGTCAGCTTCCCGGACTTCCTGCAGGACGCGGGCGAGGGCCAGATCGCCCACTCCAAGCAGGTCTTCGCCGACTTTGCGCGCCACCTGCGCCGCGCCTCGGACAAGTCGCAGGCGTGGGACGTCGTCAAGCAGTGCCGGCCGTTTGTGGTGGAAAGTGGCGGTCTCCGGTTCGCCGACGTCGACAGCGACGCAGCGGGCGACAAGGTCGAAGCCTCCGAAGTGCTGCAGATGCTCCCTGCGGACTCGTTCGCCGAGCGCACGGCCGGCTCGAATTGCCGCTCGATGTTCGTAGGCGCGACGCCGTCCAAAGGCACCATCATTGCGGCCAACGAGGCGGTGGTGGTGGCCTTGCTGGTGGACGGGCTTCACGCCCGCGGCCAGCACTGGGAAACGATCTCGTTCTTCGACGGCTACAGCCGCGAGCGGAAGAAATGGTTGAAGGCGCGAGCTGCACCGGAAGATACCGGCAATGACGGCGAGGCTCGTCAAGGTGCAGAGGAGCAAAAGAATGTGGCGGACTTTGTGCGAACCACTCGTTTGTGGGCCCCAGCGCGCTCCGCGTACCTGAAGTCGCTGTTGGCGAAGAGTCGATACCATAAGATCGTTCAGTTTGCTCGCGAAGATCCTCGCAATCTGGATGTTGCGTGTGAATCCGTGGCGACCATGACGTCCCTGCTTATCGGCTGTCGCAAGCAAAAGGATAGCGCCTTGGCTCGACTCGCTCTTGACAAAATGTCGAGGCGAAACCCAATTGCCGTCCTTCCGTTAACCTTTTACGAGCTCGCCTTCAAGTCTGCGATGCAGAAGAAGAACCGTGATGAAGACGATGTGGAGAACGCGCTCTGGATTGCTCGTGTGATGCACGATAACGCTGGATACGTTCTCCAGCCGGACCTCTGGTTTGCACTTTTCAACACGAGTCTGCATCTGAAGCGAGAGGACTGCGCGCTCAAGGCGTTTGCAATGTACTGGAGCAACTTCAGGTCGCTGCACCAGGACAACTTCCGCAGAGCTCTCCGTAAAGCTTGCCGCCTCAGCTATCCCGATGTCGTACTGACCATGGTGCGTCAGTGGCTGGCTGCAATCGGCGACGATGTGGACGCGGAAGCGAAAACCAAGGTGGCCAGTTTCGTGCTGTGGGAAATGCTGTCAAGTGGCCACCCCATGTCAGCCATTACAGAAATGCTTGCTATCATGGACTCTTCCCGGATCGAGGCAACCAGCGCTGTACTGCAGCGAGTAGCAAAAATGATGCTAGACGACGCGAGCAGCAGGCTTTCACCTCACGACACTATCAAGGACTCGCTCGAGTTCTGGAAGGCGCGCAGTTCTGCCGTGCAGAACTCAGTGTACGTCATGTATGTGCTGCTTCAGCAGTGTTTGGAGCGCGGCTGGCTGGACGAGTGTGAGCTGGTAGTGAACGAGATCGTAGAGCGTCGTTTGCCGGGGGTGCCGTGCAATAGCATTGTCAAGGCAATGGTTGCGAACGAGGAGCGCGAGCGGTTCGAGAACAGCGTGAGCATGTGCGAGGTGCTGCTAGAGTCGTTGTCTCGTCCAGCGTTCAAGACACTGAACCAGCAGTTTTTCGAGCACTACCTGAAAGCTCTCCTGTGCCTGGGCCGCTTCGCTGAAGTGCGCGAGCAGCACGCCCGCCTCAAACTGGGCAAGCGCTTTCCGAAGAGTACGGCTATTGCAGTCGCACTACGTGATGCCAAGGCCCAGCAGATGTGAGTGAGAACAGCTCGTTTAAACGTAGGATAGATTCCATGATAGAGCACGCAAAGTCGTACCTAAGTATCGACTTTTGATGAATGCGACTTTGGTTTTGCATTTCTTGATCGGCTGAAATGGAACGTTAATTAAGGATTCGATGCTGCGGCTGGCATCATTTGCAGCCGGGTTCTTGAAATATGCTCGACCAGCTACTGTAATGGACTCGTCCGAGGCAAACGAGTATTACTGTATCTACTTCCAAAGGAGAGAAGCCCATGGCCACGTTCAGGGATGTTCCGTTTGTTTGGGCAACTTTCAAGGTCATACAAAAAGGGAGCTTTGTCAGCCACGGCACCAGGGGTTCATGTTGCATTATCTTTTCTCTATGTGGACGATGAGAGGACTGGGATGCCGTTGATCATCACCGGTTTTGCCTGAGCGGGGGCGCTCGGAGTTCCGCTCGTCCTACTTGAGCGCCACTGACCTTTCTTCCTTTCGTGCTTCGTAGCCTTGTTCGGGCGTAACTTGCTCTTCCGCTTACCAGCAACGGCCGCCACGTGCTCGGCGCGCTTGATACGTTCAGGCTGACCGAGGGCTTCGTAAGCACGCGACACAGCGCTCACAATGGACTCGCGATCTTCTTCACTTTTTACGTGCCAAAAGTCGGTCAACTCAAACACTTCGGCCATGAACGTCCAGTCAGACTCGCTTTCAAACGCCTTCATGAGCTTCACAGCGAGAGCGCCCTTCAGCGGCCGCTTGTTACCAGAAGTCTCCGTCCACTGCGTCAGAGCTGTCTGCACGACCGCCAGACGCCCGTAGTAAGCACATTCGTGAAGGAACACACCGAAATGATGTTCACTGGTGCGCAAGCGAAAGACGCTCTCAAAGTGCGCCATGGTCTCCACCAACTCGTCGTCGCCGATGCTGTCCTTGCAGCTGCACAGAACAGGCACCAGACTTTTGGTCAAGGACAGGGTGAACACGCCCTGCACCTCCAGCTTGTCCACGTCGTGCATCAGTGCTACGATCTCTTTGCCGAGGCTCTTCGCGCACAAGTAGTGGAAAATGTTGGCCACGAGCGCAAAGCGGCGAGCTTCGAGATCCGGGTTTGTCTCCCGAATAAGGCCCCAGGCCTCCGTGGGTTTTTCCAGAAGCAAGAGAGCATTCACAGCCATGCGGACTCCGGCGTAGTGAAGAGGCTCGTCAGCGTGTTCAGCATGCAGAGCCAGGATTTCAGGGACGCGTTCGCACTCCTGCGCATACACAGCCGCCGTGATCACACGTGGGAACAAGTGCTCGTGCCGCGGCGCCAATCCATCAATATCCACCATCGAATCGAACAGTGCCAACACGCTCCGCGCAGCGTCCAAGAGCTTCTCGAACCGCTCCGGGTGGTCCTCCTGTTCATGAATCCGCTTCAAGCACATGTCGTACGTATCCCGAGGGGTTACCAGGACTGTTTCCAACTGCTCTGGGCTGTCACCGCTTCCGTGTCTTTTGTTGATTCGGCGCTTATCCTTTGGCTTGGTCTCAGTAAGGAAATAGTCGCTGTCGTACGTACGGATGGCACGCAGGTAATCCTCAGCGCGTAGTTTGAAACCCTTGACACGCATGTCTTCCACGATCGAGTCCAAAAGCTCCACTTTGCGAGTTACAGACACGGCAAACAGCATCTGCCGGTAGAAATACACCGATGTAGGCAGATTCTCGCGCGTCACGAGCTCGTAAAACTCGAATACTTCGTCATAGCGCATGTCTGTGATAAGAGCAGATAGATACTGCACGTTCATGTTCGCCGTCACGTAGGCCCCCGCGTCTTGCGCGCGCTGGTAGATGTCGAACAGTTGCGGATGGTACGACGGGCCACACATTGCGTAGGCACTCATGGCCCACGAGTAAAACATGCGGAGGTGGCTCTCCAGCGTCACCACATTCTCGTTCTCCATCACAGTCGATCCTGGCAGCACGACGGCTGATCCTGCCTTCGAGCGCTTGGCAAGTTCTTCCGCGAGTTTGGCTCGGTGCTCTACAATCGTCAAGGCCAGCATTGGCTCGCTCGCTTTGACCAGCAGAGCCATCGCCTCCTGCTCCGTGGCCTTAGTCAACATGTCGTCAAAGCGCAGTGGTTGGTACTGCGTCTCGAGCTCGTCCTCTGCCTTGGCCTCGCCCCTGGCCACGGCCAGCAGCGGGCACTTGCCCTCCAGTCCCATGGCTGCATAAAGCGGCGCGTAGCAGTCCGCCACGCTCTTGACAATTGTCGCGTAGAGTTTCTGCGCGTCCAGCGACTGCATCCAGAGCTTCTTCTTGTCCATGCCGCGCTGGAACTGCTCCTTCAGAGCCCGCGCGCGCTCCTCCTCTTCGTCCTCGGGGTTCTTCTCGTGGCCGTAGAGGTGTTCGGGGCCGTCTTCGTCCTCCAGGTCCTCGTGGCCTTCGAAGGCGGCAGCGATGGCGAACGACGGCATCTTCTTGCTCTTGTGCTGGCTGCCGACGCCTCCCTGGGGCACGAACGACGAGTGTCGGAGCGGCTGCTGGGCGCTAACGGGCCCCCATGTAGAGGGCGAGAGGGACGAAGCGGCGGAACCAGCGGACGAGCGCCGCAGCGCCCGCGCCAGCAGCGCCAAGCCGCGCGGACGGAGCATGGTCTCTACTGCAGCTTTGGAAAGCTCTATTGACCCCTCATTTCGACCCGATGTGATTGGTGGAAATGAATGTAGCCATGTCTTGCACTAAATGCGGACGTTGTAGCTATAGCCGGACAAGTGCGCAGGACATTACCGTAGTTTGTCACGAGCTCGCGCGAGTGCATGAGGAACTCGAGGCCGTTGATTCCGTAGCTCCGAGCAAGTGGTGATTCATGGCGGCCGCCGGCTCGGCCAGGCCAGTGGAGAGCTCCCTCGACCTCGCGCTCTTCCTGCCCGCGAGCCTCGTGCTGGACTTCGTGTTCGCTGCCCACTTCTGGAGTCTCTACACCGCCTCCAACCGCCTCGCCCAGCCGCGCGTGCAGTTCCTCGTCGCTAGCGCCTGGTTGTCGTTCGTCACGCTCGTGCCGTTCGCCTACGTGAGCCAGCACACCCTCCAAGCGCTCACGGACATCTCAGAGACGACGATGGTGCTCACGCTCGTCGTCCAGGTCGCCATCATCACCCGCGACGCCATGAAGCAGTGCAAGTTGGCGTCGCTGCGCTACTTCATGCGCGCAGCCGAGGTCTTCACTGCTACAGGGACTATCGTGACCGTCTTGAGCGTTGCCGACGTGTGCTTGACATCGGCGGAAGCGACCGCGATATCGGGCTGGCATGTTACGGTTGAGATCGTCAACTTGGCCCAGCAGAACGCCGCACTTGCGTTCATCGTCACCTTCCGGTATTTCTACATCGCGCTGTCCCGCGGCAGCCTGCTAGCAGCGATCAAGAAGCACCCGCTCTCCACCTCCCTGTACGCGCTGCTGGTGACGCACGAATACTCCTTCATCATCGCACGGAACGCCGTCGAGTCGAGCACTCAGATGTCGTGGAAGCCGCTCCAGGGGTTCTACATGCGGGTGCTGGTGCTGCTTTGTATCTGGGCCAACGCTCGCGACCACGCAGCGTCACGAGCGCGGAGACGGCGACCAAGGACGACTCCACAAGCGTCCAAGAATCGGCACGTGTCCAGCGTGGTGCCTCAATCGTCTCTGCTCCCGTCAGCGACGCGGCATCGAGCATCGCCGTCGGGCGCACTGCGCCTGTCGTCGGCCATGTCTAGGCAGTCGTTGCGGAAGGTGTACCAACTTCACTCGCCGGTGGTGGCGCCGCAACCCACGCAGTCTGCCATGAGCGCGTTCATGAATTCACTGGCAGGCGCAGCCGAATCACTTCCGCAGTAGCAATGTCTCTGAGTTTTGCCTCGGAGCCCATCACCTTTCGATCTCAAGCCGATGAATGAATGGAGATAGAGGTCAATACTTTGGAGTGAGGCTACGTCCGCTGCACCTTGCGAGTCCTCGACACAGGGCAATGCAACTTGTTGAAGTTTTCCAATCCTACGCTATCGCATTTGGCATGTCGTTCCATAGGGTTTATGCGTGCGACACACCACACAGAGCTGTTTTAACAGATTTCGAGCCACACACTCGCGGCCCCGTCATTGCTGAGGCTCATGCTGGCGGAGGTGGCGCGTCGGCGCTCTTCGTGGCTGCGCTCGCAGGCGACGGCTCGGCGTCTGTCGCGGCCGCTGCAGCTGCAGGCGACCGCGCGTCCTCGGGAGGACGAGGAGGCGGAGGCCGAGGCGGATGGGGGCGTCAAGCGGCCGCTCGAGCGAGGACGAGCCGCGCGCCCGGGCTCGCAGGGCTTGAGCTTCCACCTGCAGATGCACGCGGACCTCGCCCCGCCGTCTGGCGGCCCAGCGAAGGCGGACTCTGCAGAGCTGAAGATCCGGGCGATGGAGGGGGCGGGGGACGCGACAGAGCTCCCGGTGACGCTGCGCGCGGACGCAGAGGCGGGCGAGTTCCCAGCGCTGATCGCCAGCAGATCTCCAGCCGAGAAGGACGTGCAGCGAGCCAGGGAGAGTCTGCAGAAGCTGGCGCGGGATCTGGCGGACCCAAGAGCTGCCAGTGCGAGGGAGACGGGCTTCCAGAGAGCGAGGAGGCAGCTCAAGGCTGCGACCGGGAAGCTGGACCGAATGCTGTACGCGATGCGGCAGCGGCGGGACTTCGAGCAAGTGGAGGCGGTGGCGTTCGTGTGGGAGGAAGAGTTCCCGCACTTTGCGGGGCAGCAGAAGCACTGGTCGGTGATCTCCGAGCACTACGCATTGGCGCTCAACTACCAGCAGCGATTCCAGGAGGTGGTGGACAAGTTTGTGGTTTGCTTCAGAGAACAGGGAGATCCCAAGCGCGCGGCGGAGGCGGTCAGTCTGCTGACGCCTCGACTGGCGCAGTCGATTTTTGTTGCGCTCGGACATTTGCGTGATGCTTCGGGGGCGTTGCAACTGCTGGATTCGATGCGGCGCCGTGGCGTTCATGTGACCAAAGTGTCCTACTTCCACGTGCTGAACGCGCTGCTGCATGACGAGAGATTCACCGATTTTGAGACGGTGATGCAGCTCTGCGAGGAGATGGTCACTGCACTCCCGGGCGAGATTGTGCCGCTGTCGCTGTTGCCGACGGTTATGATGACTGCCGCTGCCTGTGGAGAGTCTGAGAGGGCAATGAAGCTCTATAGTCACCCTCCCGACATGCACATGTCGGTGTTCACTGAGTTCCGATTCGACATCTGCTTGCAGCAGCTGAACCATCTAGGAGAAGACGCGATGCTGATGGAGATGTACCGGAGCTTGATGCGATCGTCACGAGCGAGTCGCGATCTGAAGGAGAGAGTGTCGAAGTATCTATTTCGCAAGCGACTTGCATTTACGACACCTGAAAACCGCGACGAGCGCCTCAGTGTGGCATGCGAGATCTTGGAAATTATGAACCAGCACGAAATCCCCGTCAGTCATCACGCTGTATTCCCACTGTTACGTACGCTGTTGCTCGAACCAGAACCAGCGAGTTACAAGAACAAGAACGCCAGCATCAAAAACAAGGATGACCAAGCTGACGAGCGAGTTCCCGTTAAAGTGGAGTGTGCCGAAGATATTCACAACTTTTTCTCGCGGTACGCTCCTTCGTTGGAGTGGAATGTGTTTGCTTTGTGTGAAGCTATCGTGGCTGGTGTTCGCACCCACCGCGCAGATGTGGTGGACGATCTCTTCGTATACGCGCTAGATCGTGGCATGCCGATCAAGTACGCAGCGCTGGAGCAGGTGGTGGTTTACTACTACAAACTAGGCCTCCTCGACGATTTTGAGCGTGTGTCCGACATTGTTCATGCCCTGCGCCTGAATAGGCACATTCCTCTGGGCATCTCAGTGACGGAGATCGGAATGGCAGCCAACCTCCGTCTTCACCGGTATGAGGAAGTTGTCCTGCTCTTCGAGGATTTCTCGGCTCTCGACGGTGAACGAAAGCGTACGCTCAGACGTCGATTTATGCTCAAGACGGTGTTGGATGCGTACAAACGGCTGGGGCGGACAGATGAAGCGTTGGCGATCCAGGCGCTGATGAAACAAACCCACAACTCCCTATTAGATGAAGGCAGGTGCAGCCAAGAGGAGGAGGATGAGGAGGCAAAAGAAGAAATTGCGCTGGACGAGCGTGATGGAGAATGCACAGAGGAGGATGTGGGCCACGATAGCGATAGCGACGAGGTTGGTGAGAAGGAGCTTTTGTCTTTGAAGCGCTTCAACCGGTAGACAGTTGTAGCCATACCTGCAATATACAAAGCCGGTGGCAGACACCAAGGCTAAGTGACCGTGTGTGGAGTGGTGTGAGCTTCCAGCATCTTCAATGTGACGTGTGATTTCGCTGCGGATATTCGCGGTTGCCTATTTTGAAGGTGTTGAAGGCTTGCTGGATGCAAATATAGCGAGCTCTTGCGCAAGCCCGCGCCTCACTCTCGAAATGGCGAGTTGATAGCCACCATATCAGCAAGAATGTCTTCCGAGGACGAGCTGCTGCCAGCGCCAACGGAGACACTCGCCGCCTTTGAGCCCTTCGTGCAATGGCTGCTGGCGGCCTCGTTGGACGACTTGACGTCTCTTCCTGATGAGATTTTCTCGGGCTTCGAGGCCGGACGTGAAGATGAAGATGAAGTTGATAGCGAACTGGATGATAGGAACCTTGGTCAGAGGGAAATGCGCCCGCCATTTGAGAACGCGTGCAAGGCGCGATTGGCTCTTGCTGAAGCTGAAGGCGACCTGGAAGCAGCCTGGGATCAGTTGTCCTGTGCTCGACGAGAGTGGGGCGCGTTGGATGAAAAGCTGCTGACCTTGCAAGACGAGCGTGACGAGAATCGAGAGCACATTGCGCTCCTCGAGCGACGGATAATCAAGCTTCTGCAGGACCGGGACCTGGCCATTGCAGAGACTTATACCACGGAGAAGCAGATCCAAGACGCCGAGTTTTTCAAGGCACAGCAGCAGCAACGTAGACAGCAGCAGGAAGAGGAGCAGAGGAAAGCGCGCGTGGCCTCCGCGCTGCGCAAGCTGCTGCTGCGTCGGGGCAGCGAAGAAGGTGGCAACAGCAGCGGCGGTGAGTCCCCCACGGCGTCTCCATCACCAAAGTTCACTGAGAAGGACGTGCAGCGGCTCCATAAGGAGCTGGCAGACTCGAAGGTAGCGGCAGCAGTGGCGAAGGCCGAGCGAGACGAGCGCCGTCACGCCATGCGTCGCGCCGAGCGTCGGTGCGGCGAGCTGAAGCTGGCGCTGGCGCAGGCCCGCGCCGAGGAGGACGACCTGCAGGTGTCACTTCAGCAACTGACTCGCGCTCGGCGCAGCTCCGTGAACCACTTGCAGCAGATTTCCCTCTTCTCGTCCTCCTCGCTGCCTCTGCAGCCTCCAGCGGCGCCCACGGCGGGGCTGCGCGCAAGCACCAGCACAAGGTAGTCGCGCCGCTTCGCTATAAAGTTAGACAGGTGAACTGTATGGAGAAATGTATGGACATCGGATTGATGCGCAAACCGATTTCAGAAGGCTTGCATTTATACAACATTATGTTTTACTTGGCGTTTGTATTCTGCTTTGTTTGCCATACTTACTTCGATCGCTGCAATAATGGAGGAGCCCAAGCCCGTGTACTTCGACGAGGAGTCGGACGAGGAGGAGCAGAACCCCGGCACCTTCATGTGGATCGAGGGCGACTCGCTGGCGCCTCCGTGCCAGAGCGAGCGCGACGTCGTGTCCAAGATCGTGGAGATCGCGCGCGTGACGCCCGACGACGTGCGTGGGCCAGTGAACGAATGCCTCAGTCAGCTACATGTGCAGTATCCGATACTCAGCCGCTTGTTGCGTGCTTGTTTTGTTGCAGGTCCTGTTCGACTTGGGCTGCGGAGACGGCCGAATCTGCATTGAAGCTGCCAAGCGCTTCGGCGCCCGCGCGCGCGGCGTGGAGATCGAGGAGTTCCTGATCAAGCGCTTCCGCGAGCTGATCGCCGCCAACGACCTGCAGGAGCTCGTGAGCGTCTCGCACGGCGATCTGCTGGAGGAGGACCTGTCGGAGGCCACCGTCATCGTCACGTACCTGCTGCCCGAGGCGCTGGACCAGCTCACGCCCAAGTTCACCAAGCTGCTGAACCAGACTGACAAGGACGTGCGCATTATCTGCAACACGTGGGCCATGCAGGGGCTCACCCCCGACGAGCGCCACGACGCCGGGCCCTATGGCAACGTGCCGCTGTTCGTGTACAGGAGCGCTGCAGGGCGCTCGCCGGCGAGTGGAGAGCAGCAGCAGAAGGAGAAGGAAGAGGAGGAGCCTAAGCAAACATAGACGGCATGACAGGGCATGGCACTCGTAGAATAGACACAACACGACTCGACTTAGACTGCTGCTCGCTCGCTCGCGTATTGATCTCGACGTGTTATCCTCTCTCCTGTGAAGCTGCTTGCTCGTGGTCGTCTATCACTGGGTCTTGATACTTCGGACGCTGGAGCTGCTGCCGCCTGGACGCCGCGCTTAGGCGCTGGCGGACTTGTTGAGGCGGTGCACGACGAACATGCTCGTGTCCAGGTAGGCAAGCGTCACGTTCTTGATGCAGTCCTTTTCCTTGGACGAGAGCTCCGAGTCGGGCTTGCTGGCGCTGCACTTGTCCCAGGCCAGCGCCGTGATCTTGGACACGGCCTGCTGGATCAGCGCGCGCTGCTGCTCCTCCACAAGCAGCTGCTGCATCTCCGCGGCGCCCGTGGACGCGCCGCCGCCGAGCGACGAGGACGGCGCGTGCGACGACGGCGAGTCGTAGGACGAGGACACCGCCGGCGCGCTGTAGTCGTAAGTCGGCTCCTCGTACGTGTACGACTCCGAGGAGGACGACGTGGGCTCGGGCTCCTTGCTCTTGCCGAATCCGAAGAAGGACATGCTACTGCTACTGCTACTTTGGGGCGTCTGTGGATGCGGCCGTTATGACCGTTATGACCTCACAAAGTGGTTCAGGTTGCTGGTTGAGGGGGCGCAAAACAACTTGAGCCACCTCCAAACCCGGATTTGTATCGGGGGTGGCGCAGGTTGCAGGTTAAGGGGTCGGCACGGACCGGCGTGAAGTTCCTGAAAAACCGACTTTTTTTACTACGTGCTAACTTGTATTAAGTGCCCAGTATGTAAAACAACCCTTTCATTTTTGAAAAGGTCTATGGCGGTTTTCGAGTGCTATGGCTGTCGCGTGATTCGGTTCTCAATAAGAATCCTTTTCAGCGGCTAACGGCACAACATACCCCCGATTTAGAATGCGGCCATCTTGTGCCAATAGTCGCAGCCATAATAAAACCCGGATTTATATGGTGTTGTACAGATTGGCTCAGGTTGCTCGTTTGGGGGGTTTGTCCGCTCCTAAAACATTTATTTAGAGTTTGTCCGTGTCTAGATTATAAACATACCCGAAACCTTTACCCATGTACTTGTCAACTTTACCACAATACTTACTAATTTTCCGCCATGAACTCACTATTTTTACGCATATACCCACCAACGTTTACACTCAGTACTGCCAAAGATTGTTATGATGTGACTCAATATGACATCACATTAATTTGTACAGTGCGTATTGTGCTTTTTTTCTTACATACTTTTAGCACTTCGACTGTAACTTATCTATAAATCGTTCTCGAGTACGAATCGCTGTAAGTCGTGGATGGTCAATGAGCACTAAGTAGTGCACAAACGCCATCTCCTGCATGATTTAGCACATCCAGCGTGGATTAGCATCCTTTTGGCACCTTCAGAAAGTGCCATTTCCGAGCCAAATCGGGCTGGCTTTTGCTCCATGATTTACCACTAAGTACGAGCACTAAGTGCTCTAATTAGGAGGGCAAACTGGATGCAAAGCACAATACATGCCTGCTGCTGCTGCTGCTTACTGCTAACTTTGGGGCGTGTGCGTTGACTCTGTGGATGTGGCTTTCCCTTGCTAAAGCCTACGCACATAGTTTCCCTCCAACGATTCCCAGGAGCTTTCAGTGCTTTAACAATCTCGCTTAAGTACAAAACAGTCCGTCTAAGTTCATTCTCCCGTTTAAGTTTGTCTCTCTCGCTTAGTTTGACTCTCTCGATTAAGTGTCGATAAAGCTGCTGAGGAGGGATGGGGGGGGGGTAAGTCCATCAAAACTAGGGGCTGGCACGTCGAAAATAGGGGGTAAATAGATCGACTTCTCAAAATCTGGGGGGGGGGCTCCCAGCTGGACGACCATGCCGCCGATTAGTACGGAGTCAGCCGCGGCTCGTGCTGCCCGTGAGAACTGTGGTAAACGTGCAACTCAACATCAACTTGTAGACTCCGGGAGCGCATGCGCATATTGATACGGCCATATACCCTGGTGTTCATTACTGTCACAAAGCTAATACGCCAAGGTTGTCGGGAGCTGGGGGCAGGAGCTAAGAGTGAGGACCATGGGATTGGCACAAGCTGTTTAACTATTGGAGAAGACGTGATCTTTCTAAATGGAAATGATGCCTGAAGGCAGTGAAGTACTTTGCGCTATCGCAGGGGGGGGGGCATGCGAGTACCCAAAAGCGTACACGCGGTGTCCATGTCCAAAGCTATCGCATTGATTTTCATGACGTTTCGTCATTTCAGGCCAAATGTTGACGGAAAGTCATGTACTAGAGCATTGGCCTTTCGCAAGCGTTATTGCAGTGCCACAGTTGCGGCGTACCAGTCGCCTGAACAAACGACATCAACAAGCACGCAAAGTGCAATCCTAGGTCGTAGTACATCTATATGTACCGCCACGCTGATGAAGACCAAATATTCCTAGTCATTACGCTCGCTGAGGTGACCTCGTCTCCCCGGCATCGGGATAGGTGGGTGGTGAGACGAACGCGGAGGCGCGGCGGTCGGTTGGTTCCTCTCGTACAAGCAAACAATTTAGTTTCAACACATTGCACCTTCGGGCCAAATTCGCGAGGATGCGATTGATAGGTATACATCGATAGAGATACCCATGCCAGTCAAGATTCGAGAGGCACCAAACCATCGAGAGGATTCGACAACGATTCTTCTCACTTTTCAGCACGCGCTTGGTTGCTGCGACGGCCTCCATCCTCCGCGGGCTCCTACTCGCTGCCGTGGCACCGAGCGCACTGCTACGAAGAACTCACCAAGTCTGCAATATGCAAAACTATTTTTTGTGCGTGCAGTTTCTGGAACAGGCGCTCAAGGCGCACCAGCTATCGATACAATGACATCCTGCGACCATGTCGACGAACGTCTCAATCTGCTCGTCCTCTACTCCTGGAACTACGTGGAAAGGAAGCCTGCGTCATTCGGTCCAAGCGCTCAAGGCGGGGCTGCGGGAGATGGTTAGAGGTTCTAACTAATTTTGTTAAAGAGTACCAAGTCTTTCGGATCTGAAAGTCTTTCGTTCAAGCAGCGTACGTTTCGCCTCGATCTTGATGAAGAGTCTCTCTCGATGCCTTGTGGGGGGCGCCACCTCGCCTCGCTGCTTCCCAGTTAGGAACCGTCGGCTTCGGGCCCAAGACGCGACTCGGCCATGTCGACCCCGCGCATGCAATGGGTGAGCCAGCGCATCGTCGAGACGTTCGAGCCGAGCGTGACGCAGGCGGAAGTGACCGAGTTCCTGGCGTCCCCGGGCACGCGCAAGCTCTTCAACGAGCTGCTGAGCGGCAAAGACGCGTGCAAAGTGTTCGTGCACTTCCAGGGCGGGGCGAGCGCAGCAGCTGCAGCCGAGAACGGGGCGACGCCGGCAGTCGCCACCGCCCCCAATGGAGACGCAGCAGCAGCAGCTTCTGCTAACAACAATAGCAAACTCTGTGTGTCGCTGGGCAACTCGATCCCGATCCGCGCCAAGTGCTGCTTCTTCCTGAGGACCACAGCGGACGGGAAGCCCGTGGACGTGCAGAAGGCCAGCGACAACGCCATTTGCTTCGGCGAGCTCGCCCCCAACATCCTCCGAGACCTCGAGACGACCATCAGCTCTCTCTTCTCGCCGCTGCTCAAGGCCAAGGACGAGTGGGGCAAGGCCGACGCCGACCTCAAGAACGAATTCATGACGGAGTCCGAGAAATTCGCCAACGACCTCAAGGAGGCGCTCAACAGTATGGACAGCGGACTGGAGCTGAGGAGACCCGACCGCAGCATTCTCGCCGAGACAGTGAACAACGCAGCGGGCCACGGCGGCGTCAATGGGGCGAGGGTGTTGCAGGTTTCCGACTCGCCCAAGCTCATCGTGTACTACGAGGAAGTGCTCAAGGAGTGGTGCGACGTCATCTCGACGTACCTCGAGACCAACACGACGAACGACGGCAAGGGAGGCAACAACGACCAGAGCATTGACGACGATGGACCCATGGGGGAGCTCGAGTATTGGAGGCGACGCATGCAGCGGCTGACGAGCATCACGGAGCAGCTCAAGATGAACGAGTACAAGGACGTCTTCGCGGTGCTCAGCAGGACGACCAAGAGCGTCAGCGACGACACCAAGCAGCGCATCCAGACGCTGCTGCGACGCTGGAAGCAGATCGACATCGGCATCACGGAGGCCGCGAACGAGGCCAAAGACAACGTCAAGTACCTCTTCACACTCGAGAAGTTCATCATCCCGCTCTACAACGGCACGCCCAGCTCCATCATTGACACGCTGCCGGCTCTGATGAACTCGATCAAGATGATCCACTCCATCGCGAGGTACTACAACACGACGGAGCGCATGGCAAACCTGTTCACCAAGATCACCAACCAGATGATCACCAACTGCAAGCACTGCGTCACTGGAGGCGAGACGTACGAGGTCATGTGGGACAAAGACCCCGAGGAGCTCGTGCGCCACCTGGACTCGTGTCTGAAGCTCAACGAGGCGTACCAGCAGCAGTATCGCGTCACCAAGGACAAGCTCTTCGCGACGCCCAAGGGCAAGCAGTTTGAGTTCAACGAGATGAAAATCTTTGGCAAATTCGACCTCTTCTGTCGACGCGTCATGAAGCTGATCGACATGTTCACGACGATCCACCAGTTCTCGTCCCTGGGCCAGCACCGCCTCGAAGGCATGGAGGACCTCATCGCGAAATTCAACTCGATTATTCGCGAATTCCAGTACCGGAACCACGACCTGCTCGACTACAAGAACAACCGCTTCGACCGCGATTACGTCGAGTTCAACGTCCGCATCTCCGACCTCGAAGGGTTGCTGCAAAAGTTCATTAACGACTCCTTCGAGAACATCACCTCCATCGAGCACTCGCTGAATCTGCTGCGCAAGTTTCAGACGATTCTGCAGCGTGAGAACCTCAAGTCGGACTTGGACTCCAAGTTTAACGTTATCTTCCAGAACTACGGGCTGGAGCTGGAGCACGTTCTACAGCAGTACGAGAAGTACAAGCAGAACCCTCCGTACCCACGTAACCTGCCGCCGGTAGCGGGTAACATCACGTGGTCGAGACACCTGCTGAAGCGCATTGAGGAGCCCATGAAGAAGTTCGAGTCCAACCAAAACGTACTGGCAAGCAAAGACGCCAAGCGCATTATCCGCATGTACAACAAGGTTGCGAGAACGCTGGTCGCTTTCGAGTACATCTGGTACCAGGCGTGGGTGCAGTACATCGACACGGCCAAGGCGGGACTGCAGGCCACGCTGATCATCCGCCACCCTGAAGACAACAAGCTCTACGTGAACTTTGACCCTGAAATTCTGCAGCTTTTACGCGAAGCCAAGTGCTTGGACCGCATGGGTATCGAGATCCCAGAAGCGGCCAAGATTGTGCTGCTCCAGGAGGACAAGTTCAAGAACTACTACAACGAGCTCCAGTACGCGCTGGCAGAGTACGACCGCATCGTGACAAAGGTGATCCCAGTGACGGCCATGCTCCTGCGGCCGCACTTCAACGACATGGAGTTCAAGCTGCGCCCGGGAATGATCACGTTGACCTGGACGAGCATGAACATCGAGGCGTACCGCAACCACATCCACTCGGGCTTGCAGCACCTCGAGGAGCTGGTGACAAACATCAACGACATCATCGAGAATCGCATCGAGAAGAACATGCGCATCGTCTCCAAGACTATGCTAGTGGATCTGCCGGTGGACCAGTCCTTCTCTCTCGACGAGTTCGTAACGATGCAAGGCTCGAACATCAAGCGAGCAGGCGCACTGCTGCAGGGCAAGAACGTCGAGATCGAGAATGCAGTGGAGGATTTACTCAAAATCATCATGCAATACCCGCTGGACTCGCACATCGAGGGCGTCTCCAACGACGAGGCCATGAAGCTCAAGAAGCACTACAACCACTTCATGTACCAGGCGCTGCTGCACTGCACCAAGAACTCGCTCAACACCATCAAGAAGCGCGTGGCCTCTCGCATGACGTCCACGATCTTCACTATCGAGCGTCCGTTCTTCGAGGTCGACGTGCAGCTCAGCGTACCAAACGTCCAGCTGCACCCGTCGTTGGATGAGATCCAGCTAGCTATTAACAAGGCTGCGCAGACGATTCTCAGCTGCTCGAAGGAGTTGCTGGACTGGGGGCAGAGCGATTTATCCTCCGCCGTGAACAGCTCCAATTCTAATGGCACAGACAGCAACGGGAACACTACGCACCCCAACGCAGGCAAGATCACCTTCTTCGATCGGATCACCAAGGACATTGAGATTGTGCGCGTTGTGCTTCTGCTCACGGGTAGCGTCCAGGGTCTGCGTAACAACGTGACCGAGTACTTGTGCTCTTTCAAGAAGTACGAGTGGCTCTGGATGGAGCAGAAGGACGTCTCCTACGAGAATTTCCTCAAGAAGAACCCGGAGCTGCAGGACTTTGAGAAGAAACTCAAGTCATTTGTCGAGATCGACGAGGAGATCTCGAGCCTCACCCCCATCCACAACATCGGTGCGCTCTCTTTGAACACGCGCAACATCAAGCTGCAGCTCAAGCATGAAAACTCGCAGTGGAAGCTGAAATTCTCCGACAACCTGCACAACCAGGCACGAAGGAAGATGGAGTCGCTGACGGAATATTTCCGGTCGACCATGGGCAAGCTCAATCGTAAAGTGGTGGACTTGGACTCCTTGCGCTTCGTGATGAATCTACTGAAAGAAGTTCGCGCTCGAGAAAGCGGCATCAATATGGAGATCAACCCCGTGCTGGATATGTACGAGATGCTCGAGTACTATCTGCCTGACGGGTTTATGGAGAAGGAGGAAATGGACCAAAAGTCCGTTCTGCGCAGCAATTGGCGCAAGCTTATCCACCACGCCGAGACTCGCACCGACGAGCTCAGCAAGACTCAGGCGGGGTTCAAGCGCGGTCTCCTTCGCGACATCAAGGAGCTGATCGTCGATGTGAAGCACTTCCGCGAAGATTATCTCGCCAACGGGCCCATGGTCATCGGGATTCCCCCCGTGGAAGCTGTGGAGAGGCTCAACCGCTACAAAGAGGAGTACAAGATCCGCGAGCGCAAGCACGAGCTGTACTTGTCCGGTGAAGAGCTCTTTGCGCTGCCGAAGACAACCTACCCGGAGCTGGAGATGACGAAGAAGGAGCTCCAGCTCCAGGACAAATTGTTTGGACTGTATACCGACGTGCTGAGTACAATCGAAGAGTGGAAGCAGATCCCGTGGCTCTCTGTGGCTGAGCGAGTGCAGTCGATGACTGAGAAGGTGGACGCGTTCTCCCTTCGCTGCAAGAAGATGCCCGGGAAACTCCGCGAGTGGGAGGCGTATACCGATCTGAAGAAGATGATCGACGACTTCACCGACGTCTTGCCTCTGCTGCAGGAACTGAGCAAGGAATCGATCAAGCCTCGACACTGGGAGGCTGTCATGGCAATCACCAAGACACAGCTGGACGTCACGGCGCCAGACTTCAAGCTGCAGGCTCTGATGGACGCCAACATTGTGGAGTACAAGTCCGAGATCGAAGAGGTGACTGATGGCGCTGACAAGCAGCTCAAGATCGAGATCCAACTCGCAGAGATTTCGGCTCGGTGGGAGACCGAGGAGTTCCAGTTCCAGGACTGGAAGAGCCGCAACGTGCCCATCTTGAAGGCTGTGGTGCCGGTTGTGGAGGAGCTGGAGGAGACGCAGATGAACCTGCAAACGATGCTGTCGATGCGTCATGTGATCCCGTTCAAGGACGTGGCTCAAGGCAAACTGGAGCAGTTGTCCGATACTTCCGAGACGCTGGAGCGATGGATTAAGGTCCAAATGTTGTGGTGCTCGCTTGAATCCGTGTTCACAGGCGGTGACATCGCCAAGCAAATGCCCGTAGAAGCCAAGAAATTCCAGAAAGTTGACAAGGATTGGGCCAAGATCATGGCGAAATCGGAGGAGATCAAGAACGTGGTGGCCTGTTGCTCCAGTGAACTGCTCAAGTCGTGTCTGCCGACCATGTATTCCGAGCTGGAGAAGTGCCAGAAGAGTCTGGAGGGCTACCTAGAGCAGAAGCGAAACAAATTTCCTCGGTTCTACTTCGTGTCCAACCCTGGTCTGCTCATGATCTTGTCGCAAGGCAGTGACCCGTTGAGTATGAACGAACACTACGAGAAAGTGTTCGACTCCATTGAGAGGGTTTACCACGACAAGAAGGACAAGACCTTGATCCACACGATGGTCTCTGGCGTGGAGGAAGTGCGATTCTCGCAGATCGTCAAGGCGCAGGGCAACATCGAGGACTGGCTGGCCACGTTGCTGCGTGGGATGCAGATCACTATGAAGGACATTTGTCGACAGAGCGCCATGGACATTGGCGTAGTGGGCAACGACTTGAAGCGACTGCGCGAGTTTGTGGACCGGTATGTGGCGCAATTCGCTCTATTGGGAATTCAGATGATGTGGACGACGGACATCCAGACCGCTCTTGAGCAGTGTCGAGCCAAGAAAAACATCATGAAGGACACGAGCACCAAGCAGGCGATGGTGCTTACAGAGCTGTCGAACTGGTGTCTGGGAGATCTCGGCTCTAAAGAGAACCGCATTAAAATCGAGACGCTCGTGACGATCCACGTGCATCAGCGTGACGTGATGACGGACCTCGCTACGCTCTACAAGCAGAAGAAGATCTCGGACCCGAACGACTTCGAGTGGCTGAAGCAGGCGCGGTTCTACTGGAGACCTGGCAACTCGGACGAGTTCAACGCCGATGGAGCTTGTGTCATCTCGATCACTGACGTCGACTTCAACTACCAGTTCGAGTACCTCGGCTCAAAGGAGCGGTTGGTGGTGACTCCGCTTACCGATCGATGCTACATCACGCTAGCTCAAGCTCTGGGAATGTACTTTGGAGGAGCCCCCGCTGGCCCCGCAGGAACAGGCAAGACGGAGACAGTGAAGGACCTGGGTCGTACTCTGGGCATCTACGTCGTGGTGACCAACTGTACGGACCAGCAGAAGTACACGGATTGCGCCAAGATCTTCAAAGGGCTGTGTCAGGGCGGACTCTGGGGGTGTTTCGATGAGTTTAACCGCATTCAGCTCCCTGTGTTATCCGTGGTGGCACAGCAGGTACTCGCTATTCAGAACGCCAAGAAGACTGGAACCAAGTACTTCCAGTTCCCTGGAGACCCTCAGAATATTTTACTTACGCAAGTTTGCGGGTATTTCATTACCATGAATCCTGGTTACGCTGGCCGTCAGGAGCTGCCTGAGAACCTCAAGGCCCTGTTCCGAGGCGTGGCCATGATGGTGCCCGACTTCGAGATCATCATGAAGGTCAAGCTGTGTTCCGTCGGGTATTCCGAGTACCAAGACCTCGCCAAGAAGTTCTTCATCCTGTACAACACGTGTAAGGAGCAACTGTCGGCGCAGAAGCACTACGACTGGGGTCTACGTAACATTCTGGCCGTGCTGCGAAGTGCTGGCAAGATAAAGCGCGACAACCGAAACGATTTGGAGTCCAAGCTGCTGTACCAGACCCTGCGCGATATGAACCTGTCCAAGCTGGTGGCCCAAGATGTGCCGCTGTTCCTGTCGTTGCTCGCCGATCTGTTCCCGACAGTGCAGTTCCCTCCCAAGGGGTCATATCCCGAGCTTACTGTGGCACTGCAAGCTGAAATTGAGAAGCAGGGCATTGTGGACCATCCAGGCTGGTTCAACAAGGTCATCCAACTGTACGAGACGCAGCTCGTACGCCACGGTATCATGCTCGTGGGTCCTACAGGCGGCGGCAAGACCAAGATCTTCGACGTGTTGATGCAGGCTCTCACACTGACTACAAACATTGTTCACAAGCAGTCCAAATTGAATCCGAAAGCCATCCGAGCCGCTGAAATGTACGGTGAAGTGGATCCCATGTCTGGCGAGTGGACAACCGGCGTGTTTGCAGCCATGTGGGCGAAATACAACAACAAGGCCAACAAGTTCATCATGTGGATGACGTGCGACGGCCCTGTCGACGCTATTTGGATTGAGGATCTGAACACCGTGCTGGACGATAACAAGATTCTGACCCTAGCTAATGGTGATCGCATGCCTATGACGGATAATGTGAAGCTCATGTTCGAGGTCGAGACGCTGGTGAACGCTAGTCCCGCTACCGTGTCACGCGCTGGCATCGTCTTCATCAGTGACACAGATCTCGACTGGGCCCCCGTTGTGGAGGCGTGGATTCGGAAGCGTCCACCGACCCACCAGCAGGTTCTTCGGGACCTGTTCATGAAGTATATGGGCGAGAACAACCCGCTCAACCCCGGCCACTGCTTCGACTACTTGAACCGCAACACGGAAGGAGTCATGACGGTATCTCGCGTTGGCCAGGCGTCTCGACTGTACAACTTGATGACGGGGTTGCTGCTTGGAGATCACGGCACGACATTGTCCGAAGACCCCGCAAAGCTAGCCATCCAGCTCGAGAAGCTGTACCTGTACTGCCTGTGCTGGTCGCTCGGCTCGCTCTTGGAGCAGGAAGACCGAGTGAAATTTGACGAGTGGATCCGACAGTACGACGACAACGCGCTGCTCCCCAAGTGTGAGCCTGGACAAACCGTATACGAGTACTTCGTTGACCCGCAGACCTGGGAGTGGAAGCTGTGGAGACCGGCCAAGTGGGAATACCCCAAAGGCGCCAAGCAGCTCGATTTCTCCAACTTGCTGGTGCCTACCATGGACTCCGTGCGAACTCTGTACCTCATTGAGAACCTGCACAAGCAACGCAAGCCTGTGCTGATGGTGGGCGGACCTGGTACTGCTAAAACTTCGTCCGCGTTGATGTTTTTCAATGATTTGAGTCCGGATATTATGATGATCAAGCGCGTCAACTTCTCGAGTGCTACGACGCCCTTCATGTTCCAGAACGCCGTCGAGAGTGAGCTGGATAAGCGCGGCGGAAAGAGTTTCGGCCCTCCTGGAGGGAAGAAGATGACGGTCTTCCTAGATGATCTCAGTATGCCGCTCGTGAACGCCTGGGGTGACCAACCGACGCTCGAAATTGTGCGCATGATCATCGAGTTGAGCGGATTCTGCTTCCTGTCGAAGGACCGACGCGGTGACTTCAAAGTGTGCGAGGATCTGCAGTACGTGGGGGCCATGGGCCACCCGGGAGGAGGTCGAAATGACATTCCGAACCGGCTGAAGCGCCAATTCTACCTGTTCAACCTGATTTTGCCTTCGCTAACGTCGATCGATGACATCTACGGCCAAATGCTTGCGGGTCGGTTCGACCCGGAGACGTACAGCAAAGACACACTTTCTGTCGTGAACAAACTGACGCGTGCTACGATTGACTTGTGGAACTTCATGAAGGCCAAGCTGCTCCCCACGCCAGCGAAGTTCCACTACATCTTCAATATGCGTGAGCTGAGCCGTGTGTTCCAGGGGATTCTACTCACCCCGCCTGAAACCTTCACGAGCGGCGGAGGCATTCGTGTAACACAGGGGAAACTCGCCAAGATGGACCCTGGCCAGGTCGTGCTGCTCACTTGGAAGCACGAGTGTGCGCGCGTGTTCTGCGATAAGCTGACGAACCACAAGGACAAGGACATCTTCAACGCCTACATGCGCGAGCTCATCAAGAGCCACTACGGAGACAGCCTGGAGGAGTTTTGTCGCCAGCAGTACAGCATGGTCAACTTCCTCCGCGACCCGGAAGAGGACGAGGAAGGCGGCATTGCCGACGCTGCGCTCAAGATCTACGAGCCTGGCGGTACCGTCGCAGACGTGCGCTCCCGCGTCCTCGAGTTCCTGGACAAGTACAACACTGACTTCCCTCAGCGCCAGATGCGGCTCGTGCTCTTCGACGACGCTCTGGACCATTTACTGCGCATTTCCCGCCTACTGGAGATGCCTCGAGGTTCGGCGTTGCTCGTGGGTGTCGGTGGGTCCGGAAAGCAGTCGCTGACTCGGTTGGCCGCGTACATGGCAGGCTCTACCATCTTCCAGATCGTCCTGACCAAGACGTACAACACCAACTCGTTCATGGAAGACATTCGCACACTGTACAAGTCTGCGGGCCATCTCCGCAAGTCCACGACCTTCCTGTTCACGGACGCGGAGATCAAGAACGAGATTTTCCTGGAGCTCATCAACTCGATCCTCATGACGGGCGAAGTGGCCGGTCTGTTCGCCAAGGACGAGATGATGGCCATGACTGCGGATCTGCGCAACTCGTTCGTCAAGGAGCGCCCCGGACAGGCGGAAAGCCAGACGAACCTCAAGCAGTACTTCACCGACTGTGTGCGTGACAACCTCCACGTCGTGCTGTGTATGTCGCCGCTGAACGCCAAGTTTGCCGAGCGCGCGCGAAAGTTCCCGGGGTTGATCAGTGGCCCGACGATCGACTGGTTCTTGCCGTGGCCTGAAGACGCGCTGATCGCCGTGTCCAAGGGCTTCATCCAGGACTACCCGATGGAGTGTGATGCGACGACCAAGCAAGCGCTCATGACCCACATGGGTATGGTGCACCGCATCGTCACGGACCTGTGTGAAGAGTACTTCCAGAAGATGCGACGGCGCGTGTACCAGACGCCCAAGTCGTACTTGAGCTTCATCGAGTCGTACAAGAAGATGTACAACGTCAAGCTGGACGAGATCAAGGTCAAGGAGCAGCGCGTGAACCTCGGACTGAAGAAGCTCATCCAGGGAGCTGAGGACGTGCGAGCAATGTCGATTGTGCTAGCAGATGAGCAGGTGAAGCTGGAAAAAGCCACGGAGGAGACCAACACGATGCTGCAGTCTCTCCAGGTTTCGTCCGCGGAGGCACACAAGGAGGGCGACCAAGTGGCTCAGATCAAGGCGAAATGTGAGGAGGATGCGGCTCGTATCTCGGCCGAGAAGGAGCTGTGCGAGCATGATCTGGCCAAGGCCAAGCCGTTCGTCGAGGAGGCCGAGACGGCCATCGACTCGATCAAACCGGCGCACATAGGTGAGATCAAGAAGCTGGCCAAGCCCGCCGACATCATCCGTCTCGTGTTCGACGGTGTGCTGATCCTGTTCAAGCTGCCGCTGATCCCGGTGAAGCAGGTGAAGCTGAACGTGGCCAAGCAGGAGATCGACTTCTTCGAGACGTCCTTCTCGCCCTATGCCCAGTCGATGATGAGCGACTCCAACTTCCTCAAGAACGTGCAGAACTTCGGAGCAGTCGGTAAGGATATGATCAACGAGGAGACGATCGAGCTGCTGACTCCGTACATGGAGCTCGAGGGGTTCCAGCCGAGTGTGGCCAAGAACGCCTCGCTGGCAGCTGAAGGCCTGTGCACGTGGGTGCGCGCCATGAAGTTCTACCACGAAGCCTCAAAGGTGGTGAAGCCCAAGCTCGAGGCTCTCACGATTGCTGAAGGGCAAATGGAAGCGGCTAACAAGGCGCTGAACGCTGCTGAGCAGCGACTCTCCAAGTGCAAGGAGCGACTGAACGAGCTGCAGCAAATGTTCGAGGCTCAAATGGCCGAGAAGAAGCGCATTGAGGACGGCGCCAACGCGCTGGCGCGGAAGATGCAGCAAGCGTCCGATCTGATCAACGGCTTGGCTGGTGAGCGCGTGCGTTGGACGGACGACTCGAACAACTTCGCAGACCTGAAGCGGAGGTTGGTGGGCGATTGTGCGGTGGCCTGCGCCTTCGTGTCGTACTGCGGCCCATTCAACCAGGACTTCCGAACGTACATGGTGCAGAACAAGTTTGTCCCCGACTGCGAGTCGAGAAACGTCCCGGTGACTGTAGATATCGACGTGATCACGTTCCTCGTGGACATTGGTACGGTGGGTGACTGGAACATGCAGGGGCTGCCCACAGACTCGCTGTCGATTCAGAACGGTATCATGGTCACGCGCTCCTCGCGCTATCCTCTGCTCGTCGACCCGCAGGGCCAGGCGCTGTCTTGGATCAAGAACAAGGAGTCGGAGCGGGTTCCGAGCTACGGCACGACGTCTTTGAACCACCCGAAGCTGAAGGATCAGCTCGAGTTCTGCATGGGCGAAGGGAAGGCTCTGATCGTGGCGGGCGTGGAGGAGGACATCGATCCGATGCTGGACCCGGTGCTGGAGAAGCAAATCATCGTCAAAGGCAAGAGCATGTCGATCAACGTGTCGGACAAGAACATGGAGTTCAACCCGGCCTTCTCCATGTACTTCATCACGCGACTGCCCAACCCGCACTTCGGCCCGGAGCTGCAGGCCAAGACCACCGTGATCGACTTCACCGTCACAATCAAGGGTCTCGAGGAGCAGCTTCTTGGTCGGGTCATCGGCAAAGAGCAGAAGGCGCTGGAAGAGCAGCTCGCGCAGGTGCTGGAAGACGTCAACATGAACACAAAGTCGCTGTTAGCACTCGACGCGTCGCTGCTGGAACGCTTGACGTCCAACACTGGTAACCTACTGGAAGACGAGGAGCTGATCGGGGTGCTGGCCAACACGAAGGAGAAGGCCGCCGAGGTGAAAGACAAGCTGATCGCCGCCGCCGACACACGAAAATCGATCAACGAGAAGCGCGAGCAATTCCGCCCCGTGGCCACGCGCGGCTCCGTGCTCTACTTCTCGGTGGTGGAGACGTCGCTCATCAACTGCATGTATCAAACGTCCCTGAACCAGTTCCTGGCGCTCTTCATGAAGTCCATGGACGTCGCGGAGAAGGCTGCACTGGCCTCCAAGCGAGTGGCGAATATCATTGAGACGATGACGTACATCTCGTACCGCTACATCAACCGCGGCCTCTATGAGCGCGACAAGCTCACGTTCGTGCTGCTGCTGACGCTGAAGATCCTCGTCACGGACAGCCTCTTGACCCGTGAAGAAGTCACGCTGCTTATCCGAGGTGGCGCCGCTCTGGACATCAACTCAGTGAGGCGCAAACCGTTCTCGTGGATCTCGAACGAAGCCTGGCTGAACGTCATCGAGCTCTCCCAGAGCTGCAAGTTCTTCACGAACCTGCCGCACGAGATGGCGTCGAACGAAGGCATGTGGCGTCGCTGGTACGAGGACAATGAGCCGGAGACCGTAGTGATCCCGGATTATGAGGCTCGACTCACAGAGAACGAGGTCATCGGGCCGTACTACAAGCTGCTGCTGGTGCGCTCATTGCGTATGGATCGTACGATCCTCACGACCAAGGAGTTCATCAGGAACACGCAGCAAATGGGGCCGCGGTATGTGGAGCCGGTGACGGACACGATCGAGAGCATTTTCGCCGAGATGAAGGCCGAGACGCCCGTCATCTTCCTCTTGTCCATCGGCGCCGACCCCACGGAAAGCATCGAGATGCTGGCACGCAAGCAGAAGAACCCGTCGCCGGCCGTCGTGTCCATGGGTGAAGGCCAGGAGCCTGTGGCTCTCAAGGCCATCAACGCTGCTGTGGTCAACGGCACGTGGGTGCTTCTGCAGAACTGCGAGCTTGGGCTGGAGCTGATGGAGCAGATGGAGGACATCATGCTCAAGCTCACCGAGACGATGGACCCGGGCTTCCGCCTCTTCCTCACGGCGCTGCCGAACGACCAGTTCCCGCTCGGTCTGCTGCAGATGTCCACGAAGGTGACGAACGAGCCGCCTCAAGGTCTACGCGCGGGCTTGTTGCGGTCGTACACGGTGATGGTGGATCAAGAGAAGCTGGAGCGCGTGGAGACGTCGCAATGGCGACAACTGCTGTTCAACTTGTGCTTCCTGCACTCCGTTGTCATTGAGCGGAAGAAGTTCGGGCCGCTTGGCTGGGGAATCCCCTACGAGTACAACAATGGCGACCTGTCAGCGTGTACCATTTTCCTCGAGAAGCACCTGTACAACGGACCGATCTCGTGGCCGACGCTGCAGTACATGGTCGCAGAGGTGCAGTACGGCGGCAAGATCACGGACAACATGGACCGCAGGCTCTTCAACTTCTACGCCGAGTGGTGCCTCACGCCCGACGTTTGCTCGCCGACGTTCAGCTACAACCCGGCCGAGCCCATTTTCCGCCTGCCGAACGACTTCAACTACCGCATCCCCGTGGCCGACAACATCGACGACTACCGGCATTTCTGCCACACGCTCCCGGAGATCGACTCGCCTGAAATCTTCGGCCTGCACCCGAACGCCGACCTCACGTACCGAGTGAAGGAGGTCAACATGCTGCTCACGACTCTCGGCGACACCCAGCCCAAGGGCGGAGGTGGTTCCTCGGGTGTGTCCCGCGAAGACGTCGTGTGCGAGAAGGCCAAGGAGCTGCTGGACCGACTACCTGAAGACTACAACGAGGACGACTACAAGGCCAAGATCAACAAGCTGGGCGGGCTCACCATCCCGCTCAACATTTTCCTGTTCCAGGAGATCCAGCGGCTGCAGCGCGTGATCGCCAAGGTGCGGTCCATGCTGCAGTCGCTGCAGATGGCTATCCGCGGCGAGGTGGTCATGACCGAGGAGCTGAGCTGGACGCTGGACGCCATCTTCGACGCCAAGGTGCCTCCGTCCTGGCTGCGGACATCCGTCGGTGACGAGTTCTCGTGGATCCTGCCGACGCTCGGGCTTTGGTTCTCGTCGCTCATCTCTCGAGACGAGCAGAACCGCACGTGGCTCAACACGCGCCGCCCCAACTCGTTCTGGCTCACGGGCTTCTTCAACCCGCAGGGAATGCTCACGGCCATGAAGCAGGAGGTCACGCGCAAGCACTCCAAGACGGACAAGTGGGCGCTGGACGACGTGGTCTACCACACCGAAGTCACGTCCTTTGAGCGCGCCGAGCAGGTGCGCGCGCCTCCGAGCGAGGGCGTCTACATCTACGGGCTCTTCATGGACGGCGCCACGTGGAGCAAGGCCGACGGAACCATCGTCGAGTCGGAGCCCAAGAAGCTCTTCACGTCGCTGCCGGTGCTGCACGTCAACAGCATGTCCAAGGACCTGGAGGCCAAGTCCCGCAAGGAGCTCTACGGCGCTGTGGGGCCCTTCGAGTGTCCGTGCTACAAGTACGCTACGCGTACCGACCGCTACTTCGTCTTTATGGTGACTATGAAATGTCCTCCGGGCCGTCCGCCTCGCCATTGGGGACTGCGAGGCGTCTGTCTGCTGTGCAACACGGAGTAAATGAACCCCGTCCAGAACCTACCATTCACTGTATTACTATCTGTTCTACACGTATCCTTGAAAACAAAAGTCCACTCTGTCTATCGACAGCCATGCCGTGAGCTTCGACGTTCAACTTGTGATCTCATGTCATCTTAGCACGATGAAAAATGCTCATATCGCTGCTTGTTACGTTTGCTCTAGCTATCGTGGAATGACATTAGCAACTAAATATCCCTAACGACTATCAAATACTGATCGAAAAATAAGTATGCTTCGCATGTTGGTAGACTACTGTACAGTATTTCCAATGTGGGAACTGCTCTTTCCTTCACTCCCTCGGCTTCATCGGCGGATAGGCTCGCACCGATGACCAAGTGCATGTAGATCCGGTGTCGTGACAAGTCCAACGAGTTTTAGGGTCAACTTGAAAAAGGGGGCTATCACTCGCCGTAGTGATCCATAGCGGCCATACGCCTGGCCAAGGTGCTGGCCAAAGTGGCGCTTGGACAGCCTCCACTCCAGCTGGCTGAGAAAGACCGCCGCCTTGGTCGGCTGATGGATGTCGGAGCTGCGCGAAGCGCTTCACTTTGCTGCGATCTCGGACAAGTATTCCGATATCAAACGAACCAAAGAAGCAGAACTACTGTACGTCAGGTAGGATTTTTTACTACCCTTATTTCACCCTGACCGGAACTTTCACCCGGACCTTTTTCCCGGGTAAAACACCAGGTCAGGCCAAACATCCGGGTAAAGCAAGAGTGTGCATTGAAGTGATATTTAATAGCAGTGTTTAATGTAAGTTATGGTGTGTGTTGAGTTATGCAGGTACGATTCAGCGCGTCGCAGCATGATCGCAGTCTGGAGGCTAGAATGACCACTCCTCCACGCCATTTTCTTCATCTGGATCGTGGTCACTGTCCGAGTCAAGGAAGAAGTTGTAAGTGTTAGCGTGCTCATCAATTTCCTGCTGCAAGTCTTCGGCCGACTGCGCATTTCGGGGTGGCTCATCTTCCTCCGAAGAGTGATCAGCTTCGCCACTACGAGCTGATTCGACTGAGCCGTCGGACTGGTCGCCAAGCTCATCATAGTCACCTTCATCTTCTGACTCAGGCGGAACTTCAAATGTTGCTAAGTCGGGGGCAGCCGGTAACTCAATGCGTGGTGGACGCTGTTTCTTCTTGCGTAGACCGCGCGTGATGTTGGCTTGCCGCTGCGCGTAAGCAGTTGAAATTTTGGCAATTGTAGAAACAAAGTGTCGAAGCTTGGGGTGGGGCTTGAACGCGGCGTTCATCTCCCTGTTAAACCTCTCCAAGGGGTTGTTTGTGCGCGCCACGATAGTATTGGCGATACCAAACACATTCCACTCTGTGATGTAGTATCGCTCAAGCCAGGTTTTTCTAAAGTAAACCCAAAAACGTTTCCACTCACGGCGTCAGTATGGGCAATTGCAGGATTGAGCTTTTTGCCGGTGTCGCGGTAGATGAGATGCAGGATATCGTCGTACATGGACTCAGTCTGGGACGTACAGAGCACGAAGTATACCGGTGTGAACAGTCTACGCGCTGGGTCATCCACCATTAAGATCAAGCACTGGCGAAATCCTCGTGGTACAGATCGAAAAGTACCGTCGAGGAAAAGAGATACGCTGTTGTCGAGTAGGAGCTCTTTCAGCGCAGGATGGACCCTTAGAATCGGGGTGGGCCGTCACCAAATGGAACCGGAAGAATGGGATGGCCGAGTCTTTCACTTTGGAGAAGGGAGGGACTTCCACAACTCCGTGAATATCACCACCGTAGTATCGGCGGCGAATGCGACAGATACGCCCGATAACTTGCTCCTCTGTCAATCCGTCTAACAGCTCTTCTCTATCGGGACCGTAGAACGCCTCGCATACTTGCTCCCAAATGTCGCCCTCTGGCATTGTTGGATTTTGGGTTGCTAGCTGATCTGTAGTTCGTTTCATTGCGTCGGTTTCATCATTGAGTTGCCATTCAATACCGGGACCGGACGGCACGTGTGCTCACCCTCCACCCACCAAACAGCGGCCGGGGTTACTTTGAGCGTGGCCTTACAGCCAGAAGTCTTCGAAGTACTGCAGCGATATGCAATGTGCTTCTTCGAGTACCAGTTCTTGCAATATCGAACGCCCTTGTAGATCTTGATCGTTTTTGACCCTCGCTTTTTCTTGGCTCGTGGCATGGGTTCCTGGCTAGCAGGGGGTAGCATCACGTGATCACCGGCAGCTTGGACTTGGTCAGATGGATCATCAAGGGACAGCGCTAGCAACTCGAGAGTGTTCCCACTCGCATCATTGCCGACCTTGCGACGGACGGAGCGCTTCATCTTTTGCTGGGCACGAGTGCCCTGGCGGGTCATCTAGACGTCTCGAGAGTTGGTTGTGGTTGAATAGGGAGCTGCGCTTGTGCGGAAAGCAGGAAGATGGTATGTGCTGCTGCCTTACCAGTATTGCCATGGGGCCTTCCCATGGGGCCTTCCCATGCGAGAATGCTGCGGATAAGTATAGTTTTGTGAGAGATTTGGATAATAGTAGTTTCTTAGAGTAGATGGCGATGTAGATGATATATATGCCCGCATGAACTTGGCAAATATATCTTCTCCGGGTTATTCTCAGGTCATTGAAAACATGCGCTCTTTTTCACTAAGAAAGAGTTCCGGGTAAAAGTTCCGGTCAGGGTGAAATAAGGGTAGTAAAAAAGGTAACCGTACGTCAAGGAGCGCTTGGCCGGCCTAGAAAAAAAATCAACCTAGGTCTCGGTAGAGCCCGCATCAGTGATGCGGGCTCTACCGTTTCTGTTCGTGAGTTTTTGTGGCTCCGACTGAGTGGATCATCGCTCAAACAGTGTTTGACAAACACCAGGCTGGTCGTCCAGAAGCTGAGACCGGCTGGCATATTTTCCAGGAGGTGTGACTGCACAGCGATTGCGATGTTTTGCTTCATACTGTCGCCGCTGTCGCACCCACGATACTAGCGACGCCTGGTCCCAGGCGTTGAGACTCGGCGCCTGCACTACCTCGAAGACCGGTTGCGGTACAGTCATTTCAACGTCGCCTTCAGCATCCGTAGTCATCTTGCTTCTTGGTCGGCTTCGTGCCTCACAGGCCGACTTGTCCTGCAGCGGTCGCCTGTCCTTCTTGTTCTTGCCGCGGCTTCTGGTTCCTCCAGAAAGTTAACTTTGTGGTCACCAGTACTTAGCAAAGAGCAAATTGAATTGTGTTGTGTTACCGTAGCTCTACAGTGCTGTTAGATTCTGCTTTCTTGCCTACGAGAATTCGTAGCGGTTCTTAATCCGGCTACTAGCAGTTCTAGAAGCTCTGGTGTTAGCATGAGCTTTGCCGGCTTGGATATGCAAGCGACAGAGACGAGGAATGCCTGGAATCGTCCACACGCCCTCATGCTGACCTGCGTGGGCATGGCCTTCGGCCTCGACACTGGCTACGCGCTCAACCCGGCCCGCGACTTCGGCCCTCGCCTCTTCACCTTCTTCGCTGGCTGGGGCTGGAAGGTTTTCACGGTCCACAGCTTCTACTTCTGGATCCCCATCATCGGTCCCTTCATCGGTGGCCTGCTTGGTGCTGGCCTGTACGTTGGTCTCATCGAGAACTTCCACCCGCGCGAGTAAGTCGCACACCTAGCAACCATGACTTCAGTCATTCGTATCTGGGCTTCTCTTGTCAAAATACAACATTTTCATTCCACGTTCACTAAATTCTACAGCTTCACCTTTACCTTTGCCGTCGTTAACGCTCTCGCCAAGGCCAACGATGCCAGCCTTCCCACATCTGTATCGACGAGAGCGAATGGAAGTTTGCCCACAAAAAATGGAAATACTATAGCTCGAGATGGGGTTGTCACGAACCACAGGATCTTTATCAAAAGGGGCCACAAATCCATCAGCACTTTATCATTTGGGGCCACAAACCCAAGCACCCCACAAGCTGAGCAGGAGCGCTGCTCGCGTGAAAGAGCGCGAGCAGCAAAAAGCCTGTGAGCGCGCTCGTTGTGATTTGGGCGCTCTTCCGTGCTCCGATTGGACAGGGGAGCACAACGAGCGCGCTCGAAAACAACAAGATTTCACTGGCTAAAAAACAGCGCAAATATACGGAACCCACAAAAAATCAGCAGCAAGCAGCCACCGTCGCGTGCCGCCCGCAGACGTCGCCAAGAGACTCGAGTGCTACTCCGCTCTCCCGTGCAGGAGAAGGCGGAGCAGCAGCAGCAGCGCCAGCGCGAGCACAAGGAGTACGAGCAGCCGCCCGCAGTGCGAGGCCACCACCGACAGCAACCTGCAGTAGGAAGAGCCCCCCACCGCCGCGTGCCGCGCACAGACGTATTGGTAAGCGACTTGGGTTTGGGAATTGGCGTGCAAGCTTGTTAGTATGAATGACGAGCGAAAATGATCATGATCCGTTCACAAGCTAGAGCTGCCGCAGCTGCTGAATATCGGGGCGATGACACAACTAATCAAGAAATAGTTGTTGCTACGAGATGGATGGGTGGGTTTGACGATGGCAAACGCGCGCAGCAGCTACTGGCCATTGATGGACAGTCGGAGAGCGTCGTTAACCAGTTTTGGGTGCGTACGGAGGCATTGGCAACGGAATATGCAGCCCTACAAGAAGCTCAGGCGCAAGGCGAGGCTTTACTAGCTGCACAGGCGTCAACTCAGCACTGCTAGCAGAACGCCAACACGCGACTACCCTTCAGTTCCGGCAGGACCTACAAGACACGAAATCTATGCTGGAGACGCATCTGAATACTCTCGCTAAGATGCAAAAGTCTGTCATGATCACAAAATTCGCGCAATCGGAGCGATTACGTTCTAAGAAGTCAATTAACTCGGCTTTGGTCGAGCTGTAGAGCTCGACAATTGCCTTCGCAATTCCCTCTGCATTTATCGTAGTCTGAATCTCTTCTCTCACCACCACCTGCCGAATTACTCGGGATTCTTCGTACTCGCCGCTACAGAAAGGCAAGTTATTGTTCACGAGGCGAAGGGTTTCCAGCATCAAATGAAGGCGTTGAGGGTTTGTTCGACACAAATTCGACGAGAGCAGCCGTTCAACCGTCTCATCTCGCTTTCGTTTCCCTTCAACTGCAGCCGCCGTTTTCTTCGACGAGATTCGATGCACCTTTCGTAAATGCTCTGTTGCTCTAGATGTTCTTGCTCGTGACAACACCAACTTCACACCTGCCTGTCGACACGCCTCGTCGGCAAGACATACCCAGCCAGTTTTCACTTCATCATAGTCGATATACTCTACGCGTACACCCCACTCAAAAATGAATGACTTCTCCGCGACAGTAGGCAGTTTAAGCGTGTAGCCCGCAGAGGGTTGATAAGCTTGAACGGCCTCACGAACTGCAACAGGTGGTCGAACCATGCCAACAAGCTCTCCGTTACCACCCACCACCGTCCTTCGTGTTTTCTCCTACCCAACGCAATGGAAATGCTCGCGATTCTCTTAGCGGCGTCTGCGGGCAGCACGCGGCGGTGGGGGCCTCCTCCTACTGCAGGTAGCTCTCGGTGGTGGCCTCGCACTGCGGGCGGCTGCTCGTACTTCTGCTGTTCGCGGTGGCGCTGCTGCTGCTGCTCCGCCTTCTCCTGCACGGGACGGCGGAGTAGCACTCGGGTCTCTTGGCGACGTCTGCGGGCGGCACGCGACGGTGGCGGCACGTTCAAGTTGTGCTGAATTAATTTATTTTGCCCAATAAGGGGGATCCGTAACGAGCGCTGCTCGCGCGCTCCGGGTGCTCGTTGTGTTCGTATTTAAATGGGGGAGCTGAAAAACCTCATAGTTCGTGCTCGCTCGGCAGGCACGAGCTCGTAGATTGGGGTTGTAGTGCTCTCTTGCCCCTCTGCTCGTGGGATGCTTGCACAAACCTGTCAAAGAGTTGGACTTAGCGCAGTACCGTAAGAAGTACCGTCGATAGCCGATTGCTGTCCAGGCGACCGGTACAGCGTTGCAGTGATCTTCCGCTTATGAGCTTTATGACGCTCCTTCATGTAACAAAACATTCCTCGGATCCGCTTCTACTTGCAGTATTATAATAAGTTTAGTTTATAGCTAAAACGCGCAATAAGTGACGCAAAGGCATCGAAGAGAGGAAGCTATTGAGCAGAATAACTGTCGTAGCGGAATTTGACACTTGCATGAACTCTTTAGTGGGAAAGCTCTCTATTATTTCCAAGAAGCACGTAACTAGAACTATAAAGTCCTGGTGTCGCTGTAGGCTGTTCCTAATTGAATGCCATTCCAGGAGTTCTCGTTTGCTGCCATGCCTTCCCTTTCAGCTTTATGAAAAGGGCCCTCTATCTAAGCAGCACTGAATTTTAGCTATACAACATTTTCTGTTGGGCACCGATAGTGAAATACCTTGCACAAAATTATTTACGCCGGAACCTGTACATATCTATCAACCGGGTCTGCTTATTAGGCCAACAGTTTGTATCTGTGAAACCGTTCCTATACTGCATGGCGACTTGAAGTGCTCCGAATGAATGCAAGAACAGCAACAAATCAATTGGAATTACTTACCGTCTATATTTGCAAACTGCATGCACGGCTAAAGGTTGAAACAGTTGATCAAGCCAGTGGGCAAAGGCTTTTGGCAAGCTTAGACTACGACAATGTTACCTGCAACTTATTGCGTAGTAGTTAATGCAATCATAGATGACTCTTAATTTTATTTCCTGAATCGATGGCGCCTTGCTCTGAGTACCAGCACAACACGGCTGAAGCTACACCCTTTGGCAATGCTTGTCACTGGTAACTCGATCTACACTTGTGTGTACAAGGTGCATTTAGGTTAATTACACAACGATCGTAAGTGTTATCTACCGCGGAACTTTTACCGTAGACGAGTGCCTGCACGAGCACATCATCGACATATTGGGTTGAGCTGAGGGGGGTACATAACATTCTAAACCGCGACAATTTCTAACTTAGATTAACTACCGCGTCTCGATCTACAACTTGGCAGCACCTATGTTAACCTTGAAAGGCAATTAGGACGGCACACAAGCAGCGCTAGTTTATTTTTTGCTGGTAGCGAAAGGCATGAGTATGCAAGCAACTGGGTGCTGTCCTGTGGCAAACGTTCCACACCGGTAATTCAAGCCATTCTTCGGAGGTTGCACAATTTTGGGCACGCTTAAGTCGTTTCGGATGCGTTGCTGGTTTGCCATTGCTTATTTTTAATAATTACTGGTAATTTACAATATGCATGCTCGATGTACCCCATATGCTGGCGAGGAAACTCGATGGCGATCCAATGTTGTGTTACTGGATCGTGATATTTCTTTGAGGTCGTACGAAGTCCTGGAGTAAGTACGTAATGGACTACTAGTCAATTGGTTTGATACATGTACGTATCTGCAGCAGTTCTGTAATGAAACCGCAAAACGTGCCTAGCTTAGACGTCGTTGCGACGCGTTCCGCTACTTGAGTTGCGTTGCAGTTTGGCACCTGTGCTGCAACGCTGTACCGGTCGCCTGGACAGCAATCGGCTATCGACGGTACTTCTTACGGTACTGCGCTAAGTCCAACTCTTTGACAGGTTTGTGGCCCCAAATGATAAAGTGCTGATGGAGTTGTGGCCCCTTTTGTAACGGGGTTACACGCACAAGTGGCTACAGTGACTTGTTACTCTAACAGATGCGATGTCTGTTAGAGGGTTGAACACTTCCTCGACCTTGGTGTAAGGTACACCAATGGCTACATACATTTACGACCACCACGACGGGTGGTCCATACACATTTAGGATTCCTATTGGCTGAAAGCAGCATCTTTTAGCCAATGAGTGACTTGCATAGCATTGGAATTCTGCCAGGGGGAAGCTACGAATGTAGCGCAAATGTCGTTCGATGTCACCCAAAAACCTTCTCCAATCGACAGTTCTTCGAGCTGCGAATTTCTAGTGAGTTTCGTTTTCGTACATGTAGGAAAGCGTCCGACCGGGCTGTAGGGAGGCTTCATGTAAAATACTTTCGTCAAAAATGATTACATAATATATCGGTCCGAACAAAGCGCCCATTATGCACCGGTATTTTATATTGTGCTTTGCATCCAGTTTTTAGTGCACTACTTAGTGTTCGTACTTAGCGGTAAATCATAGTGGCCTTGAATGCGAGTTGGTCAAGTCGTGTTTCGAACCCGGTTTGGCTCGGAAATGGCACTTTCTAAAAGTGCCAAACGGATACTTATCCGTACTGGATGTGCTAAATCATGCAGGAGATGGCGTATGCGCTACATAGTGCTGATTGACCATCCACGCCTTACAGCAATTCGGCCTCGAGTACGATTTATCAATAAGTCGTGCTCGATAAGTCGTACTTCTCTGGGCCACCTAAAAAACAACATTGAGGTTTGTAGTATAGCGAGGTTTTTTCAGGGCTCAGATTCATTTGTCAAAAATACGTTAGGGCTAGGTTACTTAGCACGCGCTAAAACGTCGGGGGGCACCACACAAACCAAGTTCCCGCCAAGGCCTGAGCACTCAACATCACAATGGGACGCCACCCCAAGCAGCTCAACCTGTCTTCTCAGAAGAAACTCGCCATCCTTCTCCACCTCTTGAACCTAGCCGTGGGTGGCCGGCTCACCTTAGGCGCCAAGGCCACCACCAGCCGTTACTGTTTGTGTCACCGGGACACGGTCACGCGCATATGGGACTTGCGCCACACGCCAGATGTGCTACTGCAGCCAAATCACCGCCGATCAAGCGGCATCCACCACCCCGACATCGCCCCCAAGGTGGCAGCAGTGCCGTTGCCTCTTCGGCAGAACCAGCGGTCCCTTGCTGCCGCCGTGAAGGTCTCCCGCACCACCCTCCGGCGCTACCTTAAAGTGGGGTTATTGCGCCGGAGGTTTTCAATTGTCAAGCCTCGTCTCACGCCTGAGCACAAGAAACGACGTCTGGCATTCGCACTACGCCACGTTCGGCAACCCCCAGGTATGAGCATTTTTTTTATTTTGTACAAGCGGTTGGATATCTAATAACCTTGTTGATGTATTATTCTTTTATTTTGTACAGGTCTTAGACGGCCAATTTTCGTCGATATGTACGATGTCGTACATAGCGACGAAAAGTGGTTCAATATGTATAAAGGATCAACCCACTACTACATGGCACCTTGCGAAGATCTACCCCACAACACATCGGTCAACAAACGGTATATAGCTAAAGTAATGTTCTTAGCGGCAGTCGCTAGGCCCCGCTACGATTTTTTCCGCCGTAAGTTTTTCGATGGAAAAATAGGCATTTGGCCTGTGGTTGAGCGTGTACAAGCAAAACGGACTTCGGTTAACCGTTTAGCTGGTACCTGGGAGACTAAAAATGTTTCAATGACTTCGGGCGAGTACGAAAATATTTTGGTGACAAAATTATTTTCAGCAATTCGCGCCAAGTGGCCAGGTTTGTCATTATTTTTGTATTTGAGTGTTTATTGTTAAAGCTAACGACATGTACATTAATTCTATTTCATGCAGGAGGCAGAAGTCGGTCAATTCGTGTGCAGCACGACAAAGCGAGTCCTCACGCAGCGGCTTCGAGGGCAGCAGTTCAACTAGCCGGCAAGAACGTCCATGGGATATCCGCATGGAGTATCAGCCGCCCAAGTCGCCGGACCTCAATGTTTTAGACCTCTCAGTCTTCTCCGCGATCCAGTCGGTGCAATATCAACAGCCTACCTACAAGGTGGACGCCCTCATTGGGGTAGTACTAGCTGCGTTCGGGCAGTTGCCGAGTCGAACGCTGGACAAAAGCTTCGTAACGCTCCAAAAGGTGATGGAGTGTATCATCAAGGCTGCGGGTGACAACAATTTCCAGCTACCTCGCGTGAGCAAGCTGTACATCAAGAGAGGAATCATACCAAGCTCAATAGCATGTGATTCCACTGTCTACGAAGCCGGCAAAGTAACATTAAAATAGTTGCAATAAAATCTAAAATAATTCGCCCCCATCAACTGTTTAATTTTTGGTTTAATTCGGAGCCCACCTTAATTGGTTGAAATTGGAGCGCGTTAAATGTTTTTCGTGACATATCTACTTATCAGGGTAAAAAAACTCACTTCTTTAGACGCCTGTACGATGCTATCCCTACCTCGCCAGCGTTCAGATAAGCGTTGAACTCAATCGCCCAGTCGTGTAGATTGACCACGTATGCGCTTTGTCTATTATCGCCAAATATTGACGAAGATGCGTAAAAAACCTTATTCACTGCGTATGAGCGTGTTCAAAGTTAGTGTTATTTCGCTCGAATCGATTGTTATTGAGCTTTAAAAATACAGTGGGGTGCAGCGTGAGCCCGGCTTTATTTTAAGGCCCTACTTGCGTATAAGATGCAAGAACAGACTGAGATACGACGTCGGAACGAGTTGTTGTTTCTTCGGTGGCCCAGAGAAGTACGAATTACAGTCCCAAGTGCCAAAAGGTCTGCAAAGCACAATACAAAAATCCCAATAGTTGAAAAATATCAGGAAATTTGCCCGCCCAAATATTTTTTTGGGAATTTGTATGTTGGGTCCGTTATTTTTTAGAATTATTTAAAAATAACGGATATTCCCCAATACAGCACCCGTCCCGAATAAAAACACTTTGGTCATTTTTGAAATTGGTCCAAAATTAGAAGACCTACCCGATTACAAGACCGGTAGGCATTATGTGGTCCACATGATCGGTACTAGTCCAGTACGATACTGCTAGTGGATGGACCAGGGTATGTGCGTCGCACGGTGTAATGGGCCTACTTTGGCCCACTACTTTTACTTTCACGTGTGGCGTGTATCTGAGGAAGCGTAGCCTAGTTTAAATTAGAGTTAATTATACTCGGACCTCCGAGTATAGGTTAATCTAAATAAACGATCCAAATAATGTTTTGGGTTAAAATGAGAACTGCTATTTTTGTTTTATGTTTCTGACTTCCTTTAAATGTAATATTCTAAGATAGGAATCTGCCAACGGCTGGTTGGCAGAATTCCAATGCTATGCATGTCGCTCATTGGCTAAGAGATGCTGCTCTCAGCCAATAGGAATCCTAAGTCTCTATGGACCACCCGTCGTGGTGGTCGTAAATGTATGTAGCCTTTGGTGTGTCTACACCAAGGTTGAGAAAGTCTTTCGAACCTCTAACAGACGTCGTGCCTGTTAGAGTTACAAGTGACTGTAGCCACTTGTGCGTGTAACCCTGTTACACCATCCCCCCCCCTCAAGATTAGACGCGCCGAGTCACGGCACGTCAATCAGGAAATTGACCATTCGTCAATTCTTCACGTTGGGAGAAAGAAAACTCGAGCTCATTCCGCAATGAGCTCGCCTCAGAAGAAGACCGCCGCCGCAACAGACGGTAACCTCTGTGTTGCTCAGTACCATGAGCGCCAGCAGGCAAAGGGCGACGCGCTCGCTGCAAAGGCCGCGTCGGGGACAACCCAGTCGGAGATTGTCCTCGAAGGTTCCTCTGTAGTCAACGACGCCGTTGACTACGAAGACGACGACGTGGAGATGGAAGAGGGCGAGGCCTCTTCTAGCAAGCGCAAGGAGTCTATCGACAGCGATAGTCTCGACCCGCATGCCGGGTCGAGACGCCCTCGTGAAGGAGACGACTCGGACGCTTCGAGCTCGAAGCGTTCGCGCGGCGAGAGCGACACTCCGCTCTCTGCTGCTGGGGCTTTAAGCTCCCCGCGTGAGGTGGCGCCTTCAAGCTCTCCGCGCGCTGCTCAGGCAGCGCGCGATCCGTGGATGCCGTCTGCGTCAGAGATCGCAGACCGTGTGGGCAACACTGTGCCTCCAAACGAAATCCCGCTGTACGTATGCAGCGGTATCCACGACGATGATGTTGCGGAGGAGCAGCACTTTGATCCGTTAACGAATCAAAGGCGCGATTATTACATCGGGCTCTTCCACGAACTTCGGTACTTCTCCAGCAAGAAGACTTCTTCTCGCAGCAAAGTGCCGAGTGGCAGGCACTTTGTCAAAGTTGGAACGCTTTTGTTGAGAACTTCAACAAGAAACCGGCTGCTTACCGTGAGCGGGTTAAGCACGCCCGTGAACGCTTCGAGACATTCTCGACGCGCGGGAGGTTGGAGCAGCTCCACAGATCTTCTGTGGACACTGGTATTCCACGCGCTGTGCCCGAAGGCCAACAGTGCACGTTGTGTCTTCCGGGTGCGGCGCGCTTGAGCGACCGCGACCTAAACAGGTACACGACGATTCGTGTACCTGCGAGTCTCAAGGATCTCCGTGCCAAGTTCTTGGCACGCGAGGAACGCGACGATCGTGGGACTTCGGGCGCTGTAGGTGACCACAGCGCTCGCACTACCTTCGCGTCGGCAGTGCGTGGTGAGCTTCGTACGCCCTCACCATTTCCGGAACGTCCTGCAGCAGGACGTCCCGCGGCTCCCATGTATCTTGGTGGGGCGGAAACCCTCTCCAACGAATACGATAACGAACCGGCTGCCGGTTCGTTTTCGGGATACTATGGTTCACAATACGCTCAACAATCCAGCGTGTTGAGCCGCGGGCGTCGCGGATCGGAGGCGGCGGTGGTGGGAACACGCCCCGGGTATGGTCAACCTGGGGTTGACCTTGGCCCGACGCTCGAGGAGCGGGTCGCTGCTGTGGAACAGCATCAGAGTCGGGAGTTCGCCGCTCCGAAGCAGGAGGTGGCGATCCTGAGGGCTCAGGTCGCTCAGGGCTCGCAGACCGCGTCGGACATCTCTGTCGACGTGGGAGGTCGCGTCGCACGCTTGGCCCAGCGCGTTCACGAACTGGAGCAGAGGTTCGCTCCCGCTGGGGCTTCCGCTTCGGGCCAGCCGAGCTAGGTGGCTCGTGCTGCCGGTATGGCTTCAGCCGTCCGACGTAAAAGGTCGGATGGAGGCGCATGCTAGATGGAATATCTAGCGTGTAGGCGTTGCCATGCCGTGCCAACACCGTGAACGGCCCGATGAAGCGCGGAGCGAGCTTGCTCGCCCCGAAGTCGGAAACTGCATGTTTAGGCAGGTTTTGAGTTGCTAACAAAACCAATGAACCCTTCTTGAATTCCTTAGTGTTGCCCCTACCAACATTGTCTGCGTTCAGCTTCTGTCGATCAACAGAAGCTGCGATAGCTTCTTGGACAAACCGAATGACGGCTTGTCTGCGCTGCAAGAAGTTGATTGCGTCCGAGCTGAATTCGTTGAGCTCGTTTCCCGCAGTAGGCCCGGCCTCTGCGTTCGTCATCGCGGTGTCTGTGCCCTGCACAGTCCCGTTCTTCTTCTTCTTCTTCTTCTCGGTGTCTGTGCCTCGCACAGACACGTTCTTCGTGCGCTTGTCGGCGTCTGTGCCCTGCACAGACGCGCGGTTCTCGGCTTTACTTCGTGTCGTTGCGGCTGACACTGTGCAAGTGTCAGCGGCATTCTGCGGCTGCCGCGTTGCAGTCGGAGATCCTCCCCCACTTAAGGAAGGAGCCACCATCCCGAGTAGACTCGGGAGGCGTGGGTGCCTCATGGCATTCACGTAGAACGGTGTATGTCCAGTCGAGGCATGCACCGAGTTGTTGATGGCGAACTCCGCCATCGGCAGGCACTCGCTCCAGTGTTGGAACGAGTGAGCGTAGCTCTTAAGCACGTCAACGAGCACGCGGTTCACGCGCTCGGTCTGCCCGTCCGTCTGCGGATGATCCGCAGTCGATATCGAAAGTTGACTCCCAAGAAGTGTAAACACTTCTTGCCAAAGGTGCGCAGTGAAGCGCGGGTCTCGACCCGACACAATGTCGATCGGCATGCCATGGTGTTTGAACACCATGTCAACGAACAGATGCGCCGTCTGCTTCGTAGTCACTTCAGCGGGTACCGCAGCAAGATGTACCATCTTGCTGAAGCGGTCAACAAAGACCACAATGCCCGTGTTCCCCTGGCTGTCCGGGGGAAGACCGGACACGAAGTCCAAAGACATGGACTGCCAACACTCCGACTGAGTCGGCAGTGACTGCAAGGGAGCCTGCGCGAAAGGCGCAGGCTTCACACGTTGACAAACCTCGCAAGCACGGACGTACTTGCGCACCCATTTATACTGGTGGGCCCAGTAGAAGTCTCGCGTGAGAAGAAGGTATGTCTTCTCACGGCCCGGATGCCCCGCAGTCGGTGCATCGTGATACTCGTACATGATCCTGAGTCGCAGGTCATGGTCATTGGGCACGACAACGCGGTCCGCGTTGTCGTCGACTGCACTGTAGAGTAATAACCCGTCGTGCACCCGATAACGGTGTGCACGAGCACGAAGATGCTTCAGCAGCTTCTGACGAGCTTTGTCAGAAGGCGCTGAGCCATAGACCAGCAAGAGCTTTGCGTCCGCGTCGTGCGCGAACGCGACCTTCACGTCGTCCAACAGTGACGACGTTGGGGTGCTCGATCGCATGGCGTCAATGGCATTGACGTCGGCATCAGTCGTGGCGTAGTCAGGTCGACGCGAGAGCGCGTCGGCCACCACATTGAGTCTTCCGGGTTTGTACTCAACCCGGAAGTTATATTCTGCGAAGAATGAGAGCCATCTCGCCATCCGTTGCGAGATGTGCGGCGACTTCACAGCCGTCCGCAGCGACGCGTGGTCTGTGTAGACCATGAACGGCTTGCTTCCGAGTAGATACAGTCGGAACTTCGCGAGTGCGTACTTCATGGCAAGGAGCTCCTTGTCATGTACCGGGTAGTTGCGCTCAGCTGGCTTCAGCTGACGCGATTGGTAGTAGACGACACGATCACGACCCTCGTGATCGGGCTGCATCAACGCACATCCGATTGCGAAGTCGGATGCGTCACACACAACGTGGAATGGGCGATCTTGGTCGGCCACCGCCAAGATCGGCGCCTCAGTCAAGCCCCGCTTGACTGCATCGAAGGCCTGCTGACACTCAGCAGTCCAAACCCACTCGGCGTCCTTCTTCAGGAGCTGTGACAGCGGGCGTATCATGCCCGCGTAGTCCTTCACGTACTTGCACAAGTACGTGGCCAAGCCAAGGAACTGCCGCAGTTCCTTGACGTTGGACGGCGTCGGCCACTCGTTGATCACTCTGACCTTCTCAGGGTCAGGGCGGACACCGTTCTTCCCAACGAGACACCCGAGCACGGGTATCTCGCTCGCCCCGAAGATACACTTCTTCAGGTTCGCATAGAGCTTGTGCTTGCGCATGAGCGCAAGCAGCTTCCGGAGATGCACCTTGTGCATCTCAACATCGCTTATCCCGTCCGCAGCCCGGCTGTGGACGAACACATCGTCGAAGTAGCTCGGTGCGAAGTCGCGCACCGAGCGCAACAAGTGCGTCACGCACCTGTTGAAGGTCGCAGGGGAGTTCTTCAGCCCTTGCAGCATCACCAGCCACTCCCAGAGCATGCCGCTCGGCGTGCTCACAGCCGTGAGAGGGATATCGCTCTCACGCATGAGGATCTGATAGAACCCATCGCGCAGATCACGGGCACTGTAGATAGTGCTCCTGGCCATCGAATCGATGATGACATCTTTTCGCGGTATCGGTGTCTGCGCCGGTATCGTCGCATCGTTCAGCTTGTTGTACGCATGAACGATGCGCCAGCCGCCCTGTGGCTTCTTGACACAGAACGTCGGAGCACTGTGCGGGGACTTCGATTCCCGCACTTGTCCAGCTTTGCGACGACTCTCAAAGAAGTCGTCGATCGCCTTGACCTGCTCTCGCGGCAGTGGCCACTGCCGCGTGACACAGTACTTCGTCTCCGGCACGAGATCAATCTCGTGCTGGATGCCCTTGTCCTGCGGAAGCTCCGCAGGGATCTCTTCCGGAAGCACGTCCGCGTGCTCCCGTAGAATCTCGTAGAAGGGACTCGTCTTCAGCGAGTCCCAGCTCTGCTCTTCAAATCACTCCTTCTTCGTCTTCGCACTGAGAGTGTCCTCGCTCTCAGTGGTGGTCTCCATGAAGAACTGCCTCAGTTCTTCATTCTCGCTCTTCGTTCTCTCGGCGTCCGAGAGAATGCATATTTGCTCGATGCGTCCATCGTGCAAGTCACGCGCGAAGCGCTTCCAGCTCATGACTGGAAGCGAAGTCAACTCCAACGCGTGCGTCGGAGGGTTAGCGAGAGTCATCTCCCTGTACCGGAACCCGGCACAGGTACGCGTCAAGACGTTCAACGTCTCGACGTCTGGCTTCTCAGCCTCCGTCTGCCTGGCAGATATTCCTTGTAGCGTCTCGGCCCCAGGCCGAGACTTGCGCAGCGATCTTCGCATGCGCCGTCTTCTTGTTTTGCGGAGCCCGGCTCCGCTTGGTTCTTGACCTCGTCCAGGCCCAGCCGTGGACAGGTGTTCTTCTTTAGTATCGCCGGTGGGTTCATCCCGCGGGCGAGCGACTTCAAGCCCGGCTTGATCGCCCGGCGCTTCGTCGTGCAGCCCGGCTGCACGACAGCATGCAAGTTTTCCGGTGCGGGACGTTTGCAACCGTCCGCACCGCTTGCAGCGTCGACTCCCGGAGTCGAAACGCCATCTTTACCTCGACGCCTGTTATTGGCGGAGCCCTTTATTACAAGGGGTGCGTCGACTCCCGGAGTCGACGCGAAATTCCTTTTCGCAGCGCCGGTTCCCGGAACCGTCGCGACTTTAATACCTCGACGCCAACCATTGTCGGAGCCCTCCATTACGGAGGGTGCGTTGGCTCCCCGAGCCGACGAATCAAATTTGTCAATGCTATCGACTCCCGGAGTCGATGCGACTTCAATACCTCGACGCCAACCATTGGCGGAGACCTACATTACGGAGGGTGCGTCGGCTCCCCAAGCCGACGAATCAAATTCACCCAAGCCATCGACTCCCGGAGTCGACGGCGTTACGTCACCTTGGCTCTTATTATTGACCAGGCCTGATCCAATCAGATTCGCGTCAGCCTCCACGACTGAGGCGTGTGACTCGCCCGCGTCATCCGTGCCCCTTGAGGCCGGAGACTCTTCCTGATTCGCTGAAAAGCGGGTGTCGACCTCCGAGGTCAACACATTTCCTTCATTAGCTGTCGGCGGCAACGCCGACGCTAGCTGCTCTAGCGCGTGTGCTCGCGCGCGCCCAGGGCGCTCCGGGACAGCGGCATTAGGCGCTGTCTCGAGTGGGGAGTCGCGCGCACCTGTCGGTGCGTGCGTAGCGGCAACAGGGCCATCGCTCACTGTTCCGCTGTCGCGACCGAAGCGCACGAGAGTGCGCTTCTCCCAATCGATGACCGGATCATGCCGTGCAAGCCACGGCATGCCCAATACAATGCCAAACTTATCGTCCAGATCCAGGACGATAAAGGTCTCGATAAACTCTTGGTCTTCATACGTGAAGCGCGCGCGTACCATGCGCTTCTCGGTCTTCACGACGGCACCCGTTGCCAATCGTACCTCCAACATACTTCGAGGTATCTTTAAATCCTCGAAGTCAAGCCTTGATAGACTTCGCAGTCGAACAAAGTTCTTCGACGCGCCAGAATCTACCAAAGCACGGAGAGAGCCGCTTGCTCTCATCGAATTTACGTTCAGGATGACAAGGTCATGCTTGTCATCTTGGTTCTTGCAGCGAGAATGAATCTCACTGGGGGCTGCAGTCCTCAGTGTCGCGTGTCCAAGGTCGACACGCGGAACTGCATTACCAGCAGGGCGCCCCGCGCCTACTGGCGTCCAGCGTTTTTTGTTTGGTTGCGACGGTGCCCCGCACCGCCGCGATAGCCACCCTGCTGGTGCACGGGGGCCGTGTACTCCCGAGCAAAGTGACCGACTCTACCGCAACGGTAGCACCGCACATTGTTTCCCTGCGACTGCTGGGGTCCAGCAGTTGCACCACTCGAGAGGTCCATGGGTTCTGGGCCTCCCGTCCTCACTACCGGGCGTGGCTGTGGCCTCGGCACATGTGCATGCAGCTTAGCCTGCCGCAGGCTAAACTCCTCCTGCATTGCAAGAGTAATTGCAGCTTCGAGAGTACTCGGGTACTCACGGAAGAGATAGGTCTTCACAGGCCCAGGGGGCTCAAACGCTTGTCTGAGCTCCTCCTTGAAACCCTCGTACGTGCTAAAGCACGTAGGATCCGAGAGTCGGCGTCCATACGCCCAACTTCTAGCACGTCCGCCAAGACATGACATGGCGAACGCAACCTTCGACAACGGGTCGATGATACGTCGAGCCGCTATGGCAGTGTCGAGTTCGACAAGCCAACGGAGGAGAGGTTCACCCTCTCTTCCGACATAGTTACTCACATTGAGCTTTAGCGATTGTGCGCATGGTGTCGTCCCGGCCGACACCGCGGTAGTAGCAGCAACATCGCGTTGCTCCTTCAGGATGAAACCCAGAGCAACACCGTGTTGCTCTGTCGGCGTTTGCGTACGCAGCATCGTAGCTACAGCCGCCTCACCAATGACTGTTGACAGTCCTTGGAGGGCCTCCCACTCTGGATCCGACAGGTGGGGACAGTCAGCGCATGCAACGTGAGTTGCAGGCGTAGTGGAGCTTTCCATGGGCACCTCTGTATCCATGGGAAGGTTCTCAGCTCCGCGTTCGTGCGGTGACGTACGAACTCAGGTAGTCGGTCGTTGGACGGACTACAAAGTGCAACCAGGTGTAATGGGCCTACTTTGGCCCACTACTTTTGCTTACACGTGTGCGCGTGTATCTGAGGAAGCGTAGCCTAGTTTAAATTAGAGTTAATTATACTCGGACCTCCGAGTATAGATTAATCTAAATAAACGATCCAAATAATGTTTTGGGTTAAAATGAGAACTGCTATTTTTGTTTTATGTTTCTGACTTCCTTTAAATGTAATATTCTAAAATAGGAATCTGCCAACGCCTTGGTTGGCAGAATTCCAATGCTATGCATGTCGCTCATTGGCTAAGAGATGCTGCTCTCAGCCAATAGGAATCCTAAGTCTCTATGGACCACCCGTCGTGGTGGTCGTAAATGTATGTAGCCTTTGGTGTGTCTACACCAAGGTTGAGAAAGTCTTTCGAACCTCTAACAGACGTCGTGTCTGTTAGAGTTACAAGTAACTGTAGCCACTTGTGCGTGTAACCCTGTTACACACGGTATGTGCATGTAAATATCATTGTGTGATACTCCACAACCACTTACGTAGGTGGATAATCGATGATACTCTGTAAGCTATCATTTGCTCGATAAATATAGACTCGATGCTCTCATTGGTAGGGGTCATCGTTTTGTCTGTGGAATAGAGACCCTACCCAAATAAAAGACCTTTTTCGTAATTGCACAAATTTGGTCCGCTTCTAATAAATAGAATACTTAAGTACCGGACAGTCCTCGGGCATTTCCGTTAATTCCAAATCGGGTCCGTTATTTTCGAACCGAACGTTTTTATGATATAATATAGAATTTTGAAAAAAACGAACCCAAACTGTACCCTGTTCCAAAACTGTTTCCTGTTATTAAACTCTTCCCTGTTCGAAAGTTGTACCACGAGATATGAAATAAAAAGTATATTTCCACTATAGAAAATGCTTATATTCTATAAAATAAGCACTAAACACAGTCGTTTAGGAAAATGAAATCGTCAAAGCGAAAAAAATAATTTTCTTGTACACTATTTTTATCAGTCTACATATTCATGTACGAATGCCAAATGCAGTTTTATGGCATGCTTATATGTAATTCAACGCGTTTAAAATATTTACTTGTAGTACAGCTTAAAACGGTAACGCTGAAACTAGTTTTAGCGTTTATAATCAGAAGTAGAGTGTGTTGGTTATACTCTGAAATATAAAAGAAGCTTTTACTGGGATAGGAAGTAACTTAGTGCTGCTATCGCAGACCAAATCGGATTATATCCGTGGTACGTCAAGTTCGCAGTTAGTAAGAACTGTCGTTACTACCTGTTTGATGTCAGATACCGGTATCGTCAGAATTATTGACTTGACTTTTGTATTGAAATTTAATATATTGAGCTTTGTATGCATTCGAATGACTTACTGTTGTATTGAGTCGATTCCGCATACAAATCTAAGCATTTGTATGCGGATTAACTAGTGTTGGACACATAACTCAGGGGGCCCCCCTGAGGGGACAAAAAGCAAAGGTATAGGTCAGAAGGCCTTTAGATGGTAGTATAGGCCATGATGTTCCCGATCCGAGCGGGCCGGCTCGCTTAATGCCATTTTAGAATTTGCTGAACAGGAGAACGGACATGAATTTGATGCTCACATAAGGGCAAGAAGGAGCAGCAACCTGCGCTTGAGTCTTCAGGTACTCCCATTATTAATGGCGAAACTTGGCCTTAACTTTCACTGGTTGTACTGTAGAATGCGGCGCGTTGGACGTGCTGGTGCCCTAGTGGGTTATTCATATGCAGGCAGTAGCTAGATAAGGCACAACTACGTGTGCAGCACGAATGTCTTTGGCCAAAATTGCTGCGGTATCGACAACTCCACTAATAGCGTCTGATCTTTATGTTTGTCAGGGCATGTTCGAGGCTTTAGCTGCTGGAATAGATCAAGATTCTGTATCACGATCTCAAGGACGACCCAAAAGACAAAGTCACGCTGGAAGGGTCTACCAGTACGTGCGTAAAGACGCCTGGCTGCAAGATAATCTACTCGCTGCGAACTTCGATCCTGTGCAGGGGCGTGACCGAACTCAAAGAACGCAAGACTACCTCGCTATGTTCTAGTGTTAACGTAAGCTCTGAGAAGATATTTTATTATTGCGACGGGTGCGCCGCATATGAGGCGCGCCCAAGTCGCTTGTGTTTTTTTTCATTTGGAAAATAAAGAAATCTAGTTGTCCCACATGGTTGTTGGTGTGATGATCATTTAACTACGACAATTGAATGCGCATTGAACAGCTGGATATAACGTCGAGTTCACTTGACCTCGTAAGCTTACTGCGAGGAAACCATGCTCACACAAACGTTCTAATCCAAAGTGTGCGGCCAGTGACTCCGATAAAGTCAGCATTAAGTACAATTCGGATCAGGACTGGTTGCGAAAGCTCTAATAGAAATTAATAACGCAAGACGGATTTATGTCTACGCGCCAAAAAGCACTAACCGAGTGGTGGACAAGTGCTGCGTGGATTTCCGGTGGGGAAACATGTCTGCACCTGGTCGAGTTAAAGTTTCCGTCATGCATTGTTATCGCTAGCATTTTTACCAAGAGAAGGACCGACGAAATATCCAGGTGCAATATGTATTTGGGTGTGCTTAGCAACAAGTAGAACTTAAAAGCTCATCCGTGGGTAACTTGCAACGGGGGTCATTTTTTTAGATTCGCGTCTTGATGATCAAGTTGATCGAATTTTACTCCAACAGGATTTTAGAATATGCTTACATCTTTACAGTCTTCTACGTAGCTTTGTGAGGAGAGCGTGCTAACGACAATTTTTAGTTTGAAGAAGTATTAATACAATTAACCTTACCTTAGGTACTTAGGTACTTCGGTGTAAGGATGGGTACATATAGTCGCTTTACTGCGGCAAGCACTAAAAAATCGCCACAACTAGGGTAGACGCAACTAATACACCACAATTAACCTTTCTTACGAACTGCGACCCTCCCCCCCCGGGACCCACGGGCTTGACCCGGGGCTCGGGTAACCAGTCAAACAATGACCCCTCTTGACATCTAACTGGTACATTTTCTTGAAACCGGTACGACCCCGGTGCCGCACTGGGCCCTCCAAAAGTGGGCACATCGAACCGGTAGGATACCCTTCACACTAGTATGACCCCGGTGCCCTCCAAAAAGGTTTATATGCGTGGGCATATCGAACCGGTGCGCTACCGGTAACTGGTATGAATCAGTATATGTATTGAGTTGGGTACATATGAACGAAATGAAGTAAATACTAAAACGTTTGTATTTTCTACAAGCTCCAAACAGATCTCAACCAATTTCGCATTCATAATTTTGTAAAGCATTGCCGGTACAGTTTGAACTGGCAAGTTTCCGGGCAGATGCTGCGAAGCAGGCGCAGGAGATGACCGTAGCTAATAAGAAAATATATTAAAAATTAAAAGAAGGGATTTATACCAAAATTCTCCTATCCCAGCCTTCGCGGAGATCTAGTTATCACTAGTTTGCAAGCAGTGAAACCTTATCTTGTGCCTAATCGATTATTGTTTTAGCATTGAACATGACTTTTTTAGTGCATTAACCCTTTAGCTACGAGCCTTCGTACGGGTCCAGACAGACCTATACGACAGTTTATACAGAGTTCCAATTGGCTATAATACGCTGTAGGGGCTAGGTAGAAGCTCCAGGGGGACCTGCACCACAGCCACTCATGAGCACAACAACAAGCAGATGCTGCCAATATAAGACTCGGAAAGGTTTTCTTCCATTCTCAGACTTACTGGCTCCAACTCAGAGCAATGGACGACGACATCACCGGCGACTGGGAGGTTCAGAGCGACGACGAACAATACCATGACGGCGATGGTAGCCCGGGTATGGATGAAGACGACGAGTTCTCCGATGACGACATGATGCTTGAGTTGCCGCTCGATCGCGGCAGCAACGACACTTCGCGGCCCGAGCCAGTGCGCGCACCATCGCCCGATCGGCCTGCTGTGACGCCAACATCGGCGACTCTCGATGAGAATGCATACCTCGTCTCAATTCAACAAGAACGTGGGCTTCATTTGGCGATGGACACCAGATTAAGGAAAGCGTACGAGAAGAACGGCTCGTATGGGCTGTTCGCGCTGTTCGTCACGGCTACACTGCGCGAAAGCATCCGAGGGTGGACCTCGACTAAGTTAGAAGCGGCGGGGAAGAAAGCTTTGACCGAGAGCGAGCTCAATGCGTACCTGGGGCTCGAGATAGCCATGAGCTTGTGTCCGCTCAACGATATTGCCGACTTTTGGTCTTCGGACCGGTTCCTCGGGCAGCCGGCCTTCATCGAGACCATGACACGCGACCGCTTTCAGCAGATTCGGGGGGCACTGCAATTTCACGCGCCGGATCCAGTCACATTCAAGTCCGTGCGTGACCCACTTTACCGCTGCAGATGGCTGCTGCAGCATTTTCAAAAGCGCTTCGCAGAGACGGCGGTGCCTTTGGGTGCTAGCAGTCTCGATGAGATCTCGGTGCGCACGAAAGCGCGTAGTCGAGCGCGGACGTACATGCCATCAAAACCAGACAAATACGGCCTTCGGTTCTATGCGGTGGTCGGGTGGGACGCGCTGTACGTCCACTCTCTTTGGGACAATGGGTCAGGTAATGCTACCCGGTCTACCCCTGCCGAACGGTACACAGAGCTGTTTCCGTCACTCCGGACGCCACTGTACAACATGTTATCGCTACCAAAATCAATATTGAGCCGAAATCAGTTACAGCCCTGTGGGTGGCTATGGCCGGTCACCAAACAAGAACCTACCGATCCCCCAGTGGCCGACGTCTACTGATATCCGACAACTTTTACACACGTCATACTTACGCCCGCGCCATCAGTGCATTTACGGACGGCGAGGTTAGACTGCTGGGGACGGTACGAATGAATCTCGTGGGTGGACCCTGAGGAAAACTACAAAAAAATGCCACAGCTCATGACAAGAAACAGAAGAAGCGCCCAAAGCACTTGCGAACAGAATATATGCCGACGCTCACGTACGCCGAGCATGCCGGTTATATAGTCTTCAAGGACAGAAAGGTTGTCGTGTTTTACACGAACGACTTGAAGGCTACAATGTCGGCTAGCACACTACCTTCGACCTCGCCGGAGGCTGTATACTGCTGCCATGGCACGGTACCACTAATGCGCTGGACGGGAGACACCATCATGCATTGCAAAGCCCTCGTGGCGCCGGCGCTGATAGCGGCCTACAATAAGTGCATGAACGCTGTTGATCGAGTGGACCAGCTAAGGAGCACGAATCCTACCCGGCGCCGCGAGAAGCGCTTGCACATGTCCGTCTTCACGTGGTTACTGGACATCTCCATCATCAACGCGTACGCACTGCAACGTGTCATTGGCGGCTCGACATCAGCACGCGTGACACTTCGAGAGTTCAAACGCGAAAATCGCTGGCAAACTGACGCGCAATGAAAAGACCCTGAAGCAACAGCGAGACCGGCGACAGCAAAAACGGAAAGCTGACGCACTGGACGAAGCCGTTGGCAGCGTGGATTCACTCCATATAATCACTCCAAATTCGACAGAACACAGCAATGGGAAGCTGACGTGCTACTTGTGTTGCCTGGGGGATGGTAAAAAAAGCCAAATAGGGTACACCAAGTGCGAACGCGGCTTTCATGTCGAATGTTTCAGCACCTTTCATTACGAGGGTGCCGTTCGCTCCAACGCACCCCAGCTGCAGGATGCTTTGGAAGCTATTGCGCGCGCGCCGACGGGTGATCCTGTCGCATTCACGAGAAAGCGTAGTAACAGAACGATTACACCCATTAGTGAGCTGAAGCTACCGCAGTAGGAATAACACCACACCAAATACATGTTGTACCTTGTTTGAGCTTTCAGAGCTGTGTGGCCAAAGCTGCAAAAGCTTTTTGCTCACACAAACAGGCAATCGGCCCTGCATTCTCCCTGTTTCAAGATAGATAAAGACACGACCTAGGGCCGTGCGAATAGACTGCTGCTGGTCTCCACGAGTGAGTCGGGGATGCATACTGGATGCTCGCTCCTTCATCACAGCTTCGTGCGCGTCCCACGCGCATGGCGACTGCCCGCAGAACCCGCACAACACATCGCTGGTGTCGGGGGGCATCTTGAGGGGCAAATCACGCTGACGCCAAAATAGACAAATAGAGGTTTGTTAGGGGATTAAGGCGAGCTGCCATTAGTCAAAACGATTCAAACATGCGTTGTGGTTGGTTGTGGTACATGTCCGGAGGGACCTCTACTGCCGAGCTCGTAGCAAAAGGGTTAAGAAAAAAGGGACCGTAAGATTTGTAATTTGTCTACACGGTACGGATGGCAATACAGACAACGACGGATTAATACGGCAACACAAAACCCGGCACACATATGTTGTTCTTTTACAATAAGTAATTCAGATAGCCAATCAGCTTCGAGATTTACACTTGACATTTGTATTCCATATGGTTTTAAGTACTTTCGCTAAATTTGTGTGTACTTTATGCTCCGTTACGTGTATTTTATGTCATTGCCTTGTACAATCTCTATCGTTCCCGACAGAGAATTCTGGCACATTTATGCCATTCAGTGGTGCCGGATTTATCCGTCGTTGTCGGTAGGGGTGAAATAGTTACAGGGTACACTTTAGATACAGGGTACCTACCTAGGCTTTTTAAAAAAAGAAATGAACGTTTAATTCGAAAATTACGGACCCGATTCGGAATTATTTTTTAAAATAATTCCGTTATTTTAAAAAATAACGGACCCAAAACACAAATTCCCCTATTTTTTCGACGGGAGTTGGCTATAGCGGGGTTCTACCTCGATTTAGTGTCGGTTTTATGCTGTTAATGCGTCAAAAGCACCTCAACCAGCAACCTGAGCCAAAAAATAAAATACCGAGCCATTTTCTAGCTGTAGACTGGCTCAGGTTCCATGAGCCACCCTGAAGTTGCAACTTGAGCCACTGATTCTTTCTACTGTAACTCAGTACAATAGAGGTGCCCATTTAACATTTAGTATAGGGCCATTCTCAGCGATAGCCGGGGAGGGATGAGCTGGCTGCGCTCCAAGCTGCGGCAGGTGGCGGCGCGCGCGTCGGACGCGCTTGCGCAGGCGGCGGACATGGTGGCGCCGACGCTGTACGATTCGCGCGTGGACGAGTTCCACCACCGCTGGACGACGGTGGCGCGCTTCCTCGAGTCGGTGCTGTCGCGCGACCTGGAGCCGGCGGAGCAGCGGCGGCTGCTGCTCGAGAGCCACACGCGCGACTCGCTGCTCAAGCTGGTGCTGCTCATCTACGAGGAGGAGAACAACTCGGACCGCTGGGAGATGGTCATGGCGCGCCCCAAGGCGGCGGCCGAGGACGCCGAGCCGCGGGGTCGCGCCCGCTCGCGCGCGCAGTCGCAGACGCCGCCGTCCCCGCCCCAGCAGCAGCAGGAGCAGGAGCACGCGTCGCACGAGTGCCTCGAGTACCTCCTGGAGAAGCAGATCATCCCGCACCTGTGCGAGGTCGGCCGAAGGGACCAGCCGTGCGGCATCATGTCGCTCGCCATGCAGTTCGTGGGCGCGCTGCTGAGCCGCGTGAGCTACCCGATCCTGCCCACGCGCGAGGTGCACGTGTCCGTGGTGGCGCTCATCCAGGCGGCCGCGCGCAAGGAGGTGGAGGACCCGACGGTGCGCAAGTACCTCATCAACCTGCTCAACATCCTCTGGAAGAAGCTGCGCGGAGACCCCGTGCAGACCGAGTTCTTCTTCCTGCACGCGGACCGCCTCATGATCCGCACGACGGACATGAACCCCAAGACGACGCTGGGCAGCGGCAGCAGCAGTCGCATGCGCTCGGCCAGCGACGACCCGTTCCTGCATCTGCACAACCACCACACGCAGAGCGAGGTGCCCGAGCTCATCCTCTTCACGGGGCTGCTGCCGCACATGTACGCGGTGGGTAAAGTGGGCGAGAAGTGTCGCGAGGCGCTCGTCATCGCGGCGGCGGTGCACGACAAGGCGCTCTGCCGCTTCGTGCTGCAGCTCACGCCCTTCTGCCACTACGCGGTCAACGGCGTCATCTCGGCGTTCGACGCGCTGCCCAAGACGCTGGCGTCCACGGCCAAGACGCCGGCCGCAGCTCTGAGCGCAGCCGACCCCGACGCCAACATGGAGGTGGAGCTGAGCTTCCTCGCGGTGCGGCTGCGCTTCTGCTGCACGCTGGCGATGGTGGCGCGGTACGAGCTGGAGGAGGTGGACGAAGTCACGGGCGAGCTGCAGCATCGATCCATAGCGGACGAGCTGCTGGACCAGTTCCGCAGCCGCTTCCTGGAAGGACCGCTGCTGGAAGGCCTGCTGCATACGTCTGAGGCTGCGGCTTGTGCTGCCACGCTGTACGCTCGGATTATTCTGGAGGAACTGACGGCTTGCGGTCGCGACACGCGCGCGAACCCCCTGCTTTTCATTTATTTACAATTCCTACTCGAGCGCGCAGCGGTGTCCCCCAGTGGCGCGAAGCTAGCGAAGCCGGCGACATCAGAGGAGAGCGCGCCCCCGTCGGCTGAACCTGAAACACAAGCGGGCGATCCTTCAGTGGCCCACCAGTTGCCGTCGGAGCTGCTTCGCCACATGGACTCGCTGTCGAGCTCCTTGTGTATCGCTACCATTGACCTATTTACCAGCGTGCTGGAGCTTCAAGACGACTATGCTGACACTGTTCTGCTCGGTCCAGTTAATAAGCCGGAGAGTGTCGCCGAAAGTGGAAGCGAGTCCAGTCCGCGGAGACGACCCACGGCGTCGTCGATGCTTAGCCCCGGCGCTCAAGCGAATGGCGCGATCTGGTTCGCCTCACGATTCCCCGATTCCTCGGTGGCCTCGAACGTCCACCTATGGAAAATCCGAGCTTTCGCTGGGCCCGAGGATGTAGCAGAGGAAATCCCGGCAGCCGACGACCAAGAAGACCAAGTGTTGTCGCTGCTTTCGTACATCGCAGACGCTGAATATGCTGCGTGCCAGCGCGGCCCCGACGACCTGGATGACTCGGATGATGATGAGGCCGACTACCAAGAAGAGACCACTGCAGCATCGCCGAAGTCAGGAGCGACCGGGAGCCCGACCTCGGCTGCAGTTACCGCTACTACTGCGGGATCGACTTCTCCGTCGAGAGGGTCTTCTAGTCGGACGGCTGCTGCGCGCAACGCAATGAAGCCCCTGCGTGAAGTTTACCTCAGCATCAGCTTGCCTTCGTTCTCCCCAGCGGAGCCTGCAGGCCTTCGACAGAGAACTCAGTCGCAGTTCTTGCAGAGACTGACTGTTGGAAGCGAGGACGGGAGCTTGCCGCTCTTCTTACGGATTGTTCTGAGCCGCGTCGAGAGGCTGCTGGAGAACTCGTTCCAGGAAAACCTAGCGTTGTCCGGCATGATCTACGCTCTCGCACAGAAGACGCGGTGTTCCTCCGTGGTGTTTGACCTGGACGAGGCTCTACCTGCAGGCCAGAGTCTGCGCAGTATTCTCGAGGAGGTATACGCTGATGCCCTGCGTCGCCTAAACCGCTTGCCCAATGGCGCTGCGCAGCTCCAAGAACTGCGCAAGAAGCTTGTGGACGACGACAACGATGCAGCTTTGAACGACCACGAGGCGGAGACGCGGCTGCTGTGCGGCTACGTGGTGCTGGACGAAATACTGAAGGAGCTTTGCTCACTGCTCTTCGCGCGCGAGCGCGTCAAGACGCTGCCTCTCAAGCCGGAGGGTTACTATCTAGAGCCAAAACGCGCCGCTGGAGCTCTGTCGCCTTCGTCCGGTCTGATGCGGGAGCGTGCGCTGTCGAGTGAGACGCTCTTCTCCGACGAGGGCTCTCAGGTTGACGCTGCGTCGCCACGGAAGCAAGGAAGTATCGGGAAGGAGTTTGAGGCGCTACTAGCCGAGGCCCAATCCAGCATGGACGACCTGCTCGTTGGCCCTAGCGAAAACTCGGCGGCGCCAGCGTTAGAAGCGGAGCTCGAGTCGCAGATTGTATAGAAGCGGACAGCAACCAGATAGCCCTGCGTGAACTATGACCATCGACTTCTGGATGGAAAACAAATAAAAGGAGTTCGAAGTGGAAGACGCTGCCGTGTAATGAGAGGCTCGTTGACAGAGATAAAAGCGAAGCGTCGCTGCCATGCGCTCGACCAAGCGCCCGTCATCCGAGCTGCCACTCTCGACTGAAGATGACCGGAAGCTTCAGCGACTGTCGCGGCTGCCCACGATCTCGGCCGACCCTCCTCGCGTTTTGCCCAAGGTTTATCCCCGACTGCAGACGCTCACCCAGCTTACACACAAGTACGCTCGAGGGCTGCACACTGGGGGCTTCGTCGCTCGAAGTGAGACGCGGTGGCTGAATTTCGATGGAGTCGATGCGCCGAATTCCGCGAGGGACCGGACCATGAACACCGTGAAGCGTTCCGCGGCGGTGGTGGTCCAGTGCGCGTGGAGAAGGCACGCGGCACAAAAGTTACGAGAGCGCATGACTGCTGCTGTTTGGCGGCGTCAACTTGAAGTCGCAGCGAAGATCACACGGCGCTCGTCCAGCCTGTCAGCGGCGCTGGAAGTGATGGCGAGCTCCCACAGGACGCGCCTTCAGGCTGTAGCGTCCGTCCTACCGACGTGTGGGCTTTATCTCCACGCCCCTGCCCAGTTGCTTACGTGGTGGCTGGAATTTACGTGCGCTCAGCTGCTGGCAAAGCGCGTGCTGCGGCGTCCTCCGGCAGTTGTAAGAGCGGTGGACGTCACTGTGAAGTTGACTCGAGACAAGTTGATGGCGTTATGGCGCTGCGTGGTGCCGCTCGCAGTATTAGGGATCCAGTGCTGTGTCCGCGTGTTCCTTGCGAGACGAATCGTCGGGAGGCGGAGACTGGAGCGCGTTCAACTCGAAGCTGCTCTACGACTGCAAGGGTTTGTTCGGGTCTACAACGCCCAGCACATTGCCAGAAGACTTCGGCGATGGTGCGCTGCCGTCCGTATCCAGTGTCTCTGGCGATGTCACCGAGCTCGCGCGTGTTTACAGCAGCGGCGAATGACGTGGGCGGCAACCTCCGTCTGCGCCCCGTTGATTCTACAGGCAGCGAAGCAGGCAACCGCCAAGCTGCGCATCAGGTCGGCTCAAACAATTCAGAAGTATTATCGGGGGTGTTGCGCCCGCGCGCACTTCCGAGATTTATTGACTCGCCTCGAGCAGCGCAAGTGGCGACAGAACCCCAGTAAAGGGTTTGACTTTTTCGAGCGAAAGCGCTACGACCAAGCAGCGTTGTACTTGGAAAACTGCTTCAGACAAGGAATCTACGCAGACACGGCACCTCCAACGCCCCAACTTTTGTTGGTAGAGACCACCACACTACCAGACACACACCATCGAAAGCTCGTCAGCGGGTCACGAATGTCATTCAGCTTCAGTGCGGCCCCTACAAGACTTGGGACCGATTGGATTCTTAACCGTGAGCACGCTGGCGACGACAGCGACACAAGCAGCAGTGTTACGCATCTTGCTGGGCAGCTTCACTTCTGGCAAGCGTACGCTATTAGCCACTTTAGGGTGTTTGAAGCGACGGGGAATGTGTTCAGCCTCACTCAGGCACGGGTCGGGTGGGAGAGTTATCTAGAAGTGGACGCTGTGGCGAGGTCATGGTCGGCATTCCAAGTCGTCGCTGCTTCTTTGAGCGAGATACGACTTCGGTCACAGTTTGAACTCGTGCGATGCTTGTTTTGGACGGGCAAGCGCAATGAAAGGGAACGAGCGTTGGACTTGTCGCTCTATCTACTGCAAGAGATCAGCGCTCGCTCTCAAAATTCACTCGACCAGAATTCTGCCACGGCATCTGACCTCCTCAAGTTCAATGTCCAGCTACTGATGCTGAGCAGCATGATATACTTCGAGCAGGGGCTTCTTGCTCATAGTTGTGCCCAACTGGAAAAGCTTCTGGACACGCCGTTCCAGTACGCATTTACTGACGTGGAAGTTCGCTTCGTGCTCGCCATGGTTTTATTGAAGCGCTATGAGGAAAGTTTTATCGAGAGGCGCGCGACGGATGATGACCCTGAAGTGAACACGTTTTTTAGAACTGCGACTCAGTTATTGAAGCGATGCTACCGGTCGATTGAGCTGTGGCCGTCCGTTGGCTATTACCATGGGTATATGCAGAAGAGCGATGCGAAGCGTTTGCTGGCAAATGAGCAGGTGGGCTCCTTTCTCGTCCATCACTCGCTTGACAAAGGTGCAGACGACAGGACACGAAAGCAGAGCAAATTGTCGTCGTCATCAACAGAGAAGGTATTATTGCAAGTGAAGCTGTCGAACAGACCACTTCGCATCGCGTCCATGCGCATCGAGTTCACCGACACTGGCGTCTACAAGACGCGTAAGATGCCTCTTCACCTCGGTCACTTTAGTTTGCACGGTCTGATAGCGAATCTCCCTCCTGAGGCAGGTGTGCAAATGGAGTTGGGAATCCGAAAACCTTTATACGCTTCACCGCTCAGGAAGAAGCTGGAACGGGAGCACCCAGAGCTGCTGCAACAGGCGGTTGCTACCCGATCTAAGCTGCTAGACTGGAGGGAGTGGGAACGAAAGCTCGACGAGACAGCGGGGTCAGTGCGTTTACCCGATTCGGGTCGACGTTGGAAGCGACGGAACGAAACGTGGAGTGCTGCATGCTTCGAGGTTGCGAAGGCGCTAGAGCACAGTGAAGCGTGGGTGTTTGCCGAGTTTGTTGCCCGCGAAGCGCTGTTGCACTCGAAAGATCGTTCTCATCGCGCGAATGTGAATTTTCTGGCTGGTCGAGTCACGCTCAACATGCAGAAGCGCAATGAAAGCGCGCTGTTCATGCAGCAAGCCCGCCTAGAGAAACCACGGGGGCGCTCTCACTTCAGCGACAACCTGGCTGCGGTGCAAAACGCGTTGTCGCTTAACGTTTCTCTTTCTAAACAGGAGCCGTTCACATCTCGCCTTGAACGAGTCCAAAAGCTCGAGCGTCTGTGTCTGAAGGCCTGGCGGTATGACAGTCTGGCTCCAAAATTCCGTGGAGACCCTTTTCGAGAAGCCCTGCTGCTTCAACGCATCTCTGATGAGTCCTATGCTGAATGTGGCGATACGTTCTTCCAGAGGAGTCTATTGAGAGCGCATGTCCGCGCTTACGTTGCACAGGATTCTTGGCAGGAGGGTCTTCACCTCAAGTGCGCTTACGCCTGTGTGGTGCGCCTATTTGAGCGCTTCGACACGCACCAAGAGCCCTGGTCTACGCTTCTGTCGAACTTGACCAGCCATTTAGGAGGAAAGTCCCCATTGCAACGAAATGCTACCAAGAAGCGTGCATTTAACGTGAAATTGTTGCTACTCTCGTGGCACCACATGCCGTTCCTAGTGTGCTTCGAGATGGCAGAAGTGCTGTACCGCTACAAAACGCACAGTTTATCGACGCTCATCGACGTGTACGAAAGCTTGCAGGGCCGTTTACGTGGATCACAGAGCCACTCGCAAGTGTACGCGCCATATGAAGAGCTCATTCTGCTGCGTCTTTCGTTTCTACACGCGGCGAAGGCGTCCCAGGCGGAGCATTCGTGGCGTCATGTGAACGCTGCAGTAGCCACTATCGACGAAATACTGGAGCAGCGGCGAGCTCGTACGCGTATGTACAGCTCTAACGCCGTCCTAAAGCAAGCGAAACGAATCAAATGGCCGTGCTCGATCCGATTTCCATTCCACTTCAGCGACGCAGAAGTGATTTCCATGCGTGGATTTTTCCTACAACTCCAGGAGGAGTTGATGCGAATCCCCGTTGAACGCAGAAGTAGCTGGCGAGATTTCCACCCGTTGCACCAGGAGCTGATGGAGCTAGTGGCGAGGTCTGCGCCGCCTGGTGAAGTGTCTGGTAGCGGCGGCCGAATGCTGAACAGTGTGCGGTATCGCACCGAGAACTTGCGGGGACTTCGCGTATTTGTTGGGGCGACGCACGGCGTGGTCATCTCGAATATGCTCCGCAGTCAGCCGTTTGTAGCGATTCGACTCGAGGGGAAAACGACTCCGACCAGAACTCCACCAACGTGGACGAACCTGTCTCCTAGCTGGGAAGAAGACATGGAGATCCCGGTCTCGTCGGCCAGGGCGATCCTTACCGTCAGTGTGATGAACAGAACGCGACGGAACTCTCGGTGGCAAGATGCTGACACGATTGGATACGTCTCGGTATCGATGCTCGATCTGCTGACAGCTCCTGAGGGGATCACTGAAGGGAAGTACTACGAGCTCACGTCGTTGAAGCCACCGAGTCGAGAAGCAAAAGTTGCCAAGATTTTCCTGAGTTTTCAAGTCCAGGTAAAGCCTCAGCCGCTGCTGCCCCCATCGGCCAAGCGGAGTGCGACTTGGGCGACTCGGAGTGGGAACTGGGACATCGAGGACGTTCGAGCGCATTTGCACGGAGACTTGCAGGTTTTTGTGTCAAACCGCTGGATCTGGAGCCGCTTTGCGCGGATGTTCGTGAACGACGGCGATCTTTTCGTCGCCAAGTGGTTTTTCGTCAAAGCTGTGCGCTTGACGCCCGAGCTGCAGCGACGCACAAGCAAAGTCGGTGTTCGCCTGAATACAACTGACTCGCTGGCTATCGTGAAAGACCTGGTAGGGCTGAGCTTCTGCTATCGAGCCAACCAGGCTGACTCGCGGTGGGGAGAGCAAGCTGCTCCACTTCTCGGACAGGCAGAAACGATTATCACACGGAAACTATCTCAGTCCAAGCACGAGTATCGCTCACTGTCAGACCGTGCTACTCTCGAAAAGCAGCTAGTTATTGTTCGTGAGCAACTCGCCGATGCTCGGGGTACACAACGACGAGTGGGGTCGCTGGAGGAAGCTTTATCCAGAAAGACCCCAGCCACATCGGAGTGGATTAAAATCACGGATCGAAGACCCAGCGGGGGCATCTCAACCCGCTTCTTTAACCAGGACACGGGCGAGACTTTCCAATCGAGATGGCGAGTTGAGCCCTTAGAGTACGAAGACAGAGAAGCAGTGATGACAGAGGAGCAGGAGCGACTACCTCATCGCATTGTCATTATGAGCAGTGAGATGAGAGCTCGGGTGGCTTTCCACCGGCAAGAAATGCTTCGACTGCACGCCGACGATCCGTTCGAGTGGTTCGCTGTGTTCAACGACCGCAAGAAGGAGATCCTGTTCTTTAGTCCGCACTCACTTGAGGCGTATTCATCCCCACTCGCGGGCAAGTATCCTGCTCAGCCACCCACATACGTTACGCTCGCTGACGAGTTTTTGCTGTACCACGTCCTCCTGGTCCAAGATGCTTATCGAAAGTATCGGTGCAGACGCCAGCGACAGCGCCGTCTTCACGGCGTATTACTGTCGATCTGCTTGGCTTCTTGCGAGTTGACTACAGCCCGTAGGCGCATTTTGCGTCGGAGTTTGAACTGTGTTCGTGTTATTGTTGAGAAAGCTGAAAGCTTGCGAGCCGCTGACTTGCTCACAAGCGACCCCTTTGTGGTGCTCACTTTGACGAGCTCCATTGGGGATGTGGTGGACACCGGCAAAACCAGCGTGAAATACAACTCGCTCAACCCGAAGTGGAACGAGGAATTCCACTTTCGATACAGCTTCACAGAGCAGGAAGCGAAGCGGATGGCGACTTCCTCACTAAATGTTGACTCAGTTCGTGCACAAGATGCTGCACTGACACTTCGAGTGTTCGACTATGATGTCGCCTTAACGGGGAATAGGAAGCAAAAGCTTGTGGACGACGACGACAGTGCTGAGGAGATTGAAAGGCCTGCTTCCAGTGATTTCCTGGGCATGGTTACTATCCCCATTCAGCCGTTTGTGCACGGCAAGCGCGTGACTGCAGGCTTACCTCTGCTCGGCGAAAAGGGAGACAACAACTCCCCTCGAACACGAGGTTCGTTGACGGTCACAGTGCAATGGACGCATTGTGAGGAGGAGGAGGAGAAGGCGTTGAATGAGACGAAGCTCTGGGCGGTCGGGAGTGGTGGGGGCCGAGCGCTCATTGCCAAGAAGGCCAGAGATCGACCCGAGCTACCGGGCGAAGCGGCCAGAGAAGTTGAGCTGCTTCGCCAGCACATGGAGCATGTGCTTCAATTGCTGCTAACGATGGCGACTGAAGTCCTGGAGCCGATGTATCGCCTTCACAGTCGACTAAAAGTTGCACAGACCAGAGGCAAGACCGCAGAAGAAGCGAAAATGCTTGAGCAACGCTTGGACGCGCTGCTGCACTCGCTGTTGCTACCTCAACTACAAACTGTCCGGGACTTGGTCGCTAGACGAATGGACGCTCAGCTTCCCGTTGTACTGAAGAAGCTGTTTGGGTCGATTGAGGAATATCTCAGTAGCTTCGACCAGAGCTCCCGACGAGAACTACGGTCGTTGATGGAGAAGTGTCTGGACGAGTTGAACTCGACCATGTACTCGCTCAAGCAGGAGCCTGCCAAGAACACAGCAGCTGCGGACGCAACAAAGATGGCGTTAGATCAACACCTCCACGTGAGAGCCTGGAATGATCAGCTTCGACAGATACTTGGCACGTTCTTCGTCGGAGAGGAGTCTCAGTGGCATTTTGCTCTTGAGCAGCGCGTGGACGATGCTTACTGGAAATTGACGGAGAATAATGGTGGCGCTGTTAGTCGTGGCCATCGTGGAGATGAAAAGGCTGCTGAGAGACCGGCCACCGCTGCCGCCGTAGCCAAACGCAAGGAGCGCATTGAAAGAGCGAAGCAGGAGAAGGCATGGTACGAGCTGTAGCTCGACAGCAATCACCGGCGGGGGCTGAACAGTTTTTATCTCGAATTTGCTGGTCAAAAAGGGGTTGATCGGTCCACATAGCAAATATGGATAGGGTGTCACGGTGCGTTAGCGGGATACAGGCTGCTACTGGCGGCCGCAGAGCTGCTTCATGTGTTTCCTGAGGATGGCGCTCAAGTCGTCCAGCTCTCTGTAAGACGGGAAATAGTTGACGTCAATAACATAGAGGTCCTGCGTGCCGTCGTCCGCCACAATGACGTCAAAGCCGAACAGCGTTAGCTTGAGCTCGTCCCGAAGACGCTCGCCGATCGCGCGCACGGCTGTGAAAATCTGCTCTTGGGTCCACCCGTTGACGACCTCATCCTGTGAAGCGTCGTCGTCGGCGTGAGGGTGAAAGTCCTTGCTCGTGGGGTAGTTCTCCTGGGTGTTGAAGTGCACGCGCTGGGCCGCCCCCGCCACGAGGTTCGGCAGCGAGCGTCGCTCGGCCACGTTGATGATGTCGCCCAGCACGTAGCCCTTGAAGAGGCGGCTCGAGTGGTTGATGAACTCCTGCAGCAGCAAGTACCCACCGAAAGTGTAAGCAACCACAACAATACCTCTGCGCGCCGACCCGTTCACACCAACTCTCACCTGGTACAGCGCCGGATACTCGACGTAGTGCAAGTCTTCACGCTTGGTGATGACGCTCATCATGTGCGAGCGGTCCGTCGCTACAGGAAACAGCAGCAAACAACAGCACACACTGCACGTCAGCTTCCACTTCGGCCTGCATTAACTCCAACTGCCGCCAGCGCACCGCAGGCCTCCACGGACTTGCAGATGAGCGGCAGCCTCGTGCGTCCGGCGTCCAGCTCCGCCAGCAGCGTCTGGAACTGCTGCGGGCTCTCCACCACGCGGAAGTTGGGCCCCTTGAACCTCTGGACCTGCTCCGCATCATCTTCCTCCTCGTCCGCCTGCTGCTGCAGCGTCTGCAGCATCCTGCAGGCCGCGTGGCGGTCCGTGAGCAGCCGCACGCTGTCGATGGGGTCCACCACGCGCACCGACGGGTGGCGCCGCACGAACTCCTGCACGAGCCTCACGCGGCAGGCGGCGCGCTCGTCCCCCAGCCCCGCGAACACCATGTCGTGCGCCAGCTTGTGCAGCAGCGCGTCCAGCGGCCCGTAGCGCGCGGCGAAGCCCTCGACCGCCGCCTGCAGCTCGGCGTCCGTAGCGCAGCCGCCCGCGGGCGTGGCGGCCTCCAGGTCGATCAGCACGAAGCGCACGCCGTCCGCCTCCACGTCCAGCACCTCCTGCAGCCGCGCGATCTTCTTGGCCGGGAAGATGACGCCCACCACGAGGGGCTCCGCCGACGACGTCGTCGTCGCCATCTGTAATTGGATTAATGGGGATCTATCCACTTGAAAAGTGGGGAGGAAAATCACAATAGGGTTCGCAAATGTCGCAATAGGCGGTTCGTCACACATCGCAGGAAAAAAGGCAACTTCAACGTGAGGTGCGAATGCAAAGGCGTATTATACTGATACTGGGCGCCTAGGAGGCGAGGAACTTCTTGGTGTACTCGTCGGCGTCGAGCAGCTGGAAGCGGTGCGAGCTGAAGACGAGCTCGGCGCCGATGACAAAGTGCTCGAGCACGTAGCGCACGCCCTCGGGGCTCTTGTACGCGCCGCGCTCGAGGAACTTGCCGTTGACGATACCCGAGTTGCGCAGCTCCGGCTCGTAGATGGCCAGCGTGTCGTCCGTGAGGAAGTACGTGACGATGAAGCGGCGCTGCTGCTGCTCCTTGCGGCTCGAGATGAGGCGCGCCCGGAAGCGCAGCAGCATGCGGTCGAACTCGGCCATCTTCTTGAAGTCCTTGCGCGGCGGCTTGGGACACAGCGAGTGGCACGAGCCCAGCGAGTCCTCCTCCGTGCCGTAGCCGTTGTACGGCGCCGGCTCGGGCTTGGGGAACACGGGCTTCTCGACCTTCGTGGGCATCGCGGGCTCCAGCACGCGCCCCCACGCCATTTGGTAGTAGTCGCGCGTGTACTTGTCGGCGTCCACAAGGCGCATGTCTCGCCCGAACACGTTCAGCACGGCGCCAACGTACAGGTCCGTCTCGCTGTAGTAGCTGTCGGCGCTCGTGGGCTCTTCGACGCCGCGGTCTTGCTCGTCCGTCAGGTTCTGATGCCAGTCCTTGAGCAGCCGCGCGCGACGAAGCAGCAGCGGGAACGGGTCGCGCCCGTTGTTGGGGCGCGAGACCTCCTTCAACTCCATCGTGTCGTCCTCCAGGAAGTAGTCGAGCGTGTACGACATGAGGTCTCCGTAGAGCTGGTCGCGCACGTCGTACTCGCAGTGGAAGCACAGCACTTTGCGGTTGTTGGCCAGGAACTTGCGCTTCTTCTCCGACTGCAGGCGGGAGCGGATGGGGTTGCCCAGCGACGCCTCCATGTACGTCTTGAGCGGATACCGCTGCTTGCCGTAAAAGTGCTCGTGGTCGCCGCCGCACATGCGCGTGATCTGGTCCCGAGTGAGCGTGTATTCGTCCTTGGGCAGCGGGAGTGGGGAGCCCACGTCCTCCCCTCTCTGCGCGTAGAACTCCCTCGTGAACTCGTCGCAGTCGTACAGCTTGAAGCTTCTTCCAAAGACGTGCAAGTCGAACCCCAGATGCAGATCAGCAGACGAGTAGAACTCGCCGTCAGGACGCCGCAGCTTGCACCTCTTGAGGAACGTCCCTTGCGGGATACCGCTGTTGGGCACTCGGGGCTCGATGATCTCGAAGGTTTCGTCGTGCAGGTAGAGCAGGATCGTGTTCTTGCGCAGCCGCACAACTTCGAGGTTGCTCTCGTCGACGCTCTCCACGTAGAACGTGTGGAACCGCAGCACCTTCTGGACGTTTTGGGGCGCGAACTTGCTCTCCTCCGGGTGGTCGCCCGCCATCTTGCCGATGTCGCTGGCCGTGGTCTCGAAGCGTTCGGGGTCACGCAGGTCCAGGCGCGTCGTCAGAGGGTTCATCTGGTTCAGCGTGCTGTCCAAGCGCAGAGTTTTCTGGACCAGCTTGAAGCGCTGCGGCTTGAGGTGCGATCGCAGCCGCGGCTCATAGTTGGTCGCTCCGAGCAGCGTGTTCTTGGGCGTCGTGGTGGAAGCCATCCTCGTGGTCGGGTTTTCTCCACTGGAGAACCTGGAGCTGTGAGCTTCTGCTGGTGCTCGGGCTCGACTCTATTGATAAACCGCGTTGCGCGTGGCATAAATAGTCTTGAAGCATTGGAGCTCGTCCTGTCTTGAAAATATCTTTGCCAGGAAAACAACGCTTTGGTTGAGGCACCGTTGGAAAAGCCCAGCGAATCTGTACAAACGAATCAAGACATAACTCCACCAGACCCGCTTCCGCTCTCAATCGTGCATTTACAGTATTTTAGTTACCGAGATAGATTCGGCACAGGTCACGGAAGTAGCAGCGGAGGATGCGCTGCTCGGCATCTTTCACAACTGGCGCAGGGTTCGAGCTATTCAGCTCAGGGGACTGGATCAGGTTTGTGAGCAGCGTCACGTGTCTAAAAAGAAACAAACAGATAACCAACCAGTCAGAGCCACCGATAGGTGTATAAAAAAAAAGCACTAAGCTCGAATAATAAGCACCAACCTTTCATTGAGATACTTTGGACTTGAATGCAGGTCCACGAGCATCTCCAGGAACGGCAACTGTAACATATACAACAAAACATTTAGCTCGAACCATTCAAGCCAAACGCCGAGGCGCAACGCTGGAGAGCGCTTACCTCCCAAAAGTATTGAAAGAAGGCGTTATCGTGGGACTCGGGGGCCAGGCGTAAGATTCGGAGGCCGTACTTGAACTCTTCAGGCATGAAGCACTGGTACAGCACTGCAGCAGCGACATGTGCACCCACTTTTACAAGGCATTGGCTCTGCAGTTGTCGTAGCAGCAGACGTTAGTAAAAAAACGAGTAAAATTAAAGTAGCGGTAGCGTGACCAGTGCGTAAGGAAACCACGTACCAATCGAACAAGCGAGCTCTGGTCTATGATGTCCCCCACTGAAACCATGTCGGAAAAGAAGTTGGTCGCTAGTGACGCTGCCACCAGGTAACCTTTAAGCGCGGATCGTGGGTCTGCAGAAAAAATGATCGTTACGTCAGTATAAATGCAACATAGCGATACTTCGTGGACGACGTTATGAAACATACCGGAAGCTGAAGCCAACCGCTGCTTTGAAATCGGATTCAGCAGCAAATCGGCCTTGGCACAATGCCACCTGGGCTCGCGCCCGCAGCGACAAACCAAGCTTTCAAGAGCCCTAGCATGTAATTCCACAAGATCAGCCTGGAAATTCTTGAAGAATGGCACTGTGGCTAACTGCGCGTCAGCGGTTTCAGAGCCGCTAGCCTCGCTTGGCGCGGCCGGTGCTGTCTTTGGTGTATCAGGCGCGAAGGCCTCCAAAAACGCGAGATCTCCATAGGGTGTAAGATCGAACGATACTCGATAGTCACAGGCGTTGCGCATGTAGGCGCGGTGTAGTAGTCCTGCGGAAACACAGACTAGTGTTTCCACGATCCACAAGGGAAGCCCCATCAGCACCTTCTTCGATTTTTCTTCAATGCGCTTCTCGTCGCCACTACCATCAGTCGAGTTTGCACGGAACTGGCTCACCAATTCCCGCCACTTTAGCAAAATGTTCGCCACCAGTTTGTTGCTTTTTGTAATTGAGAATTCAGACTTCTCCGCACCTGCCGTCAGCGAGGCACCACCTCCACCATTTGAGCTTTTTGCACTCGCTGCATTCGCCGAAGCTGGAGCTGCTGACAGCGAGGACATGAATTGCGTCAGCGCCCCACAAGCGAGCACGAACTCGAGCTCGCAGCGCAACTGCGGCGAAACGGACGACACCGCCTTGCATTGCGACAGCATATCCCAACAGTTGTTAGCGGAGCAAAACGTGATCAGATTCCTCGATAGAACACCCATAATGGCGTTCTCGTCGGCAGTCTCTTCATTCTGCGCATTCCCGGACACATTCTCCAGTTCCCTTTGAAGTGCGGTAACAAATCCATCCTTTTCTTTCGTGCTCGGAAACGCAAATAAGCTGCCCACGTCAGCTGCCAAGCGGAAGTGTTCCCTCTGTGTCGCCACGGCGTTACGAAGCTGCCCTTCAACGGCCACCAAACTCTCCAAACTCTCTGCAAAAGGAATAACAAGCACGTCTTCGACCCGAAGTTCATCACAGCGCCGAAGAAGCTCCGACCCACCTGCAAAGCTTGAAATGCAGGGAAAGTGTCGAAGGATCTGGACCACAAAGCGCTTTATCCGCGCCTTCGAGTCACCAGTCGGGGCGTTTGCATACGCAAAGCCACTAAGCGCCAGAACGAATCGCGTGAGCACCTCGAAGCGTTTCTTGGTCTCGCTGTCGTCGCTCCCTTTACGAGAAACTGAATGAAAAATCTCGTCTTGAAGCTGGCCGATGCACACGGAGACGCAGGTCTCCAAAGCGGTGGCCTCTTCTTGATCGCCTTCGAGAATGAGGATGTTCACAGCGTTCTCAATCACAATGCGCTTGTAGAAAAGCCGAATGGTGGGGGTGGCAACGTGCGGGTCGTCCCCCATCAAGTTGTTGCTGCTGGAGCGCAATAGGCGAAGCGCCTGTTGCTCCAGCGCTGCCCGATACCCCTGCGGCAGGCGCGTCAGCTCGGACGCGACAATGTCGTTCTCTAGGAGTTGGATCACCTTGTCCCAGTCTCGGCCTTCCCACGCCATCTCGATCTGCAACTTCGGGGTCTTGAGCACAGCAGGGCTCTCGTTCACAGACTGCACCTCGAGCACCGCCTCACACGCCGCGAGGTATCCCTCCAGATTGGCTCGGTCGTCCGCTGGCAGCTTGGCATTGCCTCCCTCTTGCATACTCTCGTCTCCGTTCTCCCCGTCCTCCACCAGCTCCGAGGCTCGGCTGAAGCAGCTGTAGGCCTTTTCGAAGCCGTTGAAGCTAAAGAAGTAGACCCCTAGGTCGTAGTACGTCTCCACTTGGGTCTGCACCGACAGCTTCTGCTTGTCGTCGTTCATGAGGATCGTCTGAATGTTCTGCGCGATCTGCAGGTGGCTGGCCATGAGATCGCCCAGCGCCATCTGATACGTGGACGAGACCTCCTCGCCCTCGCCGCGCGTGCTGCACGTCAGGTAGCCGTTCTGCGACTGGTTCACGAGCGCGCGCAGCGTCCAGCGGTTGTGCAGCACGTGGGCCTCGTAGGGCCGGAGCGTCACGTCCCGCGTGAACTCGCTGCGCGCGCTGGGCGGCTGCTCGGCGAAGTCCACGATGCCGTCCAGCAGCAGCCGCTGGAAGTGCAGGGGCAGCGCCTCCTCGATGGCGGCCAGCGACAGCTGCATCTGCAGCGCCACTTGGGCCGCCACCAGCAGCAGCGCGCTGTAGCGCTTGTTGCGCACGTTGCCCTCGTCCGCCACGAGCTGCGCCTGGTCCAGGAACTCGCGCACCAGCTCGATGGCCGACGTGGTGCTGTGAACGTCGCGCTTCCGCTGCTGCCGGAGCGTCGTGAGCTGGCAATATAACAATAGAGAGAATGTGTGAGTAGGAGAGTGAGGGCAGCAGCAGAGGAGGAGCAGGAGGATCGGGAGTCCACGTACGTGCTTCTGGAGCGCCTCCGGGTGCAGCAGGAACTCGAACCAGGCGTAGGACGGCGCGGCCGGCGGGATGTCCACCACGGGCTGCTGGAACAGGGAGCGGTACACGCCGTCGTCCTCCTCCTGCGGCGCCGGCGTGCCGGGGCGCGGCGACCCGGGCATGAGCGGCATGAGAGCTGTGGTAATAGTAGTAGTGAGAATTTGGGACTACACTACTGTATCAGTGCTACTAATACTACTTCCTCTGGCCGAAAAAAACGCAGGTTCAGATTTGTCTATTGCTCTAATAGACAAATGATCTGAAACCTGCGTTTTTTTTTGCTCTACGAAAACAAGGCCTTTCTGCATGCTAATTGGACCAAAATACGCACCGCGATCTCTGCTATTGGCTGATATAGCGTTTACGAACAGATTCGATCTGAAGACTGAGCTATGGTCACCAGGGTCTGGTAGTAGTCTCCAGAATAGTAGCGTTAGTAGGCATATTATGACTACTACTACTATTACTAATACTATAGCTCTGGGATTGGAGCCATTAGTAGTACAATTTCTATAGTAGCCAAACGAAACATGGATAGTAGTGCTATTATCACTACTAATGTACCCATTCCTCAACCGACGGCAGATCGTACCAGTCAGGATCCCTCATTAGGCTTCCAACTTGTCATGAAGTGCGCGAAGAGTGATTGCCACCAAAGTGCCATATCGGAGACTTTTCCGTGCTGTGTATGCGGCCGACAGGTGCATCATTTGTGCTACAACGTGCTGTGTGACAAATGCATGCTAACGTTATCTCAAAGGTAACGCTGCTGTTCGTGGTTGCCTTTGTAGCTTCAATTGTACTAAGCAGCTCGCCATACTGATTTTGCGGTCGCACTCGTGTTATCAGGGACTTTGATGCGGTGATACCGACTCCCAGGAGCCTACACTCAACTGTACATCTGAGAATCGTCCTTACTCTCAAGTATTCTCCTGACTTCTGAGTAAGAGTAACATGCTTCAACTTTCGAGTACATTATGTCTTTTGGAGTTAGTTTGCTGTATAAACTAGAAGCTAGATACATCAACGTAAGGTGCTGGCTGTTGCACTGTCACAAGCGAAGTGAATAGCATACTACAAGCAGTCTGGGGTGGTGTTTGTATAGTCTTTGGCTTGCCGACGCTTAAGTTTCCTATTAACCTTTATCCCCCATCGAGCCCACGCGTGGGCCCACTTTTAAATAACTGTAACGGGGTCAGTTTTCGACGCCAGGTATCTTAGACTATTCAAAAATAAGGTAGAGTTCACAAGTAGTTTGGCGTCTATTTTGCAGTCAAAAACAAAACTTAGGTGATGACAAAACACGCTGTCGGAACTCGGGTGCAAGGCAAGACGAAGGCTACAGCAGATCTACAAGGAGTCATCTTGGCGATCGATACCAGCAAGCGTCGGCCTTGGTACGATGTCCAATGGGATAGCGGAAAGGTGGATAGAGTTTCGGCTCGGTCTATTGCTGCTGTACCTGCAACTAGAAGTCAACTCTCGCTGCCCCCGGCATCCCACCACCACCCCGAGTCGATGACGGAGCTTCTTTTGAGCGCAGCCGGATCTGATGGAATCGATGTATCGTCCTCCACTTCTGAGTCCGAAGCCAGCGATGAGGAACCAGAAGCTGGAGAAGACGGGTTGGCCGATGGGAATACTGGTAGTGTAGCAGTTGTGTCTGGAATATCTGAAGATGGTAAAGTTCTAGCACACAACCGCTCGTGGGAGTTCTGCTCAAGTGTTCTTGTCGACCCAGCAGCCCTACTTTGCAAGCGAACGGCTAGCTTTCGCTGGCCAGGAATGTTGCAGCTCGGCGAAAAAACGTTTATCAAGTACTTCTTTTTGAGGTACCCTTGGTCGACTATTCAGAGCACACTTCAACACACCAATGTGAAATTGATTGCTTCCAGACAGCGTGCTATTGCAGAAGGAGAATTTTTCAGGTTTTTAGGAGTCCGATTGGCAATGGCTGTGGAGCCAAGACGCGGCTCGCTGCGAGCTTACTAGGAAAAAGAAGTCTCAGAGGGCTTCGTTGGAACTGCTGCAAATTTCGGCGAGCGCTTTTGTATTTATCGCCATACGTTCGAACAGATCTCCAGGGCCCTGTCGTTCGCGGATGATATTCCTTCCGATGATCCGTGGAAGCCGTTCCGCTCGATAGTTGTTGGCTATAACAGTCGCCGCCAAGATGTAGTGTCTCCGGGAGATATAATGTGCGTCGATGAATGCATGAGTGCATGGCAAGGCAAGGAGGGGAAACACTGCCACGACGGGATCCCACACAAAACTAAGATCCCTCGGAAGCCGGAAGGCATCGGGGCTGAGATCAAGGCCATTGCCGATGGCGACTCTGGAATATTGCTGGGGTTAGAGTTGGTTGAGGGTGCACAGCGTCAGAAGCAGAAACCATTTTACGCGCAATTTGGTGAGGGCACTGCTGTGGTACTCCGCCTTTCAGAGCCTTATAAATGTTCTGGGAGAACCGTTGTTGCGGGCAGTGCATTTGCCTCTGTTAAAACGTTGGTACGGCTAGAAGAAATATGTGGTCTCTCGTGGTGAAGACTGCCTCGCGGGAATATCCGAAAACTTACATGCATGAGTGGTTTTCCACTTCTCCAACTCGTGGCTCGTTCAAAATATTGCAGAGTACGACTCCGAACGACACACCAATGTACGCACTCTGTTGGGCAGACCGCAAACCCAAGTGCATAATTTCCAACCGCGGTACAACACTTCCTGGCGCTGATAGCGTCCGCCGACGCCATAAACTCATTGTTGACGGCGGCCAAGCGAAGACTTTGCAGTACGAGCGTCGTATTGAGCGCCCCCAAATGATTGGACTGTTTTTTCGAAGTTCTCCACTATTGATGTGCACGACCACCTCAGGCAAGGGTGTCTCGAAATGGAAAGTGGCACCATCGATTATTTGCAACTCTTTTTGGGATGGTTGTTGTAGACACCTACCGCGCCTACCAATACGAGGCAACAGCAGCAGGCTGCCTCGATTCTTCTATCGCTAATTTCAATTCTTTCATCTCTCAGCTCTCGTATCAATTGATTTTTAACGACTTTACCCTGCAGCGTTCGACTCGAGTGAGTACTGGGCATAATAACGAGGGTGATGCAGCTCATACACACACACTACGAGCGTTTAGCGCGCTGGAGCAGTATCAGCGCCTCAGTCGGACGGCGTTGCGCGCTCAGCGAAAGTGTGGTGTTTGCGGGAAGAAAGCGTCATTCTACTGCACAGGCTGCTCGGACCCTCTCAAGAAGCAGTTTTTCGGTGTTTGTGGGCTGAAGACGAACCGAGACTGTCATGCAGTGCACACTCACTCTGTTTAGGAAGTATAGGTAGCTCAGCTGCAGATTTTTATACTACATTTTTCTATGATATAATCTAATACAGCAAATCCCACGCGTGGGATATTTGCCGCGCCACGCGTGGGCTTTCGAGCTGGGTGATAAAGGTTAACCTCTTCTCGTCAGTAAATGTATGCCGATGATCCCCTCCTCATGTATACTTGCGCTGTGCCTTCCCCCTCTTTTTTCTAGGTTGCCATACTGGGCATGACATCTTTCCAAAGAAACCAGAAGCCATTTGCGAAGTTACTCAGAAGTCATCACTTTACTCAAAATCAAGTACCTCACTCTATCGCTTGTGATCGAGCAATGCGCCGACCGCAATATTCAGGCAAGGTAGAGTGCAATAACGGAGATCGTGTGAAATAGAAGACACAATATAAAGGTTTGGAGGGTTGAGCAGCTTTGAGGAAGCATTTACGTGTGCTGTTGGTTCGTGGAGGATCGCGAAAACTTACTCGTGCTTGAACGCTGCTCGCCGCCAAGCGCGTCTAAACCGGGTCTTTCGTGAGGGATCCTCTTTGGATGACAACGGACAGCGCGCACCTACAGTTGTAGTTCATATTTCGCATATGGAGGCGAGTAAGCACCATTGCGGTCGGAATTAGGAATGATGGTCAAATAGTCATAATTAGTAGTCATATTAGTAGTCATATTAGTACCACCGATGCCTCACTACTAATAGATATATCATTATACTATTGCCAGAATTTGGATAGTAGTAGTATGACTACTAGCCAATATTCCAAACCCTGATGGTCACAAACGCGAAGCTACTCCGAGAGCTCATTTGACCGTATTCCGCCACGAGTCTACTAGAGCACCGATTACCCGCCAAGCACCACCAATCTCAAGGCTATGGTTAAAGACCGCCGTGACACCATCTTGGAGTTGCTAGTGATCAGTATTGTGCCTTGCAATTTTTTTGGCAATTCCGATGCTCAGATGTAGGATATATCGGGTCGGATATAATTTGCAGCTCAGAGATGAAGCCGAGGGACTCCAGGTCGAGGTACGATTTAGCTTGTTAAACCTCGGTCGAGCTGATCAAGCAGGTCGGAATTGCCGTTTTAAATCCGCCAAAACGACCGCCCTCCCGATATGTCCTCGTTGGGCTCCACACACCAGAACAATATTATTGTAAGGACCATTTGTCGGGCTGGTGCCGCTAGCTTCAGCTCTGGTTTCGGCCGCGTCTGTCAGACGTTGGTACCCGCGAGATCGCGCCGTTTACGATGAGCAAGAGACCAAGTCCAATCACGCGGACAGTAGAGACGTATGCAGAAGAAAGTAAGATAAATGGACAAATACCACATAATCTTGTTAAAAGAACTCCCTACTGTGCATCGCTTTCTATTGTACTACTACTTGTTTACTAGATACAGCTACAAGTACCTTGGTCTGGTCGCGTCGGGGCAGGTCCACGAGCCGCTGCGTGTCGACTGCCACCCCACCAAGCCCGCAAAGCCCACGCCACTCTTGTCCGACACCTTGTTCGCTTTGTACGCCATTCCGGGAGCGTTCGTGCTCGTAGACCGCAACTCCTGGTAGCGCTCCTGGACGACTTTTTGTTAGCCGTTTTGGCGTTGCCCAGCAGGTCCTCCTAGCGGCGCAGGCCTCGTCGTGTCGTCGCTAAAACAGCAGCTTTACGGAGGCCGCCGCGCCCTACGCGACGCTGGCCAAGAGCAGCGGCGACTACGAGAGCGGCGACGACGGCAACAGCGAGCTTGACGATGCACTTGAACACCTTGAAGGTCCGGTCCGTCTGCTCGCTCTGCAGCGCCAGCATCTGCTCCAGCGCCTCGAAGGCCGCCGCGCGCTCCGGGCGTTCTCGATGCGCACGTGCAGACCCGCGGGCTCGGCATCCTCCATGTCCTTGTCCTCGTCGCTTAGCCGAAGTCATACTTACCAGACATACTTACCGGGTGGCCCTCAGACACTACTTTGCCGGTGATAGGAACGCGCCTACGTAAAGCTCACTGCGTCGTCGCATTTAAAGCATCCTGTCCCTGCAGCAATCTGTAGCAAACACACAAGCAGCATCATCGCTTGTCGGTAGCATCTAGCAGTAAGCAGGCAGGTTCAGGGAGCTTACAAAGCTGGGTGCAGTGAGCGCAGCGCAAATGGATGCTCGTGTGCTCGCAGCCAACGAAGTGGTTGGAATTAGATAAACTTGAGGGAGGCAAAACAGCGACTTTGCCTCATAGTTATTCAAACCTACCCCTACCAAGCTCGGATTTATCTTTTCCGACCACTAGGTCAACACGAAGGGCAAAATACTACCTCTGTGCTGAAAATAATGCACCTTCAAAAAATATTTGCGCATAGCTCCGCCTCGTTTTTTCACCGATATAGGATTTGCAGAGGTTTAATGAAGTGCCCTACAAAAGAAAAGGATCCAGGTCTGAAGTCTCAAATGCAGAGGGTAGTAGCGAGGGCTGGTGCTGGGGTATCAGCTGCGGTGGGGAGGGACGTTGCCCAGCACAACTAACCGGACGAGGTTAGGCAACACGAAGCTGCTCTGCGTAGATCTGCTCTACAGAGAGCATTGCGATTGCTGAGTGAGCGCTGAAGAGGATCTCGGCATCACACATCAGAGTGGTGGGGAGTTGGCCAGCATTGATCAGCTTGTCCTTGTGCATGTGCGCGAGCCGGTAGTTGTCGCGCCCTTCGTTGGTCATGATCTCCTTCATGACAAGTTGCAGCGTTAAGAATGTCTTGTTGAGAGTCTCTGCCGTAGTCTCTGCAAACGCGAGCTCAACTTCCTTGATGAGATCCTCCGTGGTCCGTGGGCTGGTGTGGGACTGGAGAGACTGTATGCTGCAGAAGTAGCCGAGATCCAGGCAATCGCGCCGCATGCTCGTGACCGACGTCATTCCTGCCATCAAGGCGAAGTGGCCTCAAGATCAGAAGGCCACTCTCATTCGCATTCAACAAGACAACGCGAGGCCACATGTGCTTGAGGAGGACGCTGAAGTGCTCGCTGCTGGACGCGCCGACGGATGGAATATCCGACTCAAGAACCAACCTGCCCAAAGCCCAGATCTCACCAAGGTACGGTTCATAGAGACTGGTTTTATCTCCTCGACACCTGCGGGGCGGTTGACACTCAAGCGTTGTGTAATGTAGGTTTTCACGACAGGCCAAAGCCCTATCTTGCCGTCCCAGTTGCCGCGTGGCCGCGCCACGGCGCACAGGAACATCACCTTCTTGATGTGACGCTTGCTTTGAACGTACTGCACGGGAGCTTCTTCCAGGGGTGTGCCGTCCTTGCCCGTCAGCACGTACACACGCTGGCCGATCTTTTTGACGTAGAACCACTTCTCGTCAATGTGGACTACGTCGAACATTGGGTCGAAATAGTACTGCCCGTCTCCGTTTAGCTTCACGTGGTTTACGGCGAACTTCAGGCGCGCCACCCTATGCGATGCCGTAAGCAGGGGCCGTGTGTGCCTCAGGGCCCGCCTCATGTAGCCCTCCTTGATCAACTGTTGGACAAGGTAGGAACTTGTATTCGACGCCTGTTGGATCTTGCGGTGGTTCTCACGCTCGTTGACGGGCACGGCTGACACATGCTCGCAGAGGACTGCACGGTCTAGCTTCTTTCTGCCACGCGCACTCTTTCTTGACTTGACAACTGCAGCGACGCGGTCGCCCATCGAACTAATCCCTCTCTCCCAAATGCGCGCGACGACGAAACGGCTTAAGTGAAAGTGTGCTGCAGTCTGGACAATGTCCCCAGGGCTCAGCACACCTCTGGTGCTGCGAAGGAGCAGCGTCTCCCAAACGGCTTGCCGTTCTTCATCGGTTGCTTGCTTCATGGGCAGGATAGTGCGTCTTGAACAGGAGGCTGCGTCTTGAGCGGGAGGCTGTAGATCTTCGAATGAGCACTAGAGGAAGTTGTGCGGTCCAGAAAAATGTGCGGGAGATTCGCAATTCAAACGATCGGATTTACAAGGGTATCGTTCTGAACAGGATGCAATCTGATTGGCTAGGTGCGTTATTTTCAGCTCAGAGGTAGTAAATGCAAGGCACAATAACAGCTACGTTTTGCCTCGTGGAAGGTACGTGCCAGCGGCGATAAAATATCATCGTTTTTCAGTCACTGTAGCGCGAATATGGTTGTTTTTGCGAGTCACAATGGTCGGGCTTTGTATTGAGGCATGGGAGAGCGGGAACATTGGGAACGGCCGTTGGGAGTGCCTTAACCGCACAGGACTTCGCAGCAAGCCCCCCCCCCCCCCCGGATGGAGCGGCAGGTGCTGGCGTTTGCCGCTAATACTTTATTAGTCAATCGCGAAGATCAAAATACCTGTTTTTGTCCAATCACCGGGACGTATTCAGAAACCTGCGTTTATTAAATAAAATATTATTATACTTCCTCTGGCCGAAAATAAAGTTTATTTTCGGCCAGAGGAAGTAATATCCAATCTTGGACCACTATCAGTGATACTGATATGATACTGAACCCCTAATAGGAGTTCTCACGGTTGGTAGGTTTGCAGGTTGCAGGTAAAACTGACCAATCAGAAGAGATCAGTCAAACCTGCATGCAGCTTCCTTTGCCTTCCTTGTCAGTGGGAGCAGGTTTGACTGCAGATTTCAGATCAATATCTATTGGGTGAAACTGTACAGGAGGATGATTGGTTAAGTGGGGAGTACTTGCTGTGGCACTGGCACCACCCAAGCAGCCCGGCAAGCACGCAGTAGCAACAAGCACTTTAGCCCCAGGCCTGATCACACGATTCAATCGGATTAGACCCCACGATGCCGAACAAGCGGTGGACCGCTGATGAGGTCCATCTGCTGCTCAACTACCTCAGCGACCACGTTAAGGCATACACCACTGGTATCAAGGAGCGCTTCTACGAAGGCGCGCACGAATTCTTAGCCCAGCACGAGCACTCCAAGTCGAAGAAACAGTGCAAAACCAAGTGCACCGAGTTGGAGTCTGGGTACAAGGAGTACAAGCTCAAGCTGGCCCAGACGGGTTTCGGGCTACAAGAAGCAGATACGCCAAGCATTATAGGTAAGACTTCGCATATTTTTTTTGATGGGGCACGCCCCGTGCTGTGAAATATTGTGGTACGACAGCGATTGCATGGAGTAGAGGAACACTTCCAGCTGAAGCTGCACTGGGGCTTGCTGCTGTTTCCCTGGCTTCCGCTGGAAAACAGGGTGTGGAGCTACGGAAGCAAGCAAGAGACAGAAACCGTCGACGCTAATTCTTAGATCACGACGAGCGCGGACGGAGTCCATGAGGAAAATCCGCGCTGGGTACCACTCAGCAGACTTCAGGACGGTGCTGCGACACAAGTAGCGCGTAGCTAGCTAGTACCTGAGTAGCTACATTAATGCCATCTAACTCATCACCGCTGTCATCTTCGTCGCTTGAGTCTTCCAAAGCGGCATGCAGGGTACGGGCATGCAGAAGCAGGTCTGTAGCTGCGCGTGTTCCTTCCTTGACCATGTCGACTTCTGGAATACCACCAGCCAGCCAGCATTAGCTAGTCTATTATTGGATAAAATTCAGCGTAAGCATCGGGAGTGCAGGTTTCATGTCCTCACGGTTAGAAGGTTTCAGGTCAGCCACGATTGGCTAATTAACCAAACCTGCAACCTGCAAAACTACCAACCGTGAGAACCCCTATTAGGGGGACGACAACGATATCACTGATAATATCACTGATATCTATCACTCAACTAATTCTGTGTATTTAAAATATACATGTACCTTTTTCCAGAAAAAGGTACTTGAAAGTATGCCTGTATTTTTCCAGAAAAATGTACATGCATTGGACGCCTGTCAAATATAGCTTAGTCGAGCGGCTTATCTGCAGCGATTAAGCCCGACTTAAAAAAGATATATGTCGCTTTATCGCAAAAAATCTCTACCACAAAGGTGTTAAAAGTGCCTGTGTCCGACTGATAGTGTCCTAAATAGGGCGGCTGCTACAGTGACGTTGGTACAAAGAGGAGTGTACCCGTCACTTTGCCTCAGACACGCCGAGCGCATGAATCCTTCTAGATTTCCTCATTCTGACTTTTGCGCACGTCGGGCACAAGCCCCTCCCGCCACGATGGCCACCGAACACTCGGACGTACTGCTGCTGCTCACAGACGCCTTCGTGAAGCAAGGTGAGGCGCTCCACGACGTTCGTCGTGAGGTCTTCCGCCTCCTGGCCGAGGAGGCGTGGAAGGTGACGATGCGCAGCCGCCATTACCTCACGGCTCAATGCCTGGACATGCCCTGCGACTCTGCGTGGATGGTCCTGTACAGATACGAAACTGACATCAACTTCCTCAACGCCACCAGCCTTACAAAGTACGTTGAACTGCAGGTGTGCTGCATCAGATGCGTATATTAACAGTACATGAATGCTACAGGTCTTCCTTTCACCAGCTACTGCGCCGGTTCACAAGCTACTACTATATCCCGCTCGCTCGCTCCAGGGGCCGACCGCTCAAGCTCCGATACCACCACCAGGTGTTGGGGCTGGTCCTTTGCTTCTTTGTTGGCTCCATGGAGCTGAGCAGCTTGAGCATGCTGTTCGGTGTTCCTCCGAGCACATTGGCGCGGTCTCTGCGGCGGGCTGAAGAAGCACTGTCCAAGACACTGAACAACTACGCCCCCGCGCACATCGCAGTGCCGTCACCCAGCCGCCAGAATGAGCTGCCAAAGCTCGTCGAAGCTCAAGAGCCTCTGCTGAAGCACACCTTCGACTTCATCGATGGGAAAAACTTTAAGGTACACGTAACGCTCATTTTGAATTTGAATTGTATTGCGAAAAGCTATTGCTAAGTATTGATGCTACGTAGGTCCAGCAGCCCTCGAACGCTGATCTGCAGAACGCCATGTACAATGGCTGGTTGCACTCGGTGTTTGTTACCGGGACGATCTGCTTCGCCGCGGACGGATGCATCGTGTGCTGCAAGCACAACTGTCCGGGGTCATGGAATGACTCGGACACGTCGCTGGGCTTCAGGAACAAGTTGCTGGACCCCGTGTTGCAGCGGGGCTGCCGTAGCTTTAGCGTCAGAGAAAGACGTAACAGACTCACAGAGTCTCAGCTTAAGATAGCCCGTTCTAATACCAGAACGTACGAGTCCGTACACCTTACGGGCTCCAAGAGTCAACCCTTAACTCTTAACTGTGTGAATCTCAAACTGAATGTATTTCTCTTTATCGCGGCAAAGCCGCCTACGGTGTAAATGTCTCTCGTTCACTATCTAACAGAGTAAACCCTAGTCATACATATAATCAGTGGCTCTGAAGCCATGTACTGATTATCCTTCTGAATTAGGTTATACATTGTATACGCACTTCGTAACCCTTCGGGTAACTCTCGTGTAACCCCGTTACACCCTCCCCCACCAAACCGTGGACACGGGTGTTCACGTTTAACGGTCAACCACCGGGTCTTGTTCCGTCAAGCCTCCTTCTCGAACGAGTCAATCCACATCGCGTGGGCCTCTCTGAGAACTTCTCGGCGCAAGGCGCCCTCACATGACTTCAAGTCATAAAGCCTTTTGGTCTTTCGACCGCAGATAGCCTCTCGCGGGATCCGCCTCGGAGCCTCGCTCCTCTTGTGCTGCTGCACTGCGTGCCCCCGCACCTTCGCCAACGCCAGTACCCGCGCGCACACCCTCGACGCCTTCCAGGCTTTCGATGTCCGAGTACTTCGCGGCGCACCGCCAGAAGCACAGCTCGCAAGCCCCAGCTCCCCTCGAGCATCAACCTGCCAGATCATGGATCCTAGGGAACTCTTTGGTGAAGAGGGCGAGGTGGACGAGTCCATGCTGGGTTCTCCGAACCGAGGAGATGCGTCCCCAGCCACGCGACGCTTCGCCCACGCCGTCGACACGCCGTGAAGAAGGATCGCCAGCCCCAGTTGGCTCTCCGAATCGTCGCGATCACGAGCGCCCCGCGCGCGCATCTCCTGCGCGCTCGCCGAGCCGTTCACCTGCAGAGCGCGCTGCGCCGTCGAGGGAGGAGCCGCGGCCACCGCTGCGAACTCCAAACCCGTTCCCTGAACGCTCCTTCGGTCTCTACGAGCTGCGCACGCTCACTGAGCTACGGCATTCGCCGGCTCGTGGTGAGGACGTGCCCCTGGTCCCCGTCATTTCCAATCCTTTGGACGAAGCTCAGTCCGAGCAGGTCGCGGCTCAGATGGCTCCATGCGCTCCCAGCGCTGGTGATTACGGCTTCCGGCCTCGCGACCCTGTTGAGGTGTGCCGCCTGACGTTCCAGCAGTCCCTCGCGCTGCACGCCATTGGGCCCGCGGCCCGTACTCCGGAGGAGTTCGCACTGCGTGCGTCTCTGCGAGAGCGACTCCTCACTCCACAGTCTACGACTGTCGTGGAGCACCGCGAGAGGCTGCGGCTGCAAGCCCAGCAGAAGTCCAAGCCCGCCATGCGGACGTACCCGGTGGTACTTGGTCCGGGGGAAGACTAGATTGAGTACGAAGCTCAGTTCGAGTCTTGGGCCGAGCACAGCCGGAAGCTCAGCTCCATGGATGCTCTCCGAGCCAGCTTCAGTGAAGTGGATGTTCGCATTGAACGCAAGCTCCGCTTCGACTTTGCGAAGGTCCAAGCCAAGCGCAGCCTCTCGGCAATCGCCCAGCCGCAGACCCAGTTTAGCGCTGCGCGCTTCGCTCATTCGAGCACTCCAGCCGCTCCTTCCCGCGAGGAGTGAGCGCTGTGGCTCAGGGTCAGCCTCGGAGCAATGTGGCTGACCCAGCAGCTCCCCGGCTTATTGCCGGGAAGCGCGGGACGGCTGGCGTGCCGGTCTTGAGCCCTCGAGGCGCTGGTGACCAAGCTGATCAAAAGCGTCCACGACGTCTGGGCAATCCTGGCGGAGGGGCACCTCAAACTCCCATGAGTTCTCGGAGTGAGGGTACCCTCGTCATTTCACCAGATACTGGTTTTGCCCCGGCACCGCCGCTTCGCCAGGAGGCGCTCCACAGGGTAATACCGATTCCCATGCTCATCGAGCAGAGCCGGTGGAGGACGCGCCAGCTCGTCTCGCGACGTTTGACGAGTTGCACGAGACTCAGCAACAGGCTGGTCGCCTTCGGGACCACGTCCACGACATCGACGCGCGCCTGGCACGTTGTGCGACTGATCTCGACAGGCTCGCTGAGCGGATGGAGTGGCTTGGGGTGCCTCGGGTCGTCTGGGACCGGCTTGAGACCTTGGAGGACGACTTCGTTTGCCTGAACGGGTGGATGAACTACTTTCGCGATCGCGAAGAGCGACACGCTCGAGAGTTCGCGGAGTTACAGCGTCACCAGGCTGTGCTTCAGGGTTAGCTCGACCTCCTGGCCCGCATGCAGGCCCCGCCTGCTGCGGCTCCTGCTCTGCCCGCGGCACTCCCGCCTGTGCCTGCGGTGCCCGCGTTAATGGTCGCGGCCTTTACGCCTGCGACTGCGTCCTCGACGACCGCGACATCCGCGCCTGTGACCTCGTCACCCTCGGTGCCTCCATCTGCACCTGCATCGGCTCCTGGTACGGCTTGAGCAAGCCCACGTAGAAGACGGGGTGCGTCCGCATCTTCTTCGGAAGATTGAGCGTGTACGCAAGGCTCTTCTTGGCCACAACCTCGAAAGGTCCGATGAAGCGCGGGCGCAACTTCGTCTTGAAGACGGCTGACACTGCATGTGTAGGTAGTTTTTTAGCATTAAGCAACATCAGGTCCCCGACCTCATAACTTTCAACATTGCCTCTCCCTGGCATCTGTATGTTCCTTTTGCTTGTCTTGGCTCTCAGCCATTGCGTCACGCACATGTCGTAAGACACTCAGACGCGTCGACAAGAAGGCGTCAACCTGTTTACGAACAGTAGCCGGGCTGACATTGGCTAGCCGATCAGCTAAATCGGCTTCTCCTCCCCCACCAAGCCCGAGGCCACCACGTGGCGGCGTCAGCGGGACGCGGGGATGAGACAAGCTGTTTACGTAGAACGGCGTATAGCCTGTCGAGGCGTCCATGGCGTTGTTCAACGCAAACTCGACGGTGGCAGTTTGGCGCTCCAGCGCTTCGGCGTCTCGGCGCAAATGCTGCGGAGCACGTCCTCGACGACGCGATTTACGCGCTCGGTCTGACCATCGGTCTGCGGATGGTCCGCCGTGGACATGTCCAGCTTGGTGCCATGCACCGCAAAGACCGCGCTCCAGAAGTTGCCCGTGAAGCGGGGGTCTCGGTCCGAGACAATCGAATCAGGGAGGCCGTGTTGTCGAAACACTCGGTCCAAGAACAGCGTTGCTGTACCTTTACCATCGATGGTATCCGGCACAGCCGCAATGCGAGCCATCTTGCTCAGTCGGTCCACGAAGACCACGACTCCTGTGTTGCCCGCCGCGTCCGCCGGTAGGCCAAACACAAAGTCCATACTCATGGATTGCCAACAGCCCGAAGGGACAGGCAAACTCGCCAACGGCGCTGCAGCATGAGGTGACGACTCCACTCGCTGACACCTCTCGCACGTGCGCACATAAGTGCTCGTCCACTTGTACATCTTCGGCCACCGGTAGTGGGTGCTCACCGAGCTGTAGGTCTTCTCACGGCCAAAATGGCCAACCAGCGGTGTGTCGTGTGCCTCATAGAGGAAGCGATATTTCACATCCTCATCATGAGGGATGACCACGCGGGGCGTATCCTCGGGGCCGGTGTTGTAGAACAACAGGCCTCCATCGAGGGAATAACGGTGCAGCCGCTCGCGCAGCCGCGCTGACAATTCCATGTCCGAATCTTGAAACTCCTTGCTCCCCAGAGCCTTCAGCAACGCGACACAAGTGTCGTCCTTGGCATAAGCCGTTCGGATCAGGTCCGGTAATGACGAACGTACGGTCGTTACATGAGCCAGCTCATAACTCGGCCTGTGCGACAGCGCGTCCGCAAGGACATTCTGCCTGCCAGGCTTGCACTTCACCTCGAAGTTATACTCCGTGAAGAAGGACAGCCAGCGGGCCATCCTTTGCGAGAGATGTGGCGACTGAGTCGCAGTGCGTAACGACGCATGATCCGTGTAAATCACGAACGGCTGAGAGCCCAACAGGTGCACCCTGAACTTAACGAGCGCATACTTCATCGCAAGTAGCTCCTTGTCGTGTACAGGATAATTCTTCTCCGCAGCCTTCAGCTGGCGAGATTCGAACGCCACCACGCGCTCGCGCTCCTCGGCGTCTGCTTGCAGCAGGGCACAGCCGATGGCAAAGTCCAAGGCGTACTAAACGGACGAGCGGGGTCTGGCAAGGCCAGAATAGATGCATGAAGGAGACTGTCCTTAATTGCCGCAGACGAATCTTAATGCTTGGTGTCCCAACACCACTCCGCATCCTTCTTCAGGAGATTGGAGAGTGACCGAGCCATCTCAGCGTAGTTCTCGCTGTCCTTGTGCAAGTAATTGACCAAGCCAAGCCACTTGTGAAGATCCTTCTGGTTCTTGGGAACCGGCCAATCAACAATGACCTTGACCTTGACCGGGTCGGCCCTCAGGCCACGCTTCCCGATGAAGCACCCTAAGAAGGGGATCCCTTCCGCTCCGAAGATGCATTTGTCAATGTTGGCATACAACTTGTTTTGACGCATGCATTCGAGCACAGCACGCAGGTGCTCCACATGGTTCTCCATATCAGTCTTTCCGTGCTCAGCACGACTGTGGACAAAGATGCCATCGAAGTACGTTTGCGCGTACGCCCGATGGGGCCTGAAGAGCTGCGTCACAAGACGGTTAAACGTCGCTGGCGCGTTCGAAAGCCCTTGGGGCATCACCAACCACTCCCAGAGCATGCCGCTCAGAGTACTCACCGCAGTGAGAGGAATGTCGCTCGTCCTGATGAGCAATTGGAAATATCCATCGACCAAGTCGAGCGCACTGTACATCGTACATCCTGTCATGTTGTTCTGAAGAACATCCTTCCGAGGAATCGGCGTCTGCGCCGGAATGGTAGCAGCATTCAGCTTGTTGAAAGCATGCACGATACGCCACTTGCCATTCGGCTTTCTGACACAGAACGTCGGCGTAGAGTGTGGAGACTTACTCTCACGCACCATGCCCGCCTCGTGCTTCGCACGGGAGAACGCGTCAATGACGTCACACTGCTCCTTCGGCAAGGGTCACTGCCTTGTCACCCAGTACTTCATTCCCGGGACGAGATCAATTTCGTGTCGAACACCTCGATCCGGAGGTAGCTGTGGTGTGGTGATACCACTAAAATCCTCTTATACTAAAATATATTAGAGACACCAACAACACGCTAACCCGCAAAGGTAAGCGCTTATTGAGTCCAAACCTGAAGACCAGGAACGATCCCTTACACCGGGTCGGTTGCAAGGGCCTCTGTGCACCTTAGGCTATCTTCGGTCAACCCAAAACCTGTACCACTAGCCACGAGCTAAGGCTAGGATACTATGTAGCGCTTTCGCGCAACCCCACTGCAGTCCCTCAGAAAGGAAGGGTACCGGCGTGTTAGGCCTTATACAGGGGGACCAAGGTAAAACCTCGGTAGGTAGACTAATACACTCAGGGACACTCTAATCCCACAAATATATCCTGAACGATACTCTAATACCGTTCCTGCCTCTCCGGCCACGCCAACTCTTGGCGCTGCCAAGGAAACTCTCGGTCAATGCACGATAAGCTCCCCGACAGGCATCCACACGCAGCCGAGCGTATCCAGGCACTACAATAAGCTAGCTACACTTACCGAAGTCGGACTTGACCCTTGTTGGCTTTGGGGGAAGACTGTCTTTTTATTACTGAGTTTCCTGAGGCCTGAGGGTCTCGTTCTGGTCATCCTATGATTAGTCCTATGACCCTATACAAATATCAAGTGTGCACGATCGCAATGAGGCGATCCCGGACACATCAAATGACGACCGCGGCTACACTAATAAGTGCGGCCGAAGTACGAAACTAAATATATCTGTACCAAAACGTTGGCACCATGAAGCCTCGTTCGGGGTTGTATTAGGACCCGACGAGGCTCCGGCCACTAACCGTCACTCTAACGAGGATAATGTCGTCAGCTTCACCAAAGCAGCTACTTCCATCTCGCGCTTGACTGCTCCTTGATTGTACCTTGATTCTTGAGCGACGGGCAATCGCTCCGGTAATCTCCATTTTCCGATACCACAACTGCCCCCCCTGGACACGAGCCTCCGCAACAGGTGAGCGTCTAGGCGTCTTCCATCCGTCGAATTCATGGTTTATTCATCGCGCTTGCGCCTGACCGCTGCGACCGCCGCTCTCCTGGACCTTCAATGTTCTGGTCCGGTACGCTCGACGTTCTTGCTGCTCTTCGCCATCAGTTGGATCCTCGATAATGACGAAACTTGTCCTCCGGTATCCCCAGGTGCTGTCAATGTCACCGACACTTTGCAACGCTGGCTAGGGCCGCAAGAGCTTTCATTACCCACCGGTGGTCCTGTTGGCGCTGATAATACGGTTCCGGTGCAAGCTGCACCTGTGACCGAGCCTCCAGTGACTTCCGTCGCTGCTGAAGTATCGGTCAACACACCACAAGGTTCCTCCAGTGATATTTCATCTTCTGCTAGGGTCAACGAGAGTTTG